GAGCAGGTGTTAAGAGCTAGTGTTAAGAGCAGGTGTTAAGAGCTAGTGTTAAGAGCAGGTGTTAAGAGCTAGTGTTAAGAGCTAGTATTAAGAGCTGATGTTGCTCCACTCTCTCGCTCTGCTCGATAGTATCGCTCGATAGTGTTAGGAGCAGGTGTTAAGAGCTAGTGTTAAGAGCAGGTGTTAAGAGCTAGTGTTAAGAGCAGGTGTTAAGAGCTAGTGTTAAGAGCTAGTATTAAGAGCTGATGTTGCTCCACTCTCTCGCTCTGCTCGATAGTATCGCTCGATAGTGTTAGGAGCAGGTGTTAAGAGCTAGTGTTAAGAGCAGGTGTTAAGAGCTAGTGTTAAGAGCTAGTATTAAGAGCTGATGTTGCTCCACTCTCTCGCTCTGCTCGATAGTATCGCTCGATAGTGTTAGGAGCAGGTGTTAAGAGCTAGTATTAAGAGCTGATGTTGCTCCACTCTCTCGCTCTGCTCGATAGTATCGCTCGATAGTGTTAGGAGCAGGTGTTAAGAGCTAGTGTTAAGAGCAGGTGTTAAGAGCTAGTGTTAAGAGCAGGTGTTAAGAGCTAGTGTTAAGAGCTAGTATTAAGAGCTGATGTTGCTCCACTCTCTCGCTCTGCTCGATAGTATCGCTCGATAGTGTTAGGAGCAGGTGTTAAGAGCTAGTGTGAAGAGCTAGTGTGCTGCAATTTCTCGCATCCCTCGATAAGATCGCTGGATAGTGTTAGGAGCTAGTGTCAAGAGCTAGTGTGAAGAGCTAGTGTGCTGCAATCTCTCGCATCCCTCGATAAGATCGCTGGATAGTGTTAGGAGCTAGTGTCAAGAGCTAGTGTGAAGAGCTAGTGTGCTGCAATCTCTCGCATCCCTCGATAAGATCGCTGGATAGTGTTAGGAGCTAGTGTTAAGAGCTAGTGTGAAGAGCTAGTGTGCTGCAACCTCTCGCATCCCTCGATAAGATCGCTGGATAGTGTTAGGAGCTAGTGTTAAGAGCTAGTGTTAAGAGCTAGTGTTAAGAGCTAGTGTGCTCCACTATCTCACTTCGCTCGATAGTGTCGCTGGATAGTGTCGCTCGATAGTGTTAAGAGCTAGTGTGCTCCACTATCTCGCTTCGCTCGATAGTGTCGCTCGATAGTGTAGTGTTTATTGAGCACTTATATTCAGATACACAAAATACTCATCAATATACTTTCTCTTTTCCCCACTCTACAATTTTGGTCTTGGGTCCAATTGCTTGAATACTGTTTCAATAGCAGTAGCCTTCATCATATTACCCTTGATTTTCAATTTACCATTCATGAATAATTTTTGACCATTAGCCTTACCATTAGCCAACTTGACAAAATCAGCATCCTTCAACAATAATTGCACATCACCTTTTGGAGGAGGTCCCGAGACAGATTTCAAACTACCATCTTTCTTCAAGTCCAACACCCACGAGTTTTCCTTACCTTCTTTATTTTTCAAAGTAATAACAATAACGGCATTAACACCCTTTATAGCTTTAGTAACTGCGGTGGGGTCTTTTAAGCCATCGCCCAACTCTTTGAATAAAGGAGAAGCGTTAAATCCATCAACTTCGATTGACATTGTAAACAAAAACTATTTCTTATAATATATATATATGTATACCCTGAGTATAAATTCCCTATAGGCTTAATGGAAAAAAAAAATATATATACATATAAATATATTATTGCTTACAATATAGGCGGGATCGAATAATTTATATACTTTTTCCAAGCCCTGTCACTCCCTTAAATTTTTTTTGGGATTATGGAAAAAGAACTAACGGCTAACAAAGACTACTCCACCTGCTGAAAAACAAGTTTTATTAACTCCGTTGGGTGAGCTACCAACCTCTACTTTTTCACATGTGATTTACATTGTCTTTCCATTGGCAATGGAATATTTAGGTTACCTAGGGAATTTATGGGATGGGGTAGAAATTTAGAAAAAATGTGGGCAGAGGATAAGGATTTTAGAGTCAGTAAAGAATATGGATGGGGTCAGGACTATGTGGTATATGAGCGTGACTAGGAAGGAAATAATGGTTAGATAGAGTTGACATGTGCCTAATGATCAACTAACATTTTACTTATTGTTTCAATTTGGGTGTATTAAATAAATAAAATTTGGGGTAATTCATAATGATGCACTTTTATCCTTATTGAGTAAATGGGCGAATTTTTGTATGGGTGTATGGGTCTTTGTGGTTTAAGCTTCACCTCGGTTTATTTTAAAGACAGGTGGGCTGCTGCTGCTGCTGCTAGGCGTTACAAAAATAAATGGCAGTAGTGGCGCTACCATGTTATTAAGGCTCACGCTACTAGTTGCCTATCGAGCAGACACTATCGAGCAACACTATCGAGCAGACACGATCGAGCAAAGCGAGATAGTGTCGCTCAATAATAGTTTCAATAACAGTTTCAATAACAGTTTCAATAACGATTCAATAACGATTCAATAACAGTTTCAATAACAGTTAGTGTCGCTCAATAACAGTTAGTGTTGCTCCGCTCGCTGACTGTTATTGTAGAGATTCTTTCATGGCAAAGCAGTGTATCACTACTTGGCTAGATATAGCCAAAACCAGCCTCGTATCAGTTTCTAGTTTTATGTAAAAATATTAGATTGAATCATATGAGAAGTTTTCGGTTTAATTTGGAATATTTTCACCGTTATAGTTACCCCACATTTCATTTTTCCCCTGAAAAACTTTCACTCTACACTATCGAGCGAAGCGAGATAGTGGAGCAGCAATAGCTGCCACCGACACTCTACACTATCAAGCGAAGCGAGATAGTGGAGCAGCAATAGCTGCCACCGACACTCTACACTATCGAGCGAAGCGAGATAGTGGAGCAGCAATAGCTGCCACCGACACTCTACACTATCGAGCGAAGCGAGATAGTGGAGCAGCAATAGCTGCCACCGACACTCTACACTATCGAGCGAAGCGAGATAGTGGAGGAGCAATAACTGCCACTGCCACTATCGACACTCTCGACACTCTCGACACCATCGAGCTCTACTCGATAATGGAGCGCAATAGCTGCCACTGACACCACCTAGCTCTACTCGATAGTGGAGCGCAATACCTGCCACTGACAATCACTTTCCCTAATACTAATACACCTCTACACTACACCTCAACATCTTGGTACTTGAAAAAAAACTACTTGACAAAATATACATAACAAACTCTATTCTTTAACATCAAAGGTATACAATTTCTAAAGGTACGATTCCTCAGAGGTTCGATTCCTCAAAGGTTCGATTCCTCAAAGGTAGGACTCCTCAAAGGTAGGACTCCTCAAAGGTAGGACTCCTCAAAGGTACGGCTCCTCAAAGGTAGGACTCCTCAAAGGTAGGACTCCTCAAAGGTAGGACTCCTCTGGAATCAAAGGCGATACAATTTTTTAAAAGCATTCAATTCCTCTACCATCAAAGGTGATACAATCCATCTCCACAGTTCAATAACCATGTAATTGGCTCTCTTCCAACACTGTGCAATACCGATTTTTCTTGTTACTGCTCGATAGTGTTGGTTGGTGCTGCACCACTGGCTCGCTTCGCTCGCTGGTGTTGGTCGGTGCTGTACTACTAGCTCGCTGGTGTTGGTCGCTGCTGCACCGCTGGCTCGCTTCGCTCGCTACGCTTCGCTCGCTGGTGTTGGTCGCTGCTGCACCGCTGGCTCGCTTCGCTCGCTACGCTTCGCTCGCTGGTGTTGGTCGCTGCTGCACCGCTGGCTCGCTTCGCTCGCTACGCTTCGCTCGCTGGTGTTGGTCGCTGCTGCACCGCTGGCTCGCTTCGCTCGCTACGCTTCGCTCGCTGGTGTTGGTCGCTGCTGCACCGCTGGCTCGCTTCGCTCGCTACGCTTCGCTCGCTACGCTTCGCTCGCTGGTGTTGCTCACTAGAAAAAACAATTGGTAGCATAGCAGTAGAAAAAAACTAATTTGGTTTTGTGTCGCGATGCCAGGGGTGAAATTTTTCAGTAAGCTCATCGCAAATCGAAATCATCTTTATACTACTACTACTACTACTTCCACCATTGCCGTTGTCATTGCTTGTATCTCCACTTCCACCACTTCTATTCTCCATTCCAGATGCCCTTTATTTCTCAATCGTCAAAAAGTCAAGCTGAGCTGACGATAAGTAAAATGTTCTCCGATCTACTACCATCATCAACAAAAACAAATGCAAAACCAAAAGCAAAAGCAAATTCCTCTTCCTCTTCATTATCAGCTACTCAAATTCTCTCTCAGCAACTACAAAGCCAGCCAAATTTTACCCCCAAAGCAATCAAAAAAAACAGAAGCACGTTGAAAAAACAGCAAAAGAAGAAACAGAAACAAGATCAAAGGTTTCAAAAATTCATAAAGTATAACATGATCAAATCAAAGCTGATCAATAATCCAGATAAGTTGACTGTCGAAGAAGGCAATTATTTGAAAAAACTAACTAAAAGAAATATAAACGAGCTACAGAAATTGAACACTATTGACGATTTCGAAATCAACGAAGAAATGAATCTGGTGAAGCAAGATTTATTGAAAGATTTAGCACCAGCAAAGAACAAACAAAGATTAAGAAAGAAACTCTTAATTGCAAATAATAGCAAGGGGAAAAATAGCGATGATTTTGGCGATTTTATTGATTTTGACGCCAAGGTCAAAAAGGGATGGATTTCTGTACCTGGCTTAACTCCAGGGTTGGCGCCTATTGACTACGATGAAGAGGATGACCTGACCTAAAGGGCTGACTGCTCTTGTTAACCTTTTGATTTGAAACCTTTCTTGGGGTTTTGCACTAAAAACGCACTTTTATTTACCAGAGTTGCCTTGGCCTTTGGCTTTGGCTCCTTTGGTAAATAAAAGTGCTGCTCCACTAGCTCGCTTCACTCCCAAGTGTCTATATTCTATTTATATCATTTCATACAAAGTCTGTCTCAAATCAACAGCTAATTTCCTAATTGATCGTTTTTCATCATCCAAACAAATTTGCAAACTTTTCAATACTTGTTTTTGAAATCGTTGGCATTCAAATTTTTGAAACATCAAATTCAAATCAATCAAGCTCAATTTTCGAATGGATTCATCATTGATCAAAATACCCCCACTTGCTTGGTATATTCTCGTTGTTGCCAATTTAACTAATATCGGAATTAATTCACTCAGTCTTGTTTGTAAAATATTTTTTGTTTCATCATTCTCTTGTTCAAGTAAGATTTGCAAAATGTGCAATGAGGATTTGTACATTATTGTGGAGGCGGGGGCTTTGAAAGAGAATTGCAACGCCCTCATTACGAACGGAATGAAACTGGACAAATGTGGTACTAATATGTTGGTGGGGATGTTTTCAATAATCATCGATAGCGCATAGAATTTCAAATCAAAATCCAGTTGATCTTCAATTTGGGCATTGTCTGGTAATAGGAATGGTAGAATAATCTCAAAAATATGCTGTTTGTATAGTAGCTTCACTTCAAGGTTGGCAACTTTTGAAATGATCTTTTTTGGTAATTGAGGATTTGTGAATATACTTATATCAACAAATAAGATTGGTAACGATTTCAGAATCAATTGCTTATCCTCAATCTTTGTATTTTCATTGGCAAATATATCAAGCAAATTCTTCAAACTATCGATTCCTAGTTTGTCAATCTTACAAAGTAACCCTCTCAAGGTCCAAATGTAGATTTCAAACTGACGCAAATCATCAAAGTTTATATCCATATTCAAGTCACTTTTGTCAACAACGTACTTGTTAACTAATAAGCAAACATGTTGCAAATAATGTATTCTCAAGTAATCATTCTGTATAGTTTTTACCAACTTTTCAACTTTTGCCAAACAAGCGCTTGTATTTGTATCCATCTTGCATGATTTATCTAGAGCCGACAAAACCTTGTTATATATGCTAATGTAAACAGATGCAGCTTCCAATAAGTTACCATTGTATTGGAAAAGCCCTGAAGTAGATTTCGAATCGGTAGCAAATATTTCAACGATTTCATTCAAAATCGCTTGATGCTTAGATACGTCAATGAATCTAATAATTATTCTTAGTAAATCACCCACCAGTTCAATCAACGTATAGTTCTCACTATCATCAGCAACAAGGTTCATAACGATGCTCATAAATTTGGGAATAAAGTTTTTATACCATGAGTTTGTTAAAAACTGTTGAAGTGTTTCAATCTTGCCAATTAGTGAAGTGAATGTCTCAACAATAAGTTGAAACTTTTTCTCACTGGTATACTTTTTGCTCATTAACCTAATAGACAATACCTCTAATATCTGATTATTGACGCAAAGGTCTTGAGTAATTTTTAGAATCAGAATCAGCTTATACTCTTGCACGTCTTCGTCTTCGTCTTCACCTTCGCCTTCACTTTCGCCTTCGCCTTCACCCTCCTCATTCAAAAGGTTCAACAAGGGGTTGATTATCCCATCAATAACCAAGGGGGTAATCAGCGGTTCATCTTGCGTAACTAGCGATAAATCTCTGATTAATTCCAGTAAAACCGCATCTTTCGAATTGCCTTCATCTATACTACTAAAAATCAAGCATCTAAAATTATTCAAAATCAATTCAATGTTAGAGACCGATAAAAACTGAGGCAAAGATATCAATTTAATGGATTGCTGGATAACTTTAATCCTCAAAGTCCTTTCCAAGTTAGACGAGGTTGTAAGCAACTGGCTCAAAAATACGAGAATGTAATCTTTGTATTTTGGTAAAATTGTCTTGTTCGGTACATATGCAGTTAATATGTAGCCCAAATTATCAACCAAGTCACGTTGGTGACTGATATCCAACGCCACGTCTTTTTCTCTATTATTATCATTATTATTATTGTTGTTGTCATTGTTGTTATCGTCATCATCATCATCATCAAGACCATAATCATTATCACCATCACCATCAAATTCCTCCATGTTGAAATATTTTCCCCAGATTCTATTTTGGAAAAGAAAATCAACTATATAGTTGAAGCTTTCAGCAGAGGCACCTGCCAATGTGGATAGTATAATCACAGACTGCTTAGCTTTATTACTTGTCAAGTTTGGAGCTAACTCATTCACTACCACTTTCAACATATCATCAAAATTCGGTATCTTTTGTAGCAATTTCTGTAGTATATCCAACGCCAGAAATACAACTTTCAGATCATCATTATCATCGATATCTTCATAGTCGAGTGGTATTATTGCTCTTGCTTTTGCATCAGGCTTAAACATGGCAACGTCATTGTGTAGAATTTCAAATTTCAAAGCATTCCATAACCCAAGCCACTGTTCATCCATCGTTTCATTATCGTACTTTTCAATGCACAATTTAATTGTTTCAAGTGTATCATTTCGGATTATGGGATTTGTAGATGCCAATTTCTCAACAAGATTAGGTATAGCCTCCAGTGCAAATTGCGATTGGGAAGCAATAGTTTGTCTCAATTTCCCCTTCAATTCACTAGCGGTAATCTTATATGGGTCATTTGCAGGAGGCGTGAATGAAATAGGAAAGTAACAGAAACAAACATCAAAAAGATCAGTAACAAAGTCTTGATGTAACTTGTTTACCTTGCTAAACTCGAAATTCTCATTTATATCCAAGTTCAACTTAAACGAAGCAACAAGGTTTCTAGGATCTTTTTCTCCAGATGCAATGTGTATGAATGCCTTGACAAACAAATTATTCACCTGTTCAGGGCCCGTCTTTAAATACGTGAGGCAATTCTCCATTAAGCCAGCCAAAATCTGAAACGCTTCGTATCGTACTTTGGCAAGGTTCTTTTTCGGGTCATATGCATTCAATAGCTTTGTCAATATCTTGTCTGTATTCAAGCTGGCAATATAGTTTTTATTTCTCACCAATGTACCCAACCCATTTAACGCATGGATCAAACTCAACTTATCGTCAAATTTGTTCATCAAAAAGTCAACCATGACTCCAATATCCTGCTTGGATAGATGGTTTGAGGGCAACTCTCTCAAAATGCTAGCTAGAAGTTGCATGCTTTTGCTTCTTATCAAATCATGATCCGAAGTTAAACTCAATCCTAATTTTTGAATAAGCTGTAGTAGCGATAATTCACCTATGGTGAACAAGCCAACAAGTTCTTGAATATACGTCTGACATGCTTCATCATCGTTCCCTAAAGCGGCAATATACTGACTTATCAATACAGGTACATCGTGACTTACCTTGGACATTGCTCGAGTATGGAAAAGAGAATGAGAATGAAATTGAAAATGAGTGGAAAAGATTGATTGATATTTACGCACAGTGATGAGATGAAAAAAGTCGACACTATCGACATTATTGACACTATCGACACTATCAACACTATCGACACTATCGAGTGGAGCGAGATAGTGTCCAAAGGAGCCAAAGCCTCTGGTACAACTCTGGTGCTTTGCCTTATCTACCAAAGGAGCCGAAGGCTCTAGTGCTTTACCTCTTTTACCAAAGGAGCCAAAGGCTCTGGTGTGACTCTGGTGCTTTACCTCTTTTACCAAAGGAGCCGAAGGCTCTAGTGCTTTACCTCATCTACCAAAGGAGCCAAAGGCTCTGGTGCTTTCCCTCATTTACCGAAGGAGCCAAAGGCGAATCTGGTGCGACTCTGGTGCTACCTCATCTACCAGAGGAGCCAAAGGCTCTGGTGTGACTCTGGTGCTTTCCCTCATTTACCAAAGGAGCCAAAGGCTCTGGTGCTTTACCCCAGATTATACAGAAGGGACCACTAGAGAAAACTAAAGGTGATGGTTCAGCTTCTTCAGCATCGGCACCAGCGTAAACATTCTCTTCAGCTTCAGCGTTCTTTACAGTACCAATGTCTTTTCCAGCACCAATGTCTTCAGCACCAGTATTCTCTATGGCACCAACATTCTCTACAGCACCAATGTCCTCAGCACCAACATTCTCTACAGCACCAATGTCCTCAGCATCAGCATTCTCTACAGCACCAATGTCCTCAGCACCAGCATTCTCTACAGCACCAGCATTCTCTATTGCACCAGCATTCTCTATAGCACCAGCATTCTCTACAGCACCAGTATCTTCAGCACCAGTATCTTCAGCACCAATGTCTTCAGCACCAGCATTCTCTAGAGCACCAGTGTCGCCTTTGGCTCCACTAGAGGCCTTCAGCACCAGTATTCTCTATAGCACCAGCATTCTCTACAGCACCAGCATTTTCTATAGCACCAGTGTCGCCTTTGGCATCACTGGAGGCCTTCAGCAGCAGCATTCTCTATAGCACCAGTATTCTCTATAGCACCAGCATTCTCTAGAGCACCAGTGTCTTCAGCACCAGTATTCTCTATAGCACCAGCATTCTCTACAGCACCAGTGTCTTCAGCACCAGTATTCTCTATAGCACCAGTGTCGCCTTTGGCTCCACTAGAGGCCTTCAGCACCAGTATTCTCTATAGCACCAGCATTCTCTACAGCACCAGTATCTTCAGCACCAGTATCTTCAGCACCAATGTCTTCAGCACCAGCATTCTCTATAGCACCAGTGTCGCCTTTGGCATCACTGGAGGCCTTCAGCAGCAGCATTCTCTATAGCACCAGTATTCTCTATAGCACCAGCATTCTCTATAGCACCAGTATCTTCAGCACCAATGTCTTCAGCACCAGTATTCTCTATAGCACCAGTGTCGCCTTTGGCTCCACTGACGGCCTTTGGCACCAGCATTCTCTATAGCACCAATGTCTTCAGCACCAGTATTCTCTATAGCACCAGTATTCTCTATAGCACCAGCATTCTCTATAGCACCAGTGTCGCCTTTGGCTCCACTGGTGGCCTTTGGCTCTACTGGTGGCCTTTTCCTTCAGGCTTTAAAAAAATGTGTAGAAAAAAACTCAATACAAAAGTAAAACCCACCATATACAAGGTTAAGAAACATCATTATAGTTAAACAAGAATCAAAACAGCACATGAAACTACTGTAGAAGCCGAGCTATAGTTTTTTCTTCTTCATCAACGATAATTACGGACCTTTCTTACCCCCCCCCCTGTCCCAATTATCCCACACCAAATGATTGAAATACCAGATTTGGAAAATATATACATTCGATCATTAACAAATGCAAATGAAAGAAGAAATGAAACAAGCGCCAACAAGCAGTTTATTAGGGATAACGAGTATTACCATCTGTTTAAGGATCACGAGGAGCTATATCATCAACGGCGAATATACACACCCTCCTCAACCAATTCTGAGTCGGTGATTATAAGTAAGAATAGAGTAGATGGAGAATTGCAATCGGATACATTAGATCAGGAACCATATATACAAGATGTGAGTATAGAAAGGATTGGGACTGAAACGAACCAGAGTTTTAGCTTGAAGCACCATTCTGGAGCAACGCTAGCCACAGATGCCTCCTTTGATGGTAATGGTGATGCAATTAACCCCCAACCTGTGGATTATCCTGACCCAGGAGAAGTAGAAGGAGGAGATGCTCCAGCACTTGAAACTGGTTTATCAATTATACCCAATGATTTAAAAGAGCACAAGACAACATTCAAGCTACAGGAACCGCCCTCAAATTCCGAGTTGAGAAACGGTTCTTTCAAAACAAACCTTGCAAGCTTTGAAGAGGATGACCAAGTAGGGAGCTTGGTTGAAACATCAAGATTTTCTCAAAATAATAATAATAATAAGCCTTTTTTGAGTAGTAGCACGTTTGCGTCTCCGCTGTCGATAATAGCTAATAGTAATAACAACAACATAGAACCTTCACCACAGTTACCACCACCCTTATCGTCATCTTCATTACAAAATGCCTTAGATGCAGAAAAAGAAAAAACAACCACCACCAACAGCAACAGCAACAGCAGCAACACCAACAACAACAATACCACCACCAACAATACCACCAACAACAACAGCAACACCACCACCACCACCACCAACACCACCACCACCAGTTTATCGCGAAAAAGCTTGGCAACAAGTTTCAAAAGCCCGGCAGAGTATGCTCTACATATTGTGTTTACTCAATTTGTAAGACACGCGGAAAGAAAATTGAACGTCTTCCTTGATCACTCCTTAAATGACGAATATTCGTTATTTAAGATTTTCGCAGAAGGCGCAGATCCCCAATTCGATAAAATCGTTGCATCCTTGGGATACATTGCACGCCGCAAACCAAAACCTGTTATTGATAGTGTTTTCATTTGGAGAAAGTCAAAGAGTGAAGTGGCGGCAATGGCTGCTCTTGAAGTTGAAAAAGTGTTTATGTATGCAAAGACGAGTGCAGCACTGGAAAGTAATAGACCTTCTATGACAGCAGGAGAACAGGGAAGTCAAGATTTGCCTGATGCAAGTCTTACGCTGCTACCACCACAACAGGCAAAGATCAAGCGCAGTCTAAGTTTGATGCGCAGTAAAAGCTTTTCAAAGTTGGCACACCGGCGAAACCAGTCTGCGTCGGCCACGGGCTCAATTGTTTCTCAAGAATCAATCGCTAATGACTCTTTGAAAAAGCAGCAAATGCTAGATGCTCAAATCGCTAATGCCAAACAAACAGCAATCAATGCAGAGAAAAAATCGTTGTTGTCCATTTACATACTATGTCGTGTGTTGATTGAAGTGGTGAAACAAACACCTACTGAAATTATGGGCGAGGATCTAGGCGATAAGTTGGAGGAAATTGTTTACACCCAATTGAAAACCACCGACCCGGCAAGTACAGGACAGTCCATAGTACGTGCTGCAAACTGGACTTTGTTTGCCCAACTACTAGGTATCATGTCAGAAAAGCGATTTCTTAACGTTAGTGATCGGTTTGTTTTCGATTTAGAAAAGCTTCCCCAACATATCAAATACGAAGATGAGCCCAGGTTATATTTGTTGATCTCAGGGATGAAATACCTCAAGTTGAATCATTATCCTCCTGAGTTGTTCGAGGATAGTAAGGAATTCGTTCAGATACTTGCCAAGTTTTTCGATAGAACAGTTAATGAAGCATTGATTTATGCTTATTGCGACTCTATCACAAATCTACTTTTACCATTGGCAAACATTTTAACAGCAGAAGCTAATGATCCTGGTTGGAATGTGGGAATTAGAAGCCTATTTTCTAGAGCAGTGCAAATGTGGAAACCATTAGCAAGTTCCGATAGTAGTTTGGCTTCTAGCAGGTTAACTCCCCTGCAAGCAAGCAATAGCAACAGCAACAGCAACAGTAGCAGCAGCAGCAGCAGCAGCAGCAGCAGCAGTGGCTGGTCGCATTTGCTAAACCTCATCACTGCTGCTTTGTCAGTGTCATGCAAAGAGATATTCACTTCAAGTTGGTACTCCATCGTCGAGGAAGGTGCAAATAAATTGAAACCAAAAGTCGATGTGCAAGAAAAAACAACTTATATTTTATGCACGTCTAGATTATTATGGGTTTACCTCAATAGAGTCTCAGACTCATTAAACTCAACGGTGAAGAGGTTGGATGAGTTTTTCAACCTCATTTTCTTTAATGTCAACTTAAGTGGAACAAATAAAAAAAGCCATTGGATACTGGCAGATGCACAGTTGATAAATGCATTGGCAGGCATGATACAAATAGTGGGCTACAATCATCTAAATTTTACCCTCGAGTGCGTTCTTGGAAAGCTTTTAAAGCATGGTTTTAATGGAACGTCTTTAGAAAGCTTACAAGCAGAAAAAGTAATCTTGGTTGTGCGTGCCTACGTGGGACTCCTACTTGATTTTGAAAAGGATGACAAACCCCCATTCCCTGCTATTGATATTTTCAACCATACACCTGTGTCTTTTACCGCTCAAACAAGTGAAAGCAACAAGCGAGGCGAATTTGCGTTTGTGGCCAAGAATAGTACAAATGTTGTTTTTCATGAAGAGTTGTGCCAAAGTTTTCTGGCTCTACTAAAACTACTTGATAATCAGCTAGGATGCGATTTTAATGGCGAGCTCAATTATTCTCAGTCAGTTACACCTGGCAAGTCGCAGTCCTCCTTCTCATTCCATTTTAACTTTGATTCGACTTCTCAAGTTTCGAAAGAGCTCAAATTGCAGCTTTTTGCAACTTTGATTAGTTCTATACCATATACTATGGTGCCTCCAGTTGGTGAAACACAAAGTGCTGGAGGCATTCCGTTCAAGCAAATTGTCCAGTTATTGACTAGAAATGCCGTGCATACTGATAAAAACGTCCGAACCGCTTCCATACAAACTTTAAAGATCTTGTGTCTGAAAAAGAATCCTACAACGTTGTTAAGTATCTACGCTAAATTTGCATTCCAGTTTTCTGAAAAAACGAGCTCTGCTTATGACTCTGCTTATTTCAATTCACAAAGTTTTATGGACTTGTTGAAATTGTACACGGAACTTCTACAAACCTGGTTTGAAGTATACCGCGAATTGGGAGAGAAACAGGTGCATCAGCAGCATTATCAGCATCATTATTATCAGTATCCTCAGCAGCTTTATCAGCATCAATTGCGAAGCACAATAGACCCACATGTTATCGATGATAATTTGATGATGAAGAACCGGGAACTTTTGAACGATTTGTACCAAATAAACCATAAAAATCAGGACTTGTCAAATCTACCTAGTATCAAAAGCAAGCCAAGTGATGAATTAGAATGGAAAACAACTATAAATCTGGTTGAAGACATTGAAGGAAAAGGGTTATTTTTTCTTTGCTCTCAAGATTCACAAGTGAGATCATACGGCTTAATGGTGTTAAAGATTGTTGACAAATTTGACCAGGCAATATATAATTTGAGCAATGATACTGAAACAGACAAGGTACACACAAAGAAGCACTCAAGAAGCTCATCCAAATTTGCTGCCGACTTTGGCACTCGTATTATTCACGTACTTGAAAGCATCGATCTTAATGAGATAATCAGACCATTCAAGAAAAAGTTGAGCTTACCAGAAAGGAATAGGCTAGTAAAATTGAAAAACGACAAGAAAATATTAGCAAAATTAGCTGAGTCTGATTATGGTATTGACACAACGATATGGTTTAGGTTGTATCCAACGATTCTCGAAATTCTTTTTGAGAGATGTCCAATGCCGGTTGCTATGTGCCGCAACATTGTATGCGTGTGCCTAGTTCAAATGCACGAGTTGGTCTTGGAATATTCGAATAGCTATAAGTCTAGCACTTCCTCAATTTTTGTTACCAAGTCAGCATCAATCGTGCCACCGGAGGTTCTTATTAATCAATGGAAGTTGTACTTGGTATTTGCTTGTATTACCTTGACTACAACTAATGAGCAAAAGATATCCTTTCCAACGCAACCAACACACGGACGAAAGAAATCGTTGCTGATGTATATCCAGCACCAAAAGATTACAAGTGCAAAATCGGTATTCCGAATGGTATTACCCTTATTAAAATCGCACCAGCTTATGCTTCGAGATGCAGTGATTGCCGGATTGAGTCATATTAACATCAACATTTTCAAAACGTTTTTGGAGAATATACCATTGGCCGTCAATGAGTGGACCATTGACTTGCGACGGAGAGAGTTTTCAGATGAGAGATTTCGAATAGAGGTTATTCATATTTTAATGAATGTGACTGAAAAGTATGGACCGGATGAAGCCATTTATGATAATGATTCAGTGATTAGTATTTTGGTTACCATTGTCAAGAATGTAAAAGCATTTTTAACAAGAGATGAAGTTCAAGTTGATATCGATTTTCAAAGGTTGCGAAGGTACTTTTGCGAATTTTTGATCAATGTGTTTTTGAGGTTACAAAGCAGAAATAAATTAGATCAGTGGCTTCCCTTTGAAGCTAGAGTCTCGTGCTTTAATTATTTAAAGGAGTGGTGTGGGTATGGGTCTTTAGGTCATGTTACAGAAGAGCGGTACGATTTCATTATGAGCAAGATTAACCAGCAGAAGGATACTGCATCGGCGATTGCTTTATTGGAGTTGGAAAGAAGACGATTGCAGATTGCAGCGTTGAGATGTATGGCCGTTTTGTGTTCCGGTCGAATTAAGCAAAATATCGAAATACCGGGAAAGTTGGCGATTGTTTCCTTTGATGTACCGAATTTGTTGGATTGGATTCACTCATTACTCGAATCTGAAGGTGATAAAGTGCAGGAAATTGGATCTTTGGCTTTGGAAAATTTACTCATGAATAACTTTGATAATGAGGAAATTTATTCGGCCGTTATAAAAGAGAGTTGCAGTTCTCAGAAATCGATGCCCAACTATTTTTGTACGTTTGTGGAAGCTTTTGTAGCAAGGAACAAACTGCTGTCAACATTTTCTGATGATCTAGTGATGTTGGCATGCTTGTTTAGTGCAAATGAAAATCCCAAAGTCCGGTTTTCAGGTATCAAATTATTGGAAACTTTTCAATCAAGAATCGGTGGATGGGAGAGTTTGGAGGACTACAAGGAAGCAATTTGCAGCTATAGCTTAGTGCTTCGAAAGAAAGCATTAGTTGAGGTAACGACTTTGATCCATAATAGCGAGCCAGCAAAAGTATTCAAGAGAGTTTTCCACTTGACAAATGTTTATAGTCTACTTTCCGATTCTGATAGAAGGTTATGTTCGTTGATGTTGCAGACATTGTTGAGTAAAGTCACATTGAGTTATGACAAAGTCACGGAGGAGAAAAAGAAGAATGGCGATGATGAAGTCAAGAAATTAGATTCTAGCTCAGTCATAGTTTTGAATAACCTATATGGAATATCACTAACGTTTGAGAATACGAATTCCACCGAATTGGAATCCATGTGGGTTTCACTTGCCAATAGGGGTGACAATTTCGATAAAATTGTTGACTTTATTTTAGAGAGCTGCCTTGAAAAACGAAACGGTCAGTTTGTTCAAAAGTCTCGCCAGATAATTGATTACTTGGCTTTTTCTCATGCCGATTCTTTTTACCTTGCTCGAAAGTTGATAATCAATTTGCAGCCCAAGCTGATGATCCCACCACCTACAACAAGAGCTTTTACTACATCCGAAGATGCTGCTAATTTCCCCTATGTTACTGATTTAGCAAAACTCCTCGATCCAAATGAAAAAGATGCAGCGTTTTCTTTGGGCCAGCTTTCAATGATATTTTTAGTTGACCTCATCACAGTGAAGAATGGCGCGATAGAGGACAAAATACCTTTGCTATTACACATCACACTTACCTTTCTCGATCATTATGTTCCAATTGTCCGAGATCAAGCTCGCAAATTGTTGGTGCATCTAATACATTCTTTGGTTTTACAAGAGCCAAAAGCAAAGGAGACTATTGAAGTTATAAAGAACAAAGATTACGCCAAATATTTATGGGTTTACCATGATTTAAACAATGACAAGAAGGGCGCTAGAACTCCAAATAACATGATCAAATTGGTGAGAAATATTCTTCAAATATTTACACCTTCTTTGCCCGATCTTCAAAACGATTGGAGTCGGATTGCATTAGCATGGGGAACCACATGTGCTGTGAGACATAGTGCTTGTAGATCGTTTCAAATATTTAGGGTATTGATCTCATTCTTGGATCTTGGTGTTTTAAAAGCAATGTTTCATAGATTGTCGAACACCATTTCAGACGAGTCTGCAGATATTCAAGGGTTTGCAATGCAAATATTGATGACATTAAATGCTATCGCTGCCGAGTTGGATTCGCAAAAATTAATTGATTTCCCTCAAATATTTTGGTCAAGCGTTGCATGTTTGAGTACAATTCATGAACAAGAATTTATCGAAGTGCTATCCACTATGAATAAATTTATTTCAAAGATTGACTTAAATGCAGAGGACACAATCACATGTTTGATCTCAACATTTCCACCTAAATGGGAGGGCAAGTTTGAGGGATTGCAGCAAATTGTTTCAGTTGGTTTAAGGTCGTCTACCTCCTGGGAGCCCACATTGAACTTTATGGATAAGTTGTTAAAGCTCAAGGACTCGCAAATCGTCGGTATGGGCGACGCACGAATAGTTACTGCATTGATTGCGAATTTACCAAGATTTTTGGATGCTTTGGATAAGTGTAAAATCAGTGCTGAAGTTGAGAGCGCAGCTATTGATATTAGTCACCTTGCAGAAAATGCCGGTAAACCCTCCTTGGCTAGAATTTTGATATCTTTGTCCAAGAACAAGTTTAGGTCCAAGAAAGATTTCTTAGTTCAAACAGTTTCCACGATACAGAGTTTATTTTTCCCTCAATTCGAAGTTGCCGTGTTGATTTCCTTATTGAAAATGCTTTCAAATGCAACCAAGTTTTTCAAAAAACAAGTGTTAGTTTTGTTGAAGGCAATTATCCCATTAATTGATTTTAAAAAGGAAGAGTATATTGGTCTTGGTGTAGATTTGATATCACCGTTGTTGAGGTTGTTACTTACTGATATGGCAGACCAGTCATTGGAAGTGTTGGACGAAGCAGAGGTAATATCCGGATCGCAGTTGGATGGAGACATTTTAAGAATGAGTTTGGGAAATACCTCTGTGAAGAAGGAGTACGAGCATACAGCCACGCTCTTTGGAATACCACTGGAAACAGGATGGTCCATTCCCATGCCTGCAGTAACAGCAGCCAGCACCAGAAACAATGTCCACGCTGTGTTCTCGACATGTATTACCACAACAGTTGTTGACAGTGAGCTAGAACCTGAACCCAATGAAGAGATTCATTTCCACCTGGAGGATTATCATAGCCCCGCCGGTCCACCCGATAATGGGGACTCTATCTCCATGAGTGTTGAAGAGCCAGAAGTTTCTTTGAGCAATATGTGGGCTGCACTTGATGACTTTGATAGTTTTTTTAACACCGAAGAGTTGGCGAATGCAGCCAAGCAAAGGACCAAACTAAATTCACCAGTAATGGACACCAGACTTCCCAAATCAACATACCAACTGGTTCCAATTGAAAGTGTACCAGCTGTGTACGATAAAAAGGTTTCTGCGATATTGAACAAAAGTTTAACGTCAAATTCAGCATTTAAATCAAACCTATTGGACTATATTGGAGAGAAGGAGCAAACTACACCAGCACCAAGTAGACGATCATATATTCCGTTTCGAAGTAAAAGTGTTGTACGGAATAAGGAGAATGTAACACCAACAATTCTGTTTTCCCCTGGGTTTGAACAGCCGCAACAGCAACAGCAACAACAACAGCAACAACAACAACAGCAACAACAACAACAACAACAGCCGCAACAACAACAACAACAGCCGCAACAACAACAACAACAACAACAGCCGCAACAACAGCAACTACAACAACAACAACGTACTCCGCAACAAACACCCAACTCACTTTCCTCCTCGTTTAGAACACCTGTGGCTACAAGTAAGAGTTCATTTTCCAATAATAGCCAAGGATTTGGTACAAATGAATCACCAGCAATGAATGAGAACGGATCTAGATTGGAGGGTTTATTAGGAAGCAAGAAGAGGTCAAAGAAAGGTATTGGCAAAAACTCCCCCAATTCTTCAAATATTAGTGTCTCGCAGGACGGGCAAAATAGGAAACAACTGAACAGCAATATCAATGGCAGCAACAGCAATGACATCTACAACTATAGTAACAGTAACAATAACAGCAATTTCATTGTCCAGCTGTCAAGTCTTGACGATGAAACAAATCCTACAAAACAGATACTTGAGCCTTTGAAAAGGAAGAGAAATACCAAGTTGGAATTCCTTTAGAAGCTGAATCTAAATAGCAGAAAGACAAAAAAGTAAAAAAACAAATAAATAAGAGAGAATAAATGAGAGTATGCCAAACACGTAATATATACCTTGATATATTCCTTATCTTTATCTTTATCCCATCTCTTCGTAGCAGTGTTGGTAGAGAGAAGTGAAAAAAAAAAAAAAAAAAAAAAAAAAAAGTTAAGATGGACTTATAAAGAGATGAGCTGAAGATTAACTCAGACTTGTTTACTATAAGAACTTGTATTTACGTCCTTTTCAGCGATGCCTCCAAAGAAAGGGCCTTCTGACAAGAATAAAGCCAAGGCTAAGGCCAAGGCGGCCGAGGATAAGACCTTTGGTATGAAGAACAAGAACAAGTCAAAGAGAGTACAGCAACAAATAAATCAAATGCAAGCAGGTGTGGATGGGGGTCTAGCTAAAAAGAAGGAAGCTGAGGCCAAGCGGAAAGCCGAGGAGAAGAAAGCTGCAGAAGAAGCTAAAAGAGAAGCAGCCAAACTATTTGGAATTCAACAGCAAAAAGTGCCATTTGGAGTTGATCCCAAATCTGTGCTCTGTGAATTTTTCAAGCAAGGATTATGTACCAAAGGTAGCAAGTGTAAATTCAGTCACGATCCCAATGTGGGAAGGAAAGATGCCAAAAAGGACTTGTATACTGATGCAAGACAAGAGAAGGAGGAGGATACGATGGATAATTGGGATGAAGACAAATTACGTAGAGTCATTTTATCCAAGCATGGTAACCCAAAGACTACTACTGATATTGTTTGCAAACATTTTATTGAAGCTGTGGAGAATGGTAAATACGGATGGTTTTGGGTTTGTCCCAATGGCGGTAACGAATGTAAATATAGACATTCTTTGCCACCTGGATTCGTTTTGAAGACCAAAGAACAGAAGAAATTGGAGAAACTAGCGGCTGAAAATGAACCAAAAATATCATTGGAAGAGTTTTTGGAGTTGGAAAGAAGTAAATTGGATAAGAAATCTTTTACACCTATCACTATGGAAACTTTCAAGAAATGGAAGATTGAGCAGAGATCGAAGAAGGAAAATCAAAAGAAAGAAGAAGAAAAGAAAAGTGGCAAAAGGCCACTTACAGGAAGACAAGTTATTTTGGAGAAGTTTTCTGACAAATATTATACAGAAGAAGACGATGGAAATGGAGAGTCTTGGGACTTGTCTCAATTCAAATCAAGTTTACCTGAAGATGATTCTGACATCAAGGATTATGGTGATGGAACAAACGCGCAAGAATTCTATCAAGCAGAAGTGGACAAGGCTGCAACACCAACAGCAGCCACAACAACAACAACAAATAACGAACATGCGGCTACCGAGAATGATGATTCTGGCATACTGAATAATAATACAGAGAAGAAGGAAATCGAGAAGGAAGAGGAACAAAAGGACAACTATAATGAAACCAGCAATGGTTTTCTAGCGCCTATAAGTGCATGAAAACCTCTATAAATAATTAGGGCCATTATATATATATTTATATAAACTGATGATAACGGTGGTGATAACGATGGGTTTGGTTACTTTACCCTTAGTATCTCGTCCACATGTGAGCAACTATTTTTAAAAAATTCTTCATCGTGATCCATGAAAATATTGATCGTAGTATCAGTGTCTCTTAAAGCGTGGATAGCCATGATTATTCTCCTGATCCAATTTGCACCCTTTTTATCTGTTTCTTCCAAATCCAAAAACCCGGGAGAGCTGCAAATATCATCCAACTCATCATATAAATCCTGGTCTCCCTGCTTGATTTTTGGGGATCTCAGCCGCCTTGGTGGTAGTGGCGGTAGATTTTCACCAACCATCCAATGCCCATCAGAAGCAATATTGGATGAAGGCGGCTTAGAAGTATCTGCGGTTGAGTCATTTGCGGCGACAACTTTACCATGAAGCAGTATACCACTTGAGAGTGGTTGCAGTTGGACAGTTTTGTCAAGGGGTTCACCTTTGAGACTCGCGGGCTTTTTCGGCACCATAGGTGAAACTTTTCTTGGGGGCAATACTGGAGTTTCCAAGTCTATCAAGTCCTCAACATGTGACTGTGCTGCTCTCGAGGGCTTAGGAGGAAAATTTGATTGTGCAAATTTTTTCTTCGTGCCTTCTCTAATTGTAGTAGTATTAGTAGTATTAGCTGTATTAGCAGTAGTTGTAGTATTAGTAGTATTAGTAGTAGTTGCAGTAGTTGCAGTAGTTGCAGTTGTTGATGATGAGGATGAGGAAGAAGAAGACATAAACTTTTGCTTTCTCTTTCTTGCAATAAGTCTTAGGACTTCTTTGTAAATGCGCTGATCGTCATCGTCGGAGAATGTATTTTCAACATATCTAATGTTTATGGATATCACTTGGTTTCGATATGCACGAGCCAAATCAACATATGCTTCTAAATCCTGCTCACCGGAATCACCAATACAAATGAACTTCTTCTCGGGGAAATCATCCAAGATCTTACTCAAGGTCCTTTTTTTCCTTGATTGGGAAGGCTCCAATAGGGAGGATATAATGTTTCCTACCCATTTTTTCAAATGAATAGTTCCAGCGGGTAATCCAGAAATTCTGAGGTACAGTTGAATAGAGTTGAATAGCTGCCATGGAGAATTGGAAACATAAAAGAAATCAACTTGTTCCTTTTTGTAAAGTTCGGCATACCATTTGATTATTGGAGGTATACTCCAAGATTCGAAATCTTCTACTAATAAATTTCGAAGCATTAATCTCTTGTCGCCGGTAATTCCAGTCATCTTTACTGTGTCATCAATATCGCTAATAATCCCTATCCCTGTGTTTGGGTACAACAAGATACTTTGAAAAGCAAATACAGTTTCGGTTATTGTTGAAGTAGCCAGGATAATCGAAGGCTTGTAGTCTACAGCAATGGTGGCAGCAAAATACCCTGTATCATCCGTGTACACCGTTGCATCATTCAACTTCTGAGATGCGTTTTCCGAGCCAATCAAAATCTTCAATTCGGTATTGGGGATCGATTTGGCAAAAAACGCCGCTATTCTCTGTTTCATTGTATCATCTGATGTTGCTGATATTTCCAACAGATTTGTGCTTGGCTCAGACCCCGACGAGGTAATGGACTCGGTATCTGATGACGAAGATGAAGACTGTGAGTTTGGGTTAAAGATTTCCTGGTTTAGATTTGCATCGTGTTCCAATTTCTCTATTTCTTGATTTGCAGTTTGACCATCCCTTTGCCTCATTGTTTTCCGTATCACCGTTAAAAGCATTCGATTCCTTCGATTAGTCAACAGACCTGGCGCAGAAACCCAACCGGCTACATCCACATGGTACTTGTTATGCCGATACCTCGTATATGTAGGATATAATTGTATCGTTGCATCTTCAGGTAGTAGCACTCTTCCATTCTTATCGTATATTTCACCAGGATTGGTAAACGCCTTTGAAGCTCCTGCTGCTACTGAAGAGACAGAGGTGGTAATCTTGGGAATGTAATTATCCCTCGTGGTCTTGGCTAGACCTATCAATCTCTGTCTTCGAGACATTGGAGGTGCTGTCATGAATAAAAGTAACTCCTTTCTCTCTCTCTTTCTCAATAAATCAAACTGGGTGTAATGAAATAAACAAGTTTATTTATTTTGTGGTGTTACTGATTTTGAAATATTGCAAGAGAAGGGAATGACAGAAGGGGGGAACGTTCTTTACGCATACGGATGCAGGCGCATGGGGGGAGAGAAAGAGAGAGAGAAAGAAAGAAAGAGAGAAAGAAAGGGTGTGTGTGTGTGTGTGTGTGTGTGAAATCCGAAAGGTGTTGTTTGGCGAACGGGGAACTGGTTAATTGAACGAACAAACGAATGAGGCTGATCAACAAGGTCTCCTTCAAATGAGGCTGATCAACAACCGGGTCTCCTTCAAAGGTTTTGCTTTACAATGCTATTTTGCTTGTAGAAAAGCAACACTAGCGAGCGAAGCACTACTTACTAGATGAGCAAGGACTCTCTAGCCAGCCCTGTGACACTTTGGACACTATCGAGGGAAGCGAGATAGTGGACCAGCTCTGAATACACACTCGACTATCGAGCGACACTATTTCGCTTTGCTCGATAGTGGACCAGCTCTGAATACACACTCGACTATCGAGCGACACTATTTCGCTTTGCTCGATAGTGGAGCAACTCTGACTACACTGGCTATTTACAAGGAATCTCTCTACACACACTCTTTTCTCTATCTACAATCTCTTCTCCCTATCTACAACCTCTTTTTTCTCTATCTACAATATTTTTCTCTCTATCTAGTATTTACAAGGACTCTTTCAATCAGTATTTACAAGGACTCTCTCTATCTAGTTTCACTCCCCTAGTCTCTCTTTCTATCTCGCTCCACTCGATAGTAGACTCATCTAGTAAGTACTGCTCTACTCGATAGTAGACTCATCTAACAAGTACCGCTCCACTACCTCGCTTCGCTCGCTAGTGTCGCGCTCGCTAGTGTCGATCGAGTTACTTGTTATAAACGCAAAAGAGCTTTCTTTCAACCACCTCGGCTATACCAACTATCGCACTTACACTGAGACCACTGTCGCCACCGCCATCACTCCCATGCCATAGCCATCGCCATCACTCCTATACCATACCATCATTACCGCTAAAGAAACTAATCTCTAAAGCATCTTTGTAGCTTGTATTCAACCCATCTCCTTCTACTAAAGTGAATTAGAAATCTCTTTTCCCTTGTCACGTGATAAAATATCACCAACACTATCGAGTAGCGACACTAGGGAGCGAAGCGAGCTAGTGGAGCACATTGAATGTGGCCACTAGTCAGTGTGGTTTGATTCCATCCTTTCCTCTGTATCACGTGATTTAGATAACTGCCAAGTGCTAACTGGCAAGTGCTATATATAACTGGCAAGTGCTATATAAAACTGCCAAGTGCGATATGTATATAAATATATAAAGATATACTTATATATATGCTATATGTGCTAAGTATATATATGTGCTATTTATATATATGTAAGTGGTAGGTGCTATATATGTGCTATATGAATATATGCCCGATAGTGTCGATAGTATCGGTGACAGATAGTGTTAAGAGCTAGTGCTAAGAGCTAGTGCTAAGAGTTAGTGTTAAAAGCTAGTGTTAAAAGCTAGTACTGCTCCACTATCTCGCTTGGCTCGATAGTGTTGAAAGCTAGTACTAAGAGCTAGTGTTGAAAGCTAGTGTTAAAAGCTAGTACTGCTCCGCTATCTCGCTTGGCTCGATAGTGTTGAAAGCTAGTACTGCTCCGCTATCTCGCTTCGCTCGATAGTGTTGAAAGCTAGTGCTGCTCCACTATCTCGCTTCGCTCGATAGTGTTGAGAGTGTCGCTATCGATCACGTGACTTTCCCAGTTGGTTTCTCGATGAAAAACCTCAGCCAGACTCAATTCACCAAAAGCCCCCCTCCGTATCAAAAAATCAACTACAAATTGATTATATGTCTCTTGAAGAACTATCGATTGGCAATGAGCTCAAGGACTCATTCAAGGTAACCGACACATGGATTAAGAACGGTATCAATTTTTTGGGAGATATCGATGAGTTTTATAGAGAGCGAAGTGCACTTGAAAAAGAATACTCTACCAAATTAAAAGACTTGACAAAAAGATACTTTGACAGGAAAGCCAAAATATCGTCTAATTTGTCTGTTGGAGACGAGCCGCAAGTAACTCCGGGATCATTAGAGAGCGCTTCTTTAGTCTTGTGGAATGACGTCTTGACTCAAACTGAAGCAATTGCAGAAGAGAAATACAAGTTTAGTCTCGAATTGCAACTGAAAATTAGTGGTAATTTGGTCAACCTAAGAAGTAAATGTGATAGGATTCAACATCAGATTGCCCTGATTAACGAATTTTTGGTTGATGAGAAAAAAAGAGTTGAGGATGATGTATCAAAGAGTAAAAAACACTACGACGCTTTATGTCAGGCTACGGAAACAGCCAGAGACAAGAACCAAAAGTCACCAAGCGATAAACATCAGCGAAAATTGGAGGAGAAACAAGTGGAAATGAATAACGGGAAAAATTCGTATTTGATAAAGATAAATGTTGCAAATCGATTAAAAGATAAGTACTACTACCAAGATGTGCCCGAGGTTTTAGATTACTTGCAAGAGTTGAACGAGGATCGAGTTGCGTTGTTAAATAAACTCTTGACAAACGCAGGCATAATTGAAAGAAACTCATTGGATAGAGTTAAAGAAAAGCTACACGTGATTGACAAGACAATAGACCAGAATAATCCCAAATTAGATGTGGCTATGTTTATCAAGCACAATGCTCTAAATTGGGCTGAACCACAAGATTTTTACTTTATACCATGTTCATTCTGGCATGACGATGAAAGCTTGGTGATAAAGGAGCCAGAGCTCACCGAATTGAGAAGACGTTTACAAATTGCTTCTAATGAATATAGCAAATTGGAACAATCTTGCCTAGATATAAAGCAAACGCTAGAAGAAAGCACAACCCAAAGAAAACAAGATGACAAGGATAAAATAACTTTAAAATTTGACAGCCATTTACAAAACTCGTTGAGAATCCTAAGTCAGTTTATGAAGGAAGACACTAATAGAGTTAAAAATGAAGTTGAGATTGAAATAATTCAAAATTTCGCAGGTGATCAAGATTTGAGGTATGTTGCGCCAGCAGTTCAAAAGAAATCAAGGTTTGGCTTTTTGAAAGGAGGGAAAAAGTCAAGTCATACTAATGGAAGTGGAGGAAATACAGGGGACGTTGTTGATAATTCGGATGTGCATTCTTTAAGAACTTCCCACACGTCAACTTCCCTCAACAGCAACCTCTTTAATCTTCGAAAATTAAAAAGCAATGCGACTACCGGGTCAAAATCGGGAACTAGTACGGGAACGGTAGCTAGGGCACTATATGAATACGTACCCACAAGTGCAGACGAAACAAAGCTCACTATTGGCGACGAGATTAATGTAGTGGAAGAGGATGACGGATCGGGCTGGACGTTGGTCAATGGCGCACAAGGTCAAGGGTTAGTGCCTACATCATATATTGAAATCATTAGTCGACAACAACCTATCACCACTACCACGCCCACAAAAAAGTCGGCGCCGCCAACAGTTGCACCAAAAAGAGGAGCCAAGCGTATTCAATATGTAGAGGCATTATATGACTACGTTGCTGATGGAGATGACGAATTAACAATACATGCCGGTGATAGAATAATTTTGATTCAGGACGACTCAGAGGGGAACGGTTGGACTGAAGGTGAGTTGAATGGTGAAAAGGGAATGTTCCCAACAAGTTATGTTAAAAAAATATAAGCAGACATTTAGAGAAATAGGTCAATGAAAGTAGTATGATAATGGTAAAGCTTCCACACTCAGCGAGAATAATCTCCCCAAGTAGTAAAAAAAAGGAAAAAAAATAAACAAAGCAAAAAAAGACAAGTCAATTGCAAAGTCCACTCCAAACACTTCCACCACACTTTGTAGCTTGTTACAACACTGTCTCGCTTTGCTCGATAGTGTCGCCTCAGATATTTCAATATTTTACACTTTTTTATTATATTAACGGAATATAACTACCGGTACATTATGAAATAAAAAAAAGAAAATAGAAAACAAAGTTGAACGAAACACCATACAAAGCAAATAACAGCATGCCTGTTTCCGCCAATTTTCCTTTTTCCTTTTTCCTTTTTCTTTTTCTTTCTCTTCCTATTTTTGCTTTCTTCTCTTCTTCACCTCTTGCAGCATCCACAAAACTTATTTAATGGATTTCACCAGGGATCTCAAAAACAACCTGTTTACCAGTCAACTTTGAGTATAATTGTTGGAATGAATCTAATTTGTAGTCAATAGCGGTAGAGTCCTTTGAGTCTAATAAAACTTTTTGAATCTTGTTACCACCAACCAAGTGTCTAACTCTCTTACCCACTATTTCTGTAGGGAAAACCAAATCTTCCAAAATTTTATCGTGAACGGCAGTCAAGGTTCTTGATCTTGGTCTCTTTTGTTGTTTTCTTGCCTTTCTTGATGGTTTTGGCAAGATTCTTCTTTCTGCTAAAAAGACAACATGTCTATCTGGGAACTTCTTTTCCAACTCTCTGGTTAATCTGGTTTGTACTTTTCTGTAAGCTGATAATGATGGTGGTGGCACAAATACAGCTAAAGCTTTCTTACCTCCACTGACATCAATTTCTTTTATCGATTTAAACTGTAATGGACGCAATTCAGCTTTCAAGTCTGATTGGCTTTCCAAGTCAACAAAAGCTTGAGCAACCTTCAACTCAAGTTCTGAAGGGTTTTCATTTATGATCTTTGATACCATTGTTTGTGCTTACTTTGCAAAATGAGAACAAGATCCAAGGAGGGTAGGGTGGTTTATCTCTAGATGTGGAAATTTATCTTGTATAGTTTGTCACTATAATTTTTCAATTTTTTTTTTCTTCCTTCTCCTTACTTACAGATGTCACGTGCCATAACTGAAAATTTCATCGTAACTTTTTAGAGTAGCATTGGAAAAAAAAGAGAGTTAGGTTTAAGCCCGCGATAGCACATAGGACACGTGATCCAACAACACACTATTGAGGGAAGCGAGATAGTGTTTGAAAGTTTAGACTTTTGAAAAGTATACATTGTAAAAGTGGAGCAGTACTGACTTACACAAGTTTTTCAAACCCCGCTTTCTCTTTTGGCTCTATGATTATGGAGGTGTCGACACTATCGAGCAGAGTGAGATAGTGGAGCATATCGGCTGCCACCGACACTAGCTGCCACTAGAGAGAGGGCGAGAAAGAGAGAGAGAGAGAGAGAGAGCGAAAGAGCTTAAGCTTACTTGATTCTGTACGTTTTGTAAGAGATGTTTTTAGTGTGAGTCCAAATCAAGCAAGGTTATCTAGCGTGGGGTTTTTCCATATACTTTATATAGTACTTTAGTGCGCTTTGATTACTCCCTCGTCTTTTTCCAAGTAGATCCAGTCTATCTTTTCTTTGCAACCAATTTGACCAAACTCCTAAGAAATAGACTCTGCAACCTTCAAATATATATTTGCAACCCCTCAAATAGATTTCGCAACCTTTGGATTTCGCAACCTTTAGATTTTGCAACCTTTAGATTTTGCAACCTTTGGATTTTGCAACCTTTGGATGCTCCAATTGGAATTTGCAATATTTTTTTTTCCCCCCTTTTCAGTTTTGATCAATTAGGTAATCTTACATAATAGTAGCAAATGCGGCCCAATGACCTATTAATTGTCATTGGAATAATTGCAATAATTGGGAGTATATCACGAAAGAGTGAAAAGTCTGCTCGATAGTGTCGTATTCAACACAATTCGCGGTATCAACAGAAATCTCCGTTTCGGCTCATCTCTTCGATCCATGTCGCAAGTTGAAGTAGCTAAGAAATTAGCAGCATATAGGGCTGTTGATGAAAATTTACCCCCTCATGCTAAAGTTATTGGTATAGGATCAGGCTCTACAGTGATTTATGCAGCAGAGAGAATAGGGCAATTACCAAACAAAAATGAGTTTGTGTGTATATCTACTGGATTTCAATCGAAGCAGTTGATTGTTGATAACGGGCTACGTTTGGGACAAATTGAACAATATCCCGAGATAGACATTGCATTTGATGGGGCTGACGAAGTTGATCCTAATTTGAATTTGATCAAAGGTGGAGGTGCTTGCTTATTTCAGGAGAAGTTAGTTGCTTCTGCGGCGAAGAAATTGGTTATTGTTGCTGATTTTCGGAAACAGCTGAAACATCTTGGTGAGCATTGGCGCCAAGGTGTACCTATTGAAGTTGTACCAATTGCGTTTTCCAAAGTGACTAGAGAGTTAACTAAATTAGGAGCCAAAAAAGTTGATCTTAGACAAGGTGGCAAGGCCAAAGCAGGTCCAGTTATTACAGATAATTATAACTTCATATTGGATGTTGATTTTGGTATAATTGAGGATCCGCAAAGTTTGCATTTGAAATTGAAACAATTGGTTGGTGTTGTTGACACTGGATTATTTACAGGAATTGCGCAAAAAGTATACTTTGGAGAAGAAAATGGAGAAGTTACTGTCTGGGGATAACGACAAAGGGCTCAAGCGGACGAAACAATAGGGTTTCTTTTTTATATTAAAACTATACAAAAAGAAAAGACTTGTGACTTGTGACTTGTAATTTGTGTGTAGGTGATTTTATCATAATTATCGTTCTTTTTTTTGTTCTTCATTCATTATTTAGAATGTGAAGATATCCAATTTAATGTTTCCACTAATCCTGTACCATCAACAGCCACTGTAGGTATAACTGACCATATATGGTTTGCGCTCAATTTATTCAATTCGAATTTCTCAATTAAATCTTTGGGCTTTACAGCACCATGAACATCCTGCTTATTAGCCAATACAACTAATAAGCAATTTTTCAATTCCTTATCTGAAATGATTCGGCATAGCTCTTCCTTACTTTCTTCCAACCTTGGCTCATCACTTGAATCCACCACATATATCAAAGCGTTTGTTCCTGTAAAATAGTGTCTCCATAAGGGACGGATTCTTTCCTGACCACCGCAATCCCATACCGCAAACGACACATTTTTATGTTTCACTGTTTCGACATTGAACCCAACTGTTGGTACGGTTTTCGAGGTTTTGCCTAGTTTCAATTTATACAAAATAGTGGTCTTTCCTGCGTTATCTAAACCAAGCATAAGGATTCTCATATCTCGATTCCTGAATAATTTCGACTAGAAAAAAAAAAAAGACATGTAGCTGTTAGTAACCTGTCAAACATTTTGTACAACACACCATGCGAGAGGACATACCACTAAAATGCCCATTTTATTTGATATATGTATGTATATATTATTAGGTGACGAGATGGATGAAAAATATCACAAAGAGGAGCTTTTGAAGAAGGAGGAGGCGAGGGGGAGAGAGAAAGCTTATAGCCCTTTAGCTTAAAGTGAGTGAATAGGAAGTTGGTTCAAAATTATTTGATAATGGAGAAGTACTACCAAGAAGAATAGCTATTGGAAAAGTAAACTTTTCCTAGTATTGGATTTTTATATTTTTGATGTATGTAGTTTCGCGTATTAGTGAATGGTATAAAATTTATAACGTGTCCCTCGTCCGCATTTGTCGACGGAAAAAAAGAATAGAGTACTACATGGATTAGACGAAAAAATAAGGCTACATTTGAGATGACCAGGAGGGAAGGAGGGGAGGAGGGGGGGAAGGAGGGGGGAAGAAGCGACACGACTTAAAAGTCTGTCATTGGTAAGTGTTTCCCTGAAAAACCACGCAATTAATATATTGAAACATCTCTATGTAGCAAAAATATAAATATCACGACACTAGGGAGCGAAGCGAGCTAGTCGAGCAGTATATAGACACTATCGAGTAGTATATAGACACTATCGAGTAGTATATACACACTATCGAGCAGAGCGAGATAATGGAGCACACTGACTAACTTCCATGGGAAGCGTCAAATATAGTAAAGCCTGAGATATGGAATGCATATATATAATAAAGCCTGAGATATGGAATGCTTAAATACAGTAAAGTCTTGGATATAGTAAAACCTGAGATATAGCAAAACCTTAAATATAGGAAAGTCTTGATTATATAGCAGAGCATTAAACGTCTTACTAAAAGAGATGTATTGTGAGTTTGACTCATCTTGAGAAACAATCTACTTGTTATTATTGTATGTTTAGTGGTTTATTGTTGAGGAGCTGCTTTAAGGAAGACCTGTACTAGAGAGCGCAGACTTGTACTAGAGAGCGCAGACCTGTACTAGAGAGCGCAGACTTGTACTAGAGAGCGCAGACTTGTACTAGAGAGCGTAGACCTGTACTAGAGAGCGCAGACTTGTACTAGAGCTGCTTTTAGGATGACTACCACTATAGAGCCTTTTTTAGCGATGAATAACGGGTGATTGGTTGGAGTTAAATTAAACCCAGTGTAGTCAGTGCGGCTCCATAATCGAGCAGCGACACTACCGAGCAGAGCGAGATAGTGGAGCATTGAATGTAGCACTAGTCAGTGTGGGTAGCATTGAATGTAGCACTATTCAGTGTGAGTAGCATTGAATGTAGCACTATTCAGTGTGAGTAGCATTGAATGTAGCACTAGTCAGTGTGGGTAGCATTGAATGTAGCACTATTCAGTGTGAGTAGCATTGAATGTAGCACTAGTCAGTGTGGGTGTAGTCAGTGCTACTCCACTATCTCGCTCTACTCGATAGTGTCGCTGGTTCGCGCCCCCCACAATTTAGAAAGGTTCTATTACATAATACTGGCGCATCATATTACGTAATATAAATCAGAAAGTGTAAACCGATATTACATAATACGTATGCTCCGTATTATGTAATTAATCAATTTTTCTTCTTCTCACAAAGAAATACTTTTACCTCCTCGGATGAAAACAAACCAACCGACAAAGAGAGTACAATTGCCATCAAATATTTCATAGTCTTTACTAAAAAAAAAGGAGAATGCCTCAATAAGGAGGGCCCGGCCAGGGCAGCTCGCTGGATAGTAGAACCGCTTTTATAAAATAATCCTTTCTCCCCCACTCGGGCTTAATTGTATCCAATCACCCTTATTCCTTAAGCTTCCTCATTTCTTTTCCTATTTGATTTGCTTCCCCATATTTTCCAGGCGCTACCATGCGCACATTACAAATTTCATAAGAAAATCTGACCCTCACTAAAAAAAAAAGCTTCTTAAATAAGAAAGCAGTATATATAAAGTCAAGATTCTTCCCCCCCCCAGTGAAAAGTTCTTTTTATCTGCATCTTCTCTATATTATTTATTTATTCTTTCCCTCTGTTTGACATATTAGAGATCTGTTTATTTGTAAAAGTATGTCAGTTAAAGACCAATATAGACAGAAAAGTCCAGATGACGTGGTTATCGTAGCAGCCTATAGAACAGCTTTAACCAAAGGTGGTAAAGGTGGTTTTAAAGATGTTCGTTCAGATTTCATCTTGAAGCAGTTAACTTCCGAGTTTATCAAAAAGACTAATTTGGACCCAAAATTGGTCCAGGATGTTGCTATTGGTAACGTCTTGCATGCTAGAGGCGGTGACTTTGAACATCGTGCTGCTTTGATGGCTGCTGGGGTACCCTATACTGCCTCGTTTATCGCAATCAATAGATTATGTTCATCGGGTTTAATGGCAATTTCTCAAATCGCCAATAAAATAAAATTGGGTGAAATCGAATGTGGTTTGGCCGGAGGTGTTGAGTCTATGACTAAAGACTATGGTCCTCAAGCTTTGATCTCTATTGATCCTGCATATGCTGAAGATGCCGAATTCAAAAAGACACAAATTCCAATGGGTATCACTAATGAAAATGTATGTGAGAAATTCAACATCCCAAGAGAAGCCCAGGATAAATTTGCTGCTGCATCTTATAATAAGGCTGAAAAAGCTCAAAAAGAAGGAAGATTCAAGGATGAAATTTTACCTATTGAAGTGGTTCAAGAAGACGACGACGACGATGATGAAGACGAAAATGAAGACGACGACGAGCCAAAGGAGAAGAAGGTATGGATCGATCAAGATGAAGGTATTAGACCTGGTGTCACTGCCGAGAAGTTGGGCAAGATAAAACCAGCATTTAAGGAAAATGGGTCATCTTCTGCCGGTAATTCATCGCAAGTTACAGATGGTGCAGCATTGGTTCTTTTAATGAAGCGTTCTTTTGCTGAAAAGCACGGGTTTAAACCTGTTGCTAAATACTTGTCCTGTTCCATCAGTGGAGTTCCTCCTGAAATCATGGGAATTGGTCCAGCAGTTGCTATTCCCAAGGTATTGAAACAATTGGATTTGAAAGTTGATGATATTGACGTTTACGAAATCAATGAAGCTTTTGCTGGTCAATGTTTATATTCTATCGAAAGTGTTGGTATTCCTCAAGAAAAGGTTAATAAGAATGGTGGCGCAATTGCTTTGGGCCATCCTATGGGCTGTACTGGTGCTAGGCAATATGCTACTATTTTGAGGTTATTGGAACCTGGTCAGTTTGGTTTGACTTCAATGTGTATTGGTACTGGTATGGGTGCCGCTTCTGTAGTTGTTAAAGAGTAATAATATATCTATCTATATATCTATCTATCTATCTATCTATATATGTATATACATACATACATACACACATAAAAGTTGATCTGATGAAAAACTCTGCTTAATTTAAAAACTACAAGCAGCCTATATAATTATACATAATGAAACGAAGTTATATATCTTGAATATTCTGCTTTTTTTTTTAATTTTTTTTCTTTAATAACCAAGGGTAGCAAGAGAGCCTGGTTGCTGTAGCCATGAGTTAACAGTGGCTTCGTCTAAGGAAGATCCAAACACAGTACTGTCATCAACTTGAACGACATGGATCTCATCACCAAGGAAAATCACTGCGGCTTTAAAAGATCCTGATACAGGTCTAGCAAAATAATCTTGTGAACCACCACCACCAATATTTGTTTGCTGTTTAGCAGCACCTTGTCCATCGTGCAAGTGACTAATCATTTTATTTGAGCCAGCGGTTAAAATTTCAAACAAGTCCAATTCTCCACAACCAGTTGCCCAACATGAACATGAGGCATCTCCATATTGTAAAGTTCTTGGAATCTTAGCATTAAGCATCCAAACAGCAGGCATGTCTACATTGAATCCTGATCCTGAGTTGTCACTAGGCATTTCAAATTCAAAAATAAAAATTTTAGCATTTCCGCCAAAACCATGGTGTGCCACTGATCCTGGTCTATAGTAGCCACATGAGCTACCAGAGCATTGTTGACCTGACATAATAACAAATTCTTTATTCGAACCAATGGTGATCTCTTCCAAAGCGACGGGGGATGATGAGGCTCCCGAATTATCCAGGTTGGCATAAGAAAGAGAGTTTCCAAATGCTGCTGACCAAACACCGGAGCCGGAACCACCATGGTAATTCAAAAACACACAGTTATCGGTATTTCCTGGAGTATAATAGGAGTCTCTTGACCATGCGCCATCTGCCGTGGCAGTACTAGTTGCTTCGACGGATGAAGTTGTAGTTGGTGCTGACAATGTTGAGATTGGTCTGTATGCTTTTCCCTCACCTGCAAGGGCTGTGACTGAAGTGGTTCCTTGAGGAGGAGGTGGCGCCTGTTCTTGTACTGGTTCTTGGACTTGTACTGGTTCTTGCGCCGCACTTGTTTCAGGATGCAGCTCAGCTACAGGAGTTTCAGTTGTGACTAGATTACCATTTGAATCGACATAGACAGTTTGAGTTACTTCGACAATCTCAGTAGCTCTTTTATGCTTATGATGAACATGCTGCACACTACAATTTTCTTCATCACGGCGATTATTCCTTTTGTGCTTATCACCACTTGGATAGTAAACACCAAATTGCAATAATTTCAAAGGGCCTCTAAAATGGACAGATAATTCTTCGTCCAAGGGAGACAAGTTACCGGAAAAGGAATAGCTCTGTTGATGACAGCTTCCTGTAGTTTCATCCATATAAGTTACATCTTGGTAACTTCCAGCAAACCCAATACCTTTATAAACAACCTTTTTAGATTCTGAACAATAGTAGTTGCCTCCGGAGAATTCACAAGTAGCATCCACTGCTATTATTGAGGATAAGACAGTGATTAATGTGGGTATGGAAAACTTCATATTCTATTATTGGGGGGGGGGTATCTTTCTAGCTGTTAGCGGGTAATATCCAAATATCTAGCTGTGTGTAAGTATCAATGAATGAATAGTCAGTTGGTCTTAGAATGAACGAATAAGGGTCGGTATGTTCTACTTGGACAGATTCAGTTGTCAAGCGAATGAAAAAAAAAAAAGAAGCCCTTTAACAGAAGCAAGTAATTTATAAGAAATAAGAAAACCTACAAAGGGGGAAAGGAAGGAGAAATTTTGACGATAAGTGGAAATGTTATTGTTTATATTTGTTCAAAAAAAAAAAAAAGCCCAGCTTGACCCAAAAAGTCTGGCGTTTTATTTTACTTGCATTCCTGTTCCATCTTAAGGTAATTTTTTTTTTATTTACTGCAAATAAAAGCCATCTGGTATATTTCTCCTGGTTGAAGAGGAAATGGAAAAGAAGCTTGACAATATTTTTGTGATTGTTTTCAGCTTGTTTACAAAATATTTGAATTTTATAGACATTGCATGAAATACTGCATATAAAGCATTTTGCTGGTAAAAAATTTACGCGAATTTAAAAAACCCGTCGTATCTTGGAATGTGGGTCACGTGGTCAAGTACAAAAAACGATTTCCGGAGGGTATTTTGGTGCTATTATTGTGAAAAGTGAAAATCGACTTTTAATCTTGGATTTTCGAGGTTCAATTTCCGATATACAATCTTTGATATTCGACTTTTAATTTTTGAATTTCGGTTTTATAATTTATACTTTGGATATTTAACTCTTATTTCTTTCTCATATTATTTAGTCATGTTACTTAGCTACGTTAATTTCTCACATTGTCTATTCACATTATTTACTCTATTTTTTTTTTTTCACATATGAGTTGTTAATAATTTTATTAAGCAATTTTTTTTTTCACACACATTAATAGTAATAATTCTATTAAGCCATTTTCTTTTCTTGATGATTGATTCGTATTATTTTCTAGTAAAGATTTATTAAATTTGTTTATGTGTTTTTTTTGCACATTCGGTTATAATACTATCGTCAAAATGAGTTCTAATTAAGGTACTAAAAACAAACACCGCAGAAAAAGCTTTTTAATAGTAAGTGATAGACCAAGATAGCTTTGTGAAAGATCAAAGCTTGATTTAGTACCGTCCCACTATGTAGGAGTTAGTTGTGTAGAGGTTAATTGTGTAGAGGTTAATTGTGTAGAGGTTAATTGTGTAGGTGTTAATTGTGTAGAGGTTAATTGTGTAGGTGTTAATTGTGTAGGTGTCTTGATTGTAATGTTTTGATTTTGTAGGATGTTAATTGTGTAGGGTGTTTTGATTGTGTAGCATGTTAATTGTGTAGGGTGTTTTGATTGTGTAGCATGTTAATTGTATAGGGTGTTTTGATTTTGTAGGGTGTTTTGATTGTGTATCATGTTTATTGTGTAGGATGTTTAATGTGTAGGATATTTATTGTGTAGCATGCTTGATCGTGTAGTAGTGCTTTAAACATGTATAGCTTGTGTCTCAGTTTGTTGCATTTTCTTACTACCTAAAATTGTCCAAGTTTGTGCTATTACAAAAGGGATATTCCCAGTACGTTGTAACAAGGACGATAATGTAGTGGAAAACAAAGCCGATGATCAATTACTAACACGACTTTATTCTGTTACCATTACATCGTCCTATATTACTTGCATTGAGCGAAATTAGAACCCTATTTTACACGGTTACAAGGGGTCTGTTATTGACCCAAGTACATGTTGATATTTGCTGTCCTGTAATTTTCAATGTTCCGTTGCTTATAGTAACAGCATATGCACTAACCTCATTAAGTTAAATTCTTGAAAATTCTTGATTTTCGCGTATACAAAATAACACGAAATTAAATAAACCTATCGACTCTTGTGCCTATAAGTAGTCAAACACTTCCCTCGGGTTGAAAGCACATCAACATTGTCTTACTCAAATGAAGGTTAAGAAAGCTACTCCAAAAAAAAGGGGGCTGACTTTTGATCTGTGGGAGAACATTTGACTAATGTAAGCTATTCAGTACCGCTCCCTAGTGTCGGTGTAGTCAGTACTGCTCTACTAGCTCCCTTCGCTCCCTAGTGTCGGTTTTAATACGTTGCATCCTCTACAGCACTCTCCCGTGAACGAGCTTGGGTTCCTCCCTCCGCAATCTGATTGTATTATTAATATGAAAACTAGAGAGTGAAATTACAGTAGTTTATTGCCAGAAAGCTTTACTAGAAGCACAAAATATCAATTCCGAGGGTGTTAATTGGTAGCATAAAAGACTCAAAAGTTTACGCTACTAAGAGATGCTACTAAGTGCTGCTACTAAGTGCTGCTCCACTATCTCGATAGTGTAATTGCCAAATTTAAAAGCCGAGCTTGTACGTATATGATGAAGGCAAAGTATAAAAAGGTGGGATAATTAATGGGATCACGAATAAGCAACCTCTTTTGGAATAATGTGGTAAAAAATTTTGTGTTTGCCTTGTAGTAAAAGATGCAAGCCACATGCTCTTACTGAGAGATGGAGCAGAATATGACCCGATAAACCCAGTAGAGAAATGAAAATAAACACTAATTCATCTGAACTAGCCTTCGCCAGGCAAAATAATATTGGCTAAATATATACAGACTTTTAGCCAATGCATATTTGCAATCTACACGTAATCTCATGGGTCCCACATATCTGAATAATGTTCACACAAATATAGCCAAATTAGGTAACTCGCGCGGCTCAAACTTTATGTTTATTTTTTTTTTTTTGGAAATAACCAGCACCTCTCTCCTCCTCTATTAAGGGGAAAAGAAATTGACAAGGCAACGGTGTGATATACTTCTCAACATGAAGCTGCATGTATATACATTTCGGATAATTTTATAAAACTAAAAGAGATGGACTAGAAGCTTATGAACACTTTCTTTTTTTTTTTTTTTCCTTTGCATCAGTTGACAGATACGGTTATATTCATTTCCTCTACTTACAATCCTTAATTGTATATCGATGACTACTAAAGAAAACCAGTTTACTGTTTAGTCCAATTGTCAGATATGGTAATTAGGGGATCTAAGTAATGTTAAAATGATGCATAGGTCGTTTCTTTTTCTATCTCTTGGAATCTATTTGTAACAATTATCGATTGTTACATGTGAGTCACATAGGCTTTCCAGTAATCAAGGAGAAGGTGTGAAGAAGTGAAAGCAGATCAATAGTAAAAAAGAAAAAAAAAGATCCGACTAGCCTAATAATGCCACGACTTCACCGTATCTGTAAGTAGCACTAAAAGCTTCTTTCATCATGTTCTATTTTCAAACTCCTCAAACTCTTCAATCAAAGTTCGTGTTTCCTCAGCAGTAGCACTGATCTCTGCAAAATCGTTATCTTTTTCTTTCAACCAATTAGGAACAAACTTCCAATTCTCAGCAGTGAGTACACCATTAAAACATAGTGTTCCAAATACCAACACTACAAACCCCATTAACTGCAAAAAATAAAACCGTTCCCATTGCATTATTAAAGCCACAATCCAAACAATCAATGTTCTGCATGTATCAACAGTAGATCTGGCCGTGGCAGAAATTCGATGAGTAATGGACAATCCGCAATAATTGAAACCTGCAATTGAAATCATAATGAGTATTGATGATATCAATACTGTTCTATTAGTTAAAACTTGTCTAAATGCTTCTATCATGTTGAATTGAGAATCGCCAAACTCAGCAGGAGTGTCAAGCCAGCTGAATATATAGTTGAAAATAATCATAAATACAAAAATCGTAACTACTCCAAAAAACCCTTCAATATAGACTAGTTGAAGTGGCATAATTGGATTTTTAGCAAGTATATGCTCTTCAACAACGAATTGAATACCCTGCAACGATGTGGCAAGAACAATTAAGATAATTCCAAATATAAGCAAACCTGCCGCAGAAGTGGTGGTGGTGGTGGTGTTGGCGGCAGATAAAGCAGAAACAGATTTTCCATCGCTGGTATTGCCACTGTTTCTTGACCCGCTTAGCCCAACAATGGCGACACCGAGACTAACAAAAGCTAAGCTCGCCCATTGCAATTTAGTGATTTTCCTCTTGAGGAATATCACAGAAAGCACAGCAACAAACAATACCACGGAACCTCTAGTCATTTGGTATATGGATACCGGAGTATATATCAACCCCACATTTAACAAGGTTGTGCAACTCAAGTCACAAATTGCCGGAATTGCCAATCTCCAATTTTGAAATAATCCTATTTTCCCATCATTGGTTTTGACAGCTGCGTCATTTTCAACGCTTGCTTGTAAAGCTAATTTTTCCACGTTATTATAGTACCGATATATCAAGTAGACAAAGAGCATAGCGAATTCACCAAGGAACATCTGCAAGGTTTGTATCACTGGTTGGTTGAAATTTTGACGCAAGGTGGGATCGTCAAGTGACGAACAGTGCTTGACACATTGATTATCTTGATATTTCGTCAAAAGGGAGTTGGCTGCTCCCGTAATTAGCGTGCCACTTACAATAGCATACAAACTTAACGTGCCAGCCATACTATTGTAATAAGTTAAGCTTGTATAGAAATTTTTGCAATGTTTCAGAATTTCACCCGCGCATTTTTCTACACTCCCACTATCAAGCAGAGCGAGATAGTGGAACAACACTGACTGCTACCGACTCTATCGACACTATCGAGCAGAGCGAGTATCGCTACAAAGTGTTGCTCCGCTATCTCGCTCTGTTCGATAGTGTCGGTGGTGTTGCACCACTATCTCGCTCTGTTCAATAGTGTTGGTGGCAGTTAGTGTTGCTTCGCTCGATAGTGTCGCTCGATAGTGTCGGGAAAAAGAATACCAAATAGGAGTAAAAACTGATACAATTGTCAATGATAAACAATCTAAACTTTTTGAGGAATTTTGTTCCCAAAGTAGCACTATTACTATTTGGGAACTTTTTTTAAAAAAAAATATTTACAATGGTCAATTTTAAAAAAGAGGTAAAAACAAAAGAAAAAGTACTCGTTTTTCCATTTCCAATCGACGCTATCGACACTAGCTGCTACCGACACTATTGACACTATTGACATTATCGAGCAGCACTTACTAGGAACACTGACTAGCGATAGTTTTGGGTGAGATGATAGCACATGATTTCGCCCCTGCCAACTTCTTCAATTGGCATATACTTTTAATATTGTTTTCTACAGAATGAATGTTATCTAGCTATATGATGGGAGTTGACAGTAGTTAATAGTAATGGTCACTGTAGTTATATATTACCACGGGTTTGAAGAGATTTAAATATAACTTAAAGCGTATATAAAGGAATATTGGAGGTTTGTGCGACTTATATCGCATGTCGCGATACTATCGAGCAGTACTGACTAGCTTGTTATAACACTATCGAGCAACACCAAATAGTACCAAATAGTCCCAATAGTAACTGGCCAGTAGTAACCAAATAGTTAATAGTACCTAGTTCCTATCAACTAGTCAATGTGTCAATAGTCAATGCATCAATAGTCTGTCCTCCACTATCTCGCTTTGCTCGATAGTGTTGGTTTGGCCAAGTTTTCATCCTCTCTAATCTTTTTTTTTTTCGCAGCCATTTCAATCTCATGCAACACCAATGTAGAAGCAAATCCTAGAGCTGATTCTTCTCTAGACGTAGAAATGATTTCTCTGTAGAAGATCTCTATAATCTAATATATCTGATGACCGTCTCACTAGTCAGAGTTTATAGAGCAGAGATACTTGGAAAGTCTAGCATCGGTTTTGGCCCCATTAGAGACACACGGGTTTGATTGCACCCTGTTAGTCAATGGTGCTCCACTATCTCGATCTGCTCAATAGTGCCGAGCTTACCTGTTAGTCAATGGTGCTCCACTATCTCGCTCTGCTCGATAGTGTTGTATCCAGTAATTGGGCTTTCTTTGGGAAATGTTTTGTTTTGCAACGGCAAAGTAGATATAAGATCTGGCATAACACAAGAAAAGGGGCTTTTTATACATTTTGCTGGTCAAACTTATTCACTAGAAATACCATTTTCTCTAGTATTTTTCCAAATTGCTATCTAATGGCATCAAGCCAACTGCCAGATTTATCAATTGAGGGAACGCTCCAGTTCTTAGAGCCTCGAGTAGAATCACCCTCCACCACTACCAACAACAAGAACAATGTATCCACCACCACCACCACCACCACCACCACACGCAAGATTGCGCCCTCATTGACATTGATCAATAGCTCGATTTATTACAAGAGACAAGCCAAGATTAATGATGCTAAGATCTTGGCAATCCATGAACTGTTACATAAACTGGGGATGCTATTCATTATATCGCTCTATTGTTTTGTTAAGAACTTGAATGATACCGTAACGCGACCTAAACAAACCATTGAGAATAAAATGGATATGTTTATCAAGTTTTATTTAGAAATCTTTCAAGTATTGCCGTTTCTCGGTGAGATTGAGTTGTCTCGTGAAGAGTTTGAGATTGTTTTGTTATTGTTTGATGAGTTTTTCATGGACTATAATTTTATAACTTTGTGCCAAACCCACTTGAAAAATAGAGGCAAATTGCAACAAGCCATTGCTGGCTGGTTTAAATTGAGAGGAATTGTTATGAAGTCTAACGGGGATTTTATTAGGGAAGTATTGAGCGCTGGATTAAATGATTGGTTTTTGCACCTACAAAGATGAGGAAGGGGGGGGGGGGAGACCAGCTTGAAAAAGAGAAAGAGCAAGGACCGCTTTAGTTGGTAACAATAGAGAAGAAAATATCCATCATGAAGTAAGAGCGCGCAGAGCATGAAGGACCGATGGGATCATCTCTGGCTCATGGAGGTATACTGTGAGCAGATAAGACCAACCTCTGGTGATCATCTCTGGCCATCATCTCTGGCTCGTCGTGTCATTTGGTCAAACAAGAATGAAATAAATTTTATTTTTTGCGATGCTCATCTCATCGCGGGCTCATCTCATCTCTGAAAATCTTGCTCTCACCCTGGTTTCAAAACTTTTACATTGTTTCGCCATTCGCCCATTAAGCTAGAGCACAGTGATGGGAGAAAGGTCACGTAAGAGACAGAAAGTGATTGACGATGAGGAGTCACAGGCCGAGAAAGTCGCCGAGGCGGCAGAAGAATTATTAAAGAAACATCCGCATGCCAGTTTAAGACAAGAGCTAGTACATCATGATGCAGGCGAGTTCAATGGACTCGTACGTCATCAAACAACATCTAAAGATGCTGAGAGGTTGGAAAATGGGCCCAAGAATCCATTTACTGGTGAAGGTTTCTCGCAAACCTACTACAAGATCCTTGAAACAAGACGTAATTTACCGGTTCATTCTCAACGTGAAACATTTTTGAAAATTTTCCATTCAACACAAATAATGGTTTTTGTAGGAGAGACTGGGTCGGGTAAAACTACTCAAATTCCACAATTTGTGTTGTACGATGAAATGCCACATTTAACCGGTAAACAAGTTGCTTGTACGCAGCCTAGAAGAGTTGCAGCAATGTCGGTTGCCCTGAGAGTAGCTGATGAAATGGATGTTGAATTGGGTGAAGAAGTCGGTTATAGTGTTCGTTTCGAACACAAGAATGGACCAAAGACTATACTAAAATATATGACTGATGGTATGTTGTTAAGGGAAGCGATGGATGATCACGATTTATTGAGGTACTCATGTATAATACTAGATGAAGCACATGAGAGAACATTGGCAACGGATATTTTGATGGGGTTGATCAAACAAGTTAGTGTAAGGAGACCAGATTTGAAGATTATCATTATGTCGGCTACTTTAGATGCTGAAAAATTTCAAAGTTATTTCAATGACGCGCCATTATTAGCCGTTCCTGGAAGAACCCACCCAGTAGAGCTTTATTATACACCCGAGTTCCAAAGAGATTATCTTGATGCTGCAATACGAACAGCTTTGCAAATTCATGCTACAGAAGATGAAGGGGATATTTTAGTGTTTCTTACTGGTGAAGAAGAAATCGAAGAAGCTTGCAGAAAAATACAATTGGAAGGAGATGCTCTTATCAGAGAGCAGAATTGTGGTCCGCTAAAAGTATACCCATTATATGGTTCACTACCACCTCAACAACAACAGAAAATTTTTGATCCTGCGCCAGTTAATCCGAACCCAAAAGGTAAACCAGGTAGAAAAGTTATTGTATCCACAAACATTGCAGAAACCTCCTTAACAATTGATGGTGTAGTTTATGTTGTTGACCCGGGATTTTCCAAGCAAAAAGTGTACAACCCAAGAGTTAGAGTTGAATCATTGTTGGTGTCTCCTATTTCAAAAGCAAGTGCTCAACAGAGAGCAGGTAGAGCAGGTCGTACAAGACCGGGAAAATGTTTCCGCTTATATACAGAGGAAGCGTTCCAAAAGGAATTGATTCAGCAATCTTACCCGGAAATTCTCCGATCAAATTTAGCGTCAACAGTGTTGGAGTTAAAGAAATTAGGTATTGATGATTTAGTCCATTTCGATTTTATGGATCCTCCGGCTCCTGAAACCATGATGAGAGCATTGGAGGAGTTGAATTACCTCCAGTGTCTATCAGATGATGGAGATCTCACAGCACTTGGTCGTTTGGCGTCACATTTCCCATTAGACCCAATGTTAGCCGTTATGCTTATAGGATCACCTGCTTTCAAATGTTCGGAGGAGATATTGACTATAGTGGCAATGTTGAGCGTTCCTTCTGTGTTTGTGCGGCCGGCATCTGCAAGACAGCGTGCCGATGAAGCCAAGTTTTCCTTTGCTCATCCTGATAGTGATCACTTGACTTTGATTAATGTTTATGAAGCTTTTGAAAACACGCCCCAGGAGTTGGGAATATCACAACACCAATGGTGTCGAGATAATTTCCTCAATTATAGATCTTTAAGTTCAGCAAGAAGTGTTCGTTTTCAACTACTGAATATAATGGAGAGAAATGATTTGGAGCTTGTGTCTCAATATAACCAAATTCCTGATGGATTATATTGGGAAAACGTCAAAAAGGCCCTAGTTGGAGGGTTTTTTATGCAAGTGGCTAAAAGGAAAAGTGGTGCTAAGGGGTATCTTACAGTTAAGGATAATCAAGATGTTCTTATACATCCTAGCACCGTTGTGGTAAAAGAAGGCGAATGGTTGATATACAACGAATTTGTATTGACAAGTAAGAATTATATTAGAACTGTTACAGTTGTAAACCCTGAATGGTTGGTTGAAATTGCACCAAAATATTATAATTTGGAGCATTTTCAAAAAGGCGATGTTAAATTAAGTTTGGAAAGGGTGATCCAAAGTGTTGAACGCAAGAAAGGGATCAAGAAGAAACAAGCTTAGAATTAAAGGTATGTATAGAAAGATAATGGTAGTGATGGCACGATTAATGTAAATTGTAACATTAACAGTTTGGCAGATCAGACGGAGAAGACCTTTCTTTTCCATACAGTTCAATCACAAATGATGCATGTTTTTGTTTTCAGTAACTTTTTCAAACATGTCGAATGGTAACTGTGTCCACACTCGAAATAAAGTAGCTTTAGTGAATGGAACCTAGCCTCTATATCGTCTTTTCCATTCTTTTTATCCATTGGTTGCGACATGGGTAGTTTGTTACGCTCGCGATCTTCCCATGCAAGGATATGCTGTTCGTAAGTGGCACTAGAAAGACCACCATCTTCTCCTTCTTCACCACCCATTATTTTTCCACATGAAGCACACGCTTGAGCTGCTTTCAAAATAAGCCCTCTCAATCGATTATTCCTTATAACGAGCATTGTTTTGTAAACGTCATCATTCAACATTTTTAGTGATATTTTTAACATCTCGCTTTCGTACGAGTATGAAATGAAGACTTCTTGTAAGACTCCTCGAATATTGGACAATGTCGCGGATTTTACTCGAATATTATTATTGTTATTACTAGTAGTGTCATTATCATCATCATCATTGTCTTTATTATGAGAATATTGTTGAAGAAATCTATTAAAGATTGTCAAAAAGGACTTTTCTCCGCTCCCTCCTTTAGAATAGTTTAATTTGTGTTCACTCACCTTGCGGAAACAATCATGAATAAAAAGATTAATGGTTTTCCGCGCATCTCCCTCTCTACTACTCGCCATATCGACTAATGTGTATATAACTTTAAGCCATAATTGCTCATTCAAGGTAACGCCATCTTCAACGTGTACATTATAAGTTTCAGGACTTTCGCATATATCCATACAATAACCTAGTAAATCGGCAAATTGATTACTTTTGGTGGTTGGTTCGGGAAAGTTTTCCAAATGGTTGAGGATGCAAGATACCGCAGCTTCGAATTCTGACTGAAATGCAAAAAGACAGGCTTCTCCGTTAATGATAGAATTATCACGAAGAAGCTGTAATATCTCCTGATAATTTCCATTTGATACTATGTGTGCTTTCCAATGGTTGATAAATTCAAATACAGACATCTTATCAAATTTAATCAACAATTTTATATATTGTGTGATAATAGATGGATCCGGTTCGTATCCGCTCAATGAGAACAATTTGGTTATGTACTGATAAACAACAATACTATCATCATCATTGCCGCTATCATTCTTGTTCTTCTTATCATCATCATTGTTGACGTTTAAAATCTCTGTGTGCAATTTTGGAGCAAACTTATTGATTAAATTAAAGAAAGTTGAGTCATAATCTAATCGAACAAACTTGGCAAAGTTCCCTTTTAATACTTTAATAATATTTATCTTTTCGTTGGCATTTTTGGTTTTGGTAAATGAGTTTTCAATCAAGTTCATCAATTGAGTTATATGCTCATCATCTCGACTCACTTTCGCATCATTATCGTTCTTCAATAACCACATTTCCAAAGCACGCGAGTATTTACCTTCTGAATTGAAAATATCACCTAGTACATTGTAAAACTTGACCAACTGCAATTTCTCGATAAATGTTTCATCTTCTGGCAAGTACTGAGATACGAGACTCTCTAAAGCTAATTCGCAATCCTCCACTATGGAATCATCCAAGTTTTGACATAAAGCGTTTATAACTTTATCCAAAGTGGACTCAGAAAGTCTTATGAGCTGAGAGTATTTTGGATAATTCCGTGCAATAAAAATGGCTAATTGACATTTATCAAAACTTGTAAAATTCGACTCATTTGCATCGAATAAATCTAGTAGTGCTTCAATCAAATATTGTCTATTGTACCTAGCATCTTCGTTCAAAAACGATGATTCGAAAAATTCATTAAGGGTAGATAGCATTTGAAATGAGTTTGCTTCAAGAAAAGTGTAAAGGTAGGGAAATATTGTGTGATTGTTTGCTGCTGGTACAACCTTACCATTCCTTTCAATTGCACTACTCGAGAATAAAATATCACACACTGATCTAATGGCGTTCATCTCTTCGCGCTGAATGTATTTGTCAGTAGGATACTGTCTTCCGGTGAGTATGTAAGACATGTATGCGTAAGCCTTTAAACCGTCCTCTGAATCCGCAAAGTTGGGATCTCGAAAATCACCAATAAAATCAATCAAAGGTGACTCGTAATCATTCAAGAGGGAGTTCCAAATGTAGATCAAACAATCTCTCAACTTGTGTTTTTTGCACAACTGAATCGTTAAGTCAATGTCGAGACTATTGATGTCCAATGTACACAAGATTTCGGTTAGTAGTTCACCTTTCTCGTTTGATGCGTAATACTCTACAAGGCGTTTCAACACTGCTGGTGGTAAAGCTTGAATTATGTCAAAGAGTAAATAAGACTCCAAGACTCCAAAAAATACCTCGTCATTATTCACTGCCTCGAGTAAATCTTCCAAAATATTAGCAGATCCGACATATGTGATTATGTTGAAGTATATTTTCAAGTTCTTTTCGTGATCATCATTCTGAACTAGTAGATGCGGTATTGATTCTTTCATAATATCTATCAAGTAAGGTCGTAGCACTTTGGTTCTTTTTGCTCGATTAACAGGCAACCCAACTGCTGTTAGTTTACCCTTGGAAGTAGTTTGGTAAAATTCATCAGCAATGCTTAGTGCCTCAACATACTTTAATTTGGAAACCTTTTCCAACAATATATCAGCCCAGCTCAACTGTCTTCCAAGGTATAATCCCGAATTCTTCAAAACAAGGAGACTTTGCTTGGTAGTTTTGATCTCTTTTATACCATCGCCAAGTTCATCTTGCGCAATCTGAGTAAGCGATGAGCCATCGTAATAAAAAGTTTTCATCACCACTATTCCTCCAGGATTTTGTGTAAAAACGCACAATACTTCAGACAGAGCCCATTTCAAATCTATAATGTTTGCATCAGTACATGTCCATTTGCAAGTTTTTCGAAATGGTAGTTTGGGAACTGCTTTATCTTTATCTCTGGCCTCGTGAACAATGTGTATCAAGTTTTGAGGAAGGATTCTGTTATCCAATTCAACTATGCCCAACAAACTGTTCCAGCTGTATGCCAATTTAGCATTGCTGATCCCATTCAGCGTGTCAACACATGGGAACCAATTCATTGCTGAGAATGATAATGATTCACTTTGAATGCTGCTTGGATCTTTTGACCTACTATTTATTTTGAATTGGGGTAGAACATTGCTCATTCCAGGATCATTTATAGAAGTGGTTGATACTATAATCAATGCGTCCAAAGTCATTATTGATATAACGCCCATCTCGTCGGTAATCTGGTGTGATGATCCCAAGGGCAATGCACCAAAATTCAAGATCTTCAGCTTGGTATCATCATTTCTTATAGAGTTACCAAACCCTAGCAACCGTTCAGATTTGACATACTTGTTTATCAATTTCGTCAGTATTTTGTGATATAGCACCATACCTGACTCGTCGATGCTGATTATTTGATAGTTTCGTAGCTGAACAAAATCGATAAATGTGATTGCCGTGTTTAAAAAATGACCTTCTGAACTAGTTGTATTTGTCAGAATTGGGTATATGGTAAAAAAAGGTGTTACCAAACTTGGTATCAGTGAGGATCTATTAGAATTCATATTCCACACACGTATAACTCCGTCCTTATACCCAGCGACGAAGAAAGTTGAGTCCGAAGAAAATGCCATAGATGTGATTTCATCACCTCTGGTGATGTCATTGTTTGTGTCCTCATCGCCCGTACCCACTTTCAATATGACTTCGATGGTTTGCTTATAGTTGAATATCACAATGTTGGATTTGATTGTTGCCACAGCAATGTATATTGAGTTTGATATAACGTGAGTAACTGAACCCTGTTCAAACTTTGATGACATGATCAATTCGTTTATCTTTTTCAACGGTGACCAACTAAACATTCTGCGTTGCTCCATTTCTATAGCCTCCGTATTTTGCAGTTTTACTGAGCTATCTTTACTTTTAATAGATTCGTTCCTGTACAGTTTCAAGGCCAAACTAATCTTTGTTGCCGACCTATCGTCGAATCTGGCTTTCCTTCTTAATCCATTTGTGTCCAAGGAAGATACACTTGAGGATTGGCTTAAGGAGGGAGACCTCACGGATTTTGTCGATAGCTCATATAGATTTATTTTGCCAGAAATTAATGCCATAGTTCAAGCTCATTGAGTCTTGGGGGGGGGGGGGGGGGGGGACGATGGTTAAAGGAGGTATAGCTTAGTAGCTCAGTAGGTATAGCTCAGTAGCTCAGTAGGTGTAGCTCAGCGACCCAGTAGCTCGGTAACTCAGTAGCTCAGTAGCTCAGTAGCTCAGCAGGTTCAACTCAGCAGACGTACCTTAGTAGGCGTAACTCAGCAGGTGTAACTCAGCAGGTGTAACTCAGCAGGTGTAACTCAGCAGGTGTAACTCAGTAGGCGTAACTCAGCAGGTGTAACTCAGCAGGTGTAACTCAGCAGGTGTAACTTAGCAGGCGTAGTTCAGCAGGTGTAGTTCGGTGACTCCGCAGATATAGCTAGCAGGTGTAGCTCAGATCAACTCAGGCGTAACTAGCCCAACTACTTCTATTCCTTGCTGGATTGCAATATTCTTCTACAAATAAATCTATAAGGCAAAAAAGAAAATGAAAAATAGAGATTTGAAAAACCAGTCAGGGTAAGTAAGGGAAGTTACTTTTGATGAACTTATCGCTTCAAGATCCCTTTTCTGTGGCCAAAGAGTTTCCCGAGACTTTATCAACAACCTTGAATTATGGGCATTCTGTGAGCATTCAGTTTAGCAAGCAAGGAGACTATTTGGCGTCGGGTTTATCCGATGGATCAATTGTTATTTATGATATGGTTTCTAATGGATTGATAGCCCATATTACTCAGGATTGTCATACACGGCCGATCACCTCAATTACATGGTCTCAATGTGGGCGGTTTTTATTGACCTCGTCGCAAGACTGGTATTGTAAGCTTTGGGATTTGAGTAAGATAGTTTGCAGTAGAAACATCATTGATGAACATGAGTCCCCCGTTATACGACAAGTGAAGTTCGATGGCCCAATCTGGCTGGCAAACATGCATCCTAGTAACCACTTTGTGTTTGTTGCGTCGTTATTTGATGACTCTCCTGTGCATGTTGATATGAGCAATGCCAAGGCACCAAAAGTGACGAAATTGAGAACAAATCCCTTAGAGGATAATAACAATGGGGAGGAGTCTGGTGAAGAAGAGGCATTTAAAGTAAAGAAACGGCGAATTGGGCACAATGACAAGCTTGCGACCTTGGTAACAACTTTCACGCAAAACGGGCAGTATATTTTTGCCGGCACGAGTAAAGGTTGGTTGAATATTTTCCGCACTATAGATTTGAAGCTAATGTATTCTGTTAAGCTAGCCAATTCCAACATCAAGAATATTTCCATTTCTTTAAACGGCCGGAAGTTGGCCCTCAATTTTTCCGATAGGGTAATACGGCAGATTGATTTGCCCGATATTGTAAATGACAATGATACCAAAGAGTGGGATTTTGAAATTGACCACAAGTATCAAGATGTTGTTAATCGACTACAGTGGAACTCAATAAGCTTTAACCATAACGGTGATTTCTTGGTAGCATCAACTCACGGCCAATCTTCTCACGATTTGTATCTTTGGGAAACATCAATGGGATCGTTGATCAAGATCTTGGAAGGTTCAAATGAAGAATTGATTGATGTCAAGTGGAACTATAATCGTTGCAAAATAGGATCAATTGGATTAGATAGCGGAGCTATTTACATCTGGCTGGTGCAATTTCCTCAAAAATGGAGCGCTCTAGCTCCGGATTTTGTTGAAGTTGAAGAGAATATAGATTATGTGGAGAAGGAGGACGAGTTTGACATTATAGATGAGTCTGAATTGACCAAGATGAGAATGGAAGAGGAAGATTTGGATATTGATGTTGTTACGAGGGAAACTACTGACGCCCGCGGGTTCGAGTTGAATCAGGGCTCTTTTATCATTCCAATAGACTATGAGTGTAATTTATTTTGAAAAGAGATGAAATGTATGTGATATAGGTGTCTCATTATTTTGAGCATGCCTTTGAATAGCTATTGATTGATCTACTGGCGTTCTATTACTTTTCCATCTGTCTCTCGTCGTTACCCTTGCCATGTCACTTTGATACAGCAGATGCCCTTTCCATCTCTGGTACTGGCTCATCAATGGGATCTCTCAATCTCCTGGCTCTGTCTTGAGCTCTAATTCACCTAGGGCGACACTATCGAGCGACACTATCGAGCAGAGCGAGATAGTGGAGCAACACTTTGTAGCGATACGACACTATCGAGCGGAGCGAGATAGTGGAGCAGCACTTGAGAGCAGCACTTGAGAGCAGCACTTGAGAGCAGCACTTAAGAGCAGCACTTAAGAGCAGCACTTAAGAGCAGCACTTAAGAGCAACACTTTGTAGCGATACTAGTAGCAACACTAGTACATCATCTCGCTCTGCTCGATAGTGGAGCAGCACTTAAGAGCAGCACTTTGTAGCGATACTAGTACATTTTCCCCTTCCTCTCTTCCTCTCTAGCGAGCAAAGCGAGCTAGAGACTCACTAGAGATTGTTCTCTTTTCTTCTTCTCCTCCTCTCTAGCGAGCAAAGCGAGCTAGAGAGTCGCTAGAGATTGTTCTCTTTTCTTCTTCTTCTTCTCTTTCTCTCTAGAGCCATTCTTCCTCTTTCTCTCTTTCTCTCTAACTCACTTTGCTCGCTAGAGACTGTTCTCGTTTCTTCCTCTCTAAATAGTCGCTAGAGCCATTCTTCCTCTTTCTCTCCTCCTCTCTAGCTCGCTTTGCTCGGTAAAGAGTCTTTAAAGCAATTCTTCCTCTTCCCCTCCTCCTCTCTAGCTCGCTTTGCTCGGTAAAGAGTCTTTAAAGCAATTCTTCCTCTTCCCCTCCTCCTCTCTAGCTCTCTTTGCTCGCTAGAGCCATTCCTCCTCTTCCTCTCCTCCCTAAAGAGTCGCTAGAGCCATTCTTCCTCTTCCTCTCCTCCCTAAAGAGTCGCTAGAGCCATTCTTCCTCTTCCTCTCCTCCCTAAAGAGTCGCTAGAGCCATTCTTCCTCTTCCTCTCCTCCCTAAAGAGTCGCTTTGCTTGGTAAAGAGTCTTTAAAGCAATTCTTCCTCTTCCTCTCTAACTCGCTTTGATCGCTAGAGAGTCGCTAGAGATTGTTCTCTTTTCTTCCTCTCTAGCGAGCAAAGCGAGCTAGAGACTGTTCTCTTTTCTTCCTCTCCTCCTCTCTAGCTCGCTTTGCTCGCTAGAGTAATTCTTCACCTTCCTTTCTTCCTCTCTAGCTCGCTTTGCTCGCTAGAGACTGTTCTCTTTGCTCGCTAGAGACTGTTCTCTTTGCTCGCTAGAGACTGTTCTCTTTGCTCGCTAGAGACTGTTCTCTTTGCTCGCTAGAGACTGTTCTCTTTGCTCGCTAGAGACTGTTCTCTTTGCTCGCTAGAGACTGTTCTCTTCTCTTCCTCTCCTCCTCTCTAGCTCGCTTTGCTCGCTAGAGAGTCGGAAGATACTGCTTACATAATCTCCCCATTAACCAAAAACAAAAACAAAAACAAAAAAATTTCAAAAATTCAAAATTTCCTTCAAAGAGAAAAATGAAGCGAAAAAGTTTAATAGTGTTTATTTAATACCAGAATTAAGTGAAAAGAAAGAGGGAAATATAAAGAAGGTGCGCCTATATCCTAGGAAAGACGCGTTGATAATATATTCATTTCTCCAAATTAACAAATTGCACCCAATTTTTTCAGTCTTTGGGGCAAAGTTCTTCAACAAAGAGGGTGGTGGGAATTTACAATCAACTTGTATCCGCTGGTAAAAAAGCTATATTGTCCTTGAACTAAAAAAGTTATACACACCACATATATTTTTTTTTTTATTTAAAAAAAAAAAAACACCACCATTTAAGGGTTAAGGGTTACGTTACCAATTAAAAATATTTTGGTTATTGGGGGGGAGGCTAAAGAACATTATTGCTAATTCTTTCAAGTAGGTTCAATGTCTTTTTCGACGGCTGCTTCGGGCTCGGGCTTGGGCTCAGGCTCAGGCTCAGCTGTTTCGGGTTCAGCTGCTTCAACTTTGGCTGTTTCGGGCTCGGCTGCTTCCACTTTGGCTGCTCCCACTTTGGCTGTTAAAGCAACATCGGTACCAGCGGCAGCAACAGCACTAACTACTCCAAAAAAACGTACCCTATCGGACCGTCTACAAGCAAACGGCGCATCCATATCAGACCTCGAACCTTTTGAAGACCACCAGGAAATGATCAACGCGGTAATATCCGTCTTGCAGTGCCCAGAGGAAAAAACAAACGTTGCAGAAATTTATGCCAACAACAAAAACTCAGCAACAGAAATCCAGGCTTATGCAAAGATTGCCGGAAAAGACTGGACTTATTATGTTAAATCATTGGCCGTCTCAATTGGAAGAAACACAGATACCGGTGGTGTCAATGGCCAAATCATTGGCGGTGGCGGCGGCGGCGGTGGCGTCGGCGGAGGCAGCACCACTACTGGTGCAGCAATCTCAATAATCGATATAGATTTGGGGCCCGCGAAAATTGTAAGTAGACTGCATGCAACAATCACCTACAATCTTGATCTTAGGTGCTGGGAACTCAAAGTGTCAGGAAGAAATGGTGCAAGAATCGATGGCCGTAAAGTAAATGTTGGTTCCCAAGAAGTGAATGCGTTGCATTCAGGCGCTATTTTGGATGTTGGAGGTACTCAAATGATGTTCATATTACCTGACTCGCCTCCAATGGTTGTACCCAAGATGCTAGAAAAATGCCTCGCAAAGTATAGAGAAAGGAAGAATAAAAAGAAAATCGGCAATACCGCCGCTACAAACGCTTCTGTGGGTGTCGTCGCGGAAACACCATCAAACAATGGCAACTTTGGTGGTATAAGAAATTTCGGTATGGGTGAAAATGGACCACCTAACTTGAATCACTCTCCAACTTCGGTGTTGGCCATCTCATTACAATCGGAAATAGATAAGGATCTATCTAAGGAAGACTCAAAGGATATCAAACCGCCATATAGTTATGCCACAATGATCACCCAGGCCATCTTATCAAATCCAATGGGAGTGATGTCCCTTTCTGATATTTACAATTGGATATCAACACGTTATGCTTATTACAGACACTCTAAAACTGGCTGGCAAAACTCAATCAGGCACAACTTATCCTTGAACAAGGCATTTGAAAAAGTTCCTAGAAGACCAAATGAACCAGGTAAAGGTATGAAGTGGCAAATCAGTGAATCATACAAAGCAGACTTCCTAAGTAAGATCAATGATGGCACGATTTCGAAAACTAGAAGAGGCTCTTCTGTCTCGCGGCAATTGAGCTTACATTTGGCAACTCACAAGCAGTTACCAAGTCCGTCAGCTGCTCAAAATCAATTTCAACAACCTTTTCAACAGCAATTGCAACAACCACCTCGGACAAATAGTCGTCAGCAGCAGCAGCAGCAGCAGCAACAACAGCAACAGCAACAACAACAACAACAACAACAACAACAACAACAACAACAACAGCAACAACAGCAACAACAACCTCCACCACCACCACCACTTCCACAACAGCAACAACAACCATTACCATCAATACCATTACAACAACAACAACCTCAGTTACAACCACTACCACAAAACATGGCATTCTACGATCATCCAAGATCAGATTCAAAGAATTACCAATACCCAAACAACAATTCTGGTCAATCACATCCACTCAGCTACATGTCTCAACCAAACGTATACATGTCAAACTCTGCCAGACCATATCAATACCAACAACAACAACAACAACAACAACCAGGACAGCAACAGCAACAACTATCTTCATTTTATCTGTCAGTTCAACCGCCACCGCTAAACCAGCACTACCAAATAAATGGTGTTAAGCAATCCATGTCTAACTACCTGCATCCTCTTTCCACTGCATCATTGAGTCAAAATTCGTTGAACAACTTACCCAAAACGAATACATCCAACAATAACAGTAACAACAATAATTATATGCACTCTCGAGATTCGTCATATACTACATCAAATAATTTGCAAGACATATCACAGATGAATTCATTCGTATCGAATCAAAACGATTCATTGTCGTCTATTCCTTCGGTGCAGTCGATCACATCCGTCCCATCAGTCCCATCAGTTGCAGTAAATTCAAGTATAAGCGGTGGTAACAATACAACAGCGGAGGTGATTGCATCTTTCACTAGTCCCAAGAAAATATCTGCATTGGAAGCATATACACCTGAACGTGGTTCTAACAGACAACATAAACAACCTGTACAACAACAGCAGCAGCAACAACAACAGCAACAACAACAGCAGCAACAGCAGCAACAACAGCAGCAGCAGGATCAACAACAACAACAGCAGCAACAACAACAAAATTTGCAGAAACCAGGTGTCAATAGCACTGAAGCTGCAATTAATGGAAAAGTTTCAACTGCGTCACAAGTGCAGCAGAATTACCAGGCTCAGCAGCAGCAGCAGCAGCAGCAGCAAAATCAAAATCAGTCAAGTCCTGCATTTTGGAATTTTGTTCAATTCAGTACCCCTAATGGGCCACAATCACCTTTGAGAAAACAAAGTGTCGATGGAAGTAGTGGTAATAATAGTGACGAAGGGAGTAACAGTAATGCGGCAAATAACGGAAGTCCTACTTTGAATAGAAAGAACCATGGTGGTTCTAATGCGGGAGCTAGTACTAAAAATGTGAAAACAGCAACAACAGCAACAACAACTCAAACAAATGATGGTACCTCTCCTTTCAAAAAGGACCAACAAGCGGGAATGGTTGATTCGTAAGAGAAAGAGAGGCTGTATTTTATTAGCTGAAATGTTATTTGGTATTTGGTAATTTCTATCCTATTTATAGTTCATGTATTTTTGTCTTCTTTTTACATTATAAATACATTTGCATTACTTCTAAAAAGTGGGTCTATTTCTAACATCATGTAGCTTCTTCTCGATCTCATTAATTGATCGATTTAGACTTTGTGAGATCCTCAATTTCCAGCCATGGTCCAAGCAGGTAAAATTTTCAACAAAATCCCCATCAATTACATTCTTGACAGGCTGGTAGTAGCTTCGGTGCTTGATATGGTCTTTACCTAAGGGACTTAACCACCTTGCAACAGCCATTGTTTTCTTATCATCAGGATTGCACAACTTTCTCATTTCCAATTGTAAGTTAAATAGCAATTCGATCTCCAGCTTGGTTAAGAGTGGGATCATCACTCCCAAAGTACCTTGTAGTCCCATATACAAGATACTGCCCTCTGTACTACTGCTATCGCTCATTTGAAAAGATGTGATGATGTCAGGGATATAAAATTCACACAAATCGCGTAGCTTGAAGATGCACGAGTTTATACTTGAAGAGTCTTGAGTTTGTTGCTTAACAATAGACCATTCCTGATCAATTTTACGAGAGTCAACTTCCTCAATTCTTGATATCGCCATTTGACCAAATTTATCCCCCATGATGACCGTATCATAATCTAGCTTGGCTATGGATGTAATGTTTCGTTTGATAATGGCGTCTGCAACAGGTACAAACTGATTTTCATCTGCGTCAAATTTTGCAAATAACAACGACGAGCCTGATTGTAAGTCGGCAATTATTATTCTATTCTGAACTGAAGGAAGGATCTTGTTTATCTTTTTGAGAAAATCAAAGCGAGTAAACGACTTTCGAAGTAGTTGTCGCTGTCCCATTTCGTACAAAGATAATGTATTGTCTGAACCTATTAGTACCCGATCATTGAAAAATTCAATAACCTGCGGAAAGTAGTCCAATTCTGTCTTGTGTGTGTACTGTAATGATTTCTTTCTATCCAACTTGAAGGTATATAGTAAATTTTTGGCATCTACAACATTCTTTACCCCAACAACCAAATAATTGTTCTTGTTGAAATGAGCAATGGCCATGTCTATGATTTGTTCATTTTTGTAAAACTCAAAAGTATGTTTAACTTGTCCATTTTGAACCACTTGACAGCACGATGCACAATTGTTTTTGCTTAGTTCGTACCCAAACTTCTCATAATAAGTAGTATCTACTTTGTCGTCGACATCTTTTGTAAGACTTTGTTGATAGGGCGTCTTGACGCCCACACCAACTTCACTAACGTACAATCTTGTGTCGAAACTAATCATTTTTCGTGGCATATACCTCAATTTCAACGTTTCAATAGTCAAATCTTGATTAGGATCAAATGCGCTGTCTTCTTGCCCAACAGAGAAAATCAATAAGTTATGTCCCCGTGTACCTACTATTGCTTCACCTCCAACATCTTCGGAAACTAACGAAGCACCAGACTCAATATTGATATTCAACAATTGTGTAATTTTGAAACTTCCTTGATAATGATATGCTATCCATGCTTGAGAAGATATAGCTAAAATACCTTCTATTTCGTCTGACAACTTGATTAGTCTCAAACTTATTGCTCTCGAACCAAGATATTTGACTCTAGTGTCTGATAATTTACCGCTAAACTGATCTATTCTCGCTTTTGCATAGATACCATTCTCCATACCGATATGGACGAAAGTAGCATGTTGGTAACTCATCATTGCAAGAGAAGAAGCTTTTGACGAAAGTGCTTGAAGCGATTTGATCTCAAGACAGCTCTGGGATTGAAGCGAGATAACTTGAACAGTTTCATCTGAACAACCAATCACTGCAAACGAGCTTCTGTTTTGGGATATAGTCATTGAGGTAACAGGAGACGAAATTTCCAACTTGTCCTGATATTCCACTAGTTGATCATCTATGGGATCGGTTTCAAAATAAACAACTTCGGAATTGGACAATGCAAGAAGAATTTGGTGATTATTTGTCGCTGCATGCGTAATGGATATTCCTGCTGGTGGATACCAATCCGTAGTCTTTTTACTCTTTGTCCTTGTTGTTGTTGTTGTTTGAGATGTCGGTGTAACGTGGCGTATTCCATTAGTGTATACTTGTACCAATGATGATTTTCCAACTTGTTGCACGGCTATAGTTGGTTGGTCTAGGATAAATTCCGAGTCGTTCACATCTTCAAGGGTTTCTCCGATCGAGAGAACCAAAGTCTTTGACGCTAGAGTGGAAGTGAGAACAAGGTATTCATCATTCTCAGATTGACCAGTTAACTTAGTTGTAAACACATCAGTGGGTGAAAAAGCCAAAGGGGACTCAACTAGTGTTGCAGTGGGCATTCCACGAACTATTGTTTTCATATTTGCGTTGGTAGACAACGCGGCTATCCGTGAATGAGGCAATAAACGAGAGTCCGTAATGGGACTTAGTGACTCCAAAGTATCGATTAATATTAAATTTTCCAACTCTTTGACCTTAAAGTTCATGTTGAGAAGTTTTGCTGAATTGGGAGTCATCGACTCCTTTTGCGTCAATGATGACTCTATAATCAAGTCACCCTCTCTAGTTTCCTCTCCCAATTTATCAAATTGATACAAATACTGGTTATTGTTGAGAGTATTTGCAAATAAAAACCCGCCTTTTATCATAGATATGTTGTGACATGGGGAAATCGTGTCGAAATAGGTTATTGTGATGTCCTTTACAATAGCTCGACCCAGATCATAATTGATAACCAATTTAAATAAATCGCCATGTGTACTTTGAAGAAATATATACATTCCTTTTTTCTTAAACATATGACTGACATGTCCCACAATGGTGGTATTTTGATTCTCTCGCCTTGGTAAAGGTAAAACTAACAGGCAAACATCTAGTTTTTCGTACCTGATCCAATTTTCACCACAAATGAGCACTCCTCCAATACTTCCTGCCACGGGTATCAAATAATTGGAATCGTCAGGTAGCTCGGGATTGGGTACCTTACGTTTCACCATGTAATTCAACCCTTGGTCAAACATGTAGTAGTTGAGCAAAGTCCGTTTATCCTCGGGATTATATTCAATAGCGCAGAACAAGGGATTTTCATACTCCGTATGCAATGCAACAATGTTTAAACATAAAAGGTGCTTTGTATTCAACTCCACTGGTGAGCTGATCTCTAGTCGAGGTTGACCATTCTCCTCCCCCTCCTCCTCCTCCTGTAGCCGCAGCAGCCGCTGCAGCCGCAGCTCCAACTCCTCCAACTCCTCCGTAGCAGCGTTAATCCTGTACAAAAGTTTTATCTTTTCCATAGCACCAACCAAAATGCATCTACTCTGAGGTTCAACGACTAAATACTCGCCAGGATATGTTTTATTCCAGCCATTCTTAGTCATGGGCTGCTGAACAATCAGTCGAAACTTATTCAATTTCTCGTCATATTCTAGTACTGATAAGTTCCCAGAGTCACTGGTCATTACCAACCCATCCTTAATATTGCCTAGTCGTATTTTGTCCACTTTGTTGACTACAGCAAATAGATTTTGAGTTAGTTTATTATAGATTTTCCCCGTTTCTTGGTCGATGTAGAACATCAACAAGTGGCTGCTGGAAACCAATATTATCTCCTGTGCCTTCTTGCCATCAACAAATTGACCAACTATAGAAGCGTTGAAATTTGAAGGACATTTGATTGTAAGATTGTACAAGTGTGGAGACTCATAGTTAAAAAGCATTTCTTTTCCATAAAGATATGCTCAATTTACCTTTCAAATACTCTATCTCTCAATCGCAACTATTCTACCCCCAAGCTAGCCTCTACTTACCGTACTTACCCCGTACTTTCTTGCTTTCTTGCTTGCTTGTATTCAATCTCAACCACCCATTAGCAATGCGATGAGCTCTTCTCGAGAGCATATGGTAGCATATATGGTAGCACCCTCTCATCAAAAAGAGATGAGGTTATAGAGGGAAGATGGCATGGTTCAAGGGTTTAATTGAATGATATTACGCCAGGTTTAGGCGGTATATCTAGCCTTCGGGATGAGCTGGCATGATATGAAGATGTGGCCAACTTGGAAAGACGTGTCACCTTGTTTTAGTGTTTTATTTCCGCCCACTTTTATAGCCAACGAGCTGATCTCATCCTTATCATCATCATTGCCCTTTGTTCAAGATGAAACGGTTGTTGAGAAAGCGGAAACGGTTCATAAAACGAACAACAAAGTAGTTTCGGTGTTTGCAGCCGGTATGCGAGCATTTATATATCAATTACAAAGCTTTTATCTTAGAACGCCGGTGAAATTGTTTCGACCTTCGAGATTTGATTACATGGCATATGTCAGGGCATTTGCTGATCGTATTGACAATATTCTGGAAAAACCATATAGGATCAGAACTCATTCTTCTATAGGGATGCTTGTGAATGTTCTTCGAAAGCAGGGTTGGAAATTTATTCCTGATAATGTACTACCGCCGCTAATTGCAAATTCGGCAACGGGATTGATATTGTACGGAACGTACTTGACTGCTTTGGACCATTACACCAAAAAAAAGAGCCGGGGTGGCAAGCAAGCGGATTTCAATTGGTATGCTCCAATAGATACCTGGCGCGCTGGGTTTGTCGCCGGTATGGCACAATCATTAGCTGCTGCTCCGATTGATGCAATCTACACGAGACTGTCAGTGTCTGAGATGTTGGAAGGCTCTCATGAGAATCTATGGAGGTTTGGTTTGAACAAACTCAAGGAAATAGGACTTGTTGGGGTCTTTGCGGGCTATGGGTTCTCCTTGATCAAGGAGAGCTTTGGATTTGCATATTATTTTGCAACATTTGAGCTTGTTAAAACTCAAGGGTACAATATTACATATAGAATTATAAAATTCTATAGAGACCAGGAAGAAATGATCAAGAAGAAATTACAAAAGTGGTTCCATTGGGACGAAGAGCAAGCTGATGAGAAAATGGAGAGACTAGAAAGGTATCGTCTGGCAAAGTTGTTGAAATCCTCGTTTGTTCTCTTGGCGGGGGCCTCGGCCGCTTTCTCTTTGCTTGCCATCCAATACCCAATATCAAAAGTACAAAAGATTCATTTGTCCAGACTCGAAGCCTACGATTTTTATAATGCCTCAACGAGAAAAGAAAAGCCCTTTTTCAAACTTTATTATAACTCGTACATTGACACATTCAATCAGGTATTAAGAATGAAGCGAAGAGCAAAAATAACATGGTTTCAAGCTGCATATAGTGGATTCGCGAGGAATGCATTGACAACCATTCCTGCAACATCCATAGCATTGCTTGTATTTGAAATCACAAGAACAAGACTTGCAGACAATTTCGACGACTACGAACTCCTTGATGCATGATGATGATGACACACACACACACACACACACACACACACAAATCATACATTTATAGAACTTATAGATTTTTGGAACTCTGACCAATTCGTTGTAGGTACGCACTCCATCCAGCTTGTCGGTACCTTTCACCTTCAACTAGTGGATCTCTTCCTTTTCCAAACAACCCCCTCCCCACAATGATGATATCTGTTCCTGTTGAAATGACCTCATCAACAGTTCTGTACTGCTGGCCCAAGCTATCTCCTTTGTCATCCAAGCCAACGCCTGGAGTCATTATAACCCAATCGAACCCTTCCTCTCTACCTCCCATATCTCTCTGAGCTATGAAACCCATTACAAACTCCTTGTCCGACTTGGCGATTTCTACTGTTTTTTCAGAGTACTCTCCATAAGCAAGAGAGCCCTTTGATGAAAGCTCAGCCAACATTAACAAACCTCGCGGTTTATCAGTGACTTCTTTAGCCCCTTCTTTTAATCCCTTAACAACTCCTTCTCCAGTAACACCATGAGCATTAGTGATATCTGACCAATGTGCAATCTTGTATACACCGCCAGTATATTGTGCTTTCACTGTGTTTCCAATATCGGCAAACTTTCTGTCTTCAAATATCATAAATTTGTGCTTCTTAGCAAGCTCAAGTAAAGGAACAATTGTTTTTTCGTATGAGAAATCATTTATGATATCAATGTGAGACTTGACTAAACAAATAAAGGGTCCTAGTTTATCAACCAAGTCTAAGAATTCTTCTGTTGTTCTAACGTCGATCGAGGCACACAAGTTGGACTTTTTTTCATCCATTAGCTTAAACAATTGCCGAGTCACAGGTGACAGGCTCGCATCGGCCCTTTCTGTGTATGACTTGACGTTCACCATTTGAATGGTTGGGGGTGGGGAGATAAAGACAATGAGATGAGATAATCTCTTAACATTTTGAGATGGACCAAAATTTTTCAGTTGATGAAAATCTACTGATAATGTTGGCGCGACGACTGGCGCGACAAACTACGGCGACGACGATTCCTGGCGCGACAAACTACGGCGACAAACTACGGCGACGACGATTGCTAGTGCTACCCAAAATTTGTAATTTTCTTTGGTTACCTCACCTTTCTATCTATCTACATCAACATTACTACCCACTTTCCAGCTCAATAACTTTCTTCGTTTTCGCTTCTTCCACGTTTGGTGTTTCCTCTGCAATAGTTTCACACATCAAACCCAACTCTTGGTTCAATTGAGGAAACAAGGTTCCTATTTTTTCCACAGACGTTTTCAAAATCTCCTCATGGTCATTTGTCAAAATTCCGTTAGCTTGTAATACAAGAACCATATTCTTTAACGTCTCCTTGTTCGATTCTACCAGCTCTGGCTTCAACAACTTGCCATTGATATTTACAAAGTCTTGCAACTTATCCAAGAGTTGAAACCACACAAGCTTGACATCATCTATATGCAACTCATCAACATTCTTCAAAAACACTTTACTCACTAACGAAAATACTTCATTCTGAGTTTTGGCAAACCCATTTGCACCGCCTTGGAATACGTATGGCTTGGATAATTCCGATAATAAAGGAAAAAACCCAAATTCAAATATACCGCTGAAACTAACATCGCCTTTTATTTCAATAGACGCAGTAATCGTATGCAATGTCTTAACAGCATACTCTCTCACTTCTCGACAGGGATTGAAACATTGGTGAGCCAATGCCTGTATCAAAGAATACGATAACCCATTTTTTTGAAATTCTTCTCTTTGGAGCATCGAGGCTAATCTAGCGGTCAACTCGATGGACTGCTTTGCCAAACTAATTACATCATTGTAGTACGGGTTGGGTGCCAAGTTGCCGCCTTTATACTCACTTTCATGTTCGTATTGGGAGCCAATAGCACCTAATGAGGATATTTCATCCATGAGTCCCAAGATTGAGATAAAATTATCGGGACTAATATCACAACCGTTTGAGTTTGAGTTGGATATAAAACCTTCAAGGAATGGAACAATATCAGAAGCGTAAACTTGAAGGGAGCCGAAAAAACGCAATGAGTTCCAATAACTTTCATCGAGTAGTAATTTTTTACAACACCAGCTATCCTCATCCAAAAGAGATAATAATGGTTGTAATATTTGACCCCCGTGCTTACTTATTAAATCTTTGTCGAAACTGCTTAATGATTTTATTGTCGACATCAAAGTTTCTTCATTCTTGTAATATCTCAACAATAAAAGCTTGTATGTAGTTAACCTCAACTGGCCTCTTGTGCTCAATTTAGAAGCTTCAAGTTTACTCAAAACCACCTCCATCAAATTCTGATTATTTAATAGTAAACAAAAACAAACACTTGCTTCTAAAATGAATAGTGTTTCTGTTTCATAATACCTTTTTGTTTTATCAGTCTGCTCCTCGGGGAGGGAGGACAATAGTAAATGAATGAACGCCTGTAAGTTTTTTGGTTCGCTTTTAGATACAATTGCAAAAATGTTGGGAATATTGAAGGACGCGATGCAGTCCATTGAAGAAATCGTTGCTTCAACCTCGGCATCACTAGGTTCTGGGGGCTCGTCACTATAGCTTTTGAGAAACGAGGAAAAGGTGGACAAAATTCCTGAGTTGTTTAAAGGTTTAGGTCTGCTGATAACAAAATGCGGTTGCACTTTTGGCAATGGTCCAATTTGAATCTTTTTCTGAAACTCAACAAACAAATTCGGATCAACTAAACAATTCTCAAACAAGTTCAAAATCACTTCAATCACTTTGTTCCATGACTTGGTAACTTTGCAATTGCTCTTTCTGATCAATCTAAAAAGCATAACGGCAGCTAACTGTGCTTTGAAATCTCTTCCAAACCATACAGCCAAATTTCCCACGTAAACTTCTTCTTCTTTCTTTTCAATCTTGATTTGAGTAATGGGTATATCATCCCTGATATTGTCATCGTGTGGGCCTTTCCTGAAGTAATCTTTACTGAGATTACAAAATTGAATCAATCTCAAAGTCAAATCATCAACTGCGTCATAGAGCCCATGTGCCAAACATATGTTTGTGATTTTGTCAATACAAGACATTAATCGAGTTACCACATGATCGTCTAACGCCTCCTTGTAAACAGTCATCAATGTTGTAACGAGTTGTTCTATCACATCGGCAAGCAAAACTTTGTCGAAATTGCACAACTCTTGTATATCAAGCTCAATCCTGTCGCAGTGGTTGATGTCCTGCGTAGACACCAAGTTGTGCCAAACATCGTCAAACCACTTATCGGTTCCATGATGCTCTTCTGGCATTATGATTTCTCGGTCCTTTATCGAACAATAAATCTTTGAAAGATACCAGGCAGGAAAGTCCTTACCATTGTAAACGCCTCTCAAATTTCTTTCGTAATCATCTAAAAGCATTTGACGTTTAACCTGTGGATTATGCAAATCGGTGTTCAACATGATTATTGAATAGGACAAAATAAAAACAGAATCTTTATCGGGCCGTACAATCTCATCTCCCCCTACTCCCACTACTCCACCACCACTGCCACTTTCTCCCGCAGAACTACGTCTTTTTGTTGGAGACTTCATCGAAAGATCAACATGGTTGAGTTCCGAGTTTTTCTGGCACGACACGTATTTTTCAGCAAATTTTTCAACAATTCTTTCAATCTGTTGCGATTCACCAGGTAATCTAAACGACTTCAATAAAATTCTTAAAGCTTCATCAACACGCAAGTTTTCGAAATCAAATAAACCTATAAAGATATCAAGTAAATTTGAATTTTTAGGTTTTGCAAGATATTCTCCAAGAATTTTCTTGTTCAATCGACCAGATTTTGAGAAGAAAAAATTAGCTATTTCTTCGTGGTCCGAGTCGTCTTTGATAAATTTTTCCCTTGCCAACATTTTTATCCCTTCCTTTGGATTCTCATTCAATAATTCTGTGCACCTAATGAAAGCTGTTTTCCTGCGTCTATTTTCAATATATCGATCCAGAAGTTCCGATTTGGAGCCTCCTTTGTGAGCTTTTGATCTCTCGCTAACACCAGCAATGAACGATAGTATACCTTCCAAACACAATGGCGGAACATTGTGTGTTGTAGAAAATGCCGCCTCTGGTAAAGATAATTTGCACAAAAATTTCAAAAAATCAGTAGACAAGTCAGTTTTTTCAAAATCGCAATCGTAATCCACAAACAATTGTGTGAAAAATGCAGGCGACCTTGTCCATAATAAACTCAATGACTCTAGCATGAGTTCTTTGGAAATGGGTGACCGAGTTTGTACGTTGGCTTTTCTAGCTTGGCTTTTCTCAGTCAGGAGTGCTTCTGGTTGTAGTGTTTGAAGGATTATACGTATCGATAATTCAAATTGAGGCTTGAGCTGGTTACCCAAAACAATCGAGATTGTTGAGAATAGTTGTAAAGCTGACTTCAACAAAGAAATGGAGTCGGTGGTGGTCACGATTTGCAAAACGTATTTTGACACGGGATCTGCAATCATCGTTAATAATGACGGATACTTTGCCAACTCAAACCCTGCGACTTCCACGGCTGCATTTATCAACGACAAAGCAAACACCCTTGTACTTTCCATATGTTGATGCTGATTTGATGGAGAAATAATGGACACAAGAATGCCCAAAAATTCATTAATGCAAACTATACCAAATGGTTCATCGGCCTCTTCTTCACTTGAAGGTCGAAGATGTTTTTGCTCAGAACTAGTAGTTGCCGCTGCCTCTGTAGTAACATTTTTCGAAACCGGTTCGGTTCCATTATTATTCAAAACGGTTTCTCTATTCTCTGCTTCCGATTCTGCCTCTGTGCCCCCAATCACATCCTCTGGCAATTTTGTATTTGTAAAATTTGTACGCAAGTCATTTCCCATATCGTGTTCTGGCTCGAGCTCTTTTAACTTTGAAAATATCTTTACGGTGATAGAAACCATTGACATTTCGGCTGCTCTTCTCAAAACTTCGCTTCTTCTCTTATTACAAGCTAATGAAAGACACGTTTGTACAATTTCTGAAACGCTCTCGTTTGGAAGAAGAGTTGCAAGAGAGCTTTCAACCAATTTCTCCAATAACCTTAATACTTTTAGTAAAACCGCATCGTCTGAATTCTGGTCTTCTGCTTCAAACCTGCAATGTGTCAATGCGGAAACAATTTGAATCAAAGAGTTTTGCACGTTTTTCGATTCTAGTGAGATAAGGTCAAATATGAGAAACTTGGACACGGCATTCAAGGCCAATCCCGTCACATATCCCGAGGTGGTTGATGATTTAATGACAAGAAGGAAAGGTTGGAGTAAAGTTAGGCTGTCGATTTCGTAGATGCTTTCGGATTCGCACAAAATAGATCTCAACTGTAAAAAAGATGATAGTAGCGGGCTATCCAGTCCTCCGGCTTTACCACCGCCTGTTGTTGCTGCTGCTGCTGCTGCTGCTGCTGCTCCACCTGATCGGCTATTGCATGTGGTTCCATTATAGTTGATGCTTTTATCCAGGAAACCGCGACTACTAAAATTGTTGGCAAACCCTTCATCGCTGGGGTCATCGTCAGTATCATGGCTTCCAAATATGTCACTAGCGCTCAACAATGCAGCGACACCAGTTTGAGACCATCTATTTGTTCTACGCATTGCGGAAACCATAGTCATGGACTCATTTATTGCCAATGTTGTTGGATCAAGACTAACCTTTTTGCGAGATGCCCAATTCGGCCGGCTCTTTGGTCTTGAGTTTGTGCTATCCATCATAAATTGTAAATGAGTATAGGTCAGGGATAGGTCAGGGATAAGTCAGGTATAGGGCAAGTATAGGTCAAGTATAGGTCAGGGATAGGACAAGTATAGGACGGGTCTTGGACAAGTATAGGACGGGGACGGTCTTGGACAGGTCTTGGACAAGTATAGGACGGGTCTTGGACAGATCTTTGAACAGGTCTTTGGACAAGTATAGGACAAGTATAGGAAGCTTAATAATTGGCAAGAGGGGTGATAAAGATGATCAGTATTGAGTTATAACAAGTTATGTTATACCCCCCCTAGTCTTGACCTTTCGTGGTGTATGCACAAGAAAACGTCTTGGCTCAATTCCACTCTGATTTGAAACTTTTTTGGATCTTCCAATTGAGCAGCCTTTTTACCTTTCAACTATAGTTACTTGGATCAAGTTTCAACAAATTTTCAACTTGTAAACCACCAAAAAAGTTTTTTCTTATATCTGATAATGCCAGCGTAAAAGAAAGAAAGAACAATAGAGAAAAAAAAGTTGATTGCGCGACACTAGCGAGCTAGGGAGCGAGCTAGTGGAGCAAGAAAAAGACAAGAATCACTTGTGAGTATCACTTGCGAGCGTCACAAGTCAGGTCAAGACGAGCCATATGAACAGAAAAAAGAAGAGTGAGAAGCGAGACAAAGGTGAGAAGGAGGTAAGAAGGAGGAGGGAAGGAGGAGGGAAGGAGGAGGAACAATTAAGCCAATTGACTGAGTTTGGACTTGAAGCCAAGTGAAGTGACTTTAAGCTGATAATGTGTTGGCTCGCTGACTATAAGCTCGCTGACTATAACCTGTTGACTATGAGCTCACTGACTATGAGCTCACTGACCTCAAGCCATTGACTCTGATCTCACTGACTTCAAGCTGTTGACTTTGGGGGAAGAGAGAAGAAAGAGAACCAATTCAAGCTAATTATTACTATCAAGCAGTGCAACATATTGTCGTTGGCAGCTAGTGTCGGTAGCAGCAAGGGTGCTCCACTACCTCGCTTCGCTCGATAGTGTCGATAGTGTCGGTAGCAGCAAGGGTGCTCCACTACCTCGCTTCGCTCGATAGTGTCGATAGTGGAGGTATATAATGTCGCGTTGAATAATTCACGACACAGCGGTTTGCGACTTTATCTCTGAAAAATCATCTCAAACCAAACTTATACAAAGGGCATAAAGGTATAAAGGTATAGAAGATAATTGTCAGTGGAGATAAGTGGACTGATTTAGAGTTGATCTTCGAAATAAGCCTGTGTGTTTCCATTCTTTTTGGTGGGTATAGCTTTTAAGGTGTCAGCATAGCTTTTAGCTTCCTTTTTATTGGTGTAGCTTATATGGCTTCAATAGCTCCAAAAAGAAACGAGGTTTCTATAAAAACGCAATTTGGAAGCAAGAAGAAACTCTCTATAGGATTGAGAGGTAACGGCTTCCGTAACAACAAACTTGTCATCCGCTTGCTTCCTCCGGACTTGCACGAATCTGAATTTTTAAACCAATTAGCCAGTTACTATCCATTCCATGCCTCGAAAGTACTACAGTTTTATTATGTAAAAGGATCGTATCCTCAAAAGCCGTTTGAACTCCCAGCATACAGCAGAGCATACCTCAGCTTCAAAAACGTACCTGACATGACAGAGTTTAGCAACTATTTAAGGGAAAAACCATTTAGTGATGACACAGACTCAATTATACCCATTATTGAAAAATCTTTATTTCACAAAATGGTTGGTGCTAAACAAACGACACCTGATAATGGTGGTAGTGGTGGCGCCAAAACGAAATCAACTTTGGCAAAAGATGAAATTTATCAGTATTTCTTGAGTTTTTTAAACAAAGAAATTCCCGATTTCAATTTGATCAAGGTTAAAAAGTTATTGAAGAAGAAACATAAAGATGATCCAAAAGCTAATGTAAAGGTGAACAAGAAGAAGAATAAAAAGAAGAAAAAGAAATTAAAACAAAAGAAGTTGGAAGAGGATACGCAAAGCAGGGACGCAAAGGGGAATACGGCTCAAGGCAAGGACGCAAAGGGGAATACAAATCAAGGCAAGGACGCAAAGGGGAATACGACTCAAGGCAAGGACGCAAAGGGGAATACGACACAAGGCAAGGACGCAAAGGGGAATACAAATCAAGGCAAGGACGCAAAGGGGAATACAAATCAAGGCAAGGACGCAAAGGGGAATACGACTCAAGGCAAGGACGCAAAGGGGAATACAAATCAAGGCAAGGATGCAAAGGGGAATACAAATCAAGGCAAGGACGCAAATGGTGATACAACTCAAGGCAAGGATGCAAAGGGGAAGACCAAAAAAAATGTTACAAAAGCTAGTAATCCGGAAGACGAGTCTGCCAATATCGCTAAAAAGAGGAAACTCAAAAAACCCAAAAAAAAGAAAGAGGTTGAAGTAGATGCCACTAAAACTGCTTCTTCTGTGGAGGGGAATAAACCTCTGCGACTGAAGAAGAATCGAGCTCTAAAAAAGGAAAAGGCCGAAGCCTCCAAAGGGAACAAGAATGAATCTTCACAAATTAACCAACACAATTCTACAAAACCGGTTCCAATAAAACCAATGAAGATTCTTACTACGAGAGACGAAAAAACTGGTTGACAAGATACTGTTACTGTCTCTCTTTTTTTTTTATCCCCATCTTCATTCTATATGGTTCTTTTATAATAGTCCCTAAATGAAGTCCAAGCCAATCTCCATTCTCTCTGTTGTAATCTTGGATTCAATATATCAAAGTCGTATTTTTCCAATTTACGCAAGTATAAACTTGTAGGAATTCCAATCATCATAGGAGTAAATATAGTATCGGGAACGTTACCTCTCCAATTTTTGGAATATTTCAGCAATAGTTCATCTTTACGATGCAGATTGATAACATCTCTAACTTGAACTTTAAAATCGGCTAGTTTCTTCCGTGCTGTTAACATATGATCATTTGCAACTATTGATGTTTCGTAAACAACTTGTTTTAAGCAATCTCTAATTTCAAACTCGTCGTCACTAGTATCGGTTATGTGGCCCTGGAACAATCTCAAAACGGATTCTTGAGAAAGGTTATTCTTGGTCATTAAATCAACGGGCAAAGTCACTTGGTTTCTTGATGACGCATAGAAACGCAATCCATTGATCATTGATGCTATAGCTGTGGCTTGTCCGATATGTGCTGAAATATCTGTGACAAGAGTTTGTAAATCATTTGAAAGCTCCAACAATTTTATTGACGAAGGTGAAATGGACGGAGATAGCAATAATCCCTGAGTTAAGTAGTTAAGTTGCGAATATGTTCCTTCCCCATAACTGCATATATCATTAGTGGTATTGAAGATGGCATTGTTCTTGATAAAATGCCTCCTTGTTTGCAAAAACTGCTGGAAATAAGAGATATCCAAATTCAAACCGTTTCGTAGACCATCTCTCAACAACATGGCTATTGGTTCACCCAATTCCTGCGAGCTGGTATTAGCATCTCCAGTAAATACACGCAATACCAAATCACTCCAAAACTTGAACTTCAAATCAGCAGTTGATACTTGCAAAGTTTGAGCCATTTGATTTGATGCTTGAAAGGCTCGGGAATTGACATTTTTCCCACCATCGTGGATCTTGTTGACTTCCAAATTGAATGCCCGTATTGCTAGGAACGTGTTTCTTGCTGGCTCGGGGACATACTGTGCTAAAATATACGATGAACGATCACTTTTTTCAAGCAATTGATTGACATTCTCTACTGAGCGATGAATAAGTCCCTCGTACTTGCCATTTTGTGAATAAAACCGCTCACTAAACCTGCCGCAAATCACCCTCCGTCTGCAAAACCCACCATACCAACCATACCTCATCCGCCGTTTACATAGTGACATCATATCGTAACAAACTGCCCTGTTTAAATCAAAGAGGTATTGGGTTTCTTACTTGCCTTGTAAAGGTCTAGATTCAGATGATCGCTACCAAATAAAATACAGGAATATTTTCAATCTTTCAAAGAGTTTCTTCTAGACCATTACAAAAGGATGAAGATTGGACAGCAAGTGTATCTTGATATTGCCATAGAATCGAGAAAGGTAGGAAGGATAGTAATTGGGCTTTACGAGTCTTTAGCTCCCAATGCGTGCAAAAACTTTTTGAACTTGTGTCAAGGTTGCACTATTGATGGTAAAGTTTACACGTACAAAGGCAATCGATTCAATAGAATAGCTGATCATTTTATGGTACAAGCTGGTGATTTAGATGGTAATATTTCAACAATTTATGGTTCAAATGTGACAAGGTCTATGCCGGGCGAGAATTTGTTGAATGAGATACCCTCCTTTTCGCTTTGTCAGGGAAATTTTGGTGGTGATGAAGGAAATGGGTCTCAATTCTTTATAACCACTGTGCCGCTGCCTAAACTACCAAGGGAATATACTGTGTTTGGACGGGTTATTCACGGGAAGCAGGTGTTGAGAACGATTGAGAAACAAAAAATAAATCAAGAATCTGTGCCCATTGTTTCAATCGTGATTGAATCATGCGGAGTATGGAACGAAAATATGGGCATAGAAATAAATGGCAACAAAGACAGTGACAACAAAGACAGTGACAACTCTGAAAATGTTGAAGTAACTGTCTCAGAAAGTCCCGGGGTCGACAAAAATTTCAATCCAAAAAACCTTGAAACTGCTCTTAGAGTAGCAACCACAATAAAAGAAGCTGGAGATTTAGTTTTCAAAAATGGCGATAAACAACAGGCAATATCAAAGTGGGAAAAGAGTTTAAGGTACAATGCTGAATTTGACCCTGACGAAGACAGAGAGCCACAATTGTACAACAAGTATAGGGAATTGAAGAAAAAGTGTTATGCAAATATTAGCTTAGCTTCCTTTCAGTTATCTAGATTTGCCAATGCTACAAAATATGCAACTTTTGTGTTGGAGATGGACGGTATCACGAGTCAGGATAAAGCAAAAGCTTTGTATAGGAGAGGATCAGCTTATGCAAAAATGAAAAGATATGATGAGGCTTTGGCTGACTTGAAGGGTGCAAGTACAATAGTGCCTGAAGATGAGTGTATTTCCTCAATGTTGGGTTATGTGGAAAAAGCACTTGTTCAAGAGAAAGAAAAAGAGAGGGCAAAATACTCAAAGTTTTTTAAATAGACACAACGAGACTCTGTCTCTTATCAACAGTGTGTAGGTCAGTACCCCCCAGCAAAGCTTTTCTCTCTCTCTCTCTCTCTCTTTAACCCATAGTTAATAAACTTTCATCTTCAAAAGCAACGTCTCCAAATTCCCAACATCCAACATGATTAGCCTTGACCTGTTTTTGTACTCTCAACAACTCCTCAACATAATCCTTCACATTAGGTGCTACATTTTTATCATCAACCACCGCCAAGCCTTCTCTGACCAATTCTTTATTTATAGTATAAGATGCATCCTTCAAACTTATCTCTGCATCGTACAAAACACCATTATACTCCGCGTCCTGTCCAGGTAATGCACTGATGACTAATTTTTTGTCATATGTGAGATCCTCCAATGCACATATTGCATCTTCGAGGTAACCTGGAGGCAATTTCAAGTTTTGTAAGGTTGCAGTATGGGCAAATTGAGGATATGCTGCTAGATTAAATTTGGAAGGTAAATAACGTAAACTTGAGAGTGGTACTTTATCCTTGTTACCATAATCAAGATGGATCACTTGATACTTGTTGGTTGCTTTATCGAGCCCAAGGAACTTTGCACGATAGTATTTACCATCTTCGCTGAACTTGGCCGAAACAAGTTCATTCTTTTTAGGTGCTTTGTCGTAGTTTACTGGAAGGTCTTGACTGAGTTTGGAAGCGCTTGGCTGTTGAGAATGGAATTGTTGAAATTGTTGCTTGAACGAAGTGAATATTTGTTTTGTTTTAGAATCAGCCATGTGGAATGATATTACACCAGGTAATTCAATTCCAACTACCTCAATGTCAAAAAACTTGGGTTTTACTGTGCTAGTGTTCGTAGTAGTAGTAGTAGTAGTAGTAGTAGCAGTGGTGTTGGTGTTGGTGGCGGTGTTACTAGAAGCTGCTAACTGAGATTCGGCTTCAGCAGCATCATAATTCTTCCATAAACCCTTCTTTTCTTCTTTTGCTTGATCTTCAGCTTGGATCATTGCTGATGCTTGTGGATTACTATTGATGGCAAAATCATGAATCTTGACTAAACCCTGTTGCAATAATTGTACCTGTACTGGCACCAATGCATTTGCATTTGCAAATAAGTTACCAATAAAGGAACCCAATTTGTCAGTACCAAAAATCTCAAATTCAACTGGTCTTTGTAAATATTTTCTGTTCAAAAAATCAGTACCTTCGGTTGAAGCGTCACTTTTCTCATTAGACAATCCACTCAAAATTAATGTCAACTTCATTCCATCTTTTGGATTGAAAAGCTTTACCCTGGTTGCATTTGGGACAAACTCAACATAATAACCTGTAATTCTTCCCTTTTGTTTAAAGCCATTAAGGAATGTCTTTGCTTTAGTAAGATTTTCTGAGGCATCAATAATCCTGGTACCAACAGTAAGCACCTTTTTCAAGTCTCCATACATTCCCCTTTTCGACTTTTTAGCTTCTTCTTCCAACTCGATCAATTTATCCCAGTTCATTGAACGTTCGTTTTGAGTAGCCTTGTTGTGTTTAATCACAGTAGCAAAACCTGAACTAACGAGTAATTCGGAAATATCAGTATTTCCAAGTTTCAAGCTCACCAAGAATCTAGCTGGTAAATTTAAATCTTTGTTTTCTTCTCTATATCCATCAACGTATAAAGTCCCCTGTTTTCCAATAGTTTGAGCTCTAACAAATTCTTTTGCTGTTGCAACTAAGGCTTGTTGCTTTGCCGAATCTGTAACAACTGTGGTATCATTAGGTTTAGGCCCCCTAACAGATGCCAATTGTACAGTAGCTTCTACGTCGCCACTGCCGCCAGGCAATCTCACTGTTAAAGTATCGGCGCTTATAATTTTTGCAACTGTGACGTTGACTTTCTTTCCCGGTGCTAAACTGGAACTCGTGTTTACCTTTATACTGGTGCTTTTAGCATTTGCGAAAATACCCTTGCCCAAAGCTCTTGCAGTTTGTTCTGCTTTTCTCAATTTACTCATTGTCGAAGAACCAATTAAGCTGGATTGCCAATCAACAATCTCTCCATACCCCAGCTCCAAGACTCTTTCCGAGATATCCTTTATCAAAGCAATTGGCAAACCAGATTGGTTTTCGCCAATTATTGTTACTTCCAACTCATCTCTAGTTAAAAGATTTTGTTCAACAAAATATTTAGCTTCTTTTGCCACTTTGGTGAGATTTTGAGGTTGTTCCGTAGCATCTGTTCTTGGTGATTTTACTCCTGCTAACAACAATGGTGTTTGAGCAACAACTGAGTTTTTATTTACATAGATGTTTCCTACAATTCTGTCTCCGCTAATAACTTTATCGACGATTAACTTCATTGGTTTCCTTTGTGACGCCAAGATGATTTCTTCAGTTAATGGCACTATCTGTGTTGTCTTGGATTTTTTTGCTGCCCACAAACCTACGTTTTTGGCTTTAGCAGTTTGTTCAATGTGCCTCAATTTTTCAACCTCTTCGTCATCGGGAAGGTTCTCCTTTACTTTTACATACCCATTAGTTAACAAATACTCAATTAACGAATTGAAAATGGGAGCTTGTATATCACCAAATTCTCTATTTGCAGCTTTGTTAAAGACTTTGAACTTGATTACCTTACCGAGCAACAATTGACGTAAATATTCCTTGGATTCAAACTCATCAATTGGTTTGACATAGGAGAGTGTAATGATTCTTTCTGGTGGTGGAATTTGAGCAGACTTTGTTGGAATGGCAACCACAGTGTCTCCACTTGAGACATTCTTAATTTTAGCAACAAATACTGACATCCTGAGTGAAAAAAAACTTTCTCCTAAAGAAAGGGGCAATCCTAGTTATTAGATAAAATAGGTTATTGATCTCTAATGGGGGGGGGGCCTCTACTACGCTCTAGCATTTTTCAGCACAACAAACAAACTTTTGTAAGGATGTCAATTGGTAGCCTCGCGTCATGATGTTAGTCACGTGATTGAAGAAGGAGAAGAAAAAAAAGAATAAAGAACAATAAGGTGGTGGTGCTTTAGGTGAAAGTGCCACGTAGCAAAGATAGTCTCAAACGACACTATCCGACACTATCCGACACTATCGAGCAGAGCGAGATAGTGTCGCAGCACCTTGTAACTTGGTCTTTCAACTGGAAAGTGTTGCGACACTATCGAACGACACTATCGAGGAGAGCGACACTATCGAGCAGAGCGAGATAGTGCTGCTCAATAGTGCTGCTCAATAATGCTGCTCAATAGGACACGTGATCTTGTACTTTTTGCAACATAGGGTCCGAAAAAAAAATTAATTATAAAATAGATTTGATTTTGATTTTGATTTTGATTTAGTATTTTGAATCACCACAAAGACCTGGTAAATGATAAAGCTCTATCTTTTATGGAGCGAGCCTGACATGGCCTTACAATGTCGTTAGGCAGCGTGCTCCACTATCTCGCTCCGCTCGATAGTGTCCCTCCGCTCGATAGTGTCGCTACCGTAATATATCTTAACTGCTACCAACTGTTTACTCCCCTTTTTGGTTTTTACGAATTTGACGAAATTTACGAAACATCAATTATCTTACCCGATTTGGCCATATTGTAAACACCCAAGAATTAAATTGAGGTACCAGTGTTTTTTATTTTTAGAATTTTTAAAGGAGAGTTTGATACGACCCTTTCTTCAAAAACTATTTATTTTTTTTTTTACCTTTTGTATTACATGGCCTGTTACCAGGTTGAAGTCAAGGTATTGCAACTAGTAGGGCTTTAGCTATTGAAATTAGTAAAGCTTTAGCACTAGTGAAAGGATTTTTAGTTGGCTATTTTCTGTTAATTCGTTGCACTTGTATTCCGAATAAGATCCATTCTTGATTCACTTTCAAATAAAATAAAAAAAATTTGCATAAACTCGATGTCTAACGTTCCAAGTGACAACTATTCAGAAGACGATTTATTCGACGATATAGATACTATTCGTCTGCCGTCAGATTCATCGCCTTCACGACGCACTCCGCTTTTGACTACCGATAGTAATAGTAGTAGTAATAATAATCCTTTTGCCAGTTCATCATACATGTCATATAGTGGTGGCACATTCACCTCTCCACATGGTCCTAATAGGCAATTTACAAACTCGTCGTATGGTACAATAGTAGATGAGTATGGGGGTATTGGTGTCAGTGGTAGTAACGAGCATGAAGGCATCGGTTGTAGTGGTGGTACTGATTTTGATGATGATGATGATGATATGATGAGTGATTTCTACCCCAAAAAATCCAAAACCGTGGCTTTCGATGATGAAAAGTTGAAATATCCCCCTACGGCTTACAATCCAGGCACATCTTCCCAAACGTTTGACTTTGAATACGATATGGATGATAACGAGAAATCACTAAGAATGAATGGGCTGGATAATTTCCTTGGTGATAACTATATGATCAATCCTTTAGTTGACGCTGACGAGGGCGCAGTAGGAGACGACGACGACGACGACGACGATATATTCGATGATGACGATAGTTTGTTTTCTCTGGGGGACGCTGAACTAATAAGAAGGGCCACTACGCTAAAGCGACGTGGCGGGTTGATAGGGACAAGTATACAAAAGACAAAAAGTCGTGGGTCAACGATTACTTTTGACGATGAAGAGTTTAAGAAATTGACATATACAAAGACCATCAAAAAGGCCAAACTTATTAATGGAAACTACGTAATTGATGTACCTGCTCCAAAAGCACTTTTGGAGAAGTATGAGTACGGTGATGGCAATGGTGGGAACGAAATGAAGTTTTTGAGATATACCGCGGCAACGTGTGGTCCTTCAAACTATACCAAATTTAACTATAATTTGAGACAAGCATTATATGAACCACATAGAGAAACGGAGATAATGATTATGATTACCATGTACAATGAAGACGAAAATTTACTAGCTAGGACGTTGAAGGGGGTATTTGAGAACGTTTCTGATTTGTCAAGGAGGTCCGACGCGACATGGGGCGAAGACTCATGGAAGAAAATCGTTATTTGTATCGTTAGCGACGGAAGATTACAGTTGAACAAGCGAACTCAAACTTTACTAACTGCATTGGGAATATATCAAGATGGGTATGCAAAGTCCAAGATTAATGACAAATCAGTCAAAGCACATATTTATGAATATACTTCAGCAGTGGGTATAGATACAATCACCGATCACAATGTTAATCTATGCACAAACGAAAACCCAATCCAGTTTATTTTTTGCTTGAAAGAGCATAATTTGAGAAAGATCAACTCACATCGATGGTGCTTCCAAGCTTTTGCTCCTATACTAAACCCCAAGATCGTCATGTTGTTGGATTGTGGTACGAGACCTTCCAAAAATGCATTTTTCTATCTTTGGAGATCATTCAAGGATGAAAACGTAGCAGGGGCATGTGGGGAAATGAGGGCATCCTTGGGACCAGGCAAGAAGCTTCTTGCAAATCCATTAGTTGCTGCACAAAATTTCGAATACAAAATTTCAAATATCTTGGATAAACCAATGGAGAGTGTTTTTGGATTTATTTCAGTGCTTCCAGGTGCATTTAGTGCTTATAGATATGAAGCATTGCTAAATGTAAATGGAGAAGGACCTTTGGAAAAATACTTCAAGGGAGAGTATTTACATCAGAGTACTGCTATCGGAAATAATGGTGAAGAGGAGGATGACGAGAAGGAGATTAAGGAGCGGAATTTTCAAGAAGCAGGAATATTCACTTCCAATATGTATTTAGCGGAGGATCGTATATTGTGCTTTGAGCTTGTAGCAAAAAAGAGTCACAAATATAGGTTGAGGTATGTCAAGGAAGCTAAAGCTGAAACCGATGTACCTGAACGCATTGATGAGTTTGTTCTTCAAAGAAGAAGATGGTTGAATGGATCGATGTTTGCAGCTGCCTATGCTGTGTTCCATTGGACCAAGATTTGGAGATCTGATCATTCGTTAATGAGGAAACTATTTCTTCAGTGGGAGTTTTATTATCAATTGGTAACTATATTAGTTTCTTGGTTTTCGTTAGCTTCCTTTTTTTTAGTATTTCGAATTCTTACTGCTAATCTAGGGGCTGTTGATATGAATTTCGAAACTGGGAAATACCTTGCAGTTATATTTGAATGGTTTTATGTTGGATGCATTGTTGTGACATTTGTGCTTGCATTTGGTAATAGTCCCCGTGGGACTCGAAAGTTTTATCTTGTTGTCTCGTATATCTTTGCAATAATGATGGCCTATATGATGTTTGCAGCAATTTTCCTTGCTGTTCACACAGCATCATTGATTTATGATCAACATCGAAATGATTTCAAAGTAATTTTGGTTTTCACAAATCAGAAATTTCGAGATTTGGTGGTGTCCATGGTATCCACTTATATTTTGTATTTTGTTGGTGCTTTCTTATATGGACAGCCTAGTTTTATGTTTACTTCGTTTGTTCAATACGTGTTGTTGTCCCCTACATACATCAACGTGCTCAACATTTATTCCTTTTGCAATATTCATGATGTTTCATGGGGTACAAAAGGTGTTGAGCAAGCCAAAGATCTAGGTTCGGCCAAGTTCATAGGCCAAGATAACCAAAACATTGTTTTAGTTGCACCTGAGATTAACCAAGAGTATGATGATGTATACCTTGCCAGTTTGGATAAATTGAAGCAAATGGAGCACGAACCAACGATAGATAAAATCAATTCTAAAAAATTCAAGGATGATTCGTATTATGCATTTATTAGAACTATAACTGTTTTAATGTGGATGTTGACTAATGCAATATTAGTGGCTATAGTCTTACGTACCATGGGTGTGGACATTTTGAGTGGATTACCAAGTACTTATACTGACGGGTCAATTGCTGGTAATTCCCAGATATTCTTGTCAATTATCTTGTGGATTGTTGCCGGGTTGGCGATATTTAGGTTTTTGGGATGTGTTTTATACTTACTTGGGCTGTGCGTGAGACCAATGAAATGGAAATTCATGGCAAGAAAGGAGAGGAAGAGGCAAAGGAGGATGGAAAGTAAATCCGTGATGGCGAGTCATGTATAGGAGAAGGTGGTGGTGAAGAAGAAGGTGGAGGAACTCACCTCAAGACTCACTAGATTACTTCGTATATATATGGTCACGTGATATAATCAAAATTTTGACTTTCTTTTTTATGGTAAAACAGAGATCCTACTCGTAAGCGACACTAGCGAGCAAAGAGAGTAGCTTCACTCCCTAGTGGAGTAGTAGTAAAAGTATTACCATCCACTCTTCAGAAGAGGCTGGCACTTCTTCTGAAGATAAGCCTTCTGTCTCTTCAGCATAGGCCAATTCAATGCCAGCTATTTATCTGAGATTATGCAATACTATACTGGGTTCGTTCAAGAATTTGACAAGGTCTTTGGTCTTTCTAAACTCATTAGACGTGAAATTGTTTTTCTACAATTGTACAAATATTCTTTTGAATGTTTTAATTATTTTGCAGCCAAAAAAAAAAGAAAAACATGAAAAATGAAAAGATACTAACTTAACTATACTGTTTCCATCACCTTTACACTCTTCATCAATAACACTATCTCGCTCTGCTCGATAGTGGAGCAACACTCAATAGCTGGTTACAATCGACAGGAAACGGTGTTATACTATTTTCCCCCTGCATAACCGACTCTCCCATCAAATTAACACATAAAAAAACGTTCAATGAACTTTTTTTCAATCACAGAGACGGTTAATGTTCAGAGAGGGTATTACTCAGCATATTCTATTATTTTCTTTCTTTCTTTCTTTTTTTTTTTTTTTTGTATCCGAGATAAGTTGTGATCGGCTTATCGGTTGGACTTATGTTTGTTACCTGACAACTGAGATAGACCATTTGATAAAAAATTTGGACGGATTTAAAATTTTTTTTTCTTTTTTCTTTTTATTTTTTTTTCGTTAGTCGCACGGGAATAAGAGCCAATCGGAGTTTTATGGATTTGTTGGAGGTGGTTGTTTGTCGATGGTCGAATAATTGCCGCAAGATTATTTCACTTTAGAGATAGTTACACAATGATTGTGTGTTTGAAAGTGTACCTTTTGTGAAATAGACAAAAGGGAGGGTTCCTTTTCTATTTGAAACATGGGATTAATAAACTTGTTTTACAAATTGGCCCTGGTTTCTAAATTTTCATCAACATCAAGACCATGTCAAACCCATGTGTGAAAAAAGCCGTTGTGTTTTTCTTATTTTGAATATTGGAATGGAATAGTTTTGTTCTGTACATTGTTGTTGATAAATGTGATGTCACGTGACGAAGTATATATGTAGCTTCGTAAAATAAGTGCGGTTTTTTGGATTATTTGCTTTACGTCATAATTGCAAATGAATACTGGATAAGATTCCAAATGGAAAGATTATCCCCCCCCCCCTCTCTCTCTCTCTCTCCTCCCCTCCTCCCCTCCCCCCTATTATGTTACATGTATTTTCACCTACTGATACCTATGTGTTAGGATGTAGTAAAGATGAGGAGAAGCCAAGAATCTTTACAGTATTCTTTTTCTTTTTACAGAAGTTTTATTTTTCTTTCAGATCTGTACAAATTTTTAGAAAAAGCTTGTATTATATAATTAAGATTGTATTGTATAATTTATTTTCTGGGAACAGCAAATTTTTGTGGAGGTAGAAGATGATGAAAAAAAGAGATCTTGATTGAAGAGAAGAGATCTTGACTGTTCATGGCTTTCTCCTGTCATAATGAATTGATATAGCATTCGGTTTAAGGGGAAAACAAACGTTTTTCATTAGTTTGATGCTTTTGGATAAGTGAGATGGGATAGGAAAGTAATAATAAACAATTGTCGTCAATCGGTAGCGCGGGAAAAACCTACATTTAGTTAGGTAGCTGGCGCTTCTAACCGATTTTGGTTTATCGACACTATCGACACTATCGAGCGAAGCGAGATAGTGGAGCAGCACTTGAGAGCAGCACTTGAGAGCAGCACTTGAGAGCAGCACTTGAGAGCAGCACTTGAGAGCAGCACTTGAGAGCAGCACTTGAGAGCAGCACTTGAGAGCAACACTATCGACACTATCAACACTATCGATAGTGAGATAGTGGAGCAGCACTTAATACCAACTCTATCTCGCTCTGCTCGATAGTGTTGGTATTAAGTTTCTGCCCTCGGCAAGTAAAAATAAACGGCTAAACTACATGAGTTTTTAATTCTTTGTTTTCTAATGCAAGCCACTTGAAAGAGATAAAGCTTATGCACAAAAACTAAGCCAGAAAAACAAAAGCAACAAAATCAATAACAAGTCAATTTCAAGAATTATGGATTAGCAAATACACTTAACACAGGCTACAACATTAAACAATTAAAATATACTTTAACCATTAGTAACCTAAAAAGTTAGTTAAACCATTAGTAACCTAAAAAGTTGGTTAAAGTAACCTTTAGTCAAACTAACAAAAAAAAAGAAAAACTAGTGTATAGCAAAAAACGAGTGCATCAATTTTCTAGATATACTTGAAAAAACCAATATGTTACAGAAAATCGTTCCATAATTTTTCTATAGTGTAAAACTGACACTACAGTCTAAATTGGCTCATCTGCAAATTGGCTCATTGGCTCATTGGCTCATCCTGTAAAGTGATGTAATAAATTAATCAATTTTTTTTTTTAGTCAGATCTGCAATATAGACCTGAGATTCAAAGAAAAGGATAAAAAAACTATGGTTTATCCTATCGTCGAAGTTGCCCAAAGTATATACTTGTATCGCAGGTATTAACACCACAGAATACTAAAAGAGACCGTAAATGTAATCCGAATAATGTTTATAACTTTATTATTCTACAATGTTTATAACTATTATTCTACAATGTTTATAACTATTGCTCTACAATGTTTATATTATTCTACAGTCTATAACTATTATTCTAAAATGTTTTGTTTACTATATTCCGGGAACGTGCGTCTACCATTTACTTTATAACCGATTCGGTCACACGGTTATATTAATCCAATTTCTCTTGAAATGGCAACCAAGTGCCGAAAAAAAAAAAATAGCGTTAGCGTTGAGAGGACGTGTGCGGCAATCCAAAAAAAAAAATAATTATGAGGGATTTATTAAACGATAAACGCATCCAGAAATACATATTCAACTACTAAAGTTGTATTTGCTCAATTGAGTGAAAACAAAAATACTCATTGGAAAAAGAAGAGACAAACTTTCTTTAGCCCTGAAAGAGTGTAATTTTTCAGTGCTACAAGATTTTTCATTGGGCAGAATCTTACCAGTATCATTACTAAATCGAATTGGCAAGCTGCATTTCTTTTGGATATCTCATTTCTTTTGGCTTTCGTCCGTCGTCTTCGCCGTCCCGTTCTTTCCCTCTTTTTCCTTCCTTCTCTTCTCTCTCCCCCCCCACCTACAAAACAAAATTTTTCCTCATTTCCTCATTTCCTCATTTCCTCTTTTGCTTTCCCACTATCTTTCCATTGTTCAAAGTTTTTATTTTCTTTTTGACTTTATTCTGTACCCATAAAAAAGGCCGCACTTTTTTCCCGTACCTTATAAAACCAATCTTGAATTCCCAATTAATTTTCTACAATTACAATTTACTTCTTTTTCCTTTTTGCTTGATTCTTCTTGCTTGAAATTGCTTGAAAAGGCGTTGTTTTAGTTTTCTTTTTTTTTTCACGGTTTTTTCCTCCCCCCCCCAAACGTCTCTAATTTTTTTTTTTCACTTTGGTTCTCACTTTGATTTGATACCATTCTTTTTATTAAACCTCATCGCAAGAGACTTTTTTGGAGAAAGAAGATAGGCCAACACACAGGTTTGTTTGTTCAAGATGAGTGCTACTCAACCTACTAATGAAAAAATTGACAAGAATGTCTCTGACGACGATGACGAGGACATTGATCAATTAGTTTTGGATTTACAATCCAACCCCGGTGCTGGAGATGAAGAAGAGGAAGAGCACGATGAGAATGCTTCATTTAAAGCCGTTCCTGAAGAATTGTTACAAACAGATCCAAGAACAGGTTTATCCGACGACGAAGTCCACAAGAGAAGAAAAAGATATGGTTTGAATCAGATGGCTGAAGAAAATGAAAATTTAGTTGTTAAATTCGCCATGTTCTTTGTTGGTCCAATTCAATTCGTTATGGAAGCCGCTGCTGTCTTGGCCGCTGGTTTGGAAGATTGGGTCGATTTCGGTGTCATTTGTGGTTTGTTGTTATTGAATGCTTTTGTTGGTTTTATCCAAGAATACCAAGCTGGTTCGATTGTTGACGAATTGAAAAAGACTTTGGCAAACACTGCCTTGGTTGTTAGAAATGGTCAATTGGTTGAAATCCCTGCAAATGAAGTTGTTCCTGGTGATATCTTGCAATTGGAAGATGGTACCGTTATCCCAACTGATGGAAGAATTGTTTCCGAAGATTGCTTATTGCAAGTTGATCAATCAGCTATTACTGGTGAATCGCTTGCTGTTGACAAGAGACACGGCGATAACTGTTACTCTTCTTCTACTGTTAAGACTGGTGAAGCATTTATGATTGTTACTGCTACTGGTGATAACACTTTTGTTGGTAGAGCTGCTGCCTTGGTTAACAAGGCTTCTTCTGGTACTGGTCACTTTACTGAAGTCTTGAACGGTATTGGTACAACTTTGTTGGTTTTCGTTATCATTACCTTGTTGGTTGTTTGGTGTGCTTGTTTCTACAGAACAGTCAGAATTGTTCCAATTTTGAGATATACTTTGGCTATCACCATTATTGGTGTTCCTGTTGGTTTGCCAGCTGTTGTTACCACAACTATGGCTGTCGGTGCTGCTTACTTGGCTAAAAAGCAAGCTATTGTCCAAAAATTGTCCGCTATTGAATCTTTGGCTGGTGTCGAGATTTTGTGTTCAGATAAAACTGGTACTTTGACCAAAAACAAATTGTCTTTGCACGAACCATATACCGTTGAAGGTGTTGAACCAGATGACTTGATGTTGACTGCTTGTTTGGCAGCTTCAAGAAAAAAGAAGGGTTTGGATGCCATTGATAAAGCATTCTTGAAATCTTTGATCAACTACCCAAGAGCTAAAGCAGCATTGCCAAAGTACAAAGTTATTGAGTTCCAGCCATTCGACCCTGTTTCCAAAAAAGTTACTGCTATTGTTGAGTCCCCTGAAGGTGAAAGAATTATTTGTGTTAAAGGTGCTCCATTATTCGTCTTGAAGACTGTTGAAGATGACCACCCTATCCCCGAAGATATTCACGAAAATTACCAAAACACTGTTGCTGAATTTGCTTCTAGAGGTTTCAGATCTTTGGGTGTTGCAAGAAAGAGAGGTGAAGGTCACTGGGAAATTTTGGGTATCATGCCATGTATGGATCCTCCAAGAGATGATACTGCTGCAACTGTTAATGAAGCTAGAAGATTAGGTTTGAGAGTTAAGATGTTAACTGGTGATGCCGTTGGTATTGCTAAGGAAACATGTCGTCAATTAGGTTTGGGTACTAACATTTACGATGCTGACAGATTGGGTCTTTCTGGAGGCGGTGACATGGCTGGTTCTGAAATTGCTGATTTCGTTGAAAACGCTGATGGTTTCGCTGAAGTGTTCCCACAACATAAATATAATGCGGTCGAAATTTTACAATCTAGAGGATATCTTGTTGCCATGACTGGTGATGGTGTCAATGATGCACCATCTTTGAAGAAGGCAGATACCGGTATTGCCGTTGAAGGTGCCACCGATGCTGCTAGATCTGCTGCTGATATCGTTTTCCTTGCTCCTGGTTTATCTGCAATTATTGATGCCTTGAAGACATCTAGACAAATTTTCCACAGAATGTACTCATATGTTGTTTACCGTATTGCTTTGTCATTGCACTTGGAAGTTTTCCTTGGTTTATGGATTGCTATTTTGAATCATTCCTTAAACATTGATTTGGTTGTCTTCATTGCCATTTTCGCCGATGTTGCTACTTTGGCTATTGCTTATGATAATGCTCCATATGATCCAAAACCAGTCAAATGGAACACTCCTAGATTATGGGGTATGTCCATTATCCTTGGTTTGATCTTGGCTATTGGTACTTGGATTACATTGACTACTATGTTCTTACCAAAGGGTGGTATTATCCAAAACTTTGGTGGTTTGGATGGTGTTTTATTCTTGCAGATTTCCTTGACTGAGAACTGGTTGATTTTCATTACCAGAGCTCAAGGTCCTTTCTGGTCAAGTATCCCATCATGGCAATTATCTGGTGCTGTTTTGATCGTCGATGTTATCGCTACCATGTTCACATTATTCGGATGGTGGTCACAAAACTGGACCGATATTGTTACCGTTGTGCGTATTTGGGTTTGGTCATTTGGTATTTTCTGTGTCATGGGTGGTGCTTACTACTTGATGTCTCAATCTGAAGCATTTGACAATTTCTGTAACGGTAAAAAACCTCAACCAAGACATGATTCTAGATCATTGGAAGATTTCCTCGTGTCGATGCAAAGAGTATCTACACAACACGAAAAATCTACGTGATCAAAAAAACCCCCCCCACTCACTTGGTCACAAGTTTTTACCATTTGCATTACCCATTATACCAAAGGTGTTTTGTTTAATGAAAACAGGGTTTTTCTTTTCTTTTTGAAGCAACATGTTTCCCCAATGTCGTTTCTTTAAAGGAGGTTCCCACACCTTTACCAGTTTTCTTCTACGTGAAAAATATTTTTAAAGAAAAAAAAAAGCATACAAAAAAAAAGAACATTACAGACTTTGATATAAAGAGAAAGAGAGAAATTTTATAAGCAAACATTTTCTCCCATATGACGTCCCCACCACTACTTTCCCCAAAAGTATCCCCCCCTCCTCGATGAACATTTTTCCCCAGATGTTCATATATCCCCATTTTGACCTTCACTCCAGCGATTGTTATTATTTATTTTTTTTTTTTACAAAGTTTTGTTGAGTTTCCTTTTTTTTTTTTTATTATGTTTTTCAGCATTTCAACTTTAATATTTTATATTTATATTACTATATAATTTTTTGACATTTACGTTTTTTAATAGATATTGATGATAGTAAACAGTTTTATTTGTTGTAAGAGATTCCAATTGGAGGTGACGAACGGTTTATCAGAAAGAAAGGGTTAATATCAACAGCATTGATTAGCAAAAGTATTTGCTTTAGTTACGCCATCAAATCCAAAACTTTCATCGCCATACCCAAACCCTAATAGTCCATTATACTTTACTTGTGAATAACTCCTTTCACCTACTGCACTTGCTTCGTAATTTAAATAACTTGGGCCGGGGTTCATCAATGTATATTTCACCTCTTGATCCATTCCTATTGTATCGAACAATAACTCTGAATTTGTTGATAATGTTGATGATTTTTTATATGACTTTAATGTCAGCCATGCCCTCAATAAGTTTGACCTAACATGTCTCAATATGGTTTCAATTGATTTTCGTTTGTCACGTGGGGAAAATTTAGAGTGGCTATCACAAAGTGGAACTGCGCTGAGTGATTCTGTACATGGGTAATATCTTGTTAGATTATCATTGAATTGAATCGAGGTCGGTGTTGTTGTTGTTGTTGATGATGATGATGATGATGATAATGAAACTACGCTTTTTTTTGAATCTTCTGGATTCGATACTTCTGGCTCGGTGAATAATGTAGCTAATTTTTCTGCAACCTTTGTTGTTGTTATGGCGGTTTTGGAACAGGAGGAGGAGGAGGAGGAGGAGGAGGAGGAGGAGGAGGAGGAAGCATTTACTGATGCGACCTGCTCAGCTGTGGTTACTTGAGTAGTAGGTGACGTTTTCTTTAAAACGCTTTTGAAAACAGGAGATTTCTTTTCGATTGGTACTATAGGGGTGTTTTCAGTATTGAAAGAATTATTAGGGAGTGAAGGTACACCATCGATATATGTTGATTCAAAATCATTGTTTTCAATGAGATTGGAATTTGCTTTGATTTCTGAGATTTGCATGAGTGAGACATCGGTAACGATTGAAATGCATTTTGGCTTTTTCTTCTTTTCGTTGCAACCAGATGCCATTGTGATTTGAGTTGTTGGTGAGGTTTTTTTCAAAATGGTTTTGAGACCTTGGATTTGGAAATTATTTTGTGGAACTGGTGATGTTGATTGGAGGTTTTGGAAATTATTTTCATTTGCAGGCGCTGACGTTAATGTTGGCAATTTGATTGGAATCGTTATAGAGAGATTGACTTCTTCCTTATCGATGATGTATCCCAATTTTTGTTTTACCAAGATTTTCAATTGCTCGTGATCAATTGTAAATAGTTTGTGAAAATCTTGTTCAGAATCAATCTCTATTGTAGTGGGTGACCAAACTGTATCCTTACACACTGGCTTGTTTGTATTCTGAGACATTACTGTATCCTTACACACTGGCTTGTTTGGATTCTGAGACATTACTGTATCCTTACACACTGGCTTGTTTGTATTCTGAGACATTACTGTATCCTTACACACTGGCTTGTTTGGATTCTGAGACATTACTGTATCCTTACACACTGGCTTGTTTGTATTTAACAAGAAACTAACTTACCAATAAGGAGCTGTTTGAAATCCATTACAAGTTTTCGCTACAATGTATCATTTCTCAGATGTTATGCTATGCTATTACTTATTGCTGCAAAAAAAAATAGAAAAAGTATCGAGTTGCAAGCGGTAGCGCAAAGTTATACAAGCGACACTTGGGAGCGAAGCGAGCTAGTGGAGCAACAGAGAAGAGAGTAGCGACAGTAGTGAGTAGCAAGTAGAGAAAAGAGAAAAGAGACTAGTGAGCAGAGACTAGTGTGTAGTGAGTAGTGAGTAGTGAGTAGTGAGTAGTGAGTAGTGAGCATTGAGTAGTGAGCAGTGAGTAGGGACTATGCATCTATAGAAATGAAAAGTTGTTACATATTGACCTATTGTATAGCGACACTATCGAGTGGAGCAACACTGGCTATCTCATTGGCACTACCGCTGCCAAGTATTGCATTGGAATACTCACAATGGCCTTGTTTTAGCTCGGTTGCGGTTACACAATCTCAAACAATTGAGATAGAGCCTTTAAACCGAGAGCTCGCAAAAAAAAAAAAAAGCATTGGAAGGGGGGGGTGGGAGGTGAATTCCTGAGAATCCTTAGCGCTACCAAATGGGGAACCACAAGTCAGTAGTTTATTATCCACCCCCCCTTAGTAAAGTCAAATGTTTCGAGATGCTACAAGCTAGACAATAATGATTGAACCAATGCCTATACTGCCACTACTACACCACCATCATCACCATCACCACCATCATCACCATCACCACCATCACCACCATCACCACACCATTACACCACTGTACCACCACCGGTGTAGTCAGTGTGCCTCACTATCGAGCGAAGCGAGATAGTGTCGATAGTGTCGATAGTGTCGATAGTGTCGATAGTGTCGATAGTGTCGATAGTGTTGATAGTGCTATTACGTGCTGCTCCACTATCTCGCTTCGCTCGATAGTGTCGATAGTGTCGATAGTGTCGATAGTGTCGATAGGTTTAAGCTTTTTTCTGCTTCCTCGGTATAACTTAAAATCATTTTTTCACCATTCGCACTAAAACAATTCACAAGCGCCTTGTTGTTTCTCTCTCCCCCTACCTAGTTTCTTTCACCCCTATTTACACGACTCTCCCTTGTCAATTCCGTTATCCATCTTTTCCTTTTAGTGGAGTGTCTCCACCCCGCAAAAAAGCGCACTAATAAAAAAAAAAAAAGACCCACCTAGTCACTAGTTAAAATTGTGGGTATATATATAATAGCGCCAACCCGCAATTGACATAAAAACCACCTCCCTTTCACCTTTTAATTTTTCTTTATAAGCAAGAGTCAATCTTTTTTGTCTCTCTCTACAAAGAAAGACAAGGTAACTTTTTTCAGTAAGGTAACTTTTTTCAGTATTGGTGTGACAAGTTATAGCTCTCATATACTTGAATAATTCTTTTCCTTTTTTTTTTTTGTTAGAGGAAAGCCAATTGGACAGTTTATCAATTTTCAAGAAATATGTCAAAGGTTGATTTTACAGGTCAGGTTGTTATAATCACAGGTGCAGGTGGTGGTTTAGGTAAATACTATTCTCTTGAGTTTGCCAAAAGAGGTGCCAAGGTTGTTGTAAATGACTTGGGTGGTGCTTTAGACGGTCAAGGCGGTAACTCGAAAGCCGCTGATGTTGTTGTTGACGAAATTAAGAAAAATGGCGGTATTGCAGTTGCCGATTATAACAATGTTTTGGATGGAGACAAGATTGTTGAAACCGCGGTGAAAAATTTCGGTACTGTTCACGTGATCATCAATAATGCAGGTATATTGAGAGATGCCTCAATTAAGAAGATGACTGAACGCGATTTTAAATTGGTTCTAGATGTTCATTTAAACGGTGCTTTTGCTGTTACAAAAGCAGCTTGGCCATATTTCCAGAAACAACGTTATGGTAGAATTGTTAATACTTCGTCGCCTGCTGGTTTATATGGTAATTTCGGACAAACAAATTATTCAGCAGCTAAATCGGGATTGATTGGTTTTGCCGAAACTTTGGCTAAAGAAGGTGGCAAGTATAATATCTTGGCTAATGTAATTGCTCCATTGGCAAGATCAAGAATGACCGAATCTATATTGCCACCACCAATTTTGGAGAAGTTGGGTCCAGAAAAAGTGGCCCCCTTGGTTTTGTACTTGTCTAGTTCTCAAGAAGAATTGACGGGTAAAATTTTCGAAGTTGCCGCTGGTTTTTATGCACAAATCAGATGGGAAAGATCAGGAGGTATCATTGTGAAACCAGATGAATCTTTTACTCCAGAATTGGTTGCTAAAAGATTTAATGAGATTTTGGAGTACGATGATTCAAAAAAGCCAGAGTTGTTGAAGAATCAACATCCAAATATGCTTAATGATTATACTTCATTGACTCTGGCTGCAAGAGAATTGCCATCAAACGATGTATCGGGTGCTCCAACAGTGTCCTTGAAAGACAGGGTGGTTTTGATTACTGGTGCTGGTGCCGGATTAGGTAAAGAGTATGCTAAATGGTTTGCCAAGTATGGTGCAAAAGTTGTTGTTAATGATTTCAAAGATGCCACAAAGACGGTTGATGAAATTAAAGCAGCAGGTGGAGAAGCTACTGCTGATAAACACAATGTCGCAACTGAGGCTGATGCAATTATTGAAACTGCTTTGAAGGCCTATGGTACTATTGATGTTTTGGTCAATAATGCAGGTATATTAAGAGACAGATCCTTTGCCAAGATGACTAAAGAGGAATGGGATCAAGTTCAAGCCGTTCATTTGTTGGGAACTTTTAACTTGTGTCGATTGGCTTTCCCCATTATGTCTGAAAAGAAGTATGGTAGAATTGTTAACATCACTTCAACTTCAGGTATATATGGTAATTTTGGTCAAGCCAACTACTCGTCAGCCAAAGCAGCTATATTGGGATTATCAAAGACATTGGCTATTGAAGGTTCTAGAAATAACATCAAGGTTAATATTGTTGCTCCACATGCTGAAACTGCCATGACTTTAACTATTTTCAGAGAAGAAGATAAGAATTTGTACCATGCAGATCAAGTTGCTCCATTATTGGTGTTTTTGGGTTCCGAGAATGTTCCAGTCACTGGTGAAACTTTTGAAGCCGGTGGTGGATGGATTGGTAACACTAGATGGCAAAGAGCTAAAGGTGCTGTTTCCAAAGAAGCTGATACTACTGTTGAGTTCATCAGGGATCACTTGCAAGATATTGTCGATTTCGACAGTGATACTGAGAACCCCAAATCGACTACTGAATCATCCATGGCTATCTTGGCTGCTGTTGGTGGAGATGAAGAAGAAGAGGAGGAGGAGGAAGATGAAGGTGACGAGGAAGATGAAGAAGACGAAGACGAAGAAGAAGATGATCCAGTTTGGAGATTTAATGACAGAGATGTTATCTTATACAATATTGCCCTTGGTGCTACTACTAAGCAATTGAAGTATGTCTATGAAAACGATTCAGATTTCCAAGTTATTCCAACTTTTGGTCATTTGATTACATTCAATTCAGGTAAGTCGCAAAATTCATTTGCTAAATATTTGAAGAATTTCAACCCAATGTTTTTGTTACATGGAGAACACTATATCAAGGTACATCAGTGGCCACCACCAACTGAAGGTGAAATCAAGACCTCGTTTGAACCTTTGCAAACTACACAAAAGGGCACAAATGTTGTTATTGTTCACGGATCAAAGTCTGTTGATAACAAGACTGGTGAGTTAGTTTACTCTAATGAAGCAACCTATTTCATCAGAAACTGTCAAGCTGAGAATAAAACTTATGGAGACAGAAGATCGTTTGCTACTAATCCATGGCCTGCACCAAAGAGAGAACCAGATTACCAAGTTGACATTTTAGTTTCAGAGGATTTAGCAGCATTGTACAGATTGTCTGGTGATCGTAACCCATTACACATTGACCCCAACTTTGCCAAGGGTGCGAAATTCCCCAAACCAATCTTGCATGGTATGTGTACATATGGTTTGAGTGCCAAGGCATTGATTGATAAATTTGGTATGTTTGATGAAATTAAAGCTAGATTTACTGGTATTGTGTTCCCTGGTGAGACACTTAGAGTTTTGGCATGGAAAGATGGCGAAAATGTTATTTTCCAAACTCATGTTGTTGATAGAGGTACTATTGCTATAAACAATGCCGCTATCAAATTGATTGGTGATAAACCTAACTTGTAAGGGAGACTACTTTGTTGCTTTTAAATAAATATATATATATATATATACATAGATATATATATTATCCATATGTACATCAAAATAAGAAGTAACTCGTTCTAAGGAAAGCGGAATTGATACCGAATGCAGAAAGAGAAGAGGAATGAAAAAAAAAAAAAAAAGAAACCGGAGTTTTATATTCGTAACTTGTACTACTGAAAAATTAAGCTAGATAATCGTGTAACGGCGGTATTGATGGGTTCACCATTGGCACAGCCATCGGCTACAAGAAATGGGAACAAGAGGGTGATTAAGAAAAGAAAATACAGTCGAGGAGGATGTAAGGAATGTAAGCGTCGGAAAATCAAATGTGATGAGGCCAAACCACATTGTTTGAACTGTACTCGATTAAACAAGAGCTGTGTATATCCAGCTGATATTCAGCCGAAATTCAAGTTTATTAATGAGCCGGATAGGGGTATGATTGGGATTTTAGGAATGGGAACGGGGATGGGGATGGGAGGAGGAGGAGAAGGAGGAGGAGGAGGAAGACAAGATGTGATTGTAATGGAAGGTATGCGAGGAGTCGAGGTTGATGTACAGACAGAGAAACTAAAAGAAAATAAGAATCTAGCTTTGCAACTACCGAGTACTATGAATAATGGACTTTTACGACGAGAGTCTACACCACTTTTGCATCATCAATCCCCTCCTTTATGTCCCCAACCCCAACAACATCAACTACGGCTCCAACAACAACAACAGCAACAACAACAACAACAGATTCAACAACATATTCAACTGCAACCGCTGCTGCTGCTGCAACAGATGAGTTATAGGTTTTACCAAGGTAATAATAGTGATATTCGGTCTTCACCTAACTTTATACGAGCGCATCCAAATATAAACCACCAGAAACAACGTTCCCCAGAAGAAGCAACAGTGGTAACGATGGAAAATGGTACTTTAACGGAAGAAGAAGAAGAAGAAGAAGAAGAGAAGTCACTGGCTGCTGCTACTGCTGCTGCTGCCAATGGACATCATGCGTGTAAGAAATATAAAATTGCCGACGTTTTGTCACCTGCTGCCGAGGTTGACTTTTTCAATGATGAGAATTGGGGGGACGTTGCTCCTGATGACGTCAGGAATTTATTCGATGATGCTAGCTTGCTAGTCCATGATTCTTTTAAAATGTTTGATATGGGTCATGTTTATCGAAGCTCAAATCATACTCATTTCATGGATGGGTTACAAAACAATGATTTCTCTACGGGGCAGAATATTGCAGATGAATATGATGGGGAATTGTTGTATGCTCAGAATAATTCGCAACATGAAGAACAAGTTATTAAGACGAATAGGGAATTGATTGATTCCACATTTAAGGGCTTTGACTTGACTGGACCACATGAGGCATATTTGAATAAACTAACTAACCTGGAATTATCATTCCATGTATATCCTTTTGCTCAGAGTATAGAGAGCAATGATGTTATGAGGATACTATTGAGGTATCTGCAAGGGTGTGCATACTTGTTAACCTCGTTGTTATCGAGTAGTGCTACTTTCCAGTTCATTCAAACAAGGAAGTTGGTCCATGAACAAAATAGGGCAAAATATACCTCTCTTTGTTTGAAATTGTTAAGTGAGGCATTCTCTCAGGAGAATGGTGAGGCAAGTACAAATACCAATAACAATAATACCGGACTCATGGCGAATGATATTGAAAAATTGTTGCTAACTGTTTTGGTTTTAACCTCGAGTTTTACGGCAATGGCTTATTTCCAGAACAATGAAACTACAAACGAACAGAATAAGGCTTCTTCTTGGAAAATCCACCTAGGTAGAGTTAAAGATCTTTTGATGAAGTATACTAAGATAACATCAAAATCGTGTAACAACAGACCAGCGTGCATTTCCAATGGACTAGCTTTAGCAAAAACTTGGTTTTTTGCGATTGAAGCTCTCGCTGAGGTGAACGACCCATTGGGTGGAACTTTGAAGTATGTGAAGAAGAATATTTCTGAGGTTACTGATATTATTAAAACAGACACTGAATTGGACTGTTCAGATATGGGTAGATTATGGATGCAAACTGGGTATTTCAATAGAGAAAAGAATGCAGAATATCATGACGCATTGGTCAGGATTAATTTACTCACCATGCCTCAGCAGCAACAACAACAACAACAACAACAACAACAGCAGCAGCAGCAACAGCAACAGCAACAGCAACAGCAACAGCAGCAACATGTCGTCCAATTTAATCTTTTCAATGGATATAGCATTGATGTGGTTAAATTGATTGATGAATTTACTAAATCTTTGGACTTGGTTAGAGCTAATGGCAACAGTGCCCAAATTTCATTAAATCGGATTGCCAGGATTATGTCACTTATTGATAAAGCTAAACAGAATGAAATTGTTCCAGGTGTAAGTAAAGAAAACTTCCAAATACCCGAATCGTCGCCTGGTCATCCTCGATACGATAAATTTGATAAGATTTGTTTACCGCCATCATGTTATGGACATGAACTTGTTGGGGACCAAATGGTTTATTATTCATGGTTTGATTGGAGTGAGCAACTTCATGTGGATGCCATTTGTCTCAAGATGTTTGCTACTAAGGGACTATTGAAACTACCCAAACACCATCCACTTTTAAAAGAGTTGAAAATGAAAGTGATGTTATCGATGTTTTTCATCAAGAGGAAACTGGCAAAGAATATTAGTCACGACGACAGTCACGACGACAGTGACAACAACAGTGACAACACCAGTGACAACACCAGTGACGACATATATATTGAGCTGGATAATTTTTACGTTTCAAAAACCTTATTTGATGCAAGAGCGATGATGGCACAAACAGTATTTCGACACTGTCTGAGAATAAGCAATAATGAAGAGGATTTCGAGAAATTAGAATTGTATTATAGAGCATTGGTTAAATTGGGCAATGGAAGCTCATTAATGGCATCAGATCAGCTACAAAAATTAAGAAAAATATGGGAAAGAAATAGATATAAAGGAGAGATTGAAGATACCGAGAATGACGAGTCTCTAGAGTTGGAATTCATCTCCTTCTCATGAAAAAAAAACAAAAAAAAACACACACACACACAAGTAACTAACTCTTGTGATATCATGATAACAAGACTAAATATACAATAAAGCAAATGGTGTAAAGAGAGATCTTATCCGGCTCATTTGCCTGAACCCATATTGCTAGTCGCCCTATCCTGTTTCCCCAAGAATAATTAAGCCCGTGTGACCTCCCAGCTCCCCCCCTCCCTCCCTTCCACCTCTCATCTCTCCTCAAACCAGTCCTGTTCATCTTCTCCCCGTTTACACCTCGTTTAATGATTTTGGTTTTGGTATTCCTTTTCGTTAAATAAACTTTGTCTCGGCTAATGGAAAATAAAAATACAAAGCAAAGCAAAGCAGAGTAGAAAAAAAAATATTACTTGTATTATTTCTTTTAAAAGACGTTTGAGGTGATACATCATCGTTGTGGGGGGCTCATATACGCCGCAACTATTGTCACTATTTCAGTCATTGCAGCTTTTAACCAATTTTTGTTTTTATCTTGCATAGTTTGGCAGTTCTTTTCAAATGAAGAAGAGTTCAAAATCAGATAACTCAACCTCAACCTCAACCTCAACCTCAACCTCAACCTCAACCTCTGTTGTTCGCAAGGGTTATCTTGCCAAGGATGAAATTGAATGGGAGTTTGGTGGTCCATATGGGGCATTAGCAATGATTATTGGATTCCCCTTGTTGATGTGGTATATGTGGATAAGTGCTGAATTTTACTATGGAAAATTAGCCTGGCCTGCTGAAGGTCAATCATGGTGGTATTTCTTGATCTTGATATGGGAATTATTCAAGTTGAATGGGTTGCCCACTTTTGCAACTTGGTCCTTTTTCACGGGGTTTATATTATTGCAGGGTATTTTTTATCTTAGTTTGCCCGGTGTTTGGACAAAGGGACAACCATTGACCCATTTAGGAGGTAAACAATTGCCTTATTTTTGTAATGCCATTTGGTCATTTTATACAAGTATTGTGTTGGCCCTCTTTTTGCATTTTACCGATATTTTACCAATTTACTATATGTTGGATAATTTCGGTAGGATCATGACGGTTGCTATATTTTACGGTATAGTTGCATCGATTGTGATTTACCTTGTTTGTCTTTTAAAGACTGGTGATTATCACAGAATGACAGGAAATCATATTTACGACATGTTTGTTGGGGCTCCGTTGAATCCGAGAATAGGTAAATACCTCGACTTGAAAATGTTTTTCGAGGTTCGTATACCTTGGTTTATTTTATTCTTTTTGAGCTTGGGATTGTGTTTTAAACAATATGAGAATGATGGCAGCGTGAGTACCCAAGCATTATTCTTATTATATGCACATTGGCTCTATGCAAACGCTTGTGCTAAAGGCGAAGAGTTGATTGTGCCCACTTGGGATATGGCTTACGAAAAGTTTGGATTCATGTTGTTGTTTTGGAATATTGCCGGTGTTCCATTCACTTATTGCCAGTGTACCTTGTACCTCGCTTACCATGACAGAAGCGAGTATAATTGGTCAACGGCTTACAATGTGTTTTTATTTATTTTAATTACAGTGGCATACTATTTTTTCGACACGGGTAATCGTCAAAAGAATAGTTTTAGAAGAACCATGGCTGGAATCGGTGGCTTGCGCAAAACTTTCCCATATTTGCCATATTCTGATATAGTCAATCCAAAATATATCAAGTGCGAAAACGGATCTGTTTTGTTGACTGATGGTTGGTATGTATATGCTAGAAAGATGCATTACACTGCTGATTATATTCAAACATTAACATGGGCCTTGATGTGCGGTGGAGCTTCGTTACTTCCATGGTTTTTCCCCTTATTCTTTTTAATCGTATTGATTCACAGAGCATATAGAGATCAAAGAAAATGCGAGAAAAAGTACGGAAAAGACTGGGATAAGTATTTGGAAGCGTGTCCTTACATGTTCATTCCATATATCTGGTAGAATAAAAAGAAAAGAAGTGAAAAAGAAGTAAAGAAGCAAAGAAGAATAGAAGTAAAGAAGCAAAGAAGCAAAGAAGTAAAGAAGTAAAGAAGTAAAGAAGTAAAGAAGTAAAGAAGTAAAGAAGTAAAAAAAAGTAAAAGTAGACGTATGTTTGTATTTATATATATATAATTTTTAATCTTGCTCTGCAATTGAAACGAGTCTCTCATCTATTTCGTCGGGACTCAAGATTCTAAACTCTCCTTCTGTGGCAACACCAATCTCAATATCATTTTTTCGAAAATCAGTCCCCAATACTGAGCTCAATGCAATAATTGCAAATTCAACGGTTTCTTTCCAATCGCCCTTTACCACGTCCATTTTTTTGAACTTCTTTTCCAAATACGTGGTTGCTTCTTGCTGTTTAGGACCCGTTGCAACTGCCTTCATCTTTGTGTAGTACCCTGCAGGATCACATTTGAAAACCTGAGGCCCTCTACCTTCATCTTCAAAATCAACTTGTACAAAGGTCAATGCAACACCCAATGGTCTCATATAGGCTCTTTGAGTATACAATTGTGAGATATTGGCCATTCTTTTACTCAAACCCTCTACTGGCATTTCGTAACCATATTTGTATCTAAATTCCGTTGCTTCACTTCTTGCTCTCATTGCTTGTGCTCTGGCATCAGCAATCGACCCGGTGGCAACCATGCCTATACTTGGGGTTATCTTGAAGATATACGAAATCGTCTTTGCATCTAACAACTTATCAGGGATTTTGCGCTGTGATATAATAACTGCCGAATCTTGACCAGTAACTCCCAACGATGTGATATTCGATGAATTGATCGCTTTAAAAGCATACTCAACTTGGTATAGACGCCCCTCGGGTGAAAAAATAGTAATGTGTCTATCGAAACCAGCAGAACTCGACATACCAATGTGGGAAAGATATAATGTGTATCCGTGTATAAAAGAGCACCACCACTTGAATCAATCCTTCTATAAACCCAATCGGTTGTTGGCTTTGAAAAGTGGCGAAATGGATTTGTCGTTTTTTGTCGAAATTTTTCAGTATCGCGAAATTTCGCGACACTGAATTTTTCAACCCTCCTCCCTCTCCTCGGCCATCGATATTGGAAAGGTCCATTGTCATCATAAAGAAGGCTGGCTTTGTTGTCGTTTGTTGTAGTTTGTTGGATAGAAGGGTGTGTAGAGGTGAGATATGACGGTTTTGACTAGTGTTACGGATACATTTACTGTGGATAAAGTGACTGAAAACCATATACCCTTATATCATCCTAATAAAACATCAACGGTTAATGTCTCATATCACTATAATCCCGAAGTGAGTCGATATCATTATGGAGCACTACATCCTATGAAACCTTTTAGGCTAATGTTGACTGATCATTTGGTAATACTGTATAAACTTTACGAGAAGATGGATTTGTACACTCCGAGGAAAGCCACCAAAGACGAGCTACTACAGTTTCATTCCGAAGACTATATAAATTTTTTACAATCAATAACTCCGGAAACATGCAAGACCTTAGATGACCAGACTTTGGCACAGTTCAATATTGGTGACGATTGTCCCATATTCGACGGAATGTATGATTACCTGGCGATTTACGCAGGCGCATCGTTAGATGCCACGAGAAAGTTGATTAGTGGGATGTCTGATATTGCCATCAACTGGTCTGGTGGTTTACACCATGCCAAAAAATTCGAGCCTAGTGGGTTTTGTTATGTCAACGATATAGTTTTGAGCATTATCAATCTACTACGAGTCCACCCACGAGTAATGTATATTGATATTGACCTACATCATGGAGATGGAGTGCAGGAGGCGTTTTATACGACTGACCGCGTTATGACTGTGAGTTTTCACAAATACAATGGAGAGTTTTTCCCAGGTACAGGCTCGGTTGACGAAATTGGGATTGGCAAAGGTCGCAATTTTGCAATAAATGTCCCCTTGCGAGATGGAATCGATGATGAAAGTTATGTACGCTTATTCAAGCTGATTATGGAACCACTCATCACAAAGTTTCAGCCAACGTGTATAGTGCAACAGTGTGGGGCCGACTCTTTGGGCTACGATAGATTGGGCTGCTTCAACTTGAATATCAGAGCACATGGCGAATGTGTTAATTTTATTAAAAGCTTTGGAATTCCAATGCTAGTTTTGGGCGGTGGTGGGTACACCCCAAGAAATGTGAGCAGGTTATGGTGCTACGAAACTTCCGTTTTAAACGATGTCACATTAGATCACAAGATTCCAAACTATTTACCAACTTATGATTGGTTTGGTCCCGATTTCTCGTTACATCCACAACTAGAAGGAAGAATGGATAACAAAAATAGTAGAAAGTACCTCGAAAGTGTCAAACAGGAAATTATGGAACAAATACGATTCCTAAACCACGCTCCCTCGGTGCAAATGTATGAAATTCCCCCAGATATAACGGGTCTAACAGAAGAGGAAGATAAGATCATTAAGGAGATGAACGAAGAAAACGAAGAGATGGATAAAGAAACTAAATGAGTCACAGAAAACAAAACCTTTTTTTTAATTAGACACAATGTCTCTTGTCTTCTTCCCCCTGTCTATCGAGTGGAGCAGAACCTAATAGCAACCTATTCTNTTTTTCCCCCCCCCCCCCCCCCCTATTCTATTCTTCTTCTTCTCTGAATACTCACCTATGTAGATTGATGAGGATGGAAGCGCTACCATGTGTTGATTTTTTTTTTTTCTGATTGAAAAGGGGAGCGCTTTAGGTGACCCTTTTTAAGCGAGTATAAGTCATTTATAGGTACAAGTGCATTACCAAGTCTACCAGGAGGCAGGCAAGTGGCAGACGCAGGGCTCTGGCAAATGACGGGAGCCTTAAAGCTAGTGTTTTATACCAGACTGTTGAAAATTTTGAAAGTATGGATTGTACCAAACTAGAGATTGAAATAGATCCAAAAACAAGAAAGAAGATTATCAATGGTAGATACCGAATTATTAAAAAGATAGGAAGAGGTCAGTACGGCAAGGTGCTTTTAGGTGAAGTAGTCAATTATGAAAAAGGAACAATCAATGGGACCACTTTTAAGGCCTCGCCATTGAATTCATCTCCTTGTAACAATAGCCTGTTTGTTGCGATAAAAACAATTAATCGCATCGATAAAGCAAAACTAATTACAAAATCATACATTAGCAACGTAAGCAAGATCAAAAAGGAGATTGAAATATTGAAACAGTGCAACCATCCAAATATTGTAAAGCTTTATACCGTGATTGACGATTTGAAATTCGACAAGATATTGTTGGTTTTGGAGTATTGCAAGTATGGCGAAGTCGACTGGAAACATTATAACCACTACTATGAAAAATACTCAAAGCACAAGCTTCGACAACCGTTAAACTTGAACAAAATCCTAAGGGAAATTTTGAATGGCTTGGAATACTTGCATGACTACAAACATATAATACATCGCGATTTAAAACCGCTGAATTTGTTAATAGACGAAAATAATATTATCAAAATATCTGACTTTGGTGTGAGTTTGCTTCTTGAAAATAATGTAAACGATTCAAAAGAACTAGCAAAAATCATGGGGACCCCTGCGTTTTATGCCCCCGAGTTATGTCAGTTTGTTAGAAATCGAATGTCAATAATCACAAACAAAAATCATCTGGTTAATCAAATAAAAATCGATTATAGAATTGATATATGGAGCCTAGGGGTGACTATGTATTGTTTGATGTTTAACACTTTACCATTTACTGGGATAAATGAGTTTGATATATGTAAAAATATAGTTGAAACTGAACTAAAGTTTCCAAGAATCAATCATACTTCAAGGGTGACTGAGGAAGATATTGAAGAATTGGCTCAATTCAAACAATTGGTAAAACTAATGCTAAAAAAGGACCCCAACGAGAGAATTACATTACACCAAATCAAAAATCACCCGTTTACTACATTTGACCTAACCCAGCTCGAGAGGGAGAAATTTTTTAATTTTAACAAGGCTGTTTTCAAAAATGCAGATTGCAAGGATGAATTGCAAAAGACTGAGAATACCGTATCGTTGCCATCTCGAATACGAAAATTCTTTACCAAATCTTCATTAGAGACCACAGTGAAACCACAATTGCCCAAAAGTCCACCTTCAGCAACTAGTAATGTCCACTTGATTGTATCAAAAGATTACAACGACTTGGAGCATGTTGATGACCTATTGGATTCATATTTGGATGACTCGTCGTCTCTAGGTAGTCTTGAAAGTGAAGAAGATGATGATGAGCCACCTACTATAAATCTCTTTTCAGATTTCAGCAACAACAACAACGACAGCAGCAGCAGCAGCAACAACAACAACAACAACAACAACAACAACACTAAACAACCAAAGCCCAAGCATTTGCCGCAGCCATTGAACCTTCTGCTGATAACAAACAACAAAACCGCCACTAAGGATAACTTGCCATTTCGTCCTCCAATACAAAAGTCATCTGCTTCTTATTCAAAGGCGCTTTCGCCAACGGTGGTCACACCTAGTAACAGCGTTCAATCTTTGACACCAGTTAACGAGTTCTTTACCGTAATTGGTGAAAGTTCGCCTTCCACTAATATTGCACAGTCTGGTACTGTATTTAGCCCGAGCAGACGATTTTTTGAAGCACAACAAAGTAAAAATTCAAAGGTAGCAGAACAACCAACTATAAAATCCTTGGCTTCCACAAACAAACACGAGAGTAGCAAGGGATCTGATGCGCTCGATTTGATGGAACCGCCCTCTTTATTCATTGGTGGGACAACAACGAATAAGGAAAAACCATCAAATAATTATATATCTGAGCGGAAGGGTAGTTTTGACTATGGATTATCTCGAATTACAAGCTCTTCAAGTTCCTTGAATTTGAATGCATATCTAACTGACGACTCCGAAAGTATTAGTATACGTTCCAATCACATTATCTCAAAACACGCCATTGAAATCAAAACTATACCCGGGATAGCAGTACTGACCGCTGAAAATGAAATAAATCAGAATGATTCTTCAAGTGATGAAGAGGCTAATTCTACTTTTGTTTTAGCAGAAACTTCCTTTGGGCACAAATATAAAGATTTAAGCCAGTACTTGGACAGTTTGCCATAGCTTCCCGGGTGGTAGAGAGAACTTACTTTATGATTCCCACATAGCCAATTTTATGCAATAAGAAAAGAGAAGAAAACTTTTGTACATTTACGGAGTTTTAAAAAGAAGATTTAAAACCTTCAACTTTTGATAGATAAGAAAGAACATCTTCATCCGATTGATTTTCATTATTTCTTTGTTTTCTTTCATTCTTTTGTTTCTTTTCACTCTAGATTTTTACCACTCATGAGTTGGAAGGTGTATTATTAAACTGGAATAAATTGAGAAAGCTAGGATTAGTCATATTATTTCTGCCTGCACTGACTGCAATGGCACTTGAAGTAAAAAGGTTGGTGTCGTTAGTCGCCGTGTTGTCAGTGTCAGTACCAGCACCAGTACCAGCACCAGCACCAGCACCAGTACCAGTACCAGTACCAGTGCTAGTGTCAATACCGGTTCCAGTACCAGAAACTTCGAATTGTTGACTGGTCTCAGCAAAAGTAGCTGCATTTAGCAACGATAAAAAGCTCTTTGTACTTTCGCTAATTGACAAATTTGGATTTTTGTGATAATTGATTGTTTGACTTGCTGGAGAAGGCGTATGTTCATTATTTTGTGGCATGCGTGTATTTGCAAACTTGTGACCGTGCTCATGCTTGGGCACAATGCTGAAAAATTCTTGCTCTTGCTCTTTCTCGTCTTCCTCCCCGTCTTCCTCCCCGTCTTCTTCCTCGTCATCAGCTTTATATTGTAGAGTCGCTACTGGGTGTACTACGCCCTTCTCAGAGCTTTCTAATTTGGAATCGTCAAAAACTCGTAATAGTTCACTGATATTAATTTGAGATGCAATACGTTGTTGCAGTTGAATGCGAGACAAATTAGTGAAACTTGGGAATTGATCGTGAGTAGGTGTAATTCCTGTATGTAAGGGGGGTACCATTGATGTGTTGTTGTCGTTGTTGTCATCGTTGTCGTTGTTGATGGTCGTGGGGGGTGCATTATCTGTTTGACTTTGCTGCGCCTGAATTGGCGTGTTGGATTGTTGAGATATATCTTGAAGCATATTCTCATCCTTTTTGGCATCGCTTAAAATCAAAAATAAGCTATTCAATATTTTATGAGCCCTTATGAGTTTATTGATATTGTTGAAGAATGGGAAATGCAAAACCAAAAGCTCACTATACCTTATTAGTAACTCCTGGTCCTGGAAATTTATAGGAATATGAAGTCTTACCTCCACTTGCTTAATCTCAAGGAAAATCTTGAGAACATGCAACAAGGGCTGAAGCAATTGATAATTCGAAAGTTGCACCTTGAACACATCGGAATCGGCTCTCTCCAACAGGTTACATAAAGAGTTTACAATATTGATAATCTCAATTTTGCTCTGCTCAAAATCCAACGGCTTGATCAATAAAATTTTAAAGAGTAAAATATCGCGAAGTAGCTCATGCAATGATTCAGTGGGTTGCAAAGAAAATATAGTTGCTTTCAATTGGTAGTACCCAGTTTGAGGTTTATCAAAATCTATGACAGCATTGAAGTTGGATTTTCGACATAGTACATCTATCATGTTGTAATCGTCGACTATCCTCATCAAAAAATGTAGATACCCGAGTCCTTCAAACTTACCCGATTTTAGTCGCAACACAATGTCATTGTTTCTTATTATATTGATGTTATAGTTGAAAGAGCTGTAAACAATATAGTACCTTTCGGATGAGTACAACAAATCATACAACTCTCGAAATGGAACCAAAGAGTCGTCCTCTCTCAAATTAATCAATTGAAAAAAGGTTATTGCGCGATGTAAGTAAATAATCTTTTGATGCTCCTGAGCCTCGTTTCCGTATGAGTTTTCCATGGAGCTTGTTGGGTTTAGCGTGTTTGTTAAGTTCAAAATGTGATAGTAGTTACACAAGTGCATATTGGACAACGATAAATTGTAGTAAACTTGATATTGGTTCCAATGGGTGGACAAATTGGTATTGTCCCCGTTAAGGGTAGTTGCTCGTCTTCTAGGTATAATTGGGGGCACAATAAAGTTTTTTTCAATTAAAGTGATTATTTCCAATACCTTGAAATGGCACAAATTTTTAAAGTTCTTGAAAGGTCGAAACATCAAGAATTTCTTTGGATAACGTAAGAAATCCTTAAACTTTTGCTTCTTTAACTTGATCAATATCTCTGCTACAATTTGGTTCAAAGTTAGGATAATCAACAAGGTGCTTATGTATAATGAATCCTCATGATGTGCGATCAAATTAATTTCTTGAAAATGCAGATTCCCAGAAGGTGTGGACGTGTTTGGATAGTTTGCCAATAAAAAGTCAACAAGTTTTTGATGGTTTGCCACTATAGAGTGGACAGTGAGTGGTCTAACAAGCTCATATATAGCTGGCTCGTCTCCAATTAGCTTAATATTTTCAATCAAGTGGTATGGTGTCACTAAGTAATCATCTACCGATGTTGCAGATGGTAGCGGTAGCCTCTGCTGAAAACCGGGAAGTGCAGCAGCATTAGAGTGGATGTCAGTTGCGTCTCCTGAATGCAAATGATGGTTTGTTGAGTTTATACTTGTTGTGGCAGATATCTGTGACTGTGACTGAGCTATTGATGTCGTTGAAACGTATCCATTACTCGATGTATGGTTAGAATCATCTTCTATAAGGCCAGGGCTCGGCGAAGTGTATGTTCTTGACATTGGTCGCAGCATTGATGTGAAGGTATTCCCCGCATTATGCTGCTGAGCATTAAAATCAATAACTTCACTCAAGTTATTTATCGAATCCAATGTCTTTTTGGTTAAAGTCTTTGGGCCCGATTTTTTTCGTTCTCTATTTCTGGTACAAGATAGTCCATTGGTAACACAATGGGTGCAAGGTGTATTTGGGTCACATTTTACTTTCCTTATAGCACAAGCATCACAGGCTCTACTTGTAATAACTCGCTTCTTTCTCTTTGGATTCAAGTGTTTTAATGTGGTATGCTTATTTGTTAGTTTCGGTATTGGCTGTTTTGTATTATCCTGTTGATGGTGGTTATGCTGGTTATGCTGCTGCTGTTGCTGCTGCTGCTGCTCTTCATCGTGGAGAAAATTGTATACATTGACAGCGGTAAATTTCTGAAGCTGTTGGCCTTGATCAGGAGCCTGCATCGTTACGTATTATGCTGGAGTAAACGGTCACTTTCGAGACCCACATTTGAAGATACTGTGCTAATTGGGAGAGCTTTCAAATACCCGATTAAAGTATAACGAAATTTTTTTTCCCTCTTGATCGACAAAAGCTCAACTGGAGGAGCCACAAATGCGGAAGAGACTAGAGACTAAAAGAGAGAGGAGAGAGTTATAGTAGGGGGAATTAGAGGAGAGTGTTAGAGTAGGGGGGTTTAGAGTAGGGGAGATTAGAGGAGAGAAGGTTAAAGGAGAGAGTAGAGTAGAGAAAATTAAAGGAAAGGGTAAAGTAGAGAAGACTAGTGGTGCCTGGGGCAACGCTAGTTGAAAGCGAGATTAGACTATATAGAGTAGTTACTAGCGTCTCTTTTGGCTCTGCTAGTAGATAGTATCCGATGTAGCAGTTTTGTCTAATGAAAAAAAGTGCAATTTGCTTGCTCTATGCTCTTTGAAAAAGCGGGTGTCATTTGATCAACTGGTTGAGTGATAAGCTTAATGAGAGACTAGCGGAGCCGGGGGTGCAAAGGTATCAAGGTACCAAGTGTTGCTCCGCTATCTCGCTTTGCTCAATTTGAAAGAGTAAAAGAAACTAAAATATTGAAGAGATTAAAGTAGAATATTGAAGAGATTAAAGTAGAACATTGAAGAGATTAAAGTAGAACATTGAAGAGATTAAAGACTAGATGGTCTCTGGCCATTGCTTAATGGACAGCTCTGTTACTGTTGTTGTTACTGAACTTTCATCATTTTAGCAAAAAAATCAAATACAAAAGGGCAAGAGTCGGTGGCAGCTAGTGTGCTCCACTATCTCGCTCTGCTCGATAGTGTTACCCTTAAACTGTCCAAGTTGAATGTCAGCAATAAGGATATATTCTCTATATCTCAATCAGAGAGATAATCTCCTCATGACAAGATAAGTCAGCTGGTCAGGACCAGTACTACACTTTAAGTTTAATAGGAGAAAACTTTGCCATATTTGTTTGCCTTATCGCCAGTTTTACAATCTGCGAATAAGTTATATTGTGGGAGAACATCAAGCATTCCACAAATCTATATTCCGATATTAAGAACAAGAATATATAAATAGAGGATAGACATAAATAGAGGATAGACATAAATTGAGGAGCAGTAGAGAAGAGCAGTAGTGTATAGTGAGTAATAAACAGAGATTAGTATGTAGTGTGTAATGTGTAGTGTGTAGTGTGTAGTGTGTAGTGTGTAGTGTGTAGTGTGAAGTGTGTAGTGTGTAGTGTGTAGAAAAGAAAAGGGTAAATTCAAACAGCAATTGGAAACATTGATTAATAGTGTCGGTGACAGCTAGTGTGCTGCTCCACTATCGAGCAGAGCGAGAAATAGAGGATAGACAGCTAGAACCGAACAGAATGAGCTTAAATCTGCTCGATAGTGTTGATAGTGGAAAAGGTGTTGCTGCTCCACTATCTCGCTCTGCTCGATAGTGTTGATGATGTTGCTGCTATGTTTCAACACTATCTCGCTCTGCTCGATAGTGTTGATAGTGGAGAAAAAAGCGAAAACTACAATGTAAAAGTAAATTAGACCTAAAATTGAGTAATCAAAGATACTCTACTTGTGTTCTCACATTGTGACACTCTTATTGTATACTATTGTATACTCTTATTGTAAAACTGTGCGGGGTGCTACCGAATTTTTTGTGAAGCTATATACTCATGACGTATCATTCAAACAATGTTTATTGTCTAACCAAGTGTATCAAAAAGATTTTGAGGCGATATACCCGCAGAAGCTTTAATGAGAATATGCCAAAAAAATTCATATGATCACGGTTTTACGGTTCACGGCACATCGCTTCTACAAGTGTTCCTTCTATCATAATTCTTGATTTTTTTTTTTTCTTTCCCCAAAAACTCCGAATACCGAAGATTCTATTACTGGGAAGGTATGTTTCAAAGTGTGTTCTTTTCTTTCAAGATATGCTTTCTTTTTTTCTTTTTCTTTTTTTTTTTTTTAAATTGTGCAGATGAAGTCTTGATCGTATGATAATCTCAACCCCGATGGGAAAATTGGGCGCTACAAAATGGAAGTTTCGGAGTAGTATTTCGCGGTTGGTATTTTTGGGGCCACTGCTTTGGGGCGGCATTTCACGGTTGGTATTCTTGAGGCCACGGCTTTGGGGTGGCATTTCACGGTTGGTATTTTTGGGGCCACAGCTTTGGGGTGACATATTTCTCATGCATGGGCCTATTTTTAACATATACCGGAACGAGGAGGAGTTATGTTAAAAGATTTGGTTGGAGTCGTTGTTGAGAAGGTTTTAATTATATCAAGGATGCATTAGGCGCTTTTTCCCCACAAAAAAGAAAACCTGCAGGCTTAGAAAATGGCTCAGATAAATATATATAATTGGAGAGAAGGTCCTATATCAGTTTTTTTGGGGGGGCCCAATATGTAGTTGGTCTTTGACTTTGAAGCTATAATGGAAAACCGCGATTCAGAAGATCATCTTGAATCTAAGGGCTCTTCGATCGAAGAGCCCGATATCAAAAGGGGTAAAATCGAAATTACTGGCGACGGTGGGGAATTTGTTATTATAGACAATCACAAGTACTACAGACATGAACTAATGGCTGCATTTGGTGGTACTTTAAACCCAGGGCCAGCACCGTATCCTTCCATCAATATTAACCCTGCACCAGTAGGCTTAGTGGCATTCGCGCTATCGACATTTGTTTTATCATTATTTAACGCACAAGCCATGGGTATTAAAGTGCCCAACGTGGCTGTTTCGCTAGCTTGTTTCTATGGAGGTGCTGTGCAATTTCTCTCAGGGTGTGGCGAGTTTTTTACAGGAAACACGTTTGCTTGCACGGCATTGACTTCGTATGGTGCATTTTGGTTATCTTATGGTGTTATATTTGTTGATAGTTTTGGAATCATGAAATCATATAAGGAGACTGATGAGCTCAATAATGCAGTAGGGTTCTTCCTACTAGGTTGGGCCTTATTCACATTTATGATGTTTTTGTTAACATTGAAGGCTACAGTTGCATTCTGCACCCTTTTTGGCACTTTATTTATGATGTTTTTATTACTTGCAGCGGGAAATTTAAGTGGTCATGTTGGTGTTGTCCGTGCTGGTGGTGTATTTGGCGTCATTACCGCAGTCACAGGATGGTGGAATGCTTTTGCGGGTGTTGCTACTCCTTATAACTCATACATCAAGTTGTCGCCAATTCCTATGCCTGGTAATATATTGTTTCACAAAAAGTCATCATGAGAGAAGTATGGCAAATGCTACAATCAAAAAAAAAGGAAAGTATTACAAGATGTATCTGTTTATATATGCGTGTGTATATATATATGCAATTGGTCTACGTTAAATTATAGATAATTTTTACCTTCAAAAAACAATCGTCTCTTACCCGTCTTCTTCGTCGACCTCGTCAATTTCATCAACTAAAGACACACTGCCAAAAGTGCCACCACTATTGATTAAACTGCTAGATCTTTTGTGCCCTTGGTATTTAGCCGGAATTGAGAAATCCACAGGTGTATCATTAATAGGATCAATCAAGCTCAATTTTGATGAGCTTCGAGGAGTCTCTGTAACTGACAAAGGTGAAGATATGACAGGTGATGTGAAATTAGAAGGAATGTTATTAATTGGAGGTCTTTTTATAGGAAATTGAAATTGATGAGCTGTTGTTGCTATTGTTGTTGAAGGTACTAGTGGTAATGAGCTTATTGGTTTTTTAGCCATTGGTCGTAAGATTGAAAAGTTTGGCTTTTTCGTTTCAAAATAATCGGACATTGATGTCAATGATGGAGAGTTTATGTTGTCCAAGGTATATAAGGATGGTGTTTCATATAAACTATCTGTTGAGTTAGTTGAATGCAATGATGATATGCAAGATGAAGATATGGAGACTGTTGATGAGGAAAGAGTGGATGAATACGATTTTCTATGCTGATAAAGGAAATTTTGTTGTTGTGGTTGTTGTGGTAGTTGTTGTGGTAGTGGTGGTAGTGGTGGCAATGGTGGTAGGGGCGATGGTTGCTGACGAAATGAAGTGGATGGTGGATGAAATGTGCTAAATTTGTTTGGCTGCGTCACGTCATCGCTCCTGTTTTGTGGGAAATTAGATAATAAGGGGGAGCTCAAGGGTGATGATGAGGAGGATATTCCATTTCTGAAAAACAGTTGATCAAATGAAAATGTATTAGCTCTTGTTAATTTTGTTTGCAAATCTGAGTTGAATGGTGAAGTTTTAACTTTGGAATTCGATTTTTGACGCTTGCTTGATAATTTGGAATCACTGTTTCCCAAGGATGATTTCGCTTCATCACTGGTGGTCCAAAAATCCAGTACCAGCTGTGAAGCCAAGCCAAATTGATTAAAAGACTTGGCTCTCATCAATAGTTTATCATTCTTTCTTACGCGGTTGAGGTGATATTCACATTTTTGTTTATGTTTGAGGTCTTTCATCTCGACATAATTGCACGGGTCACAAAATAATCCATTATATTTTGTAAAAAAATTCTTGTACCCGCCGTCGAGTACGACTATATCGGGATATGACAAGTAAGGATATGATGTTCGATTCATCATTCGATCACATTTTCTTAAATGTTTAGCCATTAATGGACCACGAAAAACACTGAACTCGCAATGAAATATGATTAGCCTTTTCTTATCATCCTTTTTCACATTTTTAATAAATTTCTCCTCTAGGGATTCCTTTGTTGAGATGTTCAATGCATTTACAATGTGCCCACCTTCGAATTCGTAATCGAATCGACAATCAATGATGATAAAGTCGTCAAATTCTTCATGATGCTCGCCACAAAGAATCTTGTACAATTGATCTTCGTTTATACGAGGTAGTATATCACTTCCCAGTGGAAACGTCTCTATGGTAGAATGCCCCAAATGTGAGTTGTCCTCTTTTAATAAAAAGCTGTCGAAATCTTGTTGTATTTCACAAAGGGAATGGAATCTTCTCATGTTTGCTTTTGAATGAGCTTGTGAGGAGAGTCGAGTCAATGTAGGTGAACTAGGTGAAGTAGGTAGGAAATTTCCATTTTGTGACTGAAACTTTTGTTCCTTTCCTTGATGGCTAGATTCACGTTGCATTGAAAATTCAACATTGATAGTTTCAAAAGTGTCATCGCAACCATCGTCACCATCATCCGCATCCGCATCCTCATCCGTATCTTCTTCTTCTTCCTGCTTCTCCTTTTCCTCCTCCTCCTCCTCTTCTTCTTCTTCTCTTTCGTCATTACACTTTCCATCGGTTCCAGACTCAATGACTTTAGAAGACATGCTCAAATTTGTAAAGAAAAAATTTTGCGACGATTTGGAAACAGCTGACGTCATTGATTTGGTAAACGCTTTAGTTTTTTGTTTAACCGAAGATGATAAAGTCCTAAGCGGTGCCCTTGTAGGGGTAGTAGCTATTGAGGGTGAAGAAGGCGATTTTTGCTTTTGTAAGAAAAGTTTGCGTGAAAACGAATTAAGCGCTTGCGTTTTAGTTGTGAACGGAGTTGCTTCATCCAAAAGACATTTATTTTCATCTAGACTGTTGTTTTCCTCGTTACCTTCCAGTTCAATGCTATGCTCTGTGTATGAGCTTAGAGGTCTATCTCTTTTTATGCCTTTTGGTGATGAAACGGTAGATAGCAGTATAGTTGAGTCCATTGTAAACTCATCATTTCTTGTCATGATACAACTATTGATATTCTATTTCACTGCTTCTCTGGTTCTCTGGATCTCTGGATCTCCGGTTCTCCGGTTCTCTGGTTCTCTGGTTCTCTGGATCTCTGGATCTCCGGTTCTCTGGTTCTCTGGTTCTCTGGTTCTCTCTTTCTCTCTTTCTCTCTTTCTCTGCTTCTCTGCTTCTCTGCTTCTCTCTTTCTCTGCTTCTCAGTAAATTAAATACCAGACGAATGGCCAAGTAATGGAAAACAAAGCTCCTTCTCTTCTCTCTTCTCTCTTCTCTCTTCTCTCTTCTCTCTTCTCTCTTCTCCCTTGACTCTTTTCTCAAGTCGTTTACCAAGATAAACTTGAAGATATTATAAACTTTATTATTAACAATCAATTAGAAACTCTCGATATAGAGCTCTTTTCTTTTTTTTTTTCCTTGTCTAACAAAATGCTCGCTCAATAAGTCAATAGAAAAAACATAAATTAACTAATAGAGAAAATTGTTAACAAAAGACAATTCCATCCGCTGGTTGTTGAAGGAAAAACAAATAAAACTAGCCTTAAAGACGAAAAAATTATTTCGGGGAGAAACGTGGTGAATAATGTGTATATACCGTCAATGTTATATACTGTGAATATATGTCCCGAGTTGTATGTTGTTGTATCTTGTTGTATGTTGTTGTTGTTGTTACTTTCTATTGTTTTTTCACAATATTGATTATTTTGCTATGTGAAGAAGAAGAAACTCTTTTAAGACATTTTTTTTTCATTTTTGTCCCTTTCCTTTAAAGTGGTTCCGTTTCCTTTGTTGCTTTCTGTAAGATGCCGATTTCAGCCTTTAACGAAAGCAATACACCCGCAGATTCTTTCTTAATTATCCTTTTTTGCATCAATCCAATTTGGGGTTAACAGGTTTCTTACTAGTTTCAAATAAACTTCCTGTTTTCTTTGAAAGGCTTGCTATATTGAATAAGAGCAATTTGAAACTCTAGTTTTCGCTAAAATAGATCGCTACCGAATGGTTTTTTTGTATATGTTCTTCCCAATTAGGAACCGCAATTTGATTTTGTGCGATACTCGTATTTTTTTTTTATTTATTCTATTTTAATAAAAATGAGAAATAACAAAAATGTAACTTTGCACGAAAGAGATTGACTTTCCTGTCAATCATTGCCCAGACAATTGTCAAAACAAGTCATGCCCTTGATATTATATATATATATATATATATAATATATATAAATGACATGATTATTGATTAGACTACTACCTACTCCGCTTTTCTTTCTTTCCTTCTGAAAAAGCTAAATTTCTTCTCCAGTTTATCACTACCGATGTTTTTATTTATTCTTTATTAAATATGATTCTTGTAAAATATTTCTCTTTACTACCAAAGCTTCCGGGAGAGAAGTGGAAGAAATAGATCGTACCTGACAGTAATTACATGCAAGTTTTACACGGCAACGGTAACAGCACCACCAGCAGCAGCATTAGGACTAACGGCAACGGCAAAAGTCTATAACAACAATAGTCTAATACAGCGAAAATACGAAATATACGAAAAATCTATTTAATTGATTTAGTCAAAAAAAAAAATTCCTTCAATTGATAGAACTACTGCTGTGGTGTTGTGGTCGTTTGAGACTGCAACCAAAGAAAAAAAACAATCAAAGCACAAAAAAGTGTCATTCATGAAGAAAAGAAGTACACCAAAAGAAAAAAATATAAAGGAAGATAAAATAAAATATAAAGGAAGATAAAATAAAATATTTTCCCATAGCATGACAATCTTGCCCTAGATACAATTTCTTCTTTGATACTTGGTATATCTTGGTCATTAATTGATTGGTGCTATAGAAATAGTTTTCCAAATTCTCCGTGTAAAGCCAATCGCTTGGAATTTTTTTCTTTTCTCTCTGTAAGTCACCTATATTATCTTGGTGGATTACAGATATATTATCTTGGTTAATTACAGATATATTATCTTGGTTAATTACAGATATTTTTCTTTTTTTACACGAGATTGAATTACACTTTAAGTCAAATTGGTGCAAAAAAATATGTGTAACATTTATTTGCAAAGTTTACCTTTGTTGAAGGAGGGGAGGAAACAAAGATTTTCTATGGCTTAAAACAGCTTTTCTATGGCTTAAAACATGTTCTTTACAAGTTGAATTTATTATCCCCGCTCAACTTTAAGTATGTAGTTATACAGTTGCTGTAATGCCGGTTAAAATTGAACTCAAAATAGTCACAAAAGTCTCCAAATAGGTTGGGACTTGACTGTTGCAACTCTTTTTTTCTTTTTTGATGGAAATGTCAACAAGCAACAAACTAAAGGAGAAAATGAAAACAACCAAGAGGGGGCAATACAAACAAAAATAAGTATATGTATCAAAAAGAAAAGAAAACAAAAAGATTGGCAGTATCGGTTTGTGGTGAACAAAACCATTTAAAGATTACAACAAGTTCCCCAACTGTCTGTCCGCGACACTATTGAGCAGAGCTTGTTACAACACTACCGAGCAAAGCGAGATAGTGTTGTTCGATAGGAGCAACACTCAGTAGCTTGTTACAACACTATTGAGCAGAGCGAGATAGTGTCGCTGGATAGTGGAGCAACACTTTGGAGCTTGTTACAACACTATCTCGCTCTGCTCGATTGTGTTGTTCGATAGTGGAGCAACACTTTGGAGCTTGTTACAACACTATCTCGCTCTGCTCGATAGTGTTGCTCGATAGTGTTGCTCGATAGTGTCGCTCGATAGTGTTGTTCGATAGTGTTGTTTGATAGTGTTGTTCGATAGTGTTGTTCAATAGTGTTTATCAAGTGTCGTGTGTACATAAACTCGCTCCCCTTTTATATCACGTGACATAATATCTATGCAAGATAAAAACAACAGCACATGTGTAAAGAAAAATCGTAGTGGCATTACCGAGGAGCTTTTATGAAAGGCTGACTCAGAGTAGAATTAACGCTTACGTTTACTATTATTGAAAAAATGTACCGATTAGACAAGGTCACCAAATACATACATAGTATCTTGTACCTCACCTTTCACCTTTCACCTCTCACATTAAGATTTGTTTCAAAAGTTTTTAAAGATCATTACCAAATAGCTTCTTTCTTCCCGGATCTGTCTTTAGTTTCTGCATTCTTTCCTCTGCGTTATTTCTTCTACTCCTTGATAGTGTCAGTGGCAGCTAGTGTGCCACACTATCGAGCAGAGCGAGATAGTGTCGCTTATCGCTATTGATAACCACTTGAAAAAAACGAGTGCAATTTCTTCAACAACTTCTTTTTCTTTTACATAAAAAAAAAGGCCAAAAAACATGCCAAAAAAAAAAAACGAGTGGAAAAAAGTTAGACTTGCCATTCGAGAAGAAACACAGCAAATTAAAGACCACCTTTTCAAAGTATATCAACCTTTCAAACATTTCCCCAACATCTCAAAATTGTGTTTTATTACCAAAACTGTGTTTTAATTGTCCGTTATCTTCTTATCTTCACTAGTTCATTTTCTATTCACAAGTTATCTCAACCACTTTTATCGTTTTTTTTTTTTTATTGATTTAATTTGGTTTTTTTTTTTCAATCCTTTACTTCAAACATTGATAAATTTTTTTATATTGCATTTTTTTGTTCAGTACAACCAGCCTCCCCTCCTGATTCAATCACAGATTATAGTGGAAAAAAATGGATTCAGATAGAGATGTGCCAATGGAAGATGCCGAGATCTCGTTAGATGATTTTGACTCGATGGATTTTTCCATGCCCAATAAACGAACTATCAAAAGTGGTAAAACTTCAACGACCAACAACAACACCAACAACACCAACAGCAGCAGCAGCAGCAACAGCAACAACAACAACAACACCAACAATACCAACACGAAGCAAACACAACCGTCACTAGACACACAATCTATAAACCAATTGGACCAATGGATTGAGAAATTGTCCAAATGCGAGCCACTCTCAGAGCAGGATGTAAAGAAGTTATGTGAAATGGCTATCGAAGTATTACAATTGGAAGAAAACGTCCAGCCGGTTTCTGTGCCAGTTACAATATGCGGTGATGTTCATGGACAGTTTCACGACTTGATGGAATTGTTCAAGATTGGTGGTCGGTGTCCTGATACAAACTATTTATTCATGGGCGATTATGTTGATCGTGGATACTATTCAGTCGAAACTGTTTCGTATTTGGTTTGTATGAAGGTGAGATTTCCCAACAGAATCACCATTTTAAGAGGTAACCACGAATCAAGACAAATAACTCAAGTTTACGGTTTTTATGACGAATGTTTAAGAAAGTACGGATCTGCTACTGTATGGAAAGTTTTCACTGATTTATTCGATTATTTCCCCATAACTGCCTTGGTGGATAACAAGGTTTTTTGTCTTCATGGGGGCTTGTCGCCTATGATTGAAACTATTGACCAAGTTAGAGAATTGAACAGAATTCAAGAAGTGCCACATGAAGGACCCATGTGCGATTTGTTATGGTCCGATCCAGACGATAGAGGAGGGTGGGGTATATCGCCAAGAGGTGCAGGATTCACGTTTGGTCAAGATATATCTGAGCAGTTCAACCATACAAATAATTTAAGTTTAATTGCAAGAGCTCATCAGTTGGTTATGGAAGGATTTAGTTGGAGCCACCAGGAAAATGTTGTTACCATATTTTCAGCACCAAATTATTGTTATCGATGTGGTAATCAAGCGGCTATTATGGAGGTTGACGAACAACATAATAGACAATTCTTACAATACGATCCGCTGGTTAGACCAGGTGAACCAACCGTTACTAGAAAAACTCCCGATTACTTTCTATAATGAATTTTATGTACACATTTTTAGAAATGAATTTAAGAAAAAAATATATATATATATATTAAGAAAAAGAACCAGTACAGGAGGTAACCGTGCACCCACAAAAGTCTCGGGGCAAAAATTAAGAAAGAATGAGAGAGAGAGAGAGAGAGAGAGAAAGAGTATGTGTGTGATAGTGTCGGTGGCAGCTAGTGTGCTCCACTATCGAGCAAGTGAGATAAAGGGGAGATAGGAAGAATTTTTTCTATTTATAGTGAAGTAATTGAAATTGAACCAAATGTATAAAGACAAAACCAGCAAGCAAAAAACGACAATATCGAGCAGAGCGAGATAGTGGAGCAATACTTTGTAGCTTGTTACAACACTATCTTGCTCTACTCGATAGTGTCACTGAAAAAAAAACAAGATAGTGTCATTGTCGCAAAGTTCATATTTACGACATTACTTTATAACCAACCAGGATCTTGAAAAATAAGCCATGGAATACAATAGGGAAAAAAACCCATACTATACTTATTAACATCAACTTCATTGAGGTTATATATTCTTGTCCGCCCTTTACATACACACACCCACACACACAGAGAGAAAGAGACTAAATATATCCAATGTTGAGGACGCAGGTAAGGCTATTGCCCAGGTTAAACTCTATAAGGTATAGAACCGTATACACGTCGGTGCTTGAGTCGGATATTAATATAACACCTGCTGGTAAAGTTAATATATCTGTGGGGCCAGGAGGTCGTTCTTCAAGAACTGGATACACAGCAACTGTATTTGGAGCAAGTGGGTTTCTCGGGCGTTATTTGGTTTCAAAATTGGCAAGACATGGTACTACTACAATTGTGCCATATAGAGACGACTTGAAAAAGAGGTTTCTTAAAGTTGCAGGAGATTTGGGAGTTGTCAATTTTGTTGAGATTGATGCTAGGAATTTGCAGAGTATCGAGGATTCCGTTGCTCATTCCGATATTGTCATCAACTGTATCGGTGCTGATTACAACACAAAGAATTTCTCAATGGCTGATGTGAATATTGCTTTAGCTGAAAGAATTGCTCGTGCAAGTAAAGATGCCGGTGTGCCCAGATTTATTCATATTAGTTCATACAATGCCAACCCAAATTCCGAATCTGTATTTTATGCAACAAAGGGAATTGGCGAGCAAAAAGTGAAAGAGATTTACCCGGATGCTACAATTGTTAGACCTGCTCAAATGTTTGGCAGGGAGGACAATTTGTTGAATTATCTTGGACCAAAGATTAAAATGTGGACTCCCAACAGAAACCAAAAGGAAATTTACCCGGTGTATGTGCTTGATGTAGCGAGAGCATTGGAGAAAATAGCATATGATGATTCGACAATGGGCAAGACATTTGAGTTGTATGGTCCTGAAAAATTGACATACCAAGAGATTAGACAAATGATCCATGGTATAACTGAAAACTATGCTCAAGCAGGCCCATTCAACTATAGTTTCTATGACTACAATTTACCATTACCATTGGCTAAGTTTATTACCCAATTCGAACAATATGTGTGGTGGAAGTTACCAAATCCTGACCAAATGCAAAGACACGTAATCGACCAGAAAATTGATCCTACTGCATCTACATTCAAGGACTTGGGTATTGCGGGAGACGGTAATGATGGTACCACCAAACTAGCTGATGTTTTATTCAGTTATGTCAAACAATGGAGACATCCTTTGATTGCTCAGAAAGGTGGTCCTAATAAGAAAAAGTTGGAGGATTTGAGAAACATTCAACATTTTACTGATTAGTAATATTAGCAATATAGAAACCCACTTTACCAGTTGTTTCCCCCCCCCCCCCCCCCCCCTCTTTTTCACACCCCCTTTTTCTTTTTTTTTCCCCCCCCCCCCCCCCAATCTTTCTACCTCTATTTTGTTTGTATTTTATTTTCGGTATGGAGTAAAATGAAAAAGAGCATATTTCTGGTATCTTCGCAGATAGCCGAGAAATTAAAAAAAAAAAATAGAAAATTGTGGAGAAGGGGGTTAGAGATTGCAACTATATGGGAACCGAACCCTAACTAAACTGCTACTCTTTAGATACTTCACTACTCTCTCAATTAATCTTTGTTTTGTCCACCATGGGGCATCTCCCTCCAATAGAAATATTCAAATCGCAACCATTAAGTGAGAAGAAGAAACTAGTACTTGACCAGCTTTTTGAGCCATGCGATTCACTAACCTCACTAATTAATGAATCAATCTTTGTCAAGAATAAGCCATTCAATACATATCAACAATTCATTGAACTAGTACGAGCTGAACTTTTAACGTTTCTCAGCTTTTGCGAGTTTGTTCAATCACGAACTCATAAGGGAATCAACCCGGTAGTAAATAAAATAATCTCAGCACATCCTCGATTAGGTGTGCCTAAAGATCATCAATTAAGTGAACATTCCAGTCATGAACAAAGAAATTTAGCTGGTACAAAAGAGATGAGACAAAAACTTCAAGATTTAAACGATGAATACGAACAAACTTTCCCTGGGTTGAAATATGTTGTGTTTGTCAATGGAAGAAATCGTGACGAAATTATGGATGATATGCGTATGCGAATCAAGAGAAATGAAATTGAACTAGAAAGAAAAGAGGCATTCAATGCTATATGTGACATTGCCTTGGATAGAGTTTCAAAGTTGGAAACAAAATTATAGAACAAATTAGAGTAGCTAGTTATAGACAATAGATACTTTTGTCTTGAGTTGCCAAAAAACCTCTCTGTCATTAATTATGATGGTGGTGAGAGAAAGTCATTGTCATATTAATTAATCCTACCCTCCTCCTCCATCACCAGTTCAAGTGAGTCCTCCCTTCCTCCCCGGCACGTGAATTTTCCTCTCTACAGGGCTCTTCACGCATCACTTGTCGTGTGTGCTCAAACTGATTTCCCTGCCAAATCTCCTGACACTCCTTTTTTTTCTTTTTTTTTCTCTCTCTCTCTCTGTGCTTTCGCGATATAAATATAAGTCATTTAAAACTCCTACTTCTGTTTCCTATTTTTTTTTTTCCTCTTCTCCTCCATAGTCTTTTACTACTTTAAAGTATATAACCCACTTAACTAATGAGAGATAAGTGGAGAAAGAAGAGAGTTCGTCGTTTGAAACGTAAGCGGCGGAAGGTCAGAGCAAGATCTAAGTAATTGTGTCTTGCTCGGTTACCCACCCGCTTAGTGCTGCTGATGCCATAATGATTTGTTGATTTTTCAATTTTGTTTGTATGCTTCAGGTTGTGTGAATTTGCTTAGGATTGTTGCTAAGTATATGAATAGCAGACACTTGAATAAGGATGTATATTGAATAAAAGATGTACTTTTTTTGTCCATTAACTTGGCTTTTTTTGCTTTTTAATGAGCGGTTGGATAAAACGTTATCATGAATTGCGTTGCGTTTGACATATCCACTTGCTCAACTCTTTTCCCGTTTTTTTTCTCTTTTACTCTGTTGCTCTTATCTTTTGATGCTTCACTCTTTGAATAAAGACATTTATACACTACTAAACTTACTAGGACAATGAGTGTTTTATGAGAACTAGTCATTTTGATACATTTGGCAGTATAACCTTGTACCTCCCACTGTTTGAGTTTTCTGGAAAGCTCATCTGAAAAACATAAAAGAAAGAGAGATATATACTACATGATAAGATACTGCCCTAAGAAAAAGTAGACAAACGAGAAATTTATTTGACGGCATGATGATTCACGAGTTACTGAACTTCCAAGCCCGCTAACTAAGTGGTTATAAATCAGAGTTTTCTAGACATTTTCGTGTTGTTGATACACTCTTGCTTGCTAAGGGCATCCTTAAGGTGTTTCATTTTTTTTCGCTACCATTGTTTGTGTTGCAAAAACGTTTATTTTTCTATTCTCTCAATTTTGGATCTTTTTTTGCAGTCAAATGAGAAACATTATTAAATAGCCATTGCTAGAAACACCTTCCTATCAATGGTGACATTACCGCTGATAGGACTTGATATTGTTGAAAGCAATGACGCAATTGTGTCTGGAATTCCTCTACCACCGGCCACTCCTCATTTCCAAGAAGGGAAAATTCCATCTACATCGCCAATTCCCCAAAATTCATATCATCAAACTCACATAACAAATCATTACAAATTTATTCAAACTGCACCAATTGCTTATACTTCACCAGCAACAGTCCAAGTATTGCCCCTAACATCAAGTTCCTTTGATATTCCAACACCTACACAATCTGAACCTTTAACGACCCCGATTTCACCTTCACCACAGGATTTAAGCTCCTTGTTGTCACCACATGAACCTCCTCATGAAGTAGATTTGTATTTTCCACAAAGGCAGCAAAAATTGCGACAGCAGATGAGCAGAAATACAGGCGCATTTTTCAGTGGTAACGCTGGTGGCGGTTGTAGTAGTGACGTTTTCACTGAATATGTGGAGAATAGATTTGCTAGATTTAGACCAACAGAGTCGCAACATAATAATGATGTGGTGATGAATAACTTACATCCGTTTCAGAGAGACGATTATGGAGTTGAGCAAAAGTCAATATTCGAAAATATAACCACTTGGTTTAAAAAAAAGCCTATAGTGGCTACCGATTTAGAAACACAGAGTCAATCGCCGCCTACTACTGATAAAAGTGCATCGTGTACCGCAGGATTCTTGCAGCGCGGTGAAGAAATGGGTAACACTGCTGAGCCAGTGTACACACCACGAGGCATTCCTATAAATGAGTATCCGCTCAACTTCATCAAACAGCAGGATAATAGTAATTTGGGAGAAGAGAACGAAAGAAGAACAGCCATAATCAATCTGTTTGATGAAGAAGTAAGAGATTTGGTTGACGGAGTAGATAATTTTCTAACCAGTTGCTTTGACGGGGTCTGGACCTTCACTTCTGGCCTCTGTTCAACTTGCCTAGATCCGTTTGACGAATAATCAATGTTTAATTTTATTACTATTCTTTTTCTTCTTCTTCTTCTTCTTTTTTTTTTTTTTTTTTTTCTGTAAAGTGTTTATAGATATGTATGTCTCTAAATGGTCTACTCAATGGCTTCGGCGAATTTCTCGGAGATAGTGGTTAACAACTCACTGAACTCCTTTTGTCCTTCCTCTTCGCCTCTTGTAGGTTCAAAGAATTTAGCCGATGAAACAGCATGCTTTACGTCACTCGTGATTTCTGATAATTTAGACCACTGAGCACCATTGGCAACAGCCTTTTGTGCTTCATCATGATATGCAATAAAAGCTCTCATCATGTCAAATGTTTTCCAAATTGGGCAAAATGCATCATATGTGGAATATCCGTTTTGTTGTAAAAAGTCTTCCTTGATCAACGTTGCTACATCCAAAGTAATCTTATCAGAATCACTCAATGCAGACTTACCAACTAATTGAACAACTTGTTCCAACTCTTCTGCATTGGACAAGATTTCCTTCATTTTGTTTCTCAATTGAGGAAATTCTGGAAAGTTTGAATCGTAGTACTTGTTTAAAATGTTGGTGTACTTTGAATATGAAACAGCTGTGTTGATAGATGGGAAATGTTTTCTTTGTGCTAATTTTTTATCCAAACCCCAAAACACTTGCGTGATACCTAATGTGGCAGTTGTAACTGGATCAGAGAAATCACCACCAGCAGGCGAAACCGCAGCGACAACAGATACAGACCCGATTCTATCTGGAGAACCCAATGCGGTGGCTTTACCAGCTCTTTCATAGAACGATGCCAATTTTGCTCCCAAGTAAGCCGGGAAACCTTGATCAGCAGGCATTTCACCCAATCTTCCAGAGATTTCTCTTAAAGCTTCAGCCCAACGTGACGAAGAATCGGCAATCATGGAAACATTCTTTCCTTGGTCTCTGAAATATTCTGCTAATGTAATACCAGTGTAAATGGATGCTTCTCTTGCTGCCACAGGCATGTTCGATGTATTTGCAACCAATGTGGTACGCTTCATAATAGGTTCTTTTCTTCCATTTATTTCAGTGTATAATTCAGGAAATTCCATTAAAACTTCGGCCATTTCATTTCCTCTTTCACCACAATTGTGAACCAATGCCATGTTGGAAAGTAAGAATAAATGATCTGATGACTCATCAAGGGTAATACCATAATAATCTTCTTTTTCTTTCTTAATCAAATCAAAGTAAAATGGGACAGGTGTTGGAGAAAAAGAAGAAGAAGAAGAAGAAGAACAGGAGGTTGCTTCAACGCGTTTGCTTTCAATTGCACATTTGGCAAAAATATTGCTCAATACTTGACCATTTAAGTGGACGTTATATATGGACTCAATCTTGTTAACAGTGATTTCAATACCCAAAGAACGGGCAACTTTGACCACACCGTCGCAAACGGATTGGTAATTTGTGGAAAGGGTTGCGGTGCTACTTCCATCAACTTTGCCGTTAGCGTCAAGTAAACCAGCCAAAAAGAATTCTCTGATAGCAATGTCATCAACAGCTAATTGTGAAGGGACAACTTTTTCAAATCCACATTCAGTCTCTTTTCTGAACCCAAAACATTTAATAGCATTCCAAAAGGCCTCACAGTTGTTATTGTTGTTGTTGGTAACGGTTTTCGTTTCAGCGTCTATGAAGCTGGCTTCATGTACCAGGTCTATATCAGTAATTGCTTCTTCAAAAATCAGTTCAGAAACACTTTCTACGTCACTCTCGAAATGGCTGGAAATTTCAGCTTGTTCTGGTTCATCTGCATGTGCACACACAGATGCAACATCTTTTACTTTTTCTTTTTCTTTGTCTTGTTCTTCTTTTTCATTTCCTACCCATGCACCCAACAAATAAGCCAACTCTGTAGCCAGACAATTGTTTTTTTGACTCCATTTGGCAAGTTCACCAGACTCAAAGAAAACAGGGTTGATCATTTGTGTAGTGTGCTCTTTGATTCTTGGATCAATTAATTCATAATCCCTTGCCTCTACAACCCAGTCAAAGACTTGTGATTCATCAACTTCAGCTGCAAAGCTGGCAGCTTTCTCCCCAGCAGCACTTTGCCCATGAACATGGTGTGCAAAAACCTTAGTTTTAGATTTAACCACTTTAGTATTCGAATTGGTTCTTTCCAAGGCAAAGAAAGTAACAGCAGAATATTTTCCACTTGCAGTGGTACGAGTAGTAATGCCAACATTCTGTTTTGTTCTTAAAACAAGCTTGTGGTCAGCAGAAACAACAAAGTCCACCAAAGCGTGGTTTCCGCCGTTTTTGACTTGACAAACATTGTACATGTCATCGTAGCCTCTAGGCAAACCCACAACAGTTCTAGGTTTACCATCTTTACCCATAACCAAGTCGTTTACTTTTATGTCCTCAATGGCTTGGTCTTTACCATTTGCCATCATGACGGGTGTTCCCTTGGTGAAACAACCAACGTAAATAATAACATCTGAGTTGGAGTACTTGGATAAGGATTGTGAAATGACAGTTTTACCACACCCGAAAGCACCTGGGATACAGGTAGTACCTCCTTGAACACAAGGGAATAAAGAATCCAAAACTCTTTGACCTGTCAATAATGGGTAATCAGCTGATAACTTTTCGGCAACGGGTCTTGGAACTCTCACGGGCCATGTGTGCATCATTGAGTATTTGTGTTTCTTACCGTCAAATTCCAATTCCAAAACAGTGTCCTCGACATTATAAGAGCCTGCTTCGGCAATTGAGGTAATAGTACCTCTTGCTCTTGGTGGCAACAAAATCTTGTGATCGTCCAATAAGGAATTTTCAAAAACAGAGCCGAATATATCGCCACCAGTAATATGATCACCCACTTTCAATTGGCCTGGTTTGAAGTCGTATTGGACTGTCTTAGATAACGCAGGAACATCGATTCCTCTAGGAATATAAATAGAATTAGTCTCTTCCTTAATCTCCTTTAACGGTCTTTGAATACCATCATAAATCGTGTTTAACAAACCGGGACCCAACTCAGCACTCAATGGAGCACCCGTTCTTAAGACAGGATCACCTACTGTAACACCTGCAGTTTCTTCATAAACTTGAATTGTGGCCTTGTCTCCGTTGATTCGAATAACCTCACCAACTAAATTGTCGTGTCCAACTTTAACCAATTCGTACATGGCACATCCAATCATGTTTTCCGCAACCACAACCGGCCCAGAAACTGAATAAATCGAACCATATTGCCCTTCCTTCGCATCATCTAGAGAAAGGCGCTGGATTTGCTTTCTAGCATTTTCCATTACACCAGCCTAACAATACCGAGTTAGTCCCATTCTTTTACCAAAGAATACCGATCGAGTTATTTAGACATACCATTTCTGTAACTATCAATGATGTGACGTAAATGGGTAAAACACTTGTGATTGCTTAAAGGTCCCTAGAAAAAACAATGAAACGTTGACAGAAATTTGAAGATTAGAGGGGTCGTGCAAAAGGGATTTCAAAATTACCAAAAAGAGTAATGCAGCCGCACAAGTTGCAAAAAAGCTGAAGGAGGAGGAGGAGGAGGAGGAGAAGGAGAAGGAGAAGGAGCCACGCTCAGTAGCTTGTTACTACACTATCTCGCTCTGCTCGATAGTGTTACAAGTAATATCTAATAAATACAAAATATATACATATATATTTATGTGTACAAGAGTGTGAGCCAGAGGGGCTGTTTATTCTACCTGGTCACCAATCTTTACTTCTCTCTTCAACCTCTTTGTTTCTTGATCTAATGCCTTCATTAAAGCTTCTTTTACATGGTTATCCAAAGCCAACTTCTCTGCTAAGTCATCGATAACCGGCTCTGAAATCACCACTTCTTCCTCCTCTCCACTTTTGTTCAACTGCACCAAAAGATCTTGTGAAACGTGTTTCGAGTATATTTGATCAATCTGGCTCACCGGTTCAAGTCTCAAATGCGTTGTGTCATGAACCGCTTTAGCATCAAGCAATTCATCCTTGTCGCCCTGTTTTTTCTCCAACAAGTAGTCCATGTTCTTTATACTGAACAAAGCCTTCACATTGCAGTACAACCGATAAGTTAGATAAATTCCAGGTACATTGGGCACAATAGGCACCAACACTACTGGTAGCGTCAATGGAATTCCTACTGCACATAATATTGAATACTTTTTATGCTTTTCAAAGTTAGCGTCTCTAAACCTGTACAACTCTTCAAGAACGGTTGTTGGTTCTTGCTGAAGTGGGTGGTATAGCGGAATAGGAACTAGTTGATCGGTGGAGATTTTTAAATCCTGGATTTCTGACTGCGCAATAATTGTAGGTTGTTCCAGAGTAAATGTTTCCTCCTCACCTGGACTCTTCGCCACAACATGCCGACTTTCTTCATTTATTTCTCTAATCATTGCTGCTTTATTGGGAAATGAAAGGAGACAACTCTCTTCGTAGGGAATGGTCCATAGCAATTTCTTGACATATTTGACAATACTGACATTGATCTTCAGCTTTGACGCAGTCATTTTGTTCCACCCATTAGTGGCATAGTGAATGATTTTGGTCTCAACCTTGTTGATCCACGAAAGTTTCGATGCTCTCGACTTGGTCAATAGTCCCGGCCGGTGGTTACAGTAAATAAACGATCGATGAGTAGTAATGGGCAAACAAAGAACGTAAATCGACTTGGGATCAATCGAGAGAGGCGGCAGCAACGAAAATAAACGGGCCAGCAGCCTACAAGGACCTAGCGACACATTCAATCTTGCGATCCTCTTGCTCAAAATTCCATTAATCATCGATCAGCTAGAGCACATCGAAAAGAACTCTCAAATTTGTACATTTTCCATCTCCGAAATGTCAAATTGCTATAATTTCAAGTAGCAAATGAATTGGGGTTTGAAATACACGACCTTTTGTTTCTACAACTTCTAGTATTAACACTGGCTGCGAAATAGTATATATTTATCTCTAGTGGTATACTTGATACTTTTTTATTTAGTAGTATGTCCTATTAGTGAGCCAATGATAAGAGAGAAGGGGAATAGGAGAGAAGGTGAAGGAGAAGGAAGAAAAGGAGGCGAGGTGAGAGATAAAGTCTTCAAAAAAAAAAAAAGAAAAATGGCCGTTTAGTATCATTTATTAGTAGTGTTACACACACACACACATATATATATATCTCTATGAGAAAGCTATTCCTTTTTCTTTTATATCTTGTTAACATATTGATGTTAAAATCCAAAAGCACCCTTTGAATAAGCCATTGGCTTTATATCTGGATGAGGGCTAGCCTCAAAAGTCTCTGTAGTTAATATCCACGGACAATTATCATCATCAACCTTTCTATATCCTTCTCCTTCATCCTTTAGTGGATCGTAATTGGGGTTTTCCTCAAAATGCAAAACACCTCCCAAATTCCCCGTGGAATCGCAATAATTGGGAGCACTGAATACAGTGATTAACCTTCCATTTTGCTCAAACTCAACACCCCCCATTCTCACTTCGTGAGACCTCAAAATTTTACGAATCTTATTAGACATGCAAAAACGTTCTGTTATATCTGGACCAAATTGAATACCAATTCCTCTTTTCGAAGGCGCTCTACCATTGATTTCCTGGGGGTCCGTCCAGAGCATCTCTGTGGCAACACCTTCCTTTGGTTGGATCGAGCTAAACCTCTCTATGGACTTGATATCCTGTAACGTTACTTTATCATTTGAAAAAAGTCCCCCATGAAGACACAAGTACTCTCTATTAATCAAAGTAGCCAAGGGTAATGCCCCAAAAGACTCACTAAAAGCGTCAAAAATCTTTTTTGAGTACTTAGCTTCACATTCATCCGTAAAACCATATGTCTTGTTCATGTCACTGGTTTCATGATTACCTCTATTAATGAAAATCGACTTGGGAAAAAGTATTTTGAGCACGTAAAAGTACAATGCAACTTCCGTGGACCATGAACCACGATCAACAAAATCTCCGTTTATAACAAACACATGGTCTTCCGAAACGTGACCAAATTTTTCAAATAAATGCAAAACATCATAAAACTGACCATGCGTATCACCAACCACTGTCAACTTTTTCCCTCCAACAATCTCGTCGTCAGAATTGCTAGCCCTTCCTATTTGGCTGTGATTGAGTGAAACCTCCACCATTGATTTCTCATTCTTCAACAATTCGTTAACTTTGGATATGATGGCAAACACATGCTTTTTGGGTAATTTCCCACCTTCCTTGAATAATTTGATCATATACTTTAGATACAGGTGATCTAATCCTTTAATATCTACCAAAACGTCCCTGCTTGCGTCTTTACTCTTTGACTCTTTTCTTGTAGTTATATCCAAGCTTGGGCCCTCCCACGACTTCTCCACTTGTATGCCTTCATAATCGATTGAATTCAATACCAGAGTATGATCAGTTCCCGCAATCGCGTTTTCAAAAGCCTGTCTTCTTAAAAGATTCGTACATCTTTTATAATTTTCCAATGTCAACTTATCGTTGGGTAACTTTGTCAATATTAACTTGAAGTTCTGTTGTGCCTGTTTTGTTTTTAAAATAGCCATTTGCGCAACACCTTTCCTGTAGTACGCTTTCATAAAGTTCGGATCAAGAGAAATAGCTGCATCGCAATCCTGTATGGCCGAGCCAAAACTCTCCATCTTGATATGAGCTTGTGCTCTATTAGAGTAGAATATGGCATTTTCCAGATCTAGCTCTATAGCTTTTGTATATGACTCTATCGCTTCTTCATACTTGTTTTCCTTCAAATACTGATTACCCTGATCCTTGAGCTTCACAGCATCTTCTCGCGCCTTCGTCATAGTCGGAGAGAAAGAGTCGGAGAGAAAGAGTCGGTGGCAAGCAGAGGACCGGTTTTAACTTGTTTCTTCGAGTTTCCGCCGTATTTCTTTTCTCCATTTTTTTTTTTCTTTTTTTTTTCTTTTTCTTTTTTTTTCACGCATGCGATGTCCATCTCCAGATTGGTCTCAAGTATAAAAAGAAACAATTACTAACTACAAAAAATATTTCGACAATGGTTTATACTGAAGTCGAGTATATTGGCTAGTTTAGACACCTTACGCATATTTCACTTGCGTTGATAACATCCTTGGAAGATATATCAAAAAAAAAAGCAGCAAAAGAATCGAAAAAAGAATAAAAGAGAAAAAGCACAGAGGAAAGACCTTTTGAGGGAAAAGGAGACCTACCATCTAGCTCGACTCACCTCCTTCGACTCACCTCCTCACCCCCCCTCCTCTTTTATCTGACTAATTAAATCCTATCTTTATTTTTTTTTTTTTTTGCTCTTATTATGTTTCTGTTCTGTTCTGTTCTGTTCTGTTCTACCTATTTCTTTTTTATACTCTGATACGTAATCCAGACGCAGGCACTCCAATTGAGGTGATGCCAGTAATCTCACTTAATTGACCTTTAAACTGTGGTTTGTACTTTGCGCCTACTAGAGCTTCACTAACGCTCAGTTCTCCTTTGTAGATGGGGGTGAAACTGCCGCAACATATACTGAAATCAGCATAAGGATCGAAATCGATTTCTACAGAATCGCTTGCAATTGCGTCTGCCTTTGCTTTTAGTTTATTGGCTTGCTCTGCCCTCGGACCCGAGCTGGATATTTTCAAAAACTCTTGGGCAAAGTAGGATGCACTAGCATAATTCTTGTTCTTGAACGACTGCGTCATGGCAACGTTTAAAGCATTAAGCTTATGTGCCAGCTGCAATTGCACTTTTGTGAAATATGAGGCTAATTCCAAGTTTCGTTTGACATCAGTAGGTGGCAATGCACGACGAGCCAATTCGATACTTAGTCCAAGAATATACTCTCGACACAATACCAACATTTCGTGGCATTTTGTTTCGGCTTCTTCGTCATTAACATTCAAAACAGTAATAGTGTAGATAACAGACTTGAAGGTCTTAATTGCTTCTTCTAGATTGTTTGCTTTGAATTGTTTGAAAGCCACTGACAATTGTTCTTCCAAGGTATCGTATCCAGGTATGACTGGTCTTATCTTACTTGGATCTTCTTCATCACAATCTTCTCGAATAAAAGTTTTCATGGCAGGTAGATCGTCAGCTCCTGGAAGGTACAATTTTGAAGCTCCATGTACTTGCAAAAATCTTTGACGTAGTGGCTCAAAATTTGTAACACCAACTTGCTTGTTCAATAATAAAGCCGCTTGCTCCATTGCGCCAGCAGCAATATAAGTTGCAGGAGTTTTAGCATTACGCAACCAATCTCCAATTTCACTCTCTCCTGATACTGCACCAGGTACAACATTGAGGGCTTCTTCTTCGTTTCCCTGCAACAATTCCTCATCATCAATGTTAAACTCGTCGTCAAGTTCCCAAGCACCACCATCTTCGCCATCTTCTTGCTCTTCATCTTCAAACTCTAGAGCAGCAGTATGACTTTGCTCAGATGACAACACCCCAACATCCTTTTCATCCTTTTCTGTAACGTTCAAATTCTCTACTTTACCTGTGAGCAATGCGCTCTCAAAAAAGGATAAAGAAGACTCCTTCAAGGGCCAATTGGCGATGGGATCAGCAATTGGCTGCGGTACAGGAATAGTTTCACCCAACTCTGGTAGTTCAACATCTTTTTCAGAAACACCAGCTTCCTCCAAAATTTGAGCTGCAAATTGGGTCAATCCATTAGACTTTGCCAAGGTGTAGGCTAATGGAAGCATCCCACTTTGTACATAAATCTCACATCTCTTTTGCACATCTTTATTGTATAATGTGTTTTGCACTACTGCAGACAAATTGCCTCTATGCTCGGCAATTGTAGTCATCTTGTTTAACCTTTCCTTATCACCTTTGAACAAATACAAAAAGGACAACTTCTCAAATAAATGCAATTGCTGGTAAACAAACTCAACAACTTCAATGTTTCCCTGTAACAAAGCCTCTTCACCCAACTTTTCCCAAATTTTAGTATCATTCAAAATCTTTGCTTGTTCTAATGCCACTGGTAAGTTACTGCACTCTAAAGCCAAGTCAAATCTGGTTTCTGGATCTTGAACAAAGTGTAAAGCAACATCGGCAAACCCTTTTTTCTGCAAGTAGGCAATGATATTTTGGCCCACCAAAGTGGAAGTTTTGATCAATCTCAAAACTTCGCTGAAATTTTTGTTGACTAAAGCACGCTTGAATCTATACTCAGTTGGATCAATCTTGATTATTTCAACTTGGCCTGCGCGGTTCAAGCAATATACCAAATTGCCCGTAACTTTAGTAATGTAAACAGTGTTCTCCAAAGTTTTGATGATACCATTATCACCATTCAACAAAGTGTATTTGATGTGATTTAAAGTTGAGTACAACAAAACCCCTGAATCGTCCCATGCAGCACTCTTGATTCTGATAGTTTCATGCATGGAAGTGACCAACTCTAAATCCTTAGTAGCAATTGTAATCGTATGCTTTGCCAAAAGAGCCAAATATTGTCCATCGGATGACCAGCACACATATTTTACATTATTAACACTAAGTTCTGCCAATTCCTTACGCTGTTGTACATCATAATTGATCACGGTATGTGCTTTAACTAACAAAACACGACCGGGGCCTCCGTATAAAACATCCGTTACAGACAGGTCCAATTGAATAGTTTTTGTAATATTATTGCTCAAATCTTTCACATGCAAGATCTTTGATGACTTGATAAATGTAACAAAACGATTGCGTGATATAAAAGTGGCAAAATTAGCTTCACCCTGTCTAACATCAGTTGGTTCAATTGCTCCCGTGGCATGTTTGGGCAAGGTTATCAAAGCATAGTTGGAGTTATCACCTTCACCGTGAACAACCAAGATGGAGTTTTCACTTTGGTTATAAGACAATGTTCTCATAAACGACCAAGCTTTTCCAATTTTCTTCAAAGACAACATTGGCAAACTGCTCTCTTGTTTTTGGAAATCAAATGCTTGCACTTGTTTCTCTCCATTTACATAAAATAATTTGTTTTGGAAAAGTGCATGAGCTGGTCTTTCTCTTTCCAATTTGAAAACCATGACTCCGGAATCATGACATGCGGCAAAAAGATTGATAGTAGGGTGACTTGCAATGAGCCAGAATCTATCGTGCTCTCTTCTGAATTGCTTAATGGGAACACGCTTGTTCAAATCCCATACTCTGATTGTCTTATCATCTGAAACAGACAAAATCATATCTTGGTGTGGATGGAAAATAGCGCTTAAAACATTACCAGTGTGGCCTCTACATGTATCAACTTCCCAAGCTTTTGTATCGCTCATTCTCCACAATTTGACCAATCTGTCATCGCCAGCAGAAACAATCAAAGGTAATGTTGGGTGGAAAGCGGCAAAATTGACCCCCTTGTCGTGACCTTCCAAAACATACTTGACAACAGCATTGATATTGCCAAATATATCTTGTTGGGGCAATTGTTGTCTTTGTATTTGGTCCTCAAAAGACCTAACCGACGAAGCTGGAGCAGAGTGTTTTTTCCTCAAGCCCGAAATATCCCATACTCTTACAGTTTGATCCAAACTTGCTGAAACTATCAAATCTTCCGAAGGGTGGAATTGGGCACTCATAACGTAATGGTTGTGGCCGGTCAAACAAGCTATTTCCTGCCTATTTTGCCAATTCCAAATCCTAATTGTTTGGTCATCTGAACAACTGAGAATCCACGGCAAATCGTGATGGAATGAAACCCCACGCACATAGTCCAAATGTCCACTCAAGGTAAATAAACATTTGCGTGTAGTTAAAGACCACACTTTGATTGAGTAATCGTCTCCACCAGAGACAAACAACGGCTGTGTTGGATGGAAAACAATGCTTCTTACTGGTCCAACGTGATCTTCAAATCGATCAATCAATGTACCCATTCTATAGTCCCATAACTGTATAGTAGACGAGTGTAACGAGACCAAACACCAAGGCCTTTTGGGATGGAATGCCACTCCCTTAGCCCTCGATGATTTGGACTCAAACTTGGTTAACATCTTCATGGTTTCTCGATGTAAAATGTATAAAAAGCCTTGTCCACTTTAACTACCAACCGAATTTTTCAATTAATAATGGAAAAAAAAGAATTATGTGTTGTTTTTTTATAAGAGAAAAAAGAAAATTAAATAAAGAATCTATTAAGCAAAAGTGGAAAAAAAGGGAAAAAGAGAGAAATAATGCTTTAAGCAGGATTCGAACAGAACACCATCGAGCAGAGCGAGATGGTGTCAGTCAGAGTTGCTCCACTATCGAGCAGAGCGAGATAGTGTTTTACAGAGTGAGTAGAATAGAGTGGAATACTTTTGAGCAGAGCGAGATAGTGTTCTACAGAGCCAGTAGAAAAATATTGTGGGTCGACACTATCGATCAGAGCGAGATGGTGTCGATGGTGTCAGTCTGTGTTGCTCCACTATCGAGTAGAGCGAGTAGAATAGAGTGGAACACTATCGAGCAGAGTGAGATGGTGTCGATGGTGTTAGTCGGTGTTGCTCCACTATCGAGCAGAGCGAGATAGTGTTCTACAGAACCAGTAGAAGAATATAGTGTCGATGGTGTCAGTATGTGTTGCTCCACTATCGAGCAGAGCGAGCAGAATAGAGTGGAACACTATCGAGCAGAGTGAGATGGTGTTTTACTCTGCTCCATAGTGTTTCACAGTGTTGTACTAATAATCATAAATAAAACCATACATAAACTAACCATTATATAAAAAAGTTTCTTCTTCTAGTCTTTATTTCCTTCAATCTTTTCTATAGATGGTATGACAAAAACCCCAAACAAATTGCAAGGAATATGCTCGTTAATCCAACTTTTTTACTAGCTTCCAACGTTATTGCAGCTGCACCTCCAGTAGAGGATCCAGCAACGGTCAGAGACTCTCTAGAATCTTGAATAAAGCCACCAGTACCTGCATTTGGATCGTAATCATTATCTGAGGCTTGAGGTGCTGCAGTTGCTTGATTAGCGGCAGCAGTGTTTTGAGCTGGAATGTCTACCGATTGGTCTGCTGTAGTTGTACGAACACTGGTTATTGTACTAGACCCACTGGTGCTGATAATCGTGGTTGTAACATTATTCTTGCTCTGACTACTATTTTCATTTTCATTATCTGGGTTGAACCCAGTAGCATCGTAATTACCTAACCAGGTCTTTTTATTTGTTAACATGACATGAGACTCGTAACCATCGGTGTTGTTATACAAAAAGGCAGGATAATCGGCTTGATTGGTGGAGTTACCATCAAGTTTGACTCCACCTGGTAAATCATAGCACTCCACTTTGATTTCTGCCAAACGGGCATAAAAATAGCCATAATCTTGAATATCTGGCGAATTCCAGTCAATTTCACCTCCAGCCCACTCAATAGTACCCAACCCATTTGATGGATCTCCACCTGGCCATAAAGAGAATTGGATTCTTGATGGCGTTTGAGGAAAGTCGTATCTCTTGGTTGTATCATTCCAAGTGTCAGCCCTGTTCAAAGTTCTCACTTTCTCATTATCAACAATCCAATCAACGTGGTCCTCATGCCAGTCTATTTCGTACAAATGGTAGTATTCAAAAGTATCATTCACAGTCGAGTTTCTCGAATTGGTATAATTTAGAATACCCTGTGCGTAAAAATTTGATTGTGGAGTACTCAAATCATAACCAACATACTCATAATCAATCTCATCTTGAACATCTGAAAACAATATAAAAGCAGAAATAACACCACGAGAACGAGATGTTTTGAATTTGGCACTAACTTTTCCATACCAAAGATACTTTGTTGACGAAACAACTGTACCTGTAGTGTGATTAGGCATTTGGATCAATAAGGAGTCATCATGATAGTCGACCCATCCGGTATAAACCCAATCTGCTTCTGTGGAGTTACCCAAATACTTAGTTTGTGCCTCAATCTGCTCAACTTCTTCTTTGGAGTTAAAGGTAATGGAATAATCATCCATTCGGGGCATAGGCATGCATGAGGATAAATTATACGAGTGTCTAATATCACAACCTCCTAAACAGTAAGCACCAGTTCCACATATACCAAACTGAGAACAACATGGACTAGATTCGGGGCACTTTTGCGTCGCGTTACATGTTATCGTATCTGCAACTGAAACGCTGAGTAATGACAAAAAAAATATATATAATAACCTCATTAGGTGGGGTCACACAACTTTAGGTTAATGGAGGAGATGGAGGAGATGGAGGGATGGGATGGGATGGGATGGGGGGAAAAAAAAGTGATAATAAACAGTTGACCGATACTTAACCTGGATTTTCAACAATGGGATAGCCAGCCGGAATTTACTGTCAAAATAACCAAAATAAAAATGATAGTCTTTGAAATCCAGTAGAAACAACAAATGAAGTATCCTTTTTCTGTTTCAAAAAACAGAAAAAAAAAGAGGGAAAAGGAAGGTGGATAGAGAAAGTGTAGCGGTTGATGATACCTTTGTAAGTAAGCTTTATGGTTTCACCATTTAATGGAACCCAAAAGTTCTATTTTTAAATTTTTTTTTTTCTCTTTGAATTTTTCCTCTTTGGATCGAGAATCACGTGATTAGATGCGCAAGCTTAATAAGCTAATTGAAATGAGGGAGTAGGATGAGTAATAGGATAGGTGGTAGATAGGTAGTAAATAGGTAGTAAATAGGTAGTAGATAGGTAGTAGATAGGTGGTAGATAGTAGATAGGTAGTAGGTAGTAGGCTATGTAGTAAGCTGAAAAGGTGGATTGACATATACAAGAAAGCAGCGTACCCATATTTTGCATGTATTAGCCATACATACAGTACTGCTCTACTATCTCGCTTGGCTCCATAGCGTCTCAAAGGTGGTCTAGAATCTCTTCCTCTAATGTAGAACCCTCTTTTCTCTTTATTGACTGAGCAAATTGAGTGTAGTGAAAGCTAGTATGCTCCACTATCTCGCTTCGCTCGATAGTGTCGCTTACGCTTCAATATTTCGTTTTCAAGAAAATGGTGAGCACTGGGTGCAAAATCAACTCAAAAATTTATTTATTCATGTATATAAACATTGATACTTTCGCAGCCAATGCCTGTTACTTAACAGTTGCACTTGACAGTCTTTTTATTAATTAGACGACCCATCAGCATGAGGCTCACCAAAGGTAAAACCGAGTCCTTCCAAGAATTTCACAGCAAGAAAACTATCCAAAGGTAAATCATCATTATTTCTAACAGTTTTAGCATCAGGACCACTAATAATTTCACGCTTCTCTTTAAAAAGTCCCATTCCCAAAAGAGAACCCAACGAGCTAGCTGAACCAAGGTTTGAAAAATCAATACCTGAGGAACTTGAAAGGCTACTAAAGTCAAAAAGTCCAAGACTCTTACCCGAATTCAAAATACTGAAAAAGTTGCTAAGAATACTAGTACTGGATGTAAGTGTACTCAACATATCTGCTGAATCATCTCTTGGATCAATCTGTGGAACTACAGCAGCTTGTACCAAAAAAACTATAAAAGCAATCACTGAAAAGTTTTTTAACAACATGTCTTTGTCTTATCAAATTAAAAAGTTCCCTGATGATTTGTAGGTGATGAACTGGTTGATTGAATTACAAGAAGTTTCGGAATGAAAAGAGTGCTAGTCAAAAGGTATTTATAATAAAAGTAAGCTCTGAGCAGACATGCCTTTTTTTTTGATTTGCTATATCTAATGAAGAGTGGGCTTCCAGCATTTCGAGGGAGAGGTGTTGAAAACGACAATACTGAAACAGCCTGTACATTTGTTTCAATTGTATCTGATTTCATTGTTATCATCTCCAGGAATATATGTTTGGTGGGAGTGGGGCATGTGTGTGTGTGTGTGTGTGTGTGTATGTATGTGGGGCATGTGTGTGTGTGTGTGTGTGTGTGTGTGTGTATGTATGTGGGGCATGGATGTGTGGAGATGAGAGGGGCACAAGATGTTTCACAAGAAAATGTTCATGAGATCACCCACGATTGCAATCTTGCATTTCAACTTATGGAAAGTACCCCTGGCAAAATAACGGAGATTAGATCTTGATGATTCAGTACGTTTGCAACTTTATTTCTTGATGATTCAATACCTACTTGTGACTTTGAAACTTTATTACTTGCCATTCTTGCCATTCTTTTGTTTCTTTGTTGTTGTTTTTACTGGATTGAGCAATGGTATACCTGTTTCGAGATACATCTCTTTGCAAACGTTTGATCCATACTGTCTAATTCTGCAAGGGGAATGAAACTGATGCAAAATGTACATTTGCTGTCTAATAATGGATGGGGTGGGGGGGTAATGCAACATCAAAAAGTAAAAATGGTCTATCTAAATGCTGCTTCCACCCATTGTCTTAAAGTCTTCCTTGCATTGTAAAACGAGGGGGAGGGTAAAAAAAGCGGCTTTAGACGACATGGACCTGCTACTCTTACACGGCAATCAATAATTCAACTTCACAGCAAAACTGCCACATTTCTAAACTTAAAGATAACAGCAAAGTCTTCAAGTTCAAAAGAAACGCTTTTCACTCTGTTGAAACAAAACGGCAAAATAATCAAAAAAGAAACATAAAAAGCTTATTTTTCAGAAAAAAAAATTGCATTTCTACCCCATTGCGTCCCAGATCTCTAGTGAGTGAGGGGAAAGCTCAGATCTACTTTCTTCTTCAAACTGGTTGAACCGAAAACCAGATTTTCGTACTAATCAAAAGCACGTGTTAAAAACAGCTTTTACTCTTTTGTTCTTACTTTGAAAAAAAATTATACATATTTGGATCATATGTTGATGGCTGATCATAGATCAAATCACTACTAGGCTCCTTAAACTTTTCAGGTTGTTGTTGCCATGAAGGTACCAAATGTGCATCATTATTCAACAGTGATTGAGGCAAGCTAAAGTTGGGAGTGCTAGGCTGTTGCTTTGGTGGTAATTGTGGAGGTGCTCTTGTGTATTGCTGTGACTTTTGCGATGCAAACGATGTATGATTGGTGGAAATGGAGGTGGAGGAACCAAAACCAGAACCAAAACCATTACCACCACCATTACCACCACCATTACCACCACCATTACCACCACCATTACCACCACCATTACCACCACCATTACCACCACCATTACCACCACCATTACCACTACCATTACCACCACCATTACCACTACCACTACCACTGCCACCACCCGTAAAATTCGTGTGGGAATACATATGCTGACGAGAAGGAGTTGTTGGGGGAATGTGCTCACCGAGTGTCATTTTGTTCATTGAATCGCTAAGATCAGATTGACTCAACAACAAATTCCGACAATGCTGATAAATGTTTTTGTACCAAGCGTTGCCCTTTTTCAATCCCGCATGATACTGAGTCCAGTTTTTATAGAAATTGTTGATTTTGTTAATCAGCTCAAGTCTGGCCGACTCTTTGAAGTTATTCGAAGACTGCAACTTTCTCACTTGTGGATCAGCAAGCAATTTGCCCCATTCGGTTTTCAAATCTGAAAGCACAAGTTTTTCTCTGCTTATCATATTGTCCAACTTATCGATAAAAGGTTGAAACTTTTTCAACTCTGCTGGGAAAATAACTGTTTTTATTTCGTTATTTGATTTCTGCCTTGAATTGAATATTAAAATGTCTGATATATCGTCGGCGTGCACTTCCTTTTTAAGGTTCTCCATCAAGTTCCTTTTGTTTATCTTGATTGAATTCAAGTCTTTCAAAAAGTTTTCAATAGTCTCAACTCGCTTTTCTTGAGAGTCGTCCATGTCCAATAAACTAATTTCTGAAGCGGGATTTGATCTAAATAATGCCAAAAACTCCCTTGAAGTAGGTCCTCCACTTAACTGTTTATATAAACCCTTGTCTATGAAGGAAGCCAATTTGCTATCTGAATTAGATGCCTCATACAAAGCCTTTTTAAGCTGTATTGCTTGATCCCTATTTTCATATTGATTGAGCTGAGTAATTGAATCATAAATATGCTTTCTCAAAGCAATATTCTCCTCTTCAAGAGTTTGATCTTCATTGTAACTTTTAGAAATTTCAGAAACCTTGTTCAAGGTATCTCTGGGTATATCTTGATCATCGCTTGTCTTCAAGAGAGATTCCTTAATCTGACCCAAAGCCTTTGGAAGATTCAACGATTCAAGTAAGGAAACCGCTTCTTCATTCGAAACTTCATAGAAATCAATTTCATTTCTCAACAATTGCGATTTCTCTTCCGAATAAAAACTTGACAATTCGTGGATATTTATTGGAACAACATTGTTCAAAAAATTGCTAAAATCAACCTCGTTGATTTGTTTCAACATTGGAATTTGATTTAGCGGAACAGCTTTGGCCACCTGCATAGGTGCCAACTGATCAATGCTAACGTTTTTCTTTATCGGATCGTGATAGATCAAATCGTTGTCCTTGATTAGCTCTCCGAGCTTTATGTTTACTACATCTGTGTGATATTTCAAATTGTCTACTAGTTCGTAAACTTTTAAAGATTTCGGTTTAACAGCATTGTCCAAAATCGCTTTAGATTGTGTCAAGTAAGCAATTGCCTCACCGTACTTTCTACCGGTTTCCAATTGCAATCCATAAAAGTAATATGACAAGGACCGGTAATAATGTATCTTGAAATAAATGATCGAGATCCATGATGGATCTAACTGGACACTAACATATTGCGGCTTTGTTGTTTCGTCATCTTCCGTATCCGGACGCTCCAAATACCTCTCCTCGTACTCATCTACAATCGTGTATGCTTCCCTCTCCTCTTGGCAGATCATATCGTAGCATTCCTCGTATAGCGTGCTTGCTGACTTGCACAATTTTGAGATCAACGAGTTTTTCAGTTGATCTAAATCATTGGTGATGACATTGAGTAGGAATATTTCTTGAGCTTGAGCGAGAGCCAATTTACCTAAAAACTTGATTGTCGATTGGCCCAAATCGTTACTTGGGGCATGTAAGAAATTCTCATTTAGAAATTCGTAAATTCCGGCGGCTTGCTGTAACATGACAATCAGCTCCTTGACCAGTGCATCTTTGGAACTTTGCAGCTCGTTGTATTTAGAATTGGCAAACTTTGTTGACAATGCGGCAATATTGAACAATATATTTGCCTTCTCAAAGGGCAAGGCATTTTGCGAGTGAGAGATCTCTGGTTCAAAGGCATCGTGCCACACAAACTCCAACTTCTTGGACTTGTTCAAGCTGGCAAACAGAATCTTCAAGTCAAGAACCTCTAATTGACTATAGTATTTGTAATATAGCTTCAACCCAGTATTATCGGCATTGACTCCCCTAATATCCTGCCTTAGTTTGGAAAAGGACTCTAGATCACTTTGATAAGCGGAGGTATTCCCATAGATTGAAAGAAGATAATTATTCAAGGGCTTGATCCAATTAACCTCTTCAGTCTTCTTACTTGGCACTACAAGCAAGTATGTTCTCATTTGGTCAAGGAGTGCAAACTTGAAGATACAACAAAGGTGGAGGAGTTTTAAAAGGAAGGGGAAAAAAATATTGAAGGTATATTGAAATATTCCGTGTGTGGGTTGAAAAATTCCCCGTGGTGTTGTGAAGAAAGCTATGAGCGCAGATAAGAGCACAGATTTGAGTAAGAATGAGTCTATTGAAGACGATGAGCCAGATGAGTGGGATAGAAGGATAATGGATACGGGTTGCCATCAGGAGAATTTGAATTTGCAGTTGTGTCACGCAGATACGGGCGACTGGAGAAAGTGTTTAAAGGAAATGCAAGAGTTTAGAGAATGTTGGGCTAGGAATAGGAATAACGAAAGGACCTCAACGGTGGATAATGTGCAGCAGTAGACACTAGTAGACACTAGTAGATACTAGTAGACACTAGCGAGGTACGAGCTAGTGGAGAAAACCGATACTAGAGAGAGGAGTGAGTAGAGAGAAGGGAGTAGAGAGGAGTGAGTAGAGAAAAGTGAGTAGAGAGGAGCATCTTTAAAAGAGAAAAACCCGTTTGTCCGTGTGCTCTTGAAGAGTTGGAAGTTGCAATATTGGGCAGCTGATTAGCAATTGTGAGACAGAAGTGAGTTGACAGCGAGGAGAGAGTAGAGCAAAGTGAAGCAGCTGTGAGACAGAAGTGAGTTGACAGCGAGGAGAGAGTAGAGCAAAAGTGAAGCAGCTGTGAGACAGAAGTGAGTCGGAGGGTTCTCTGAAGAGAACCTCTGATTAGTGAGTCACTAGGCACTCTAAAGAGAGCCCACATTAGTGAGTCACTAGGCACTCTAACGAGAGCCCCGTTAGTGAGTCACTAGGCACTCTAACGAGAGCCCCGTTAGTGAGTCACTAGGCACTCTAACGAGAGCCCCGTTAGTGAGTCACTTGGCACTCCAAAGAGAGCCCCGTTAGTGAGTCACTAGGCACTCCAAAGAGAGCCCCGTTAGTGAGTCACTAGGCACTCTAACGAGAGCCTATCTAACGATAGCCTCTCGAGTTACTTGTATATACCAAAGACTCATAATCCCAATCACATTGAGACCTTATAAAAGACCCCAAACTTATCTCTGTAACCCATTATACCTCTTTGATTCACAACAATTCTCAAAAACCCTTCCACTTCCACGTCCACTTCCACTTCCTCTTCCCCTTCCACTTCCACTTCCACTTCCTCTTTCCCTTCCACTTCCACTTCCACTTCCCCTTCCACTTCCACTACGAGAAACTTTGTAAGCCTTAAGAGAAAAAATTTAAATGATAAACATAATCAAAGAAACTTTTCATAATTATACATGACAAAATCAAACTCTAATTATCATGGTACAAGGTATGTTCACCTATCACCGGCAAAACAAGATACAAATTCATTATCTGAGTTGTCAGTCAAATTTAAACCATTTACCAAGAACCTAAAAAAGTTTAAGCGCAAATGGGATAACATTATAGAGAAGTATCTGTGTATAGATGATGATGTTGAAAGTGACGAGATTGATCTTGTTTCTGGGCAGATTATCACCGATAATGGTCATTTGAGACAATTGAGGATGCACAAAGATATATGGTCTCCTACAAAAGGTTCAGTGCCTTCAAGCATGAATTACGACGAGTCGCCTACAAAGAAAAGGAAGAAAATTGTAAAAAAATTGCAATCCAGTAACACGTATTCTGGGGAGGAGGAGGAGGAGGAGGAGGAGGAGGAAGAGGAAGAAGAAGAAGAAGACGAGGAGGAAGAAGAGGAAGAAGAGGAAGAAGAAGACGAGTCGGTAATCACGTCGTCAGATGGTCATGTTTCAGGTGAGGAGACCTCATTTGAGGAGGAGAAAAAGAAAGAGCCAAAAAAGAAGGCAGAGAAGGTGATTCTCGAGCCAGTTGTTGAAAAGGGATTGATACCGAGAACCAGTAATAGTCCGTCAAAAGATAACAAAACGGTAATCTCCAGGGTGGTCGAGAACAAACTGCCAATTAAAAAGACAGAGTTGGGTTTGACACATATCCCAAATTTGAAGAAGGAATCGCTAGGGAAGGACATCAAAATCACAGAAACAGTGTTAAAAGATGGCGACTCTACACCTCTACATAACGAAGTTGAGGCCCTGGGGTATGATTCAATTGAAGAATTATTTGGCTAAAATTGTTCATTTTGTTCACTTCTTGTTAAACTTTATATTATTGTACTTTTATATACGATTTTTTTTTATTTATTTTATTTTCTATCTTACTCGATATCATCTTGAGAGCATCACGAGCTAGTTACTAGTTACAAGTTACACTATCGACAAACTACTAACTAATATACTCAAAGCTAGTATCGCCAATACGTTTTATGTACTCCTTTTCAATCAAGACATCAATGACTCTCTTGACATCGATAATCTTTGCCTTGAACCTGCTCGATGTTTGGGGCAACACTTCATTAATTAATTCATTGTTTTTCATTTGCTTTCTCAGCTTCATTATTCTTACAATACATGCTTGAAGGTAAGTTTTTCTTGCTTCATCTATTTCTTTACTAGCTTCATCCTCCTCTTGTTTGGCCTCATTAGTCTTTATCGCACTAATGAAATTCACCTTCAATTTTTTTGACTTGTATTCCTCGACTATTGTAAATACCGTATCATCAGTAATCTCCTCAGTTGATTGGTCCATCAATTTATACTTTGTGAATGGAGCCAAATGCGCTTCAAATGTTTCTCTTTTTGTCCCTACTATTTCGTGCAATTCTTTGAATGTGTAACTGTTCTTTTTGTTAAAGGCTATGAGGATCATGAGTTGCACGTTGGATACAGTAAACGAAAATGGCGGTTTACCTTTTCTTGACAAATTTGCTTTAAGCTCCGCTCTACCATGGTTCCAAAGCCATTGTAGTTGTCTTCCATTGTGCTGTTCGGTATATACTGCCTTCAAGTTGGTGAACGGTGCCGCTAGTTCTGGTGCCACATTCAAATCGTACTCCGGAACGTGGCGAAATGGCCACATGCTTTGTGCAAGGATCAATGGATTGAAATCTTTAATTATACAATCACCACCACTACCGCCACTACCACTGTTTATTTTTTCCTTCACCTTAAGTTTCAAGTCTTCAGATGCCTTCATATCAGAAAACATCTTGGTCATTTTAGAAGTATATTCAATAGAGTTCTCCTCTTGTAATCTATGAATCACACTTTCTTCCAATTCATCCGACTTGCATGTCCCATTAATCAACCTCTTGGCCAATGACCTTCTATAGTGCTCTTCAAACGTATCTTTATCATTTATAAACTTAAACACAATCATCAAGTTATCAGCATTCATATCAACAATATCGGAATCTTTGGCACTATTTCTAAGAAAACCATCAGCATATTTTGCAAGTAGTTCGGGTGTTTTACTTGCAGCTCTAGGTTTCGGCACAGCAATGACATTGTTATTGACAAAATAACGACACGCGTTATCCAATGATCTAATAAATTTCGTGTCCTTGTTGAATGCCTGAATAACAATATCGTTGAACTGGTTGTATATAGCAATTAATGTGTTGACGTAAACCTTGGGTTCCACGCCGCTTCCCGCTTTCCTTTTACCTTCTTTAATCTCTGCCTCGGTTTGGTTTTTGATTTCCTCTAATGCTGAGTTGGCCTCCTTCTTGATATACTCTTCAAGGGCCGATGCTAATGGATCGAGTGTTTTCGAAATCCTAGATAACAACTTGTACATTCGCTGTATATGTTCAATTTGTTTTTGCTCTAATAATATGATAAACTGACCGTACATTTCCTGGGCATGGTTTTCAATCATCGCTTGGTTGAGAATATCGACAAATGCCTTTTTTGAGTGGTCTTCCAAATAGGTGTTTGACCTGGAAATCTCTTCTGCTAACCTAGTCTCACATTTTTTCATGTAGTCAACGACATTGTTGTTTGCCAAGTAATCGGAACTCTCTTTTGAATAATACTTCATTGTTGCTTCCAAAAATGGTTTCTCAAAAGAGTTGACATAAATGATCAAGTTTGGTTTCTTCAAATCTTGAATATCGATACTTAGGAATACTAGTGATTTGATAGCGGTTGAAATGAGGTTTGTATCCACAATAAGATGGTTTCTTTGTTTTTCAATAAGCTCCAACACCTGGCTAATCAAAATGTCGCAATTCGGCTGAAACATCTCATTCCTCCATTTGATCAACGATAACGTATTAACGTCAAATATGTCTTTCCTGCCATCAGACCTTTCCTTCTGCACCCAATACCTGTTCATATAATCAAAAACATTGTTCATGTACACCGCGCCAATCGTGAACCTTGTCCATTTCCTAACATAAAACTCTAAAAAGGACTCATTAGGCATCTTCTTCAAATTGCGTATAAACTGTACCAAATAGACATCTAATTTGTTATAAATTTCGGCTCCGGCTAGCGAATATGAATTATTCTCGGTATTGGTTGCTATGGATGCCGGAGTCAGACCACGCCTCGATTTGTTGACACAATAGTTGTAAACTGCCGTATAGCAGTTCATATACATTGTTGATGTGACACCTTGTTCATTTTGCGCACCAAGTATAAACTCTAATCCAGGCTGAATAAACGTCCATGTAGCATTGAGATCAGTAAATGCCGGAAGCGTCGAAGCAGACGTGGACGTGGACGTAGACGTAGACGTCATAACTATTGCCTTTTATACTTTCCCTCTTGAACAAGAGAAGCCCAATATTTCCTACTCAGTTTTTGTTAGCTCTTTTTTTTCCCTTTACATTTTTTTAGTTCGACACGACGACATGAATGGGAAGCAGATAAGACCCAGTTGGACACTATCGAGTAGAAGGAGAGTAGAAGGAGAAACTCCTTGCAGACACTATCGAGTAAAAAGAGAGTAGAAGGAGAGTAGAAGGATAAGCACATAATCTCTGTGTATAAATCTAGTTTGGTGTATTCACTTTGTCTATCACTCTTATCAAACTAATTGTAAATGTCAATACCCAAGTTACTAAAACAACAAATAAGAAAGAGGCTAGAGCCTTTTGTCTTCTGCATATTGAAGAAACTATTGGAAATATACCATCATAACTTACCAATCCAGGTTTTCGGTAGATCTGACAAACCCACTCGTCATCATATAACGTGTTGAATGCTAAAGAAAGGTTTGCCGAGGAAAATATAATAAACAACAAATCCAACATAACAAGTCTCATTTTACCCATTGGTTTTCTTAGTCCTAGGGGCTTGCCCGCGTACTCGTCGTAAGCAATGTAAATCACATATACCAAGGCACACGTTTGCACTACAATTGCCATTATTGTGCTTGCTTGTTGCTCAACCGGATGTCCGTCGTATTCGTGTTTGGAAAATATGAATATCGAACAAGCAAGGGCCAAAGCAGCGACACAGAATATCAAGGTAATGATTCGTAGCATCAACGGCACCAAAGGATCAAATAAAAATACCTTTTTAAGCCGCGGTTTCAACTGTGACCGGTTTTGCCCCATCCAGTACCCAGCAGTTGATATTACTCTAGTGTCATTTTCTCCTTTTTCCTTTCTTCTGAAATATCCAAAAATGCCGGCACCTTTAGATAGATTATCCGCCTCCTTATAATCGTTGAATTCCTTCTTTAGCCTTTCATCTCCACCCCAGGGACTCTCCAAGTCGTATGTGTCGAGATATTCCTTGTCTACACCGACTTTATTTCCAGGGTACGTCGTGGGATGCTTCACAGATTCTTTAAACTGGTACCAGCTACCATCAATTGCTTTTATATAGGGGTCATCACTGGCCTTGAATGTTGCCGATAGATCCCCGTGTATGCCTCCATGGGTATAGAACTTGGATATCGAATCTAGCACATAGGGCGGTATTGTAGTGACTCTCAGATACGTCGACACTTTAATGGTTGAGTCAGTAGCAGCAGCATTTGCTGCTGCTGCTGCACCACTTGCAGTTTCACCAGCACTTGCAACTTCGGCTTCGGATGTACGTGCATTTGAATCTTGAATAGACAAAGACGGATCCAAATCTGGCATGGTTTTCTTCTATTGATTATGAAAAAGATTCAATTACATTGATAATTGCGATGATCTCTTTACTAAGATTTGTTATGTTTGCGTTATGTACAAAAATAGTCGTTAACAAAAACAAAGAAAAAAATAAAAAATAAAAATAAAACAAACATACGACGGAGCAATTACAATGGGCCATTAATAAGTGGCTAATTAATCTCTACTAGGGAGCGAAGCGAGCTAGTGTTGCTTTGGAGCAAGTCTACTCTATCCGGTCTTTGGGCCATTGATAAGTGGCTTATTAGTCTCTACTACGTATATACTGCTCTACTAGGGAGCGAAGCGAGCTAGTGTTGCTTTGGAGCAAGTCTACTCTATCCGGTCTTTGGGCCATTGATAAGTGGCTTATTAGTCTCTACTACGTATATACTGCTCTACTAGGGAGCGAAGCGAGCTAGTGTTGCTTTGGAGCAAGTCTACTCTATCCGGTCTTTGGGCCATTGATAAGTGGCTTATTAGTCTCTACTATGTACATACTGCTCTACTAGCTCGCTTCGCTCCCTAGTGTCGCTTCAGAGCAAGTCTAGTTTGAACTAGAGAGATGCCTGGGCCAACTCTACTAGGTCTTTCTTCAACCATTTTTAAAATGTACAAAAAAAAAGAACGTTTATAACCTATGTACAGTTTAAACCCCACCCTCAAGACCCACTCTATCTACTTTTTCCTATCGACTAGACTCGTTTCACTCGTCTATTCTCTAGTCCCACACACATACACACACATACACACACACACACACACTCTCTCTCTCTCTCTCTATCTATGCCTCTACACCTGAAGCGTTTTCTTCATCATCACCTGTTTCTTTCTTCTCCTTTGGTTTCCCTTTAAAGGCATCGGTACCTTTGACATATTTATCAAACGCATCGTTCCTTTCCAAAAATGGACGAGGCCCACAAATTCTCACCATATCTTCTCTAGTGAGTACTTCCTTTTTGAATAGCTCTTCAGCTACAGCATCAACCAATTTGATCTTCTCCTTCAATAGTTTAGTACATTCAGTATGTGCTTCATCAATTAACCTCTTCACTTCTTCATCAATCATCCTTGCTGTGTCCTCAGAGTAATTCTTATGTACTTTGAATCCACCAGAGTTATCACCTATATCATAACATATCTGCCCCAATTTAGTGGACATACCGAGATTCAAAATCATTTGCTGTGCCATTTGTGTGATCTTCTTGAAATCATCAGAAGCACCACTGGTTACAGTATCGAAATGTAATTCTTCACTTACCCGACCACCCAATGCCATTATCATTCTATGTCTAAATTGTTCTTGTGATGTAAGATACTGATCTTTGGGTAAATACTGTGCATATCCAAGCGCACCTTGACCACGAGGTATAATTGACACCTTCACTAATGGGTCTGCAAACTCCAAAAACCATCCACATATCGCATGACCTGCCTCATGATATGCCACAGTTTTCTTTTCTTCTGGTGATAATATACGCGACTTTTTTTCCAACCCAGCAACAACTCTCTCAATAGCTTGTTCGAAATGATGCGTTTCAACCGAATGATCATTCTCCCTAGCAGCAATCAAAGCACCCTCATTGCAACAATTGGCAATATCAGCACCAGCAAACCCGGGTGTCAATGCAGCTAATCTTCCAGCAAGACCCTCTATTGCATCAGCTTTCAATTGTTGAAATTTGGCAAAATCAACATCCTTCTGCATTATATCAATATCTTCAATACATTTCAACTTGATCCTCTTTAAATGTACTTTAAAGATTTCCTTACGCCCTTCAACATCAGGAACATCAATCGATATGTGTCTATCGAATCTACCCGGTCTCAATAAAGCCTTGTCTAGAACATCGGGTCTATTCGTACCAGCTAAAACAACAACGTGATCTGTTGTATCAAACCCATCCATTTCAACCAACAATTGATTCAAGGTATTTTCACGTTCGTCATTCCCACCCATACGACCATTACCTCTTTCTTTTCCAATTGCGTCGATTTCATCAACAAATATAATTGCCGGGGCCATCTCACGAGCAGTTTTGAACAAGTCTCGTACACGAGAAGCACCTACACCAACAAACATCTCCACAAATTCAGAACCCGAGACACTAAGGAAGGGTACGCCGGCTTCACCAGCAGTGGCTTTAGCAAGCAAGGTTTTACCCGTGCCCGGAGGTCCTGATAATATAGCTCCGCGAGGAATTTTGGCACCCAATTTCTCATATTTTTCAGGATCTTGTAAAAATTTAACAAACTCCATAATCTCCTCTTTGGATTCATCACAACCAGCAACATCTTTGAATTTGATTTTAACTTCATTTTCCTGGTTGAACAATTTAGCTTTTGATTTGCCAATTTTGAAAATTCCTCCTGGTCCTCCACCAACACCACCTGCACCGCCGCCACCGCCTGCACCTGGCATTCTTCTCATTGTCAAATAGTATAACCCACCTATCAATAAAACAGTTGGCAAAATAGGCATGAGGTAATTGAACCAACTACCTTTTTCTTCATAAGTGATGGGGATTCTTTCATTAATAGGTATTTGCAATCTATCCTGGACCTGGGCCATTTCATCTTCAAAATATTCAAGGGACCCAATGGTGAACATCACTGCTGGTGAGCCATTTGATTTGGTGAATGTATTGCTGCTCATTGCACCAGGGATCAACTGAGCTTCAACTGCGTATTTGTTAATCACTGTGAGTTTTGTAACCAATCCTTTTTCCAAATAATTGGTGATGAAGCTTTGCATTGATAGTTCTTGATTATTTCGTTCATCACCAAGTGTAGTGAGAAGATAGATCCATAATAAAATCGATGATCCTGCTATGAACATAATATTCAACAATGGTTTTAATTCAATCTTGTATACTTTAACCTTTTTCGGATCAAATTTGTAGCCTTTTGAAGAAGCCATCTTTTTCAACTCTCGACGAATCTGTTTTTCTTCTTCTGATAAATTAGCATCATCTTCATCTTTATCCTTCTCCTTGTCTTGTGGTTTCTTTCTCCTAGCATCGTCATTTCGTGCTGCCGCCTGAGCTTCCCTCCTTGCCTTAGCCCTTTCCTCTAGTTTCTCACGTAGTCTCCTTATTACATCATCATTATCTTCTTCCAGACTCGGTTTTTTCTCTCTTGAATTTGTCCATGAATGTTGAAACAGATGACGAGATGATAAAGAAAACTGTCGTGAAGAAGCTAACAAAAAGGGGCGCAGCGGCAAAGACAGTCGTATACTTATAGACCGACTTGACAAAGACTGGCCCAAAAGTCGTATCGAAGCTATACTCTTGAACATTTGAAAGAATATGACTCTATTTGAATCATCTACTGGAAAAAAAAGAAACAGTGGCTAACATTTTTTTTCATTTTACTTGATAGTTTTTTTCGCCCCCGGGTAGTGGTAGACAAAGAGTGAGAGTGAGAGAATGGGAGATACAAATGTCACCACGAAATTGATGGTGGTATTAAAGGGTACAAATAGATTCAATTCTTAAATTCATTAGAGTTTTAATGGGGAAAAAGAGTCTTCCCGTACTATTAGCTGTTTTTCGATTTGACAAACTCATCCCAGCACGTTTCACAGATTTTCAAAAACTTTTCCTTTTCGTAAGTTAGCCAATGATTTTTATTAGTCGATACCAGATCCTCTTGATTCTCATTCTCGTCATGATCATTATTGTCTTCTTCTTCTTTTTCTTCTTTTTCTTCTTCTCCTTCTTCTTCTCCTTCTCCTTCTTCTCCTGCTTCTTCTTCTCCTGCTTCTTCTTCTCCTTCTCCTCCTTCTTTTTCATCATCACTCTTTTCTTCTTCACTCAGAGCATTTGCAACATTCGCTTTTTCCTCCCTTTTGTTGGTTTCAGCACTCTTGCTGCTGACATAACTACTGCTACTTTTTGGTTGCTCAGTAGTCGAGCTGGATAAAATTGCCCCACTTGATGAATTTTCCGATAATGAAGTCAACGAGATCTTCCCACTTTCATCCAATTCGCTTTCTTCCAAATCGTCCATCTCTGCTTGTTCTCCTTCTCCATTCTGTTTTTGCTTTTTTTCAAAAATTCGAAAATTAAACATAGATTCATTCATGAAAATAATACTGCCAAAAACTTCACCTCCGGTGCTGCTTGGAGCAATAGCAGTAGACAAGTGTCTGGACTTGTTCAATTGTGATTGAGGAAGACGAGGGGGGAAGTATCCTTGTTGATTTATAGAGGAGTATATAGGTACTGCTGTTGCTGCGGCTGCTGCAACACCACCACCACCACTTGCTCCAAAGGCCGAGACATATTGAGGGACAGTTCTAGCATTTGATTCATACTTTTGTTGCATTTCCTTGACTTCATCTTCAGTGACTGGCAATCTATCATCCTCCACCTCATCCTCGTCACTATTAAATTGTCTATAGTTTTTATTAAACGCCTCTCGCTGCGCAGAAAGAGGTTGTGATTGCAAAGGCGCTGCTCTTTGTAAATTGTCATTAAACACATCTGTTACCATGCTTGGTTTGTTATATTGTGAATATACGCTTGACCTCGGTTGTTGTACAGAAACTTGCTTTATTGGAAATTGTGACACTGCTGCATTTGGAGGTACAATTCTTATCTGTTGTTGTTGTTGTTGTTGCTGCTGCTGCTGCTGCTGGTGCTGCTGGTGCTGCTGCAATGGCCTCAAATTACTATAAGTTACATGAGCATTGCTGAATTTTTGGAAAGTTCTCTGGATAGGAGGAGGATGCGCAGCAGCAGCAGCATAGTAATGAGCTGATTGTGGATAGGAATATTGCTGTAATGCCAAAGATGGTGGTGGTGGAGGCACCATTGGATGTTGCTGGAGAACCATTGGTCGACTTCCATATGGCATGAACCGTTTTCTCCCTCCATTTGTTATCGTCGATGGTCTGATTGGAGCTGAATGTATTGATGGAAGTATGTTCTGACTATTCAGTATTGTAAAACTACCATTTGAGACTTGGTTAATATTCAATGGAGCAGGGATATTATTTCTCTTTAATCTTCTTTTCTCATTAAGGTGTGTTAACCGATCTAGATCGAAATCGTCAAGAGAGTATACTGGTGATTTAGCAGGGTCCCATCTTATTAGCGGCTGTTGATAAGTTTCGGATCTAGTTGTTGAAAGTGATTGTTCTTCTACGTCACTGGGGGGTTCTTTGCCATGTCTTGCGGCTATCAAGTTTCTTTGCTGTTGTTGAATTTTCTTCAGTAGTTGCACTGTAGTCTTCATTTCTTTGCTGAGCGGAGGCAAGCCTGGACTAACAATTCTCAAAGCTAAGTCCGAGTTATTATCTGGAGACACTTGGAGTAGATTCAATGAGGAAGGTCTATGACGCTTTGGTGGTGAAACATGAGCAGGTACTGGTACCGTTGGCAAGGAGGAAACCGCAAAGCTCCTTTTCCTATTACGTACATGGTTTGAAGGTGGCTGTTGTTCCTGCATTTGCTTGGGAGATGATGATGATGGTGGTTTGTGCAAGGAATCGTGTGATGGTATAGCAGTAGCTGCACCAGTAGATGACTGTAACGTATTAGTTATCACCCCTGTTATCGATGACGTGTGTGCATGGGATGGTGACAAGGACGAGTTCAACGAGGGTACTTCAATCTTACTAGACATGCTTAGCAGAAATACCTGATACCAAATCAAGATTGGTCAAAAATGCGGCTCTAACAAGTAATGGTTTTTTTTTTTTCCTGGCTTAAGACAATGACAATGAGATAATGATTATAAAACCTCCCTTTAATCTCTTTGATGACCTAACTTCTTGGAATGACACAGGTTCCGTTTAGTGGGAGGGGGGGGGGGAAAGAAAAAGTCAAGTCTAATAGTCAATACTCAAATTGAATCTTTTTTTTATTTTTTGGTAAGGAGATGAAATATAGGAAAACTCAGCTTAGTAGTGACTTGTTCTTAAAACTATGCCCACAATTAAATCTGATTCGTTTCAGAGTTTATTAAATGTAATATAATTTAAAAGTAAAGAAAAAATTAATTGCAAAATTTTTTAGTATGTTTCAAGTTTAAATGTCCAGGAACTTGATGGCGCCGCCTCGTTCTCACTAGTGTCTAGTTGGGGAGGGGAGAGGGAGGGGGGGAGGGGAGGAGGATGGTGAGTCACTAAAAGAAGACGGTGAGTATATATATTTATATACTTTTGTATTGGTGTTGGTGTAAAACTCTATTGGCTCAACTAAGCGGTACCACTTTTTGTAGAAAATAAGAAAATCAAGAAAAAGGTATATCTGGGGAGAAGAGGAGTTGTTTAATGTAATATATAAATAGTCTCATAGACAACAGTATTTTAGTAAAGCTTAAAACGATTTGAAACTGGTTCAAATTTGGTTCAAATTTGGCAAAGAAATGAATAAAAAGGGACTATACTATTGAGCACTATCGAGCACTATCAAGCGGAGCGAGATAGTGTCTGGGCTAAACTCTTTATCCATAATCTCGTATGTTTCACCTTGTGCCTTTTAACACTATCGAGCGACACTATCGAGCAACACTATCAAGCAACACTATCGAGCGGAGCAAGATAGTGGAGCAACACTTTGTAGCTTGTTACAACACTCTCTCGCTCTGATTGAGAGTGTTGTTCGATAGTGGAGCAACACTTTGTAGCTTGTTACAACACTTTATATCTTGTTACAACACTTTATATCTTGTTACAACACTTTATATCTTGTTACAACACTTTATATCTTGTTACAACACTCTCTCGCTCTGATTGAGAGTGTTGTTCGATAGTGGAGCAACACTTTGTAGCTTGTTACAACACTTTATATCTTGTTACAACACTCTCTCGCTCTGCTTGAGAGTGTTGTTCGATAGTGGAGCAACCCTTTGTAGCTTGTTACAATGCTTTATATCTTGTTACAACACTCTCTCGTTCTGATTGAGAGTGTCGCTCGATAGTGGAGCAACCCTTTGTAGCTTGTTACAACACTATCTCGCTCTGCTCGATAGTGTTGCTCGATAGTGTTGCTCGATAGTGTTGCTCGATAGTGTTGCATAATCAGATTCAAGACGTAAATGTACTGCAATATCCGTACAACCAATCCGACTGTTCCAATGTAATGGAACAAACAAGAACTTTGCAAATGTATCGCAAATACCTATACAAAGATATATATATATATATGATATATACAAACACTTTATTATTGTCTCAGTTCTAAGTCTTAGTCTCAGTGAGGAAACCTTCAGGGTGCTGCTCCACTATCTCGCTCTGCTCGATAGTGTCGGTCAAGGCGAGTTTCTTCTAGTCCTCCTCTTAACCTGTATATTTCTCCCACCCTTTAGGTCTCTTGAATCCATTAACATTATAATACTTGGTAGTACACGAGTATCCTCTCCAACTGAAATCCTTCTGTGGATCACAATTACAACGTCTTTCCTTTCTAATTTCCGGATCAACTGGACAATTAGTGAATGGCACATGATAGTATCCTACATCTTCAAAAAAATGGATTTTTTCCTTTGGTAGGAAAAGAGCTGCTGCAATTGAATGTACAGGAGCATCTCCCCACCGTTCGTAAAAGAAACCACCAGCTTTGTCAAGATGTTCGAAATATGAACGATACGCATCCGATCTCCAAAAGTTTAACGAGGCAATTTCGAAATTAGACCAGAAATGACATCCATTATATGTATTACCATCATCATCACTTAACCAATTCATCATATTATTAGGTGCAAGGTATTCTTTGTGTTTATCAATAAACTCCTTAGTTGTTTGCCATAATGTTGGGATGGTTTCCTTATATTCAGGTAGGGAAATAGTAAAACTATACTCTTTGCCATTATCCTTCATCCACTTGAAGACATCGTAATCTATATCGCAGTAGATTTTAATATCTGGTTCAACACGCCAATAATAATCATAGTCCTTTAGAATCTCCTGTCTCCAAAAGAATCCCGATTCGAATCTACACATGTGTCTGTATGATTCAGAATGACCATAAATGATCTTTTGTTCTCTCATTTTTTCTCTCACCAATGCAGCCTTCTCTTGATCAATCCATTCTGGATACGACCAATGTTCTTTTGGAATAAGTCCGAAATTAGCCTTACCACTGACTATAGTGGACACGGTTTCCTTGAACTCAGATGAAAACTCTACATCATTAAGGAATGTCCAATCGTAATGAAATTTCTTATTGAACCGATCTTCAACTTCTCTAATTGAATCAACAAGAGAATACAAGTCCGAATTACGTGCAAGTGAAACAAATGTAGCTTTGACTTTATCTTTTTCAGTATAAGTATCGGGATCGATGTTTTTTTGATCAACTGGTTGCGGTGCTCCTCCTTCAACACTAAGTGCTTTTGGTACTGGTCCCAAATACTTTTGTTCAAATTTCTTAGATTCAGAACCTCCCTGTTTATTTGGTTGCGCTGGCGGTACGTCTGCTTGCTTCGTATTTGGTTGAGACGAATTATACATTGGGGGCTGAAAAGTAGAACCTTTTGTAAGAATATACCCACATCCAATCAAAATCAAAGCGAAAACCCCAAATCTAACGAGACGTGCATTAGACCTCGTAGACACCATTGTTTTTCCAAGATGAAACTACCTTACAAAACACAGGCAAGAACACGGATAAACACAGGCAAGAACACAGGCAAGAACACGGACACGGACACGAACACGGACACGGACACGAATACAAACACAGATTTACACTTATTCACCAAATAAATATCTCCGTGTTGTGGGAAAAAAAACCAAAAAAAAAAAGATGGCAGAATGAGAGTTCAAAATCTATTTAAAGAAAATCTCTTTATAGAAAAATCTCTTTCAACGAAATCTCCTTCAATGAAAATCTCTTAGAAATGAAATCTCTTAATTTTCCCGTTGGCTTTTTCCTTTAGTTCTGCGCTAACAAAGAATTTTTCACTATACTTTCAAATTCTATAAATGTCGCCGCTACTATTTATTTATAAAATGTCGCTTTCCAAATAGACCAAATATGATAGACCATTTTTATTTATTTTTATTTTTTTTCTTCTTTTGTTTGTAGAGAAATTTATTCGTGGATTGTATATTTCAAACAGGTGAAAAATATGTGAATACGCCAAAATGGAGTAGACACGTGAAAATAGTAGACAGAAGATTTATAATTTGTAGTAGACAGGAAATTTATAATTTGTAGTAGACAGGGGAATTTGTAGTTTGCTTGTATATACTATTGATTTGAGAAAACAACTGTGTTTCAAACCCCAATTGTTTTACGTAGCTTATCTTGTATTTATTGTTGTAGGTTCAAACTACAACATTAACTTGCTACTTGCTTTGTTTTGCATCTTGCTGTTTGAAAAAATTCAAGAAGTCGTGTCAAATGCAAACAAGAAAAATGGGTACAGCCCGCCTTTCACTAATCTACAACTACTACAAAAGTGTAAGCTACAGTGTTGGAACAGGTCAAGGGGGTGAGACTATCGAGCAAAGGGGGTGAGACTATTGAGCAAAGCGAGATAGTCGAGAGGAAGAAGAGAGAAAAGCAGTGACCATTTTCTTGCAACAAGTTAGTGGTGGCAGCTAGTGTAGTTAGTGGTGGCACCTCCGCTATCACAAGACTATCTCGCTTTGCTCGATAGTCGAGAGGAAGAAGAGAGAAAATTAGTGACCATTTTCTTGCAACAAGTTAGTGGTGGCAGCTAGTGTAGTCAGTGCTGCTCCACTATCTCGCTCTGCTCGATAGTGTTGCTAAATGACTATTCTGTTTAAAAAAAAGGAGACGAATTCCATGTAAAGTGAATTCTCTTTACGGGAAATATAGGAGTGGACCCAAATTTGTTGTATATCTACTACCCAATACGTTAAAATTGGTTTTGACTTTCTCTTTTCCTTTTTAGTCGCGGCATCAAATTAGAGTATTTTTTACAACACCAGCTGCCGATGTAGTCAGTGCTGCTCCACTATCTCGCTCTGCTCGATAGTGTTGCCACTAGCTGCCGATGTAGTCAGTGCTGCTCCACTATCTCGCTCTGCTCGATAGTGTAGCCACCAGCTGCCACCGACACTTAGTACCTCAACACCTTTGCCCTTCAAGCATACCTCAAAACACTCTCACGAGAAACTTCTCACGAGGAATTTAAACTTTTCCTCACTTTTTCATCTCTACAAATTGTCCTTTTTCCATTGTTTTAACGTTAAAGTTTTCGCTAAAACAAAAATCAAGACCATTCTCTCAATTTGGAATCCGATTTTCTTTTTTTTCTTTTTCTTTTTATCTTCATCAATTCCTTTTTGATTGATGCAAGATCATGTTAGATAATGTATCAAACAATCACTTATACGAGAAAAGAGGTTTCATGACACAATATAGTTGCCATCAACCAAAAAAAAAAAAATAGTATACAGCAAAATACTTGATGCAAAATGTACTCTAATTATAAAACTCAAAGTCAAGGATTTTTTTCTTCTTTTGGTCTAAAATCTACTTCTAATCTACTGGTATTTCTCCCATTCAACAGGTTTAACCAATCCCATCTTTTCAAAATATTTCTTACCACATGAATATCCTCTAAATGTAAAATCGTCATTTGGATTACAATGACACTTGTGCTTGTATCTAAATTCGTTATTGAGCGGACATTGGGCGTATACCCCATGTCTATACCCTACATCTTCAAAATAATGAATCTTATCCTTTGGTAGGAAAAGAGCTGCTGCAATCGAATGGATTGGCGCATCCCCCCAACGTTCGTAGAAAAACCCTCCGGTTTTATCCAAATATTCAAAATACTTTGTGTATGCTTCACTACGCCAGAATTTCAAACTGGCAATTTCAAAATTGGACCAGAAATGACATAGGTTGTAGGTTTCGCCTCCATCATCACTAATAAAATCCATAAAGTTATTCTCAGCAAGATATTGCGGGTTTTTCTTGATAAAGTCCTTTGTGTGTTGCCATAATGTGGGAATTGTCTTTTCAAATTCATATATCGAAATGGTAAAACCATATACTTTGTCGTTATCCTCCATGTATTTGAACAAATCATAATCTAAATCACAATAGATTTTGATTTCAGGCTCAACTCGCCAATACCAATCGTATTCATCTAATAGTTCATTTCTCCAGAAGAACCCCGATTCAAATCGGCACATGTGTCGATAAGATTCAGAGTCTCCATATATTATTTTGTTTAATTTCATAGTCTTTCTTGAATCTTCCGCTTTTTGCAAATCTATCCAATCAGGGTACGACCAGTGTTCCTTTGGTACAAGTCCATATTTGGTCTTTCCCGAAACTATTGATGTTGTCAAGTCTTTGAATTCCTGAGAAAACTCTTTATCATTGAAAAATACCCAATCATAATTATATTTTCGGTTAAACCTATCCTCAACTTCACGTATAGACTCTATCAATTTGTACAATTCCTCGTTCCGTGCAAGTGTCACAAAAGTTGCTTTAACTTTGCTCTTATTACTACCTTCTCTGCTACCATCACCTTCTCCGTTACCATTACCCTCTCTATTTCTAGTATTTTCTTGAGCCACCTGGTCTTTATTTTCATTCAAGACGAGTTGCTTTTGATCTTGTATAATAAAGTTGCCCTTTTCTTGTTGCTCTTTTAATTTTGCAATTTGATCTTCATTAGTAAGTAAGTTTTCCTCTTTATTTGCCTTTGTTTCTGCTTCTTGTTGAATTCCTTGAGGAACATTAATTTCTTTTTCTTTATCACTACTTGAAGAATCAAGATGTATAATGGAAATTTGCTGTTTATTAGACAGACTTGGTTCTTGATTCTCCATATTGGAGCCAGAATGATCAGAGCCAGAAATCAATGTATAGATAACCAACACTGTAAGTAATAGCGCTACATATTTTAAATACGATTGTCTATGATTGAATAATGACTTCATCTTCTATGACAAATTCACGGAAAAATAAATTAGATAATATATGACTATGAGATTATAAATATTACCAGTTTAATGCTGATTCATGCAATTTTGTTTCTTGAATTTTTGATAACGAGTGAATGTTACTGATTGACTTTCTTTTAGAAGTATGAAAATTAGACCAAAGTTACAGAGAAGGAAGAGTTCAATGAGAAGTACTTTTAGTATATTTTAGTGAAATATATATAAACTAAAAAGATTGTTGATCTGTATTGTAAGAAAATTTTTTAAGGGTCTTTTCTCCGTGACTTTCGATAAGGGGGACAAAAAAAAGAAAAAAAGAAACCTTTTTTCTTTTTGCTGTCATGTCAATCGTGGGCGCAAAAACAGGGAGGGGCGAAAAAAATCTAGTTTGGCGCGGGGGCGCGAGTTGTCGTGGCGAAGTAACTTTTTTTTTTTTTTTTTTTTTTTTTTAAAGATGGCCGATCTAAAGCAACTTTTGTAGTTGTCCTTCATACCGAGTCAAAGGAGTTCTTTAATACGAGTTTTACTCAAACAAGGTTTATTTGAAAAAGGAACAACTCTTTTTTTTGAATTACTAATACATTTGTTTTAAGTGGGGGTAATTATATGCAATTTAAGATTTAAACCTCTACATTTTTCACTCGGATCTATAGAGAAATAAAAGACAAGGTTATATGTTAGTGTACACCACGATAATTGTCATATATGTTAGTGTACACCACGACAATTGTCATATATGTTAGTGTACGCCACGATAATTGTCATAAATGTTAGTGTACGCCATTTCATTATTTTGTTTTTCTTTCAAATTTCATGTAACTGATTGAACAAAAAAAAGCGCTACCGTATTTGATCAGAGACAATTGTTTGTGTATCAATGACAATTTTGAACTTAAATTCCATAGTGAGAGATGAAACAAAATCTCACACATGCATCAATATGACACTAGGGAGTGAAGCGAGATCGACACTAGGGAGCGAAGCGACCTAGTGGAGCAACACCTAGCTGCTATTGACACTCAACTTTCCCGACTCCATCACTCTCTATCGAGGAACGAGATCGACACTAGGGAGCGAAGCGACCTAGTGGAGCAACACTAGCTGCTATTGACACTCAACTTTCCCGACTCCATCACTCTCTATCTCGTTTCTCGATAGTGAATGATTACCTAGTAGACTCCAACACTCACTATCTCGTTTCTCGATAGTGAGCTCGTAAGCTCGTTCCTCGATAGTGAGCTCGTAAGCTCGTTCCTCGATAGTGAATGAATACCTAGTAGACTCCAACACTCACTATCTCGTTCCTCGATGGTGAGCTCGTTCCTCGATGGTGAGCTCGATAGTGAGTAAAGATGGATTTTTGTCTCATAATATATAAACACACATATATACATATATATGTATTTAATGTATATTTGGTAACTTACTTTCTAAGATGTACTATAATTTCCTTGCGTTCAGGTATTTTCCCTTCCTCTTTCAATTTCTTGAATTTTTTCAACAATTTTCTATTCAACTTTTTTCTATTTCCACCTCTCATTGTGTTTATTGATTTATTACCCTCATTACTACTATTAATGCCACCACTAAAGAACGATTTTGACCCATTCAACATATTCTGAAATTCTTGAAGTTCCTTTAAAACCAGCTCTTTTTCCAATTTTTGCTTCTCTCTCTTTGTAATCAAATCCTGTTCCCATTTCTTGAACCCTAATGGATCATCAACTTGATACGGCGGAACCGCGGCAAGTTTTTCCGGAGGTATAACATTCCATAAAATGGAATCATGAAACTTATTCATTGCTGGGTAAATCGTGGTCATACCAGATAAAGATTTTTTCAAGGGATGCTCTTGATAAGGATGCGTTTCATTTAGTTCTGGTTCCATATGACTACTGATCTCTCTACCTAGCTCAATCAAATCCTGATCACTTTTGTCGCCCGTCAAGAATTTTTCGATATCTTTGTTTAATTCTCTCGTCTTTTCCGGGTTATTGTAACGATTTTGTGCCGCTTGATCTACTTCCTTGATGAACTCTGACGGGACTACAAGATCAACTCCTTTCTGTTTGCTCTTTTCCCCGGGGATTTGTTTATATCCTAATGATTCGTAAATCAACTTTATCGCCTGTGGGTCTAAAGGTTCTGATATTTTGGGTAACGAAGACATTGGTAAATATGTGACGGATGTGCGAGTAGCAGTAGCAGTAGCAGTAGTAGCAGCTGCATCTTTAGTAGCGCTGCTACCGCTGCCACTACTACTACTACTACTACTACTACTACTGCTGCTATCCTTATTTTTCCTACAAAAAACCTTTCGATCATCTCGAGACTTTGCTTTTGTCTTGTCAAATAATTTCCTATTATTCACATCCTCTATTGCGTGAGATCTGGATCGTATTGTGTTACGCAGGATAACATTCACCACACGTGGCAAAAGCCTACTTCCTGAGGTTACCGTCTTTATCATGGCTTTATCCTTAATCTACTGCTACTGGGTGGATGGCAATGCGTATATAATATAGAAAATGAGAATAATTTGCACCTTGATCTAATTTTCGATGGTCGTGTATGGATGTACAAGTATTCATATACTGTGGGTGGAATTTTGAGCTGTTATGGAGAAACTATGATTATGATTCAATCGACTTTTATTTTTACATGTTCAAGTCCATAAGTAGTTTCTGTTCTCTGCTCTCTAGGATAATGAACCGGATTGTGTACTAGAATGGAGTCAAAACTAAAGAAACCGTGGCAGCTGGCCCTTTCTCTGGATGAACAAGTACATCAATGGCAGCTGGCCCTTTCTCTGTATGAACAAGTACACCAATGGCAGCTTCGGTAGGTTTGAAATACCCACCTTGCTCGAGAATATTATGAACGATTGTTTTAGCTTGTGTGGTTCAAATCTCAAACCATTGGATTCTTTTTCCTGTATCTTTTTGAAATCTTGAGATTATTCTCTTTTTCACAAGATAAATGTAGAGAGAAGGGATGTAGAGAGAAGGAGTGTAGAGAGAAGGGATGTAGAGAGAAGGGATGTAGAGAGAAGGGATATAAAACCAACAACATACAAGAGTTTTCCACAACTTCACTTATTCCTATAAATAAAACCCTCGAGACGTCACGAACAAAAAGGTATACTATTTTTTCTTTAATCAAAGATGAGCACTTGTCGCTTAAAGTAGAGGCAATACCGAATCTATTGATTAGGTCCATCATGCAGATAATTTCTTGAGATTTCCGAGGGGAGGATCCTGTACATATCAAGAGATTCTACATTTTTAAGATACCAATAGGTAATTATTTTGACTTTCTTAATACAAAACATGTATACAGAATCTATATAGTAATAGATTTACACCAATTTTTTCCCACATTGTATACACACACACGGGGTTGAGCCACACCTCAGTTTCATTATGGTAGCGCCGTTCAAATTAGAGGAGAGATGATTAGACAATGTAATTTTTTTCAAACATGTGGGCCGTGGTAGGGGGTGGTAGGGGGGGGGCGGCGGCGGGAAAATGATGGCGGTAGGGTTAGCGAGCGGCGGCGGCAAGAAGCTTATTTTTAAAAAAATTTCCAATCCTGTTTGAGTATAAATAATTTTCAACTGGACGCTATTAAAAGCCTTGATACCGATTTTTCCAAGCTAAATACCTTGATACCGAGTTGGCAGTTTCATTTGCCCAAGCAGTAATGTCGATTCATAGAGAAAAAATAGATTTTAGCAGATTGCCTCACCATTATGATGGGGAGGTGACGTTAGCGGTTATTGGAGGTACAGGTTTATATGACTTACCCAACTTACACCCAGTTGCTAGATTAACAATAAGTACACCTTGGGGGTTCCCATCAAGCTCAATAACGATTTCCAAAACTGAACTGGGATTTCCTGTTGCGTTCTTAGCTAGACATGGCCAACATCATGATTTATTACCAAGTGATGTTCCGTCAAGAGCAAACATTGCCGCATTGAAAAAATTGGGAGTCAGGGCAATAATTGCATTTTCGGCAGTTGGTTCATTGCAGGCAGAGATCAAACCAAGAGATTTTGTGTTGCCTACACAAATCATCGATAGGACTAAAGGCATTAGACCTTCTACTTTTTTCGAGAAAGGTTTTGTTGCTCATGCCATGTTTGGAGAGCCGTTTGATTTGAAATTAAACGAATTGATAGCTAATGCCATTCCACCTACCGGGTTCCTTGAAGGGTTTGAAAAAGAAGACGCATCACCCAAATTACATACAAAGAGACATACTAATGGAGACGAAGATCTCACGGTGATTTGTATGGAAGGACCCCAATTTTCAACTCGTGCTGAATCTAAATTATATAGAACATGGGGAGGATCAATTATCAATATGTCGGTTTTGCCTGAGGCGAAACTAGCACGCGAAGCAGAAATTGCGTATCAAATGATTTGTATGTCTACTGATTACGATTCATGGAATGAAAGCGAGGATCCTGTTACCGTTGAGACTGTTGTTGGGAATTTAAAGGCAAACTCAGCAAATGCTTGTAAATTGGCTGCTAAGTTGATCGATGAGTTTGCTGAAAAAGGCGGTGATATCGGTGAGGATCTCAAGGGATCAATGAAGTTCGCTATTAGTACTAGTCCTCATGGCGTTAAAAAGGAATTGTTGGAAAAGATGCATTACTTGTTCCCTGGATATTGGGAAATTTAGAGTAAGCAAATGAAGTTCTAGGGTAGTGGTGGTTAATCAGAGAACACAAGGTAAAAGAAAGAAATGAACCAAACAAAATGCTGGATAGATGGATGATAGAGTTTAGAAAAGATAGAAGATAAATAGAAGTTGATTACAAGTGATTCTAAATAGGTTTTCAATTGTTTTCCTTTCTTACAATTTTTCATTAATTAATACAGAAGAAAAAATAACTAACCAACTAGAAGTGACTATTGAAAAATTAAGGAATATGTGCAATCATCAATAAAAGGCAAAAGAATGGAATGTTGGTTAGCCCCTCCCTTCCCCCCCCCCCCCTCCCACAAAGCTTGAATTAAGAGGCGCTTTTCACTGAATGAATCAACGACCGAATTGGATTCAAAGTACCGTTTTCTAGGCCTGTAATTGAAGCTGGGGATTGAACGGGTCTTATATGCGCCAGTGCATCCAATTCCAACTCATTTTCATATTCTAGTTCATTCCATTCTTCTTCCTTTGCGTTGTAGCTTCTATAGATGAACCAAAACAAGATTCCGGCAATAAAACAGGACACAGCCAAACCGGAGAAGGTCCAAACCATCTTTGGATCAACACTTACTGAGGAAAGAGCAATACCAATGGCTGCACCCACTGCGTTTGTGAATAAAAAGATTGCCATAATGAATGATTTCATTGATACTGGTGCCTTTGTGTATGCGTATTCTAACCCAGTTACAGAAGCAAGAATTTCAGACATGGCAATTAAACAATAAGCAGGCACTTGGATCGCAACATGTACATTGTTTCCTGGCTCTGTTTCATCTTGTGCAGCACATTTACCTGGTTCATAGTAACAAGGTCCAGTCTTGTAAATAAAATGCTGCAAAACAGCTGCATAAACCATTGCACCTGTTCCAAACATAAATCCCCAAAAGATTTTTGAAATTGGTTTAAGTGGTGTAAATCTTCTAATAAATGGGTAGACAAACCTTTCCATTATTGGAATAAACACAATGATCGAAATTGAATCAAATACTTGCAAGAAATCATTTGGTAAGTTGTGAGCTCTCATTGAACCTGCTTGTGAAACAAAGTTGTTTAACATTTGACCATAAACGACCCAATAAACTGGATAAAATACAAACACTTTACAAGCATAAAGAGCTCTCTTGACCTCTTCCACAAAGTGATCACTCCATGGGTAATCTTTTTCAGGATGCACCGAGGGTTTAGCTTCGTCAAATTTGAAACCGGATGTGACTGCTATCCAAGCACACCTAAATGTCTTTGCAATAATTTTGTCACCAACAGGTATTCTAATGTATTTCTTTCTCCCCAAAAACAAGGCAAAAAGAGCAATAAAAAAGAAACAAAATGGAAGCAAGTAAGCTGCCCAGAACCCAACATGCAACTCCAATTCAGTAGTTGCCATTACCAGCAACAGCCCAATATTGATACACATATAAAAAGTAAGGAAAATAGATTGAATAGTGAGACTTGGGTCAATGATAACTTTTTTACCTTTCCTAATGGAGATTCTTGGTTTTGTTTTTGGGATTTGATCAGCAATTAATGGAGAAACATTTGATTTAATCATTCCTGTTGCAATACCAATGAGAACGATAGCAGCAATGAAACCACCAAGAGCAGTGTTTCTACTTGTTATACTAGGCACTGAGGTAATAAATAACAAAAAGATTCCAACGATATAGATGTAACAAGCATAATGAATAGTTGCAAAACGTCCGAGTTTTGCATCTGAAATGTACCCACCCCAAATTGGTGTAACATAACACCAAAACTGGAAAAAATATGACAAGGCAGTTGCACCTTGTTGTTTCAAGCTCAATAACCCAGCAGGTTTGTCGTCAGGACCATTTTGCATATAATTTTGAAATGGTGCCGATAATCCGTAATAAGAAAATCTTTCGGCTAATTCAACAACTGCAACTAACCAGGCAGAATAAGGAATACGCTCACCAACATGTTTCAAATTTTTCATTTCCCATTCCGTAGGTTCTCGTCCTTCGTCTTCTTCTGTTATAATGTCGTTTGACACTTCCTCATTTGACGAAAGACCTTCGCGTGATGATTGATTAAATACTTCGTTTCCTTTTTCAGAATATACATTTGATTGGGAGTGAACTACTGGTTCCTCCTGTAATTTTATCTGATCCTTTTCCATGGTTTTAGTTTTCACAAATCTAGAAACTTAGGATCTCAAAGGTGCTTTTCAGAGATATGTGAAAAAGAAATGAAAATGAAGAATAATAACCTATTTTATACCTTTAAAAATAGAAAAAGAAAAAAAAAAACTCAAGACTTTGCAATATCAATATTGTAAATAAGGTGCATCCGAGTCACACTATATATATAGATAATGGTACGAGGTAGGAGATTAAAGATAGAACGAACAAAATTAAAGCATTAGATAAGCTGTGAAACCTAAAAACAGTTAGTTTGCATTGCTAGTGCTTTTTCTTTTTCGACAAATACACAGACCTGGGGGGTGAGAGAGAAGAGAAGAGGGGAGAGGGGAGGGGGGATCTACTGCATCATAAAATGAGGTGAAAAAGCTTCTGTACCTCTTGTAAAAAAAAAAAAAAAAAAAAAAAAAAAGAGTACAAGAGCAGTTAAACAAGTGAGGTGTTTGCCATATTTCCTAGTTTTCAAATGCAGAGCAGTGATATGTCTGGCATGTTGTTGAATATATCGCGTGATGGAGATGAGAAAATATGTTACCTTTGTCTTAATTAATTTTTTTGTAACAGTTCATTTTTTGATGTATTTCTTTCTTTTCTTTTCTTTTCTTTTTTTTTTGATGTATTTTTCCGAAACTTAGCAAAAGAACGTTACCTGTTTCCGGATAAGCAATTAGCCTAAAGATTTAGTAGAGGGCAAAAAAAGCACAGACAAAGATTATACCCTTTTCCTTTTGAACAAGAAAGATTGCACTTCTCTGTATTGTAGAGATGTTGTATTTCACTCTTCTCTTTGATTTGTCTCTAGTTCCTTCCTCTCAAGCAAGCCACATTTAATGCAACAGTTTCTTTTAGCACTTTTAATTAGAAGAAGAAAAAAAAAGGTTTTTTTTTTCCCTTATGTTTTCTCAAATCGGTTTATTTTATTTTATTTTATTTTTTGTTTTTGTCCCTTTAACGCCGTTGTTGCAGTTAATGCAGAAAAATTGAATTGCAAAAGTGCACTTTAAATTAGAGGACATCTTTTTCTGCAAAATGCCGTGTCGCCTTACCAAACTCTATTGTTTTTACATTTAAATTGCGCTAGCGTGTGTACATGTGTGGAGGGTGATCTAGCTTACATTTAAGGTATGCGCCTGTACCTTTTGTTGCCTGTGTCTGTGTCTCTATCTGTGCCTGTGTATGTGTCTCTATCTGTGCCTGTATAATGTCTCTTGTGTGGGGGAGGTATTCCCTATTTGAGTACTTTAATTTGGCAAAGAGGAAAAATGGAATTAATATCATGCAATAACTAGGAATTACTTGAGGATAATGGAAAAAAGTTTACAAGCTCGGTATAGTTTTATGATTTAAAACTGGCTGGGTCCTGAACAATTTACATCCGAAACTTCTCAATGTAGCAAATTAATTGTGCAAACCGCTCCGCAAAGGAGTAGTAATCATTTTTTTTTTGACAACTGATAAATCGGGGAACTAATGAGAGACTTGACTAAGGAAACCTACGGCAACAAATGCCACACGTTTATTGCTCAAGATTCTATCCCTTTTCTGTTTTTTGCACTAGTTGTGGTTGGGAGAGGAGGGGGAAGATAGGGGGTGTGAATAGAAAGGCCAGTAAGCTTTATCTATGAGCTAAAAACAAGTTTATTTTTAGGGGGTGAATAGAAAGGCCAGTAAGCTTTATCTATGAGCTAAAAACAAGTTTATTTTTAGGGGGTGAATAGAAAGGCCAGTAAGCTTTATCTATGAGCTAAAAACAAGTTTATTTTTAGGGGGTGAATAGAAAGGCCAGTAAGCTTTATCTATGAGCTAAAAACAAGTTTATTTTTAGGGGGTGAATAGAAAGGCCAGTAAGCTTTATCTATGAGCTAAAAACAAGTTTATTTTTAGGGGGTGAATAGAAAAGCCAGTAAGCTTTATCTATCAGTTAAAAATAAGTTTATCTTTTCCCTTTATCTTTATCTTTTGACAATCTTTTTTTTTTGTCTTTTTTCCTCTTTTTTTTGGTGCCGTTTGGTAAAGTGAATAAAGGTTGCATACGGTAGCTCGCCAATCTACTTTATCCTTATTCATTTGACGTTCCTGATTTTATAGAGAACCTTACTAGCGAGTAGAGCGAGATGGTGGAGCAGCTTTGATTAGTTGTCACCGACACTATTGACACTATCTCGCTTCGCTCAATAGTGTGACTGCTTAATAGTAAAAAACTCTTAAATTAATATTTTATTTCAAAGAAGAACTATAAGTAAAAAGTAGCAAGTTACAAAGTGTTGCTCCACTATCTCGCTTCGTTCAATAGTGTCAACCTGGCAATATTGTTTTCTTTTGCTCTTTCAACACCAAAAGTTATAAAATCTCTTGTAGAAAGGTTGAGACCTCAAAAAGGCCTTCTCTTCAGCAACTTCCTGCTTTACCAATTCCAAGTCCAAATCTGGTCTTCCTGTATCAATGTCAATTTCTCCTGCTCTGTAAAAGAAACGCCAGTTCCTGGTCCATAACTTATGACCCACATAGAAAACAATAATGACAGGAACAGTCAAGTAATTTTGGAAAAAGTTGCTGGCACTTGGAGATTTTCCAACCGGATACAATGCCACCCAAAGTTGAAGAGCTACAACAGCCGTGTTCAATAATAATCCCCAGCATGCACCAATGATACCAGGCTGGGAAGTAAACACCAATTCGTCAGTGCCCCTACCTTGAACTTTCAATGCTCTTCTAAATCGAAGATGACACAAATTAATAGAACCCCATGTAAAGATAGACGATAATCCTGAAAGGGCCAAAAGCCAACTAAACACTTCGTTTTGTTTAGGACTTGCTGCCAAGAAACACAAGGCTCCAACTGTCAATTGAAATATAATACCAACCAAGGGTCTACCTTGTTTGTCAATGTACCCAAAAATCTTGGGTGCTTGATTTGATGCTGCTAATGCTGCCAATGTTCTCGACGAAGCAAAGACAGACGAGTTACCAACAGACAAAACAGCAATCATGATAACCACGTTCATAACTGATGGCAAACCTTTGATTCCACCATTTTTAATGGCAATGACGAATGGAGAAGCTGAAGCATCACTCTTGTCAGTGAGTAATCTGGTATCATTGTATGGCACAAGGATACCAATAAGACAAAGTGAAATAACATAAAACAATGTAATACGCCAAAACACTTGTTTTGTTGCCTTGGGCAATGATTTTCTTGGATTGGCACTTTCAGCAGCAGCTAACCCAATCAACTCAGTACCAGCAAATGCAAAAGCGGCCCCAACAAACACCTGTATAACACCTTTAGCTCCATTTGCAAACGCTCCGGGGTCTTGCCAGTATTTGCCTCCAATATAACCTTTTCCAGTTCCACCTGCCGCAAGTATGATACCCAAGATGATGAAACCACACACGGCCAAAACCTTGATAATACTAAATACAAATTCAGTTTCTCCATACCCACGAACGCCAAAGAAATTAATGGCAATGATCAAAACGTAGAAAATAACAACAAAGGCGGCGGAATTTATCGAATCGTTCCAATATTTAATCGTCACTGCAGCTGCAACCAATTCCAACGGCAACACAACTAGCCATTGCATCGCATAGTTCCAAGCCATAGCAAACCCCCAGGATGGATCAATAAACCTAGTATTATATGTAACAAAAGCACCCGAAACTGGGAAAGATACGGCTAATTCACCCAATGATTGAACAGTACAGTAAATCATAGTTCCAATTAAAATATAAGCTATCAACACACCTGCTGGACCCCCCGTAGCAAGTGAAGAACCCGATCCAACAAAAAGACCAGTCTGTAAGAAGAAAAGTTTTGTTAGTAAATTATCTCGAAAACTCTGAGCTACACATGGGTTGTATACATACTCCAATAGAACCCCCAATTGCAATCATCATGATATGCCTTGCTTTCAAGGATCTTGCCAAGGGGGAATTTGCTGTCAAAACGGCGATTTTCTCAGCTTCACTTAAGTTTGGGTCTAAACCCATCTCATTAGTGTCTGCTCTTTTAAATCCATCTTTAAACTTTGCCCACCCCGTCAATGGAGGTTTTGAATCTTGTACATCAAATGCATCAATATAAATACCACCATTTTTTTCGTCTGAGGAAGCAGATTCTACTTCTCTAGATCTGATATAATTCAATTCTTTTTCAGGCATTTCTAAAAGACAAGTCCAAGTATATCAAGATGAAGAAAAGAAAGAAAGAAAGAAAGAAAGAGGGAAAAAAAACAAGGAGGCGTTAAGTCAAATAGGCATTAGAAGAGAGGGAAATAAAAGGATGCTTATATATGTATCACTAGGCTATCAACTTTGGATAATCCCCACAAATGAATCTAAAAGAAACAATACTTTAAAGGAAAAAAATTGAAAATTCTGTGATTATGAGGTAGTCTCAGATATGATATTTCTAAATTGGTTATCTAGTTAGATAATCTAGTTTAATTGTACATTATCTAGATTGATTGTTCGCTAGAAAGGCAGGATAACAAATCTCTTTGTCCATAAATTAACAAATAAGATGCTTGTACTAAAAAAAATTGTAGCAATGTTGCGTAGATTGTCCTTTTTCTTTCTTTTTTTTTTGCAATCATATTGATAAAAAAAAAATATTACATAAGATTCATTGTTGGCCCTTTGATAAGACACGCCGCATCTAAAATACGGTTTTGGTATATTTGGATAAGAGAGGTTTAAATATGTTTTTGTATTTTATTATTTTGTCTTTGGTAGCAAAGCGACATAAATAATATTTGTGCTACATATGGTAGCTTTATTTCTTGCAGAATGCCGTGTGTTAAAGAGAAGTGAAATAAATAGTTACTTTAACATTTACACAAATTGATTGAATTCAGGCAAATGGGCTTGACAAAACATTGCCTGCTTTATCGAAGGCGAAGTTAAGCACCGTATCGTATGCTTTATTGGGAAGTAGTGCTTCGCGATAAAACTTTTATTGTGGAGTTGCTAATGCGTAAAAACAGTTTTTGCAGCACACTTTATTTATGAAGAAGAGGTACACTTGAAAACTAATTAGACAAATAAAAATTTAGATTCAAAGAAAAAAAAAAAAACCAGAGAACTGAGCTATGTATGTCTTTTGCAACTTACTTGATTACATAGTATTAGCCATCGTTGAGGGCCGTTTTGTATTTCCTCTAGTAACACATAATCTCTTCAAAAATAAAACAAAACAAAACAAAATAAAAAGAACCCTTGACACGTATTTCGCCTTGAACTAATTGGCTGGCTATTATACTATCTACATGTTGCTACTGTTAATGCTCGTGCATCGATACCCCATATTTCGTTGGTGATGTTTCATTATCGAAATTCTTCATTTTTTTTTTTTCTTATTTTTTTTTTCTTTCTTTAATCCGGTTTCACATTCTACACCACCAACATATTACATCATTAATAGGAAATAAAGAGATATTGGATTATTTACATAAGGTTTAAAATTATGAGTCGATATTTCTCCGCGTGACAAGAAAGCAAATCTGTTCTTTTTCCTATTCTGAATGCCGATCATCAGCATTTAGTTCTTGTCTATAACTGAAATTTTGAAACATAGTAGGAAGATTTCCAGGTTACATTCTTGTCTCTCTTTTTTCTTTTTTTTTTTTTTTTTCAACTATTTTCTTTGTATAGTGGCTTTTGCTAGTAAGATGAGGTGCATCTCTCCATATTGATTGTTGAAACATAGAGAGAAAGACGTTGGAAGTGCCGTTGTTACCAAGCACCTGATTCTAATACATCTTATTAACCTTTTAACCAAGTCTATTAAAAGTAAACTTTTTGGTTTTTGGTATTAGGCGAGATTGAAAGGAAAAAGAAATGCAATTGAGATACATAGTCAAAAATTCATCAATTGAGATGCACAGCCAAAAATTCATCAATTGAGATGTACAGCCAAAAATTCATCAATTGTTAAGCCTTATAGAAGGAATTTTTTATTTTTAAAAAAAGGGCAAACCACAATATGAATATTTTCTTCGTAATCGAGATACGTTTGTACCTTGGTATTGCAAGCAACTTGTCGATGCATTTTCTTCCTTTGTTTAGTTTGCCGTGCTTCTCCAAGGACGATAAGATTGTGAAAGAGTAAAAAGTGCCAAGGTCAAAAAAAAAAAAATAAAGAAAATGCCACTCGAGAGGTTCTTTTTTTTTTTAGCACGTATCCCTTAGTTTGATATATCTTTTTGAAAGAAACAAGATAATCGAAAAAGCAAAAAGGATGGGGGAGGAGGAAGGATGAAAAATACGGGGGATGGGAGAGGGGAGAGAAGAGAGGGAACGAGGAAAGAGTTTAGCATTTTTAAATTTCTGATATGTAGCTTCTCTATAAAATCATGCCGCTACCCTAGACCAATCCTTAAACTCTTCATCACCATATTGGATTTTCTGAATCCAATCATTGACTTGTTTAGCGATTTCACCCGAGCTACCGGCTTTACAAGGTACTTCAATTTGTTTACCTTTAAACTCAATGTTATCAATTGGAGCAACAATGGCCGCAGTTCCAGTACCAAAAGCTTCAATCAATTGACCTTTGGCACTTCGTTCCATAACCTCATAAATTGTCAATTTACGTTCATTCACTTTCCAGTCACTGGGCAATTTCTCCACGCATAATTGAATAGTGGAGTCACGTGTTACACCAGGTAAAATCATGCCATCTAATGGTGGAGTAACTAATTCCTTAGTACCATCATCGTTTTCAAAAGCGAAAAACACATTCATGGCACCCACTTCGGTGATTTCTCCAGATTCACCAAATAACCACAAGTTTTGTGAGTGGCCGCGTTTGGCAGCTTCTGCTTGAGGTTCAATACAAGAAACATAGTTGGCTCCCAATTTGTACGAACCAACACCTTTAGGCCATGCACGCACTGCATAATCTGTTGCTTCCAATGAAACTGGTTTGAAATCACTTCCGAAATATGGCCCTACAGGGGATGCAATAAGATAGAGTTTAGCTTTAGTAGGCGTTGAAACACCAAGTCCAATTGAAGAACCAATCAATGTTGGTCTCAAGTATAAGGAGTATCCTTTACCCTGAGGAACAAATTTTTCTTCCAAAAGCAAAAATTGATCAAGCAACTTCAAAAACTCATTTCCATCAAAAGTTGGTAATGCTGCTCTTTTCGCTGTTCTGTTCATTCTTTCCATGTTTTTATCTGGTCTAAATGTACGGATCTTCCCATTGGAGTCTCTATAAGCTTTCAACCCTTCGAATAACTCAAATGAATAGTGTAAAACACACGTTGCAGGATCCATAGAGAAATTATGATAAGGTTTGATTGTGGGAGCGGCCCATCCTTCTTCTTTAGTCCAATCAACTTCTAAAATGTGGTCAGTAAATGATTGACCAAATACAAGCTTATCGTTGGGTAAAGGATCTTTTGGAGTTTCCGTTTTAGTGATCTTCAACTTTGAAGCGTCTAATGGGGCGGACATCCTATTAATTGGCAATGAAACTGGGTTTTGCAAATATCAGTACTTTATTCAACCTATCGCGAACTACTTATATATACTCCTTCTCTTGACTTATTAGACTTTTTTTCTTCTAGGCCTTTTTTTTCCTCCATTGTTCGAATGAGTCAAAAATTGAAAAAAAAAAAAAGAAAAAAAGGAAAATAGGAAGAAAGGAAAAAATCTCGGTTATCAAAGGGATTGTTACTCCGCCGGTTGCGGTCTAAACTACTCACGTCACCGAGGTTTCTCTATTTCAGTACAATAGTTAGCTATGAAAAGAAAAGTTTAATACATCAAAGTTTATAGGCATATATCCCCCCTCCCCCCAACCCAATATTTGACTCATCTACACATTTTATGTATGACACACTAGACTCTATTCATTTTCTTTTTGGGGGGATCTCTTTTTCTCCGCTTCTTTATTCACTCTTTTGAGTCAATTTCCCATACTCATCAGGGTAAAAAATTAACCGTTCGATACCAGTTTTTGTTAAGATAACCATACGAATAACACCACCAGATGATCCATCCCATTTGATAGCTTCAGCCAAAGCAGTTTTAATAAACTCAATTGTTTCCTGCTTGTCCATTTTTGGTTTATAATTTTCATTACACCATCCATAAATGAATGTTGACCCACTACCGGCAATCGCATAATCTTGTTTATGTACTGAACCTCCAATTGGTATGGAATAGACAGAACCACCATATTTATCATCGTACCCGGCACATATAATACCTGCAGTCAATGCATCCTTATTGTTGTAACAGATTTCTTGAAACACATTAGCAGCAATGTTCGTTGTAGGTTTCTGTCCATATGGTAATTGTGATGAGTAAATTTGCAAATAATATTTCACCATATCCGCTACCGCCTGCGTATCTGCTGCTGAGCCTGAACGACAACAGTATATGGTATCATGTATTTGAGTCAACTTATCAGTGACTCTGTTGGCAATGTAAGAGCCTGTTGTTGTTCGTGAATCTGCTCCTAATATCACTCCATCTTTAAACGTAACAGCCATAATTGAAGTACCTAGATTCACTTCACCCTTTTTCAAGTGTGTGATGTCTACGCTGATCCCATTCATATTGAAAGTTTTGACGCGTAACGCAATTATCTAGTAGTTTTAATTGTGAATAGTGACTACAAGTGACTATAAGTCTTACAACTAAAAACCCTCTCCAATGTTTAATTGCCACTCTTTCTCTCTTTCTCTCTCTCTCTCTCTCTCTCTATGACCGTTTTTTTTTTTTTTTTTTTCATTTGAGTTTGCACTTCCGGTTGTATTCACGTGCCAAAACCCGGATGTACGTCTTTACCAAGAGTATTGTTTGTCAAATGGTAAAAAGCAATAAGAAGGAAAGTAGAAGGAAAACCTCTCCCCGCCTCCACTGTACGCCTCTTGAATTGTGTAAAGGATGTGGTTTCTCAATTTCTGTTTACTCGTATACATAGGATTGGTTTCATCAGCGGCAATTCCAGGAGTCACAACCAGTACATTTCAGCTAACGTCACAAGAAAAGCAATATCTTATAAATGATCCAAAAGTTACCCATAAAGTAATATTTACCATTGTACATGGCACTGCACCAAACACCAGATATTTGGGCAAGTTGACCTTGGCGCTATTTGGAGAGACTGTGCCTACAACAGTTGATAATTTCTACCAATTATCAGCAATGACACAAGGTTTTGGTTACAAGGACTGCAAGTTTCATCGCATCATTAACAATTTCATGATACAAGGAGGAGATTATGATGGTCAAGGCGGCAATTCGATATATGGCAAAAGCTTTAACGACGAAAACTTTATACTCAAACATGATAAATTGGGCAGGTTATCCATGGCTAATTCTGGATCGAACACCAACGGCGCTCAATTTTTTATATTGAATGTTGACGAGACGCCACATCTAGATGGTCATCATGTCGTATTTGGACAATTGGTTGATGGATTTGAAACTTTGCAAAAGATCAGTACCGTTGATGTTGTAGAGACCAAACCTATTGAGCCGGTATACATAAGTAACATTGAAATTGCTGTTTCCGATAAAGATTTACAAGAAGCTGAGGAAAAAGCAGAGCAATTGAAAGCAGAAAAGCCAAAGTCGCAAGCTGACTCGAAAATTGAAGCAGAAATTAGTCAATTAAGTTTCATATACCCTTTGTTTTGCATAGTGTTACTATTGGGGATTGTTGGTGTGATATACCTTAAGAAATGGCGCAAGAGGGAGTTGATTACGGATATTCGAAGTAGTAGAAACTTTTGACTCTCTCGAGTGGAGAGAGCAACACTATCGAGCGGAGCTAGCAACACTATCCAGCGGAGCGAGCAACACTATCTCGCTCTGCTCGATAGTGTTGAAAGACCAAGCTACAAAGAGTTGCTCCACTATCTCGCTCTGCTCGATAGTGTCGAGGTTTGATATATGATATGAATATGGATTGTTGTAATACAAGTAAAAAAAAATATTATATAGATATGAAAGAGATTCTAGAACGTATTTTTTTTTTTTCACCAAGCTTATCTATCATGTCGAAAAACGAGTTTCCTATAGTATGTGTCAAAAATCTATCATTTGGAGCATCAAACAAGTCCATCTACGAATATTTTGCACAGTATGGAAGTATTTACCAAATTCGTACCAATCCGCTACAACAGGGACAAATTTTTGTAATTTATGGTAGAGTAGCTGATGCCCAGCGAGCTGCAAAGGAATCTAATGGAGTTAATTTCAATGGAAGATTTTTAGTAACCACGACGTATCAGGTGAATCGAAGCAACTTAGATGAGGGGACAATGGTACTAAATGAACAGCAGTTGAATGAGTTGAGACAATTACATGGAGAAAGTCGGATATAGAGGGAAAATCACCTTACCGACACTATCGACCGACACTATCGACCGACACTATCGAGCAGAGCGAGATAGTGGAGCAACTCGTTGTAGCTTGGTCTTTCAAAAAACAAAAGAAAGATTGTAATAAAGTATGAGGAATAAAGAGATGAGGAGTGAGGAGATGGAGTGAAGAGATGGAATGAAGAGATGAGAAACGTAGAGATGTACACACGGGTTTGATTGCTCCACTATCTTGCTCTGCTCGATAGTGTCCAAACTAATTGACTTTTACACAGCTTCAGTTTTATACATCAATCTTCTTTTCATTTCTTTGCTTATTCTTTTTTTGCTTTTTTTTTCCCGTCTATAAAATATTCAACAAGTAATAACTAATCAACCCAGTAAAGATAAATGCTGAAATTTTACCCACTTTGGTATAAAGACTTGTCTTGCTGTATTTATACTTTAAGATAACATCAACTTGGTTGATGCTATCGTATAATTTTCTATAATGAACGGTGACTTTGATGTGTCCCTTAGATACATCGAAATACGACAATTCATTTGTAACAGTTATCGATTCGTAAGGTATTGATGATGCTAGATCTTCGTATTGGGAATTCTCTGGGAGATAAAACTCCAAATAAACATCTTCATAAGTTACGTCTCTTAAAGTGTTCAAAATGGGGAGTCTAATAAGATACTCGTTTGTGTCCTGATTACTTTGATGAACGATTTGACTCATATCTTCAGTCCAGCCTAAAGTAAAGTTATAGTGCCACCCACCAAATATTGGGAAACGAGGCAGTAATAGCAAGTGGTTTTGGACAACTTTGTGAGTAGAAACAACACCTGCTTTATCTGTAAAATAGTAGTCCTCGAATTCTTTTCTTTTCCAAAGAGGGAATTCCAAGTGACTCAATGCCCAATGGTTTCTTGTTCCGGCATATCTTCCCTTCATCCAGTCAACACGTGAAAACCCAGAACTGAGTTCAGCACCCAGGTTTGTTAATTCATAGTACTCTTCAATAGAGACTTTATTAACTTGTGACGCAGGAAGCCAAACGGATCTGTTTAAGCTGATGACATTGAGAAGTGGACGATTGTGGTCATACATCAACCCCATTGGCTTCAATGTGAATGGTGCGATATCCTCGACAAAAGGGCCATATTTCAATGCACGATTTTCCACTCTTGGTTCTAAATAAGGCACGGGGTTTGTAGCATTGACCGCTTTGTCCAAGTGCAATTCCATTTCTTGCCCCTTTGTCATACCGGTGAATATTAAGGTATAGTCTTTAGTAACATATGGCGAAAATGGAAATTTATTAGTCTGGTATAACAACTGCTGTACATCTTCCAACCTAATCTTTTTAGGTACCGGTTCTAAGCAATCAATGTATACGTAGCTAACTTTCAAGTCAATGTCACTATTAGGGGCCACCGGTACAGGCAAGTTAAATTTGAAAACTTTATTAGCGGTAATTTCTTCAAATGGAACATCGACCGATTGATCAGCCAAACGTACAGAAAAAGACGACAACTCACCAACACTGTCGAATCCGTCGTTTATAGTGTAATAGTACTCGCTTTGTGGAGTATGAGCTGTATTTTTGATACTTATCAAATCGACTTCTGCAATTGAAGATTTAGCTAGATCAATTGTACGAGTATAATGCGAATTCTCCCAATTAAGATCTAATGTATATAAGCTCGAAATATGGGCATTGCACATACAGAGCAATACTCCAATTGTAAGCATAAATTGTGGAGACAACCACATTTGTAACATTGATGTTGACTACTGAAAAACCCTACCCAAACCTCTATAAAAAAAGAAAAGAACAAAAAAAGAAAAGAAACAGTGTCAAAAACCGAACAACCTTGGCGAGTCGAATGGGAGATGTGAACACGTGACGTTGATAAAAATAGTGACACGTGATAGGGTTGTGTCTAGCTGCACAACAGAAAAAAAGAGAAACAAGGGAGAAACAATTGATAAAATTAGAAATGAGCAACACTATCGAGCAGAGCAAGATAGTGGTGTATACTGACTAGCTGATCTTATGAAATGAAATTGTAGAGATTATTGTAGAGATTATTGTAGAGATTATTGTAGAGATTATTGTAGAGATTATTGTAGAGATTATTGTAGAGATTATTGTAGAGATTATTGTAGAGAGGGTGACTATATAGAAAGGGTGCTTATGTTGAGAAGGTGACTATATAGAAAGGGTGCTTATATTGAGATGGTGACTATATAGAGATGGTGACTATATAGAGATGGTGACTATATTGAGATAGCGATTATATTCTTGTATCCATATACTTGTCAGTGTCGGTGACAGGAAGTGCTCCACTATCTTGCTCTGCTCTATAGTGTTGTATCAAACTATTAACACTATCGAGCAACACAATCTCGCTCTGCTCGATTGTGTCGTTCTGCTCGATAGTGTTGCTCCATAGTGTTGCTAAATCCGGGGCCATACAGGGAAGCCAAGAGAATCAAAGCGAGGCGAGATTGAATAAAAAAACTTTGAACGGTACTAAATCTTTTAGGGAAAACAAAAATAAACACTAATCTAATATCTAATACTAATACCTAATACTTTCATCTAATTATATCTTATACCATCTAATAATATCTAATTGTACCACTTGAAAACACTGCAAATGCTTCAAAACAGTTTCAAATCGTTTTTAATTGCATTCTTCTTTTCATCAACCATCAACCAAAACTTTTCTACTCCAACCCATCTGCTTTGTTTCATCTCTATATCATCTCTATTCCATAAATTTCAAGTAGCAAAAATAACCCATCATCTTCATTCACATTGTCTACTCAAATCAATTGGTTTGTTTTTTTTTTTATTAATTTTTTTTTTTTTTTTCAATGGTAGCAATTGAGTTTTACTTAACAATCAAAAGTTTGTTAATGTCAAATTTTTTTTTAAACCTTTATCTATAAGTAAAAAACCCGAGTGTAGAAACCCGTGTGTATTATAGAGGGCTAGCTGAGTATCCGGCTGAAGTGCAACAGAACAAGTGCTTAATACCAAGTGCAACAAAACAAGTGCTTAATACCAAGTGCAACAGAACAAGTGTTTAGTACCAAGTGCAACAGAACAAGTGCTCAACAAGTGCTCAACACCAAGTGCAACAAGACAAGTGCTCAATACACCAGGTGCGGTTATTTTTCTTCATTCTTTTGCCATGTCATTTCAAGATCTCATTCCTGTAGTTAATAAACTACAGGATATAGTCACTACAGCCCAACTCGCTGAAATTGATTTGCCTTTACTCGCAGTTGTTGGCTCCCAATCTTGTGGAAAATCTTCGGTTTTGGAGAATATCGTTGGTAAGGATTTTTTGCCTAGAGGTACTGGTATTGTTACAAGACGACCCTTGGTATTGCAGTTGATCAATGCTGAAGAGCACGATTCAAAACCATCTGAGCATCATCATCATCATCCAAATCTGGATCTGGACGAGATCAATTTGGAGGACCATTTACGTAAGATAAATGGTAAAAAACCTTCTTCTGCTTCTTCTGCTTCTTCTGCTTCTTCTGCCAAAAAGGAGTGGGGGGAGTTTCTTCATATTCCAAACAAGAGATTCTACAACTTTCACGATATTCGAAGAGAAATCGAGACTGAGACATTGAGAGTTGCTGGAGAAAATAAAGGCATTAGTAGATTACCTATAAACTTAAAGATATACTCTCCCAACGTGCTCAACTTGACTTTAGTCGATCTACCAGGATTAACAAAAATCCCCATTGGCGATCAACCAACGGATATTGAAAAACAAATAAGAAACTTGATTTTGGAATATATCGCCAAACCAAACTGCATTATCTTAGCCGTTTCTCCAGCTAATGTCGACTTGGTCAATTCAGAATCATTGAAACTAGCAAGACAAGTAGACCCCACGGGGAAAAGAACAGTGGGTATTTTGACCAAATTGGACTTGATGGATCAAGGTACTAATGCACTAGATATTCTCAAAGGAAACGTTTATCCTTTGAAACTAGGATTCATTGGAATAGTCAACCGTTCACAGCAAGATATTTCTGAAAACAAGTCCCTTGATGAGTCGTTATACTCAGAACACCAATTCTTTTTAAACCACCCAGCATATAGAGCAATGGCTACAAAGTGTGGTACCAAGTATCTTGCTCAGACACTAAATAAGATACTCATGAATCATATAAGGGATCGATTGCCAGATATCAAGGCCAAATTAAACACACTTATGGGACAAACTGAGCATGAATTGGCTTCATATGGAGATATGCAAAGTATGGGTGACTCAAAGGAAGCAAGAGGTGCAATGGTGCTTACCTTGATGACCAAATTTGCTAATGCATTTATCAACTCAATTGAAGGCACCTCGGTTAACGAAATAGCTACAAAGGAATTATGCGGTGGCGCTAGGATCTACTACATCTATAATGAAGTGTTTGGGTCCACTTTAGCCTCAATTAACCCAACCCACAACTTATCTATTCTGGATATTAGAACAGCAATTAGAAACTCCACTGGTCCAAGACCTTCTTTATTTGTTCCTGAACTAGCATTTGATTTATTGGTTAAGCCACAAATCAATCTATTAGAAGAACCATCGCAAAGATGTGTTGAAATGGTTTATGAAGAATTGATGAAGATTGTTCATAGTGTATCCTCTTCAACAATTGGGCCCGAACTAAGCAGATATCCTCGTTTACAAGCAAAATTGATCGAAGTGGTTAGTGATTTATTAAGAGAAAGGCTTGGACCTACAATAAAATACGTTGAATCACTTATTGAGATTCATAAAGCTTATATCAATACCAATCACCCCAATTTCGTTGGTGCCGCCAAAGCAATGAGTATAGTTGTTTCTGAACGTCAGAAACAAAAAGAAATGGAGCTGAACAGCAAGATGAAACTTGCTACTCAAAGAATATTGGGTAAAAATAGAAACGGCAAAGGGGCTATAGAAGAGATTGAAAATGAAGAAGGAGACGAAAACGAAGAAGGAGATGATGATGAAGAAGAAGATACAGATGAGGGTGTAGCCATTATGAAAGAGGATATAGTTTCTGTTGACGATGAGTTTCCAACCAAACACCAACGTCGACCAAAGAAAAAACGCCAACATCGAGAATCAACACATTCGCAATCGGAATCATATTTAAATTATTTCCTTGGAAAAGATCCAATCGTCCATCAACAACAACTACAAACACAAGCACAACTAAACCCGACTCCCTTCAAGTTCCCACACCCCCTGGAAACTACTCTACAATTCAATTCTCAATTTGTCAATCACAATAACAGTAGTAATAGTAATGGGTTTATTGCCAACAACAACAACAACAACAACATGCTGTTTACTCCGTCTCCAGCACATAGTCATGATACCAGTGGTTCTCGTCAATTGCATGATTTAAAAAACTTATCTCTTGAAGCATATCCAATGGGATCGGATCGTTCATTTGATACAGATGAAGCAATTAATGAACTTAGTGAACGCGAACAAATGGAATGTGAATTAATACGCAGATTGATTATATCATATTTTAGCATCATTAGAGAAATGATCCAGGATCAAGTCCCCAAATCTATCATGTGTTTATTGGTAAACCATGTTAAGCAACATATTCAAAATAGATTAGTAGTGAAACTTTATAGTGATGAAATGTTTGATGAATTGTTGAAAGAAGACGAAGGCATTCAAGCAGAAAGAGAAAAATGTATTGAATTGTTAAAGAGTTATAAAGAAGCGGCTAGGATTATCAGCGATGTCGTTTAGAGAAGCATATCTAATAAGAATAAGAATAGAAATTCAAGGTTAAGTGTTTTGTAAATACAGAAAATACAGAGGCATATATGTTATAAATATATATGTATATATATATATATATATGTATGTATATATGTGTATATATTTATTCATGTATCACGTGATCTCTTGTTTGGTTCAGCGCATTTCTTACTTTATTAAAGTGAGTAAGGGTGTTTATTCAAATGGAGTATTCATTGTTTAGAGAAAGGGCAGGGTAGCTGAGTATTTTATGGATGGAGATATAAGCAAAGAGATATTTTCAATTTACGGGTATGATGTGAGGAAGTTGATTGAGGAGCATGAAGAGTTGGAAGCGAGGTTGAAGAAGGAACAAGATAATAATGAACTTGTTATCATTGAAAAAGATGCAGATCGAAGGGATTACTTTTGTTTCATGGGAAGCACAAACGGCGCACAAGGTTTAGCACCTGTACCTACTTATAGCCAAGGATTCAAAAAGGTCAAAAACGCGTCATATGCAGCTCGAGAAAAGGAGAATCTTGTAAAGAGGCACGATCGAAGTTGGCTTTTGAAAGATGTATTGTTGCTGATTAAAACGCATCCACGAAGAATTGAGCCCATGGTTGAGCATAACTTTAAGCCAAAGAAGCCAAAATTCACACCTTTCTACTTGAGGTTTGTTGAATTTGGTCAAAGAGGGAAAGATGGATCAATTAACGTCATTATGAGCGACCAAACTCATAAATTGTGTTGCGTATTTTCACAACGGGCTATTATTGACCATATAAGAAAAGGCGGCTTACCGTTTAATGATGTTCATTCAATTTATAATTTTGCACTTGTTGAAAAAGCAAACTTGAAATTCGTTAAAGATGAATACATCAAAAAACACTTTAATTTAGCAAAAGTGAGTTCGCGTTTGAGATATTGTGTTTTAGAGATTTTACAATTCAAGTTTGTTTGTAGTGTTAAGGCTGCGTTGTTGAAAAAAGTGCCTAACCCGAAGAAGGCTAATTGGGAAGAACGGGTAAACTGTAATGATACAAACTTTAACCTAGAGACCATGATTGATTCAGGGGAAGAATTCAATTCGAGTGACGAGCTCGAATTTGACGCCGATTGTTTATTTGAAAAGGGTAAGTTGAAATGGATATATACCAATGATTTTTATATACGACTTTGCAAATCGTGAGCAAAACAGTAAGAAGGTGGGGGAGGAGGAGAAAGTGATGATAAAGAAAGATATATCAATCGACATCTTTGGCACATCTTTGATCAACAATACTGTCGATGTAGTGAACGCTACTCCACTATCTCGCTTCGCTCGATAGTGTTGATTTGTATTTTCTCTTATTGTTTATTTTCTCTTTTCTTTTTTTGCAGCACAATCGGTATTGGTAAAAGTATCAATGAAATGACGGACTTTGTTAAGCCACCAACTTCAAAGACTCCACTACTACTCACTGATGGTACTGTTGATACCGTCTCCGAAATCGAATCCTCACGTGTTCAAGAAGATGAGGAGAGGTCACTTTATACCCAAAATTTGTTTACTGCACCGGAACATATTAATACCGGTTTGCAGCCAATTAGATCAAATGCTACTGCTGCTACCGCTGCAAGTGCTGCAACCATAATAACTGCCATTGCTGCTGGTGGTAGGTTTTGTTTGCTACCATGTTGGAACTACGGGTCCAATTCGAACCAAGGACGTCGTGAAAGAACGGATGCAGTTGAAAGAGGCAGGAGAAGGGGAGAAGAAAGAGAAGAAGAAGAAGAAGAAGAAGGTGATGGAGGAGGTGGAGGTGGTGGTGGTAGAAGTGGTGGTAGAGACTATGAACGAGGAGAAGACATTGACGATGATTCTGTTTACAGGATTCCCGGAACGCCACGTTCACTGTCACCTACTTATCGCGGTCCACAAAACGTTCGCCGCGGTCGGATTAACGAGTACATTTTACAGCTTTTAGAACGTTGGATCATTGGTATAGTGAGAAGACATTATAATACAAGGGCTGCATATATTTTCTCAACAATACTAACCATTGGCCTAATTTCAACAATATTGATCTTATACTTTACAGGCCATCTAGACATCATAGTGAACCTCTCACGAGATTTACTATGTGAATTGATTCACCAATTTAATTCAACATCTCCTAAATTTTGCAAATTTGGCTAATAAAAAAAGGAAAAACAACGCGACTAGGAAAAGGAACAGCACTGACTACACCGACACTATCGGAAAAAGGAATTTCATTCATCTATATACAAAATTTTCTCATTCTCTCTTAATTTTCTATTTCATTTTTCCTTTCTCATTTCTTGTGTCTAATTGCTCTGCCTTTCCTATTTCTTATAACTAATGGATTTGGTTTGAGTCTTGTCTTTTGGAATTTCTTTAATCCCCACATTGATTGACTCACTTTATTGGATTTCGATTTACCTCTACCTCCACCATGAGGATGATCACACGCATTCATTGCCATACCTCTTGTAACGGGTCTTCTTCCCAAATGTCTTCTTCTTCCTGCTTTACCCCATGAGATTAGCTGGTGTTCTTTATTGGAAACAACACCTAGGGTAGCATGACAGTCTAATGGAATGTACCTATGTTCCCCACTACAAAGTTTGACAATAGCTTTTTCCTTCACAATATCCTTAGCCAAAATCTTACCAAATGTACCAGCTGAACGAACCAACTGTGCCCTTCTTTCGGGAGCCAAACCAATACTATGGATAATAGACCCTACAGGTAACATTCTCAACGGTAAACAATTACCTCTTTGTAATACTCTTGCTGATAATAACGCATCATCGATTTCTCCATTGTTTGTCTTGCGCATCTCTTCAACAAAGTCTTCAGGAATTCCCCTTCGGAAACTCTCAACAATATCACCACTACGCAATCCCTGAGGTGCAACGATATACGATAAATTACCCGTTTTTTCATTTTCCAAAAGCGCAATGTGACCTGATCTATTAGGATCATATTCGATCCTAACAACTTTGTTCTTGCCAGCATCCCACCGGTGGAAATCAACGAGTCTTACCCTTCTTTTGTGACCGCCTCCTCTTCCTCTTATAGTGATTTTACCTGTATTGTTTCTACCTGAGGTTTTCTTTTTCGGTACTGTCAACTCCTTGACAGGACCTCCCTTGTGTAGATGATCATGAACCGGCTTTTTGAAATGGGTTGACCCCGGATGTGTGTGTTTCTCAAAATAGTCTCCGTAATTTTTAATCTTGACTAGCTTCAACGACAACTCTCGTTGCTTCCTATACTTGATATCCTGAAGTTCCAATTCCGTTAACTGATGATCTGAAGAAGAAGTACTATTGAATCGAAGCAAATTTCGTCCAAATCCAGTTACAATTTTCAGCGCTCCGTTAAACCGTATTCGGCCGACAATTGATGACTGGCCCGAATAACGCAATACCATCCTTCTTCTTCTTCTTCTTCTTCTTCTTCTTCCTCAAAAACCCTGACACTTTTTGCTTGTCAACAATCCCTCAAAAATCCTAACCTTGTTCTTTTCAATTTTTCACTCTCTTTATCCTTAACTGTGTGATTCATTGATTTTCTTTTTTCTGTTTCTTTTTTTTTCCAATGAGCTTAGAGGGGGCCCATACACCAATACTTTAACCTCTAATCCAATAGAAAAAAACCCCAAAGTTGTTCCAACGTCTGAAAAAAAGGTCCAGATCGCTACCAAATGTCATTCTAGTTAAGCAGAGGAAAAATTTCAACACGAGTTTCGAATAAAGGCCCTATAAGAATATAAAGAGGATAATAAGAAAGTATTTAATCCGTGTGTGTCTGCTCTCACATATATATTCCTAGGTACACCAGGTAAGAACCCCTTTTTTTTTATTTGGTTAAGTAATGATTTCCCGTGTTTTTGCTCGTAGATTTGCATTGACTGCTAGAAGGGCAGCAGCGGCGCCAGTATCAGGTAAAGATATTAGACCACCAATTGAATTATTTGGTATTGATGGTACTTATGCCAACTCCTTATATTCTGCCACTTTGCAGGAATCGGATATTGGCCAGACCTATAGCGCCTTGAAGAAGGTTGAAAAAGTACTCAGTGGCGACCCCAAATTAGAGCATGCTTTAACAAACCCGGGCTTATCCAAAGAGGACAGAATCGGTATAATCAAGTCAGTCAATAACAGCTTGAATTTGGACAAAACTACTGCAAACTTTCTTTTGGTCTTAGCTGAGAATAATAGATTATCCATCTTCCCATCCATCTTCAAAAAATTCGGTATGTTGAATGATGCACACAATGGAATTGTCAATGCTAAAGTTATCAGTACTAAACCATTGGATGGTAAGATTTTGAGAAAATTACAAGCATCTATTGGTAACAGTAGCTTTGTTGGACAGGGTAAGACTTTGAAATTGAACAATGAAGTAGATCCAAGTATCAAAGGTGGTTTGATTGTTGAAGTTGGTGATAGAACAGTTGATGTTTCAATTGCTGATAAAGTCAACAAATTGAACCAGGCCTTGAAAGAAAACGTTTAAAGAGGGTAAGAAAGGAGAGGTGGTGGTATAGTTTATATATACTTTTATATATATATATATATATATACATCTATCTGTACTAGTAAGTTGTAAGAAATCAAAAGGTTGTAGACGGGGGCTTATCCAGTATGGAATATCTCAGCTCAGACAAACAAGAAGAAAAAAAAAGTTTATTCATTCAAAGGGTTCACAATCTGCTTGATCTCGTTACGAAAGAAAGAGTATATATGGCTATCTCTACTTCAAGAAGAGTAAAAGCTCTTGTGGATCTAGCTACGGCTGCAGCAATACTCCTTAACTTGTTTATATATTTTTACCCCGATCTATTAAACGCTCCTGGACAATGCAACTGGGCCAATGCGGAACAATTGAGACCAAAGTACGATGTTTTGAATTATATACCATCGAAATATCTACAGGCGATCTTATTTAGATTTCCCCAATTGCTTGAGGCAACAAAACAGACCTACAGCGAGGATGAGATTCATATGCTTTTGTTTGGAGATCCTCAGATTAATGGCAACTGGCCACTGACAAAGTATATCAAAAGGCTTGATAACTATGGCAATGACTACTATTTAGGTCACATTTATACTACAATGTCGCAACGGTTGCACCCGTCTCATGTTGCTGTAATGGGCGACTTGTTCTCTAGTCAATGGATATTGGATTCAGAGTTTTACAATCGAACTTATAGGTATGTTGAAAGGCTATTCCCACAAGGCTATGACTATAAACAACACGTTTTAGAGACACATCAAAAGCATGAAAACTATGACTGGAATAAGTGGTTATTAGACGAAAAGAAAATGGATCCTGTAGCTAGATACAATTCAAGAGTTTACGAGGATGTATACGACTGGATATATCGAGATAGAAAAACACCCAACTTGGAAAACCCGTTGTTTATCAATCTTACAGGAAACCACGACATTGGGTACAGTGGTGATGCGACATGGCAACATATGGCTAGATTTCATCATTTGTTTGGTCAAAATAACTATGTTATTAATTATAATAGAGGCACTGAAAGGGAATGGAGAATTGTTGTTTTAGACTCTATGAGTTTAGAAGGACCGGCTTTACAGCCTGAATTTTCAAATTATACTTGGTCATTTTTAGAGAATTTAAGGGACAAAGGTAATCCCAGTTTCAAAGGTTCAACAATATTGTTAACTCATATTCCAATGTATAAAAAAGCAGGGTTATGTAAGGATGGACCCGAACACAAATACTATATTGACAACAAGAGAGAACCGTACAAGAATGGTCTTTTGAGGTCACAAAATCACTTATCCTACAATACCACTCAGAGGGTATTGAACATTGTTTTTCCTAATGCCGATCAAAATGGCATAATTCTCACAGGTCACGACCATGAGGGTTGCGATGACTACTATAACTTTGTAGATGGCCAGTGGGAGGCATCTAAAGAGGAAAAGAAATCTCCCCGTCGGCCAATTAGAGAGATTGTTGTTAAATCAATGATGGGCGATTTTGATGGACAAACAGGAATACTAACAGGTCAATTCAAAAGTGGTCATTGGCAATTCATGTTCACGTATTGCTCCTTCACCGTGCAACATTGGTGGTGGGCAAGCAAAATCAGCATGATCATAGTAATCTTTTTACAATCCGCTATTAAACTAGCTTCAATATAGTAGACATAAATTGGTTGTGATACACTTTTACATATAGAAATTTAAAGTCTTTAATACAGATTTTATTCAGATTTTGTAAATTTACTCGGCTTCTTGTTCGTCTTTAATTTCACTTGGCTTCTGTCTCTCTGCTTCTTCTTTTTCTTCTTTAGGCTCAGAAACTTTTGCGGACTCGTTCGTGTCTTCCTTGACGCCTTCTTTTACTTCATGTTCTTCAGTGTTGCTGCCAGCTGTAGGTTCGGCAGCTTCGGCAGCTTCAGTAGCTTCAGTAGCTTCAGTAGATTCAGTAGGTTTGGCAGGTTGAGTAGATTCAGTAGATTCAGTAGATTCAGTAGATTCAGCTTTGGCGTTGGCCCCATTCTCTGTCTCTTTTTCATCACCATTTTCAGCTATAAATTTTTCAATCTCCTTTTTTGCACCTTCAATACTTTCTTCTGGTGAAATTTGGATTCTTTTAATTGCCAATGTTCCATTTTTAAAAATCCAGTGCGATCTTTTGGTTCCTGATGGCTGTTTCTTAGCACCCAAAACACCAATCAATTTCTTTTTAGGATCACTTAACAAGTCATATTCTGCGCCTTGTTTGACCTGGAAATTCTTTTGTGCTTTTGGCTCATCTGATGACAAGCCAAACACAGCAACGTTGTTATCGTGTAAAAATTTGTAATTCTTTTGAAATCCAGCAACTTGTCTAGTACACCCTGGCGTCGATGCCTTGGGATAAGCAAAAATTACAACAAACTTGTTATTTTTAGCAATTGCTGGTAAATTGATATTGTTTCCATCCTGATTCAACAAGGTGATATCAGGGATTTCGTCACCAATTTGAATCTCTTTAGTTTCACATATTCCATCTACTTCTGCTTCCAGTCCTACTTCTTTCGCAGTATCTGCTTTCTTGGCTTTTTTAGCCGGGGGGTGGTCGAGAGTTTCCTGTTGAGCTGGTAGTGGTTTTGAAGCGACTCTAGCGGAGCGACGTAACTCTGTCATGTTTGATACAAAATGAAAGTATGTGGAAACAGGAAGGAACGGGAAAGAAGCTGAAAAATGTGAAAATTTATTACTGCTCTCCACCAAATAAGAGTGTTACGGAAAAAGAGAGAAAAAGCTGTGGTTAATATGGTGGGAAATTTGATTGGGAGGTGGGGGTGGGGGAAAGGAGGTTGTTTCTTACAGTAATGGAAGTGAATGTTGTGAGATATTGAGAGCAAAAATATCTACATTAAAGCCAGCGTGGTAACAATATATCTTATGATACTATATAAATAAAGCGAGTCTGTATATATATGTGTGTATGCGGTTATAGTTTAATGGCTCCAACATGAATGGTCATAATTGAATAAAAAACGAATTGAACGAAATTTTTTTAGTGGAGAAATAGGGGGCAGGAGCAGCAAAAAGGTTTAATGCACAGAAACGTATTAAAGTTTAACATAAAAGATTCTACAATAAAGGACCCAGTAAAACACTGGCCATAAAAGAGACTTTATTTTTATTTTTTTATTCTTTTTTTAGGGAGGGTGGGAAGGAGACGAGTTAAAGGGGTTGGAAAGAGGGTCAAACATATAGAGGGTCAAACATATAGAGAGCACCAAGCGCCAATACTATTTAATATAATCTTACTACAATTGTGTAGAACCTTTGCTTGCTTACTTTACGCTCTAGACTTGCTATCTTCTAGGTTTGCGACATCATAATGTAATGGACTTATCGGAATGATTGCCCCCTAAGACTGAAAAAAAAAAATAACCATAGTCGGAACAACATCATCCCTAGATGATCTGTTCTTCTTTGCTTTACTTGCTATGCGCTGCATCTACTCTACTTCCGTTCTACACGACACTATCGACACTATCGACACTATCGAGCAGAGCGAGATAGTGGAGCAACACTGACTACACGACACTATCGAGCAGAGCGAGATAGTAAAGCATATTGACTGCTATTGACACTACTCCCGTTCTACACGACACTAGCTGCCACTGATACTACTTCTGCTACTGCTCTGCTACTGCTCTGCTACTGCTCTGCTGCTGCTCTGCTACTGCTCTGCTGCTGCTCTGCTACTGCTCTACTTTTTCCGCTCTTCTACTCTACTTCTTCTGCGCTTTTTCCACTTCTTCTTTTTTCTACTTCTTCTTCTCTTCTATAGTGGTATAACTCATATATCTATAGAAACGATGCAACTTGTGTTACCAGTCAGTGTCGGCGTAGTCAGTGTTGGCGTAGTCAGTGTCTGTGTAGTCAGTGTCTGTGTAGACAGTGTTTCTCCACTATCTCGCTCTGCTCGATAGTATCGGTGTACACAGTGTTTCTCCACTATCTCACTCTGCTCGATAGTATCGGTGTAGTCAGTGTTGCTCCACTATCTCGCTTTGCTCAATAGTGTCGATAAATCAGTCCCAGTTGATTTCGTTGACTTTTGTAGATGTATAATATTTTTTTTTTCTTCTGTAACGATGATACACGACGAGGATAGATAGGTGGCGCACCCAACAAGACTAATAGTTTGTTATTGATGCCTAGCACACGAGATAAACCAGTTGATAAAGCTATGACTCCCGTGCCTGCGCCGAATTCCGAGCCTACACTTACACCTTCAACTTCTATTGAAATTAAACAAGAAGACGAGTCCAAAAGCAGGAAGGAAGAGCTTTTCAAAGTTGATGATATAAGGCTGGGCTGTAAAGTATACGTATTGAAGGATGGTGAAGAGAGACTAGCGGAGATATTACAAGAGCATATCAAAAAGGGAAGAAAAGTGTACTATGTGCATTACCAGGACTTCAACAAAAGGTTAGATGAGTGGATCGAAATTGATCGAATAAATTTTTCTAAAGCATTGATACTACCAGAGATAAAGAATGATGAGAAGAAGGATTTTAAACAAAAGAAGAAAACTAAGCTGAAGGCGTCAAAGTCTAAAGATGCAAAATCAAATAACGGTTCAACTGCTAACACGCCAAGGGAAGAATCGACTCTTTCAATGAACGAAGATGAAATGGACTTGGAGAATCTTAATGTGCAAGGATTGAAAAGATCAGGCGAGGAAATAACTAGGGAAGAAGAGATTAAGAAATTGAGAGCTGGTGGATCCATGACTCAAAATCACTCAGAAGTCGCCAGAGTGAGAAATTTATCAAGTATTATTTTGGGTGAACACATTGTTGAACCTTGGTACTTTTCTCCTTATCCTATTGAAATAACCGATGAGGAAACAATCTACATTTGCGACTTTACCCTATCATTTTTTGGCTCAAGAAAGCAATTTGAAAGGTTTAGATCAAAATGTTCAATGAAACACCCACCTGGTAATGAGATATATAGAGATGAGAAGGTGTCGTTTTGGGAGCTTGATGGCAGAAAACAACGCACTTATTGCCGAAATCTTTGCCTATTATCGAAATTGTTCCTAGATCATAAAACTTTGTATTATGACGTCGATCCATTTTTGTTCTACATTATGACCATGAAATCAGAACAGGGGCATCATATCGTGGGATACTTTTCAAAGGAAAAAGAAAGTCAAGATAATTACAATGTTGCGTGTATTTTAACCCTCCCGCCGTATCAAAAGAGAGGTTTGGGTAAAATACTAATACAATTTTCGTACATGTTATCTGCTGTAGAGAAGAAGGTTGGATCCCCCGAAAAGCCGTTGTCAGATTTGGGATTGTTATCATATAGAGCTTACTGGACAGATACATTGGTCAAACTACTTGTTGAGAGAAACAATCCTGCATTATTTCGCAAAAACAACGCTCAATCTGACGAAGATGACGAGTTTGAAGGAACGCCGCATTCGTCGAGAAACGGGGGTGGTGGTAGTAGTAGTAGTAGTAACGAAATCACAATTGAAGATATTTCAGCAATAACGTGCATGACAACAACCGATATACTACATACATTAACTACTTTACAAATGTTGAGGTATTATAAAGGACAGCATATAATAGTGTTGACGGATCAGATACTCACACTATATGACAAATTAATCAAAAAAATTAAGGAGAAAAAGAAACACGAGCTAAGTGCAAAGCTTCTCAATTGGACACCTCCGCAGTTTACTGCAAATCAATTGCGTTTTGGTTGGTGAAGAGAGAGGTAGGAAAAAGGAATAGTGAGGAGGGAAACGACTTTAATCATTGGCTGCATCACCCCAGACTTTTATACTTTTATCACCCTCGCATGTTATCAATCTAAGTCCAGACATGTCAAAGGTGGATGCATATATGGCAGCGCCATCAGATCCAGGAAGGGATGGAGTTTGGCCTGTTTGAAGTAGTTTCCCCAGTGTGTAATCATAAAAATTCATTTTGCCGTCATCAAATCCAGCAAATAATGTGCTGGTTATAGGATTAATAGATAGAGTGTTTATTATTTTGCTCTTTTCGTCATTATCATTTTCAAAATTGTTCAACAACTCTGCTTTTGGTAAAAGCCACTGCTTTATACTGCCATTAGAATCACCGGATACAAAAGTGTACTCATTTGGATGCGCTTTCATTGAACGTATACTTTTCGAATGCTGGGTTACACTAAGAGTTGATTTTTGATTTCTTAAATCCCACACTCTTATTGTGCCATCCATTGAACTCGTGATTACTTGTGGCTCGTTGACGTCTGATATTATTGATGTCACGTCATTTGTATGGCCCGTTAATAAAGCCACTTCTTTGCTAGTTCGAATATCCCACACTCGTACCACAGCATCCCTTCCTCCACTTAGAAGCAAGCCCAATTCATCGAGTAATGACAAAGCATAGATACCCCCAACATGACCATGATAATTTCGGATCTGACAACCCTCAGGCGCATTCAGCCTTTCCATGTCCCAACATCGCAATGTCTTGTCTTCAGACCCAGAAAACAAGTACGGAAATTTATTGGACACTGCAAGTGATCGCACCGCCATAATATGACCAGTTAATGTGCCTTTCAATTGCAGCGATGCCAAGTCCCAAATCTTGATTGTTGAATCAGATGATCCTGTTACAAACCATTGATTCGTTACTTCGTCGATGGCCACAGTTCTTACCCATCCTTGGTGTGCTCCTACAAGAGTTCGAAGCAATTTCCACTGCGGTTGATACTTTCTGCTGCTGCTGCTGCCGCTGCTGCTGCTGACATCTAACAGTGTTGGTAATGGTGATGGTGGATTCTTGGTGGTAGTGGCTTGTTGCACTGGGAAAAAAAAGTCTAGTTTCGCATTCCTATACATGGCATCAGACAACTCATCTTCTGGCGGTATTATATCCTCTATACCTGTACCGGCTGAAGTCGCTATCATTTCCGTGGACAGGGAGGGCAGAGAAACAGTAAAGAGTGGTTGTGCAGGAAAAATTGAAATTTCTCGCGTTAAAGTTTGTTTGATACTTTTGCTACATCGCTATGGAGTTGATAAAGTCACTATGTGACATTATAATTGACTCCAAGAAGCTATACAAAATTATTGAGGTGATTCCAAATGGGATTGTCAGTCTGCCGAGTGCATTTAATCTTGAGGAAGATGGTGATATCCTTGGCATAGGCATTCCGAAGGAAAAGTATTTGAAAATCTTCAAGAATTCCCATGACTATTTTTACGCACATTTTGACCAACTACTCAATCTAGAAGGATTGTCCAAGGCAAATCTTGTTGACGCTTACTACATGACTTTGGGATATTTGATCCTGACAAACGAGCATCACACAATAATCAAGCTACATAGCAGAATTGTGAATATTTTGCAAAATTATGATCAGGATCTAGAGCTAATATCGTGTTTCTTGACCTGTCGCATGTCGAGGATTAACAAAAGTAGTTCTTTATGGGTGCTCTTACAAAGATTGATATTAAAACTGCATCAGGAAACCCGACCGTGCTTGGATCCAAAATATATGTTACGGGCGATTAAAAGTTGTGATTTACACTTTTCCAATTACTATGGGAATAGTTTCCTTAGGTGGTATCTGGCGATTGATGAGACGGGCATAGCTAAAAGAGCAGAATGGTTTGATGTCTTTGTCCTGTTGTGCCACTCTAAGCTACTGGATAGTTCGCTTTGGAGCTCGTTCAATTTTATATTGCGCATAAGGGCAGGTAGAGATATCCAAACACCTTTGGAAGAATTATCCCCATCCAATCAGAATGTGGATCGTGATTATCACTCAGCGGCAAACCACGAAATTGTGGTAGCAGAATTGAAGTGGTTGTTTGATGTGGAGTGCAAATACATTACTCCTTATAAGCTACTCATTTTACTTTTGGATTCCTCAGACCAGTTGGAGCAAATAGAGCAGTCCCTCCATAAATGCAAAGGCATTTCTCAAGAGACAAAAGACAAGTTAAGTAAAACTGTTCTAGACCACATTGATGACATATCGAGCAGAGCGAGGTAGTGGAGCAACACTAGCTGTTACCGATATTATTGGGTTTGATGGTCTATATTCACATTCTATATATTTATTCTCTCTTCTCTCTATCGATTAGACTCCTTCCACTCGTCTAGTCTGGCGGGACCTAAATGAAAGTTAAAAATAGCATGCAAGAATGAGTAATATATCACCCTAAAAAAGCTAAACAATGTATATAGAAAGATGTCATCACCACCACCATCAATGTGTAAATCTAGTTACCCATCATCCTCTGTTGGCTGCGAAAAAGCAAATCCACAAGAAATCGCGAGTTCGAATTCTGTAGTCTGCAACTTTTATTTAATTTTTATTTTTTTTCTTTGAAAGATCGGGATTTAATAACTAAACCATTTTATATATACCAACTGACTTTCTATTTACCACCACTACTAGCAACACCACCTCCTCGACGCGTTTTTCTCAACTTATACTGGTCTACAAAAATGTTGAAAATACGCGAGTTGCAAAAAAAGAGGCAGGAGGAGGCAGCAGCAACAGCAGCAGCGGCAAGTAAGTCGCCTACACCTCCATCCAATAACCCTGTGTTATCATCATCGTCATCGTCGTCAATTTCGGGGTTTAATCTCACGCCCAAGGTGGGTGCCGCACAACTACGTATTCAAAAAGATATCTCCGAGCTAGATTTACCTAGAACTATAAAAGTCAGTTTTCCCGATCCACTGGACGTTTTCCATTGGAAATTGATCATTAAGCCAACAAATGGATTTTACAAAAACGGCAAATTCCATTTCAAAATAGAGATAACCCAGAACTTCCCTATTGATCCACCTAAAATTAAATGTCTTGATAGAATTTACCATCCAAATATTGACTTGGACGGGAACATATGTTTAAATATACTAAGGGAGGATTGGTCGCCGGTATTGAGTTTGAACTCGGTGTTGATTGGGTTGAATTTCTTATTTTTGGAACCAAATCCGAATGACCCTTTGAATAAAGAGGCTGCTAATATGTTGGTTAAAAACAAGCGTCAATTTGAAAGAAATGTCTACAATTCAATGAGAGGTGGAGCGATTGAGCTGTTTTACTATGATGTGGTTGTTTAATAATAAATACAGTTTGTTTGTTTGTTTGTTTGCTTGTTTTCCATCTTATACATTTGGCATTGGCTTTTTTTTTTTCTTTTTTTTTTTTTCACTTCCAGATCTTAATGAGGTTGTCAGTAGCACAACTTACAAAGATACATCGCATTCTAATTACAATCTCCTTCAAAAGATCTTCTTCGTTTTCCAATGGTTTTGCTTGATTTTTTTTCTGGCTAAGCCGAGCAAAGCCCAAATCAGTGAGAAATCCTTCATGCCCTGGTAAAGACCTTATTACCCCAACTTTGCCTGCCAAGTTTAACCCTGATAAGTCCCATATTTTGATTGTCTTATCATCGCTCCCACTGAATATGTACTTGCCATTGGGATGTACCTGTAACGTTTTGACCCAAGACAGATGGCCTACCATGTTTGCTACGAGCCAAGCTTGTGAATGATTATGCCTCGACGGGAGTGGTGGGCGGCCTGGTATAATTACTGGAGGCGGTAGGAGCCATAATTTGATGGTATTATCTCTACTCGAAGTAATACAATATTTAAAGCCCAACTTGTTGTAAACCTCATCCTTAATCAAATCTCGGGGTAAGTTTGGGAACAAGTCGGTATTCTCAGACACATACTGATCAATTATGGAGTTTGATACTTTTGGAAGGAATTTGACAGCCTCGATTACATGCGAATGGCCAATCATCATTGCAATGCCTGTTCCCGATTGTCCATGACTTAACCTCGCACTTTGATCATTTGAGCAAGTCACTAGAAAGTCCCCATAGTCTCCGGTACTGACGTCTATGTTTCTAACCCAATCACTATGTCCCACAAAACTTTTTATGCATGTTCCCTCCTTGACGTTCCACACTTTTGTACTCTTGTCTCTTGAAACACTGAAAAGGAGGTCTTTGCTAGGTGAAAACAGTATAGACGATATGGTGTGGTCATGACCTCTTAGCGTACGTAAATGCTGATACGTAGTTGCATTGTAAAGTTTAATTGTCAAATCAGAAGAACACGTAGCAAAAATGTACGATTTCTCATTACTATCATCATCAACTTTTGTTGGTGTCCAAGAAAACGCAATCCGATTGACGCTTCTCGTGTGTGCTTTAATGATTTTTTCAGGGAGTGTATTTTCGTCAGATGCAAAATTCCAAATGTAGATCGATCCATCAGCACATCCACAAAATACCAACGGTAGTACAGGGTGTAGTTGAACTGTGTTGACAATGGATTGGGTCTCAAACGTATAGCGCGGTGTCATTGGTAACCAGTTGATTCTATCTTTACTGTGTGCTATCGGCTGGTTCTGTGCAAGGTTGTCCAAATCTATTAGGCTTCTAATATTAGCAATCTCATTCTCAAGATCAAGTATCTTCTTTTGTAGTCGCAACACTGACGACCATTTCTTTTCTAAATATTGGTCTACTATATCCTCGTTCTTGTCAAGAGTGTGAGTGAACGATTGTGGACTAAGCAACTTTGATAACTCAATGTATGTCGACTCAGTTCCCGAGGATGCACAAATCGGCTTCAAGTATTGAAGTATTGCCTTGTTAAGTTCAAGCTGTTGTCGCTCAGTCAAAATCTGAGACATGTTCATTTTATAAAAAAAATAAAACAGGATATGTGCTATATAGTATGGTCTTGTCTCAAACTCATTGGCCTTTAATACACGTCAATGTTTTGCTTCTTGATTCTGTCAAAGTATTTCAATTTCAAATCTGTGTTTACATTTTTTTTTTTTTTTCTTCTTCAAGAACTTCCATTTAACTATGGGGAACCCAAGTCAGTAACAATAAAAGAAAGGGTATAGTAAAATGGCCCAGTTGCCATACTGACAGCGTCAGAGTTATGCTCTGTGTCTTCTTTCTCACTATGATAAGTTGTGAAAGAGTCTGTTTTGCCCACATTAAATCTCTATAAACCAATTACACCTGAGCATTATGCCAAGCCGCGCACCCATTTATGACGAAAACTCTTTGAAAGTTGACCAACAATAATTTGAGTAAGAAGTAGCTGACTAAGCGGTGATTAATTGCTTGGCCGCTGCAAATGAATTGGGGTTGCTTTCCATTTATTTCGGTGTACTCTTCAACGCAGCAAATCTCGCTTTTAATAAATCAAAATCGTCCCCTTCTTTCGTCTTACTATTACTTTTAGTGACCTTCAGACTTGCACCACCAGGAGAGTCAGAAATAAAGAGCTTTTCCGACTTTTTTGCTAGCTCAGCAATAGGACTTTCCTTTACATTTTCTTTCTTTGCCATATCATTCTTTTCTCCCACTCCACCACCACCTCCTCCCCCACTATCATCATTATCATCTCCTTTCTCCCCCTTTTCCTCTTCCTCCTCCTCCTCTACCACTGGCAACCCAGAGTAAGGTACAGAATAAGCCCTGGCTATTTCACAAAGGTACATATCAACCAAATCCATCAGTGGTGGGTCAATCTCGCACCGTCTCGTAATTTTATCGGGAACATATCCTCCACTATTCTCCAATGCCTCCTTACCAAACTCAACTCCATATTTATACGTCAACATGTCCCTAATTGTAGTGAGTTCTCTGAGTTCTGTATGCAGAGCAGCATAAATCACCGATTGTACCGCTTCCAATAGAGATGAATCGCAGGTACTGCGATCTAAGAGGATGGAAAGACGTGCAAGGATAAGCTCACAATATAATTCAAGATACTCAAGTAGTTCAACGTATATGTCATCGCGGATTATATTCTCTACTCGAATTCGAGCCGACGATTCTTTACCTTGGCGTAATAACTCTGCTAAATTGCGACGTTGCTGTTTTGTCATTGCGAGTTTCTTCTCCTGAATGAATTTCAATTTGGATAACGCCATTTTAAGAGCGGTCTTTAACCGCAAAGGGTTTAGCTGTGGCGGCGGTACTGGTCTGGCCATAGTTTTGGTAAGCTCACCCGCTTTTCAAGCTATGAAAGTGATAGTCTTGTGGTATGTGAGAGTCAAGTCAAGTCAAGGCAAGGCAAGGCAAGTCAAGGCAAGTCGACTTCACTAAAAAAAAAAAAAAATATGGCCCAAAAGATTCGATATCACCTTGTAGCGCGAGGCATCAGTTTAGTCCAACCCCGCCCCCTCTTCGCCCTAACTGAAAAAACAACACTACACTGGCTCTGCTAAAAAGTATTTATGTGATATTTCTATATGAATTTATATATATAAAGAGAAAAACTCCCTGTTCTAATCTTCCTGTTTTCCACTTCCTATTTCCTACTTCCTTCCTCTTTCTCTTTTCCGGTTACGATTCTAAAACCACAGTATGATGGTGCGGTGGTGACCCCTTTACCACTACCTCCTTATCATCCTCATCAAAATTGGCGCCAATGTTATCTGCACTTCGAGTCTCCCTCTTCAACGTACAGCATTTGATATCTCTAATCCATTCATCATTCATTATATCTTCTATTGATGCTCTCTTTTTGACATCCACTTGCAACATCTTATGAATAATTGGTCTTGATGCGTGTGGTAATAACCGCATTAATCTATAAGGACCATGGATTTGCTTATGTGACGGTTTCTTTTTCTCTGATGAGTCTGTGGTTGTTTGTTGCTGGTTAGATTCTTGCTTCTCTTGTTGCTTAGGTTCAGGATCATTTTTTTTACGTTGTTCATTGAATTGAGCTTTGAGTTCAGACTTGCGGTTTTCGTAATGCTCTAATTGAAGATCAATTTTCTTCAAATGTTCCAAAATTTCATGTTCTTGCTCTTCAGTGAGAATATCCTCGCCTGTGTCCAGTGATGTTTTTTTCTCGACGTTGGTATCGGTTTCACCTACCACCTGTTCACTATTTCCCGTTTGATCTACAGAACCCTCATTTTTTTGTTCTCCTTCTACCTTTTCCTCCGCTTCCTTCGCCTCTTCTTCGTCTCCCTTCTCTTTCATCTCTTCTTCGCCACCCTTTTCCTTCTTCTCTTCTTGGCCCCCTTTTTCCTTTGCCTCGTCTTCCGCTTCCTCTTCCTCTTCTTCTTCCTCTTCCTTTTCCTTTTCCTTCTTTATTTCTTTGTCTTCTTTTTCTATTCGTCCACTTTTTTCGGATGTAGCAAGTGCTCCTTCCTCGAGAAGTTTCTTCTTTTTATTCAGTCGAACAATTATATTCTTCAACTTTCTTTGTTGAAGTAGAAGTTTATGACACTCGTTACTTAGATAATAGTCATGGAAGTTATCATCTGGCATACAGTACAATTTGAAGCTATTATCCTTTTCAACATTAGGTATTTTCCAAGGAAATCTTTTAAGCGTCATGCAACAGTATATTATTGCAATTGACCATAAATCTACAGGTTGGGGATTATAAGAATTTGGGGATTTCAAAACTTCAGGGGCCAAATAAGGATCACTTCCAACAATTCCATGACAAGGGTGAATGCTGTCTTTTGAATTTCCATATTGATCATATGGGTATTTGAATATCACAGCACTTCCAAAATCAATAATCTTGAGTATTCCATCAGTTGTAATCACACAGTTGTCTAACTTCAAATCTCGGTGTGCTAAACCTAAATTGTGCAAATAACTAACACCTTCCAAAATTTGTTTAAGACAACAGTTTATCTCAGCACGAGACATTTCTCCGCTCATTACAACGGCAAAGAAATCCACTGGGGCATACTCCATAACCTCAAAATACTTATGGTTTTGATGTACTATATCTATCGTTTTGATAATGTTGGGGTGTTTCAATGTGGAGCCAATACAATACTCAGCAGTGCATTTCCTAGTATAGTCCTTGAGTGTTTCTGTTGATCTACGTGCTCTAAATTCCTTGACTGCAAAAGTTTTGGAATCCAGCGGGCGAGTAATGAGTTTCACTGAACCTCCAGCACCACTGCCTAATTCCTTACCTATTTTCCCGTATTTTTTCACCAATGGTGAATTGTCATCTGTGAATGGATCCCGGTTATTGTTCTGAGAGTATGAGGCATTATGAAGCAATTGAGTCGAGGTTTGATTAATCATATTTGCTAATGACGTGCCCGAATGTTCTCGTACCGACTTTCCGCTAGCATTATGAACAGCACCTGCATGATGCATTGCTGCTGCAAGAGCTCCTCCTCCTCCTCCTCCTCCTCCTTCTCCTCCTCCTCCTGATCCAGAGGCTTTGAGTGATGGCGAATGTAAATTATTTGGATGTTGTCCATTGCTTACTACTGCTCCTCCACCAACATCTCTTTTAGAGTTAGAATTCTTTTTAGTAGGTTTGAAAAACCGTTTAAGTTCAACCATTGAACCAGCTACTTTCTTTGAACTGGGGTCTTCATGATGTAGTTGCAGTGGTTGATGCTGATGAGGCTGGGTGGAATTTTGTGGAAAATGGTTTCCGGGAGACTGTGCAATTGACTGAATGTTGGAATGGGACTGGTTTGGTGATGGTGTAGCTTTTTTACTGCCACCACCACTGGTGGTGGTAGCATTTTCATTGGCATTGTTCTGATGAAGATTTGAAGGCTGGTGGACAGGATGGTGAGATGGATGATGCGGCTCAGAGGTATGTGTCACCACTGGGGACGTCAAGGACTCTTCTGAATCGTGTTTTCCAATGCTGAAACCGAGGAATTTTCGATTGGCCAAATGATTTGATGTTGATGGAGATAATTCGTCCGAAGACTCTTTTCCCGCATGCTTGTGTTTGCCAAATAGGTGCAACTTGTGTTTTTCAGGCATGGCAAGTATATCAACCCCGTATAGCTACTATCTATTTATGCAAGTAAATGTTACCCCGATGTTCTTGGAACCACAACGTAGATATATGTAAACAATTTGTCACAAGGGTCCCTCACTATGATGAACTAAAGACAAGATAACCAAGGAAAGGGGGACAAAATCAGTAATTGGATGGGATAAACCTCGTAAATATCAAGTTTGTGTCTATTCTCTATGAAAATCAACTGCTCTGGAAAATAACCAACCTAAGAGATCTCTTTTTCTCTCTCTCTCTCTCTCTCTCTCTTTCTCTCTTTCTCTCTTTCTTTTATTGTTGGGGGATCAGAATATGTGAAGGAGCAAAGATTGGATAAAGTCTCACGAAGTTGGGAGTAAGCGACAGGTGCAGGTATTTACTATTTCTGCTCGATGTCCTTTTTCCAACGTAAACTATCAGCAAGATTACTCAAAATAAAAGCCAATTGATCTTACTCAATTTTCCTTGGTTAAATTTTTTTATAAAACTAAAAACCCATTTAATTTAAAGTTCCGTGATATCATTCAATGTGCATCTGGTAGCAACCGGATATTATATGTTTCTTTACAGCTAGCATTCTCACTTGAGAAGATCTTTTGATTGGAAGAAGGAACAATGACAGAAAAATAAGGGTCACGTGAATATGGCTGTTGCGGAACATACATGCAGCTCATGTCATGAGAAAAAAATATAAAATACGACACTATCGGGCGACACTATCGGGCGACACTATTGAGCACACTAGCTACCACCGACATCTAATGCACATGGTTATTCTTAAAAAGAGACATCTAAAGGACAATGTTAAAGGCTACCCCATCCGACTGCAAAAATATTGTAAACACTATGATCTGGGAGCAACATTACTAGCATTATAGTAGAATCCTTTTTCATCTGAGATCAACATTGCTAGTATCGCTACAAAGTATTGCTCGAAAGTGTAGTTGTGTCGGGAAAAAAAACACCAAAAAAGAGTAAAAAACTAATAAATTTGTCAATGATAAACGATCTAAAATTTTGAAGAATTTTGTTCCAAAATTGGCACTATTACTATTTTGGGAACTTTTTACTAAAGAAAAACATTTACAACGGTCAAATTTAAAATTGAGATAAAAACAAAAGAAAAAATACCCGTTTTTCAATACCCAATGCGCGCAAAAAACTTCTCTTTTTGGCACTAATACCGTCTAAGAAACCACAATCTTACCCTATTTCGAATAGAACTTCTCTATCGAGCGAAGCGAGATAGTGTCGCCAGAGACCCAAGTCTCCTTTTCACATACTCTGGTATTTCTACATTCTCTACATTCTCTCGATGAGTGTCGGTGTAGCGACACTATCGAGCAAATCGAGATAGTGGAGCAACACTTTGTAGCTGGTTACTTTACAAATCTTATACAAGTCTTAAGACCGATAAAAACTGTGAAATCTATTTAATTCATGTAGTCAGTGCTGCTCCACTATCGACACAAACTGCGCCGACACAAACTGCCACAGACACAAACTGCCACAGACACAAACTACACCGACACAAACTGCCACAGACACTGACTATTAGTAGTCAATATATACTTTATAAGTACTTGATAAATACTCGATAAATACTTGATAAATACTTGATAAATACTTGATTAGTAGTTGATATGTAGTTGACATGTAGTTGATATGTAGTTGCTGAAAATCTGCCTTCCCACCCCCTACTTCACCATTGTAACGTTCACCTTCCCATTCTCCCCTTCCAAGTCTGTTTTTCACAGATCTTTATCATTAACAACACCTCTAACGTGCTTCACTCTTTCGGAAATATATGGTTTACTTCCCTGTTTCGCATGTCTTCGCTCATTCTCTTCTCTCCTCTTAATACTCTCAATTTCAATTCTTTTAATTTCCTGAGCTTTCTTAACAACCTTTGGAACATGTCTATGACGACTGATTCTCTTGATTTCAGGCATATGCTGAAACCTTTCCTTCAACTTCTCATCGTATTCCAATCTGCTTCTTTGTTTCATAGACTTGACGTTAGCACGGTCAGATGCTACTGTACGCCAGACTCGCACATTTGTGTCGTCAGACCCACTCAATATATATCGTGCATCCGTTGTGAATTTCGTAACAAACACCCGTTGCATTCTCTTGGTATGATATATATCACGAGAATGACCTTGTCTTGTCTTATAAATCCGAATCGTCTTATCGTAAGACCCTGTAACGAGCTCTTCACCAGTGGGAGAAAAATCAACATCCATGATGGCGGCAACATGATCCTTGTATATGTTTAGAGATTTCTTCATGTTTCTCATGTCCCAAAGGTAGGCATTGTGGTCTTCATTACCAGTAGCGAAATTAAATGCTTCCATTGGATTCCAACTGATACAATTGTTTCGGAAACTAGTAACACATTTTTGAATAGGCGTGTTTGTCCTAATATCATAAAGCACAATTGAATTATCTGACCCACAACTGGCAATGATATTTGTTTCTGTTTGATTGAATTTGACAGTGTTAACATTATCTGCACCCCAAGATAAGTCACTCGTATGTTTTGTTCGATTAATATCCCAGAGTTGTATTTGAGCCCCTCCTGTAACAAATATCGGCTCATTTCTATGGTGATCTATTCCTTTGAATGCATGTTCGCCCAAATACGTCTTGATTAATCCTTGATTTTTATTAGTATACACCTCATCATCGCGTATATCACGATCAAACTCTTCACTATCCACAGACCAAAGCTTGATAGTCTTGTCATCTCCACAACTCAACATTTGGTTTTCAGGGGTAATGGCTAGTCCACTACACATTCCGTAATGGGCTCTAAAACTAGCAGTTTCCAATCTCGTTGTTAAGTTCCAATACTTTATTACTCCATCACCTGAACCACTGGCAATTTGGTTTGTATAGTTGAAATTCTTAGCAATTTGATATACACCGTCTCTATGACCATCGCCTAATTGTCCAATAAACGGTTTGGCAAACATACGCTCTAGTTTGGTGGCCTGAAGTGCTCTAGTGTATTCTCGAGCTCGTTCAAATGGATGAAGTGCCAGGTTCAAGTTTCGAGGAAGTGGCGACTCTTGAGTGTCTCTTACAGGAACATAGGTATCAGAAGATCTACTTATGGTCTTTACCTTCATCTCGGAAAGCCTGTAATAAGAAGTTAGGAAGGGAAGAAGAGATTAGAAAAGAAGTAATAAGAGATGGCTATGTGATATTGGGAAAAAAAAATTAATCTTTATCTCATCTCTCTCTCTCACATAAGAGAAATCTTTTTTTCTTCTTCTCTGGGACGAGAAGAGTAAGAACGAAAAGTGCTACAAGTAAGGTACAACCTCTCTACTTAATTACTGTACAAATATTTTATTAGGTTTTATAAAATTAATTAGTATAGATGAAAACTTTATACGATTGGGGGAGGGAGGGAGAGTGGGGGAAGGGACTTTATGCAAAAATAATACATGGCAAAGGGACACACAATTATACGAGGAATTTCAGTATATTTGGAAAAAAATCGCCTTTCTCTATAGCTTAATTGATACAAACCAAAATAGATTATTAAAAATCCAATGGTAGTGAATGGAAAATTAACTCAAAAATACTTTTAATTATGGGTTGGGGGTGGTGGTACCGGAAGTTAGGAACTGAGAACATGGGGCGGGGGAGCAACGGGTAAGGTTCGGGGGTGGAGGTTGAAGGAGGTTTATGAAGTAGTATGAGAGACCTGCTTCATACTTGAAATATGAAATTTTTCTTTTCCTTTTCTATAATTGATCAAAAGTGAAAAAAAAAATACAAACCTTTTCAATGAAATGCATGAATTAATGAATTTTATTGAAGTATGTGTGTGTAGTTGTAGTGGAGGGGAGGGGGTGAAGGTAGGGTTCTCTATTATAACGATATATCCAATGCTAATGCTACATTGTCAACATTTGGTTTTGACAAATCCTCTAAATATGGTAATAAATCCAATAATTCATTATCATGCAGATCACTGAACCAACTACTTATTGGAATTGAATGATCAGGATGGAAAATATACGATGCAGGCAGATTATCAATAATGATTGTATCTTTTAAAGGTCTTCCAATCTGTGATAAATTTTTGATGAAATTCCCCTGGTAATTGTAACAAGAATCTCGAAACAATCGATGGTGTACAGAGTTGTAAGTATCCAATTTATCTAATAAAGGATCTCCGTATTTGGCGACTGATGCAGTAAATACCACAACTTCAAACCATTTACCTACTTTGCGTAGAAATTCATCTACTCCCGGTCTCTTGATGACGTAAACGTGATGTACTTGGTTATCAATTTCAACAGGGATAACAAAGTCCGCTGTTCTTAAATATTTGAATGATGAGTGGACCAATGTTTCATCTAAATCTAATATAAGGCACTTCTTTTTGTTGAAAGGGGATGCTTTTGCTCCCAAAAGAAACCCGGTTTCTTGATTATGAGCTTGCCCCGTTTGAATTCTGGTTAGTTCCAATGTAGATCCTTCCGATCTATCATCCGTGTCCTCGTCCTCATCGTCATCGTCATAATCATCAATATCGGTGTCGAGATCTTCATTTCTGGCCTGTGCTGCTGCCGCCGCTGCTGCCGATGGCGGTGTTGTTGGTGGTTGTGCCGATTGCTCATTGGGGTTTACTTGTGCTATAATATTTCCTGCATTCTTGGGTGCCCAATTTGTTGTTGTAGAGGTAGTATTATTATTATTATTATTATTATTATTATTATTATTATCATGCAAATCGGGCGGTATATTAGTCAAGGACTTTGGAGTATGATCTGAAGACTCACCGTTTGTATTTGCGATTGTATCTGTTTCGTATACAGATTGATCATCATCTGAAAATTCCTTTTTTGTTGGGTTAAGTTTCCGCTTTTGTTTCTGTTTTTGTTTTTGTTTTTGTTCTTGCCCCTGATTCTCTCCATTTAGTGCTGTTTTTGTCTGGTCATTAGACGTTGAAAAGGGCTTTTTCCCCATAGTTCCATTTGGTATAATATTCGGCGAGGTGGAAGATTTTGGCTGTTTTGTAGATGTAGGGACTGACACGTTTTGTGGTTGAACTTTTGTCGTTGTTGATGTAATTCTTTTTCCTGCCTCATAATCTAGTTGTTTTTGTTGTTGTTTTTGTTGCTGTTTTTGTTGCTGTTGTTGTTGTTGTTGTTGCTGCTGCTGCTGCTGCTGCCCGTGAGCCTTATCTTCTGAATCATCGTTTGGCTCGGCGCAACAAAATAACGATGACAAAACACCCATCTCTGTGATACAAATTAAGTTGCAAACGCGTAAATCAAATTCTTTCTAAAGAGGGTGTATATAGCTCTATTGCTTTGTTCCAATGCTTTTCGAATAGGAGGAGTCTCGATTATTGAATATTAATTAATTGTGCTTGATGGTAGTTGTCTTGTCAATTGACAGGACACATGAAGAAATGAATTGAAAAGGGAAAAAAAAAAAAATTGGTTGATATTGGGTGAAGAACACTGTGTTGTAAGTGGAGGGATGAGGTTGGGGGAGGGGACAGGGCAAATTGGAGAAAGGAGGGTGAGATGATAAGGGAAAGTTTTCACTAAAGACGATGGACGAGTGAACCAAATGTCGGCGGGAAAATGATGATGAAAAAATGGGTAATCAAGTTGATGAAAAAAATGGTTCAAGTTGATGAAAATGTGAAATTTTCTTTTATTTTTTTCAAAACGGACGGGACTAAAGAGGTTTTCTCTCTATTTTGATGTAGGGTTTGACGTTTTTCAATAAAGGCTGGGTTGTGTATCGCGTTTGCGTTTGCGTGTATGTGTATGTGTATGTGTATGTGTATGTGTGTGTGTGTATATATTTTTTTGGGTTGGCGGCTAGTATGTGGGCCCAAGTCTATAAGTATACAAGATCTTCCAGTAGTAAGAAATACCAGCACTAATATTGTTAACTATTGTTGTTGAAAATTAAAAAGTTGGCAAATTTATTGCTACTCTTTTTTTCTCTCTTGTTTTCTTTGTCCTTTGGGTCTTTTTCCAATTTTCTTTACTATTGGATTTTAGTTGTTGCAGATTGAGATGGCAAGAGGTACGAATTGGGAAAAGAGATAACTTGAAGAGAATAAAATAACGGTAGAATACACTATCGAGCAAAGCGAGATAGTGGTGCAGTACTGACTAGCTCTTAATAACACTATCGAAAAACACCTAGCTCTTAATAACACTATCGAGCGAAGCGAGATAGTGGAGCAGTACTGACTAGCTCGTAATAACACTATCGAGAAACACCTAGTAGCTCGTTATAACACTATCGAGCGAAGCGAGATAGTGGAGCAGTACTGACTAGCTCGTAATAACACTATCTCGCTTTGCTCGACAGTGGAGCAGTACTGACTAGCTTTTAATAACACTATCGAGCAAAGCGAGATAGTGTTATTAAGAGCTACTAGGTGTTTCTCGATAGTGTAAAGTATTGCAATTGCTTCGGCTAGTTATTCCTTTTCTGTTGAAATTCCTACGCCTTGTATTTGAGTCAATTTAAAAAAATGGCTTTTGACCAGTTTTCGTAAATTGTCATTCGATTAAATAGAGTTGAATTCTTTCCGTCTCTGGAATAACACAGATGGGAAAAACAATAAACAGAAAGAAGGCATTAAGGAATTATCAAAACAAATAATTTTATAGAGGTATTTATGTGACACCGAGAAAATGCTCAATCTTTTTCGTCTATTGATCTATCGAGCGAAGCAAGATAGTGGAGCACACTAGCTCTTAACACTATCGACACTATCGAGCGAAGCGAGATAGTGGAGCACACTAGCTCTTAACACTATCGACACTATCGAGCAGAGCGAGATAGTGGAGCACACTAGCTCTTAACACTATCGACACTATCGAGCAGAGCGAGATAGTGGAACAACTTCAGTAGCTCGTAATAACTATCGAGCAGAGCGAGATTAACACCTAGTAGCTCGTTATAACACTATCTCGCTGTGCTCGATAGTGTCAAGAGCTATTGGGCTCGATAGTGTCAAGAGCTAGTGGACTCCACTATCAGAGTGTGAAAAATACCAAGATGCAAATTGCTAAATAAGATTTTGCTTCAAGTATATAAACGCGTATTACAAACAGAAATAGGATATATTAGAAAAGAAAATAATATTAGAAAATAAGGAAATAATTACATTAGAGTCTGTGATGTCTCTGGTGGATTCCATTTGAAACTTGATTGCTTTCAAATCGACGATACACTATCGAGCGAAGCGAGATAGTGGAGCAACACCTAGTAGCTCGTTATGACACTATCGACACTATCGAGCAGAACGATAGTGTTTAGAGCCAGTGTGCTCCACTATCGAGCAGAGCGATAGTGTTTAGAGCCACTGTGCTCCACTATCTCGCTTCGCTCGATAGTGCAGTGTTAATTGCTATTGAATTTTACTGTATCCACAGTTTTAACTTAATTTCAATTGCCTTGAAATTTGTCTCAATTTGAGAAAAAATCAAGAACCACACGAGAATAGTTGCTCCACTATCGAGCAGAGCGATTATTAGCTCGAAGCCTTTTTTCGCACGACACTATCGAGAGCGAGACTAACACCTAGTAGCTCTTAATAACACTATCTCGCTTTGCTCGATTAACACCTAGCAGCTCTTAATAACACTATCTCGCTTTGCTCGATTAACACCTAGCAGCTCTTAATAACACTATCTCGCTTTGCTCGATTAACACCTAGCAGCTCTTAATAACACTATCTCGCTTTGCTCGATTAACACCTAGCAGCTCTTAATAACACTATCTCGCTTTGCTCGATTAACACCTAGCAGCTCTTAATAACACTATCTCGCTTTGCTCGATAGTGTAGCTCTAAGCCCTTTCTCGCATTTTAGATGACACTATCGACACTATCTCGCTTCTCTCAATAGTGTCTAGTCTATAGCCAGCCATTTCTCAACCAGCCGCTAATCCTATTGGTGTTACTTCTTGACCTATATGCAGTATACTCTATAAATAATTTTCTCTCTTTTTTTTTCTTCACCAAATGAGAGAGACGTGTTTCATTTAAATTGTTATCTCATCCTTCTTATATTGATTCTCAAGTAACTATCCAACTCACGCTTGCCAACTAAGATCTTAGTGTGTGTTTCTAGAAGCAAATAAAGGGGGGACAAAAACATTTTCGATTTGCAAGTTATCCCACTCCCACTCCCACTCCCGCTCTTTGATTTTGCTATTTTACCCAAAAGGTATACATCGCATCACATTAAATATCATCACACACGACATCTTCACTTGCTCCTTATTTGAGCCATCCCACACCATCACTTTGTAGACCCACATTTTTTATTTGAGGCATCACCCATTGAGGCATCACCCATTGAGGCATCACCCATTGAGGCATCACCCATTGAGGCATCACCCATTGAGGCATCACCCATTGAGGCATCACCCATTGAGGCATCACCCATTTCCTATTTGAGCCATTTCCTGTTTGAGCCATTTCCTATTCCATTCTTTATCCAAGCCATGTCGGAAACACCACTGACTCCTCCAGCAAGACAAAGAACCAACAGAAACCAATTTCTGCAGTATTCTTTTCCAAACTACCAAGCTGGATCATCGTCATCAACTATAAAAACACCTTTACATACTCAGAAGGGGTTATTAACACCATCCACAATCACCAAAAAATCCGTGAAAACACCAGTAATAGATAATGGTTTAGTGAATTTCTGCAAAAGGCCCGTAACCACAACCACCACAACCAACAAAGTGTTTTCACTTTCACCAACTACACCACAACGTTCACCTTGCAAATATACAGCTTCTTCAACACACCGCAAAAGAAACTTGAATGATATATTCCTGGATTCTGCAACTAGTACTTACTCGAGAAGTACCGAAAAAATATCGTTTGGATTGTTTTTACCTTTACCCTCGACTGTAGGATCAGGTAGAAAGATTGGTAAGTTGCATGGCGGATTTCTAAGTGGTACTAGTAATATACCATTGTTTGATAAGAAGAAATTGGAAAGTTTGCGAGATGAAGTCGATATTGAGGAGGAAATCGAAATGGAGGTGATGATTAAGGAAAAGGTTGATATAGAACCTAGTACTCCTGGCAAACAAATTATAGACGATGAGACCGTGAGACAATGGCACGGAAAACTGTTTAACGACAAATTTTTTGATGACGAGGAGGAGGAGAATAATGATGATGATGACAATGAGAACAATAATGATGAGGATGGTGAGAAGGTGAGGACTATGTCGTATTTGGAAACGAAAAAAATCCCTCGTGCTAGTCTAATTAACCCATTTATAGAGAATGAAAATGAGAAAGATGCTAATCTTGGGAATAATAAGCAGGATTTACCTTCTAGAATAGATTACAACACACATATGGAATTGGTTAATAATAAAACAGGGGAAAGAAAAGTGCTCAAGTTGACAAAGAACCAGATGAAGTATAAGCCAAAAAAATTGTCCTTTGAAGGAATATGAATTACTCAAGCAGTGGTTTTCCTTTTCTTGACTGGTCAAGAGCTCTATAAGATAACTTTTTCATTCATATACATCACACATTCATATATACACGGGGTTTGATTGCATCCCTTATCTTTGTCGTTTCTCTTTATTCTTCTTCTTCTTTAATGTCACGTGATATAAGTTGTTTTATTTTTTCAATTTTTTTTTTTTTTTTTTTTTTTTTTTTTTTTCAAAAATTATAAGATATTCTTTTTTTTNTTTTTTTTTTTTTTTTTTTTTTTTTTTTTTTTTTTTTTTTTTTTTTTTTTTTTCATTAATACAGATAAAGACCAACTCTTCTAATTGGGTTCATCATTATCTCTTCTTTTAGTGATGTCAATTCCGGGATTTGGCGGTACTGACATTGCTATAGATGACGAATCATCTCTAAAGTCAATAAATATTCCACCTAACCACGAATGGCGAATAGAAGTGCCGTTTAAAAAGACTTTGAAATTCAAAGTATTACGGGGCATTTTAGAAATCAATGGCACGGAATTAGCCACTAATGTCGAGATACAATTATCCGGAGTTAAGTGTGCCTTGTACTCAGCTAGTAAAGAAGAATCTGCAGTAGAGTATCAGGTTCTTACAAATAAGGACCAAACTAGATTTTTGTCTTCTGAAGATGACGAGTTCACCGAATATATCAGTGGTGAAACCAATATGGACTCTGTGATCAACTTAACCATGTACATTGAATCGCGGAGGCAGATTGCCAAGGATCTAAATGATCCTAATGTTTTGGGACCAAGAGTATTGGTTATTGGTGCTAAGCATTCGGGAAAAACGTCACTAGTCAAGACCTTGTGTGCATATGCTGTGAAACTAAATGAGTGTCCCATATTGGTAAATTTAAATCCACAAGATGGAGTTTTCGCCCTACCGGGTTCATTATCGGCGACACCCGTGCTGGATTTTTTTGATGTTGAAAGTGTTAATGGGTATGGTATGACCAGTACTACGACGGGCACGTTGGTCAATAGCACACCGAAACAACCATTAGTTAAAAACTTTGGGTTTTTGGATATTGGAGATAATAACAAATTGTTTGATTATCAAATTGATAAATTGGGGATATGCGTGTTGAGTAAATTAGACAGCGACGTTAAATGTAGGAGTAGCGGTGTTATCATTGATACTCCGCCGCTCAGTATCAAGGATTTCAGCACCATATCTTCCATTATTGCAGATTTCAAGGTTGATTTAGTGGTGGTATTGGGAAATGAAAAATTAAAGATTGATTTGGAAAAAAAATTACTGCATAGAATTAGCAATAATGGACTAAGTATCATCAAGATCAGCAAGCTGCCTGGTGTTGTTGAATTGAATGACCAATTTATTAGAATGACTCAAGAACAAACAATAAGGGAGTATTTCAATGGAAATTTCAAGAATAGATTATCTCCTTTCAAGACGGAAATTGATATCACAGGGTTATCGATATATAAAGGGGTTGTAACGAAAGATTTGGAATCTTCTTTGGCCTTTTTACCAGAAGGTGACGACTTTGAGCATGATGCGGATGGCGAAGCAAATGATGAATTGAAAGAATATTATCAAGTTTTAGAGACGCCATTCTCCTCTAACTTGGATAATTCAATAATCGCCGTATCACATTTGGCACAAGAACATAGCGGCAATTTAAGTGTTGGTGGTGGTGGTGGTAGTGTAATGGGGAAGGAATTGTTAAACTCCTCGGTGTTAGGATATGTGCATGTTTCAAAAGTTGATGACGATAAAAAGAGATTAAAGGTTTTGTTACCATTCCCAGGCGTGTTTCCTAGAAACGTGTTGATCTCTACAAATATAGGATATAATGAATAAATAGAAAAGAAGAAAAAGAGGAATGGACTGAATCCTTTGTTTTTCTTTCTTTCTTTCTTTTTATGTATATTACTTCAATAAAGAGCGGTTCAGCAAAAGCCTACTTTCGTTTCTTCATAGAAGGTTTCTTCTTACTTTTATCGGCTTTTGTTTTCTTATACAAACGTTCTTTACTCTCTTTCTTTTCTTCACTAGCTTTCCTCTTTTTGGAGTTGACTTTAGGTCCACTCTTTGTCAATTGTTGCATAACTTCACTCTTGAACCATGTTCTCTTTGGTCTTGACTTGATTTCTTTTTCATGTTGTATTAAATTGCTTGCTTTGTTCAATTGCATTTCAGCTTGCATAATCTCCTTGGCTTCTTTTTCTTCCTGTAGCACTTCTTCTATGTCGCCTTCTTTTGATTTGATCTTCTTATTTATGGATTCAACTGCACCCCAATCAACTTTTCTGGCTACGGATCTACCATTTGTGATAGCAAGTTTCACTATACTTCTTTCTTGGTTACTCTCACCTACAAATGTAATTGATGTTCCTCTCCTTCCCGCTCTTGCAGTTCTACCAACTCTATGCAAATAAATCTCATACGTTTTGGGCATATCATAATTGATAACGTATTCAATACGGATATCTAAACCTCTAGCTGCCAAGTCTGTACATAACAAGACATTCACGTTACTTTTAAACGCTTTAACGTTGGATAAACGCTGCTCTTGAGTTAATGCACCGTGCAATTCAGCAACAGTTAGCCCGAGTAACCCCAATATTACACGAAGCTTATGCGCTTCCATTTTCGTCCTTATAAACACCACAGTCCTTCCTTCCAATTTTTTTAGTAACAAGTATAGTAATGCTGGTTTCAAATCTTCTCTTTTTCTGATACGAACAAATTGTTGTTCCAATTTCGAAACAACAGTCTTTGGCAGGTCTATCATTATTTTCACTGGTTTGTTCAATGTTAGTTGAATAAGATCGTGGATTTTGGCATTCATTGTAGCAGAAAACAATAGTGTTTGTCTCTTGTATTTTGGAATCAACGATAATATTTCAGTCAACTCCTCTTGAAATCCTTCTTCCAACATCCTATCGGCTTCATCAATAACCAATATTTGTACATCTTCAACACTGAAACTTGGACTGTTGCGAATATGATCAATCAATCTACCTGGCGTGGCAATTACCACATCTGGTCTTGATTTCAACTGCTGTTCTTGTTGCCTAAGATTCAACCCACCTACGGCTAGCCCGAAATTCAAGTTATTTACAAACTGTGCCAATTTGGTACCCACATCATGAACTTGAATAGCCAATTCTCTTGTCGGTGTTAAAATGATGGCTTTTGTTGAAGTTGAGTTTTTGTACAATAGTCTTTCTATAATGGGGATTAGATATGCTGCTGTTTTACCACTACCTGTTTGGGCTCCGGCAACTATGTCCTTACCTAATAGTGCTATTGGAATTGCAGACGATTGCACGGGAGTTGGTTTGGTGAATGACAAGGTTTGTATACTTTTTAGAATAGGACGAGATAGTTGTAGATCCTGGAACGACTTGTCGGTTAGAGTTGTGGATGATGTTTCATCGAGTTTTCCATAAAAGTTGCTGATTGCTTCTTCATCGTCAGAATCACTAGCGGCTCCAGCATCACCTAATAACTTAACAGGCATCTCCTCCTCTTCCCCCTCCTCCTCCTCCTCTTTTCCCTCCTCCTCCTCTCCCTCCTCATTTTTGCCCATTTTTCTTTTAATAATCTCATTCAAATTCACTTGGTCTACGGGATCTTCATTATCCCACTCTTGAATCTCACCCAACTCTTCTCCCATGGAAAACTGAAAATCGGGATTCATATCTTCCCTCCTTGCCTCATTTACGTCCTCTTCTTTCCTTCTCTCAGCTTCCTCATCTTCTTCTGACAGCTCACTTACATTTTCATACTCTGCATCGCTATCAATTGTAAGTATAAAACCCTCCTCTTCTTTCCTCATCTCTATAGTTTAATGAATAATAACCTCTTCCTTGATAACTAAAGTCATCGCGAAATGAAAAAAAAAAAAAAAGATTCCAAAATGGTATACGTCGCAATTGTAACGCGACACTGAAAACTGACAATGGCTTCAATAGTAAGAGATGAAAAATGTATAATGTTTTGTTAGTATATATCGTTAAAGAAAGAGATAGTCAAACCCGTGTGGAACATATTTTTTAAGGACGTGGCTAGTTAGAAAAGGTGGTATTTTTGAGAGAACGTCTGGGTTAATATTGAGAAACGACTCTTTTTTTGAGAAACGACTCTTTTTTTTTTAGAAACGGCTCTTATTTGCTTTTAAGAGAGATAATCATCCCCCATATCAAATACTAAAAAAAAAAGAGGGTAGAGCATATATATATAGATTATAAGGTTATCATGATTGACTACATCAAATTATATCAGGACAAAGAATACACCAACCCGAGAAAGCTACTAATACAAATCATACTACTACAACTTTTTTACTATTTATCAGCAATAATAATATTCTACGGGGTATCGTTACTAAATGGATATGAGTTTTCCATAGATTGGGTATTCAAATGGCAATTAGTTTCCTTTGAGAATGCAATGGGTTTGACACTTTTTGTAATGTGGCTATTTGACTCATTAACCTGTGTGCTTTTTGTTACTTTAATAGTCGGCAGATCGAAGTTGGCATGGGATTTTGCCTTAACGGTGCATATTATAAATTTGATTATTACTTGGTGCTATGTTGGTAAATTTCCAACAAGTTTACTTTGGTGGTTTTTGCAGTTGTTGAGTGCATTTTTGTTGGTTACTTTGAGTACTTATTCCACCAGATGGAAAGAGTTGAGGACGACTTTTTTTAGTAATATGTTGGAACTGAGACAACTTGAGACTGAAACGGTTGAAATGACAGATGCGACACTATCGCCACTATCGAGCGAAGCGAGATAGTGGAGCAGTACTGACCGACACTATCGCCACTATCGCCACTACCGCCACTATCGAGCGAAGCGAGATAGTGGTGCAGCACTGACCGACACTATCGACACTATCGAGCGAAGCAAGATGGTGGAGCAGCACTGACCGGCATATTACAAGTGAAATTGACAGATGTGACACTATCTCGCTTCGCTCGATAGTTGAGCAGCACTGACTGGCATATTACAAGTGAAATTGGCAGATGTGATACTATCTCGCTTCGTTCGATAGTGGAGCAGCACTGACTGGCATATTACAAGTAGAAATGACAGATAATTGCAAATAAGTAATAGTAAACAAATAATGAGAAACAAGTGTTTCAAGCAGAAATGGGCCTGATACTTTGTTTAACCAAAAGGTTACTAACTTGGAATGAAATACCGTGAGTGATGATACACTATCGAGCAGAGCGAGATAGTGTCGCTAATGTCGGTGACGGTCAATGCTCCACTATCTCGTTCTGCTCGATAGGGTCGCTAATGTCGGTGACAGTCAATGCTCCACTATCTCGCTCTGCTCGATAATGTATCTGCTTGATAGTGTATCTGCTTGATAGTGTCATATATAATTCTCATCCTACCCTCAATCCTGTAATGAATACTATATGATCTAATCAAACGTCAAGCCCGATACCTTAGCGCTTTCTACAATTTGAAGAACTTTTATCATCTATAAACAATGTACACTGAATACACCGACACTAGTAACACTAGTAACACTAGCAACACTAGCAATACTAGCAACACTATTGACCCAAGCAACACTAGCAACACTAGCAACACTAGCAATACTAGCAACACTATTGACCCAAGCAACACTAGCAACACTAGCAACACTAGCAATACTAGCAACACTATTGACCCAAGCAACACTAGCAACACTAGCAACACTAACAACACTAGCAACACTATCTCGCTTCGCTCAATAGTGGAGCATCTCGCTTCGTTCAATAGTGGAGCATCTCGCTTCGCTTGATAGTGTCATCTAATACATATGGTAGCACTAAAGTCATCCTAACAAAGTTGGAATTTTCATTTTGATAAGCTAATCGCGTTTTTCATCAAGCAAGAAGATTAATAGAGAAAGACAAGGATTGAACAAGGAACTTTTGAAGGAAAAAAAAAAAAGAAAAAAAGGGATAGGCTATGGAACTAGAGTGAATGAACAATAAGTTATATCACCAACTCAATAGAATTGATTGGGGGGTATGTGAAAGTCATATTGCACTAAAAAAAAATTGTATACAATTTTATAGGCCAGAGATATTTCATCAAGCGTGCACGTTTAATCAAGTTGTTCCACTATTTATTACTGATTTCAAAAATGGACAAGACTTGTTTAAGTTGTATTCACATCTTGCCGAGTCTATGCAGGATATAATAATGGTTCAAAATTGGCCCATAAGTTGCATTTCCATTGCTGGTAGAATTGTCGGAGAGTACTATAATGAGGAAAAGGATATTGTGAAATTGCATATTGATGATTCCTCGGGCGCAGATCTGGTTGTTATTGTGGAAATGACTGTTGGGATCTTTTTGCATAGTAGATTGGCTATGGATATGTGTAATTACGGCAAATTTGTTGAAGCCAATGCACATTTTAGGAGGGGGAAGACAACTGTTGACAATTTGCAGATATTGTGCCATCTGGAGCAAGCATTAGGTCCGGATATTGTATCATGGTTGAAAAGAATCGAGTATAGAGAGTCGGTGCTTAAAAAACCGTGGTTTTTCCAGCCAGAGAATAAAAACAAGAATACGTCTGGCCCTGTTGTTTGTAGATTCAGCCAGAGAGAACTAACGAAAAGAGAAGAGAGGAAAAAATTGCAGTTTGGATTGCAGAGCTCAATAGGAGCAGGGGAAGAAGAAGAAGAAAAAGAAGAAGAAGACAAAGACAAAGAAATACCTGAATGTGTTTTAGAGGATAGTCTTGTTGTGAATAAAACTAAATATTGCGATGCTGGCATTGCAAGTGAAATAATTGATGATAGACCCGTTGTCAATCTACCGAAAGAACTGGTTGATGTTGAAGAAACATTGAGTTTTGAGCTTGCAGAATCTGTCTTTAAAAGAAAGCCACACCGGGAAGTTACAACTAAAGAAAAAGTACCAGTTTCTTTTGAGACTGAAGCTAGAGTCGTTGATCTTTTCAAAAATCCCACCTCAAAGTCAAATTTGAAAGCCAAGTCCTTAGTCAAATCTCTAGCCAAGCATTCAGTTGTTCAAGTTCTCTCTTCTCAAAGCATTGAAGAAACAGAATCATTAAAACATTTTGATGAGATAACTGCACAAAACAAATCGAGGTTTGTTCAATTGGTAAAAGAATGTTTAGTTGTTATTATCAAACATAAATTTCAAACCATCACTTTAAAAGAGTTGAGTCTAAACCGGTATGTTTCTTCGCAAATCAAAGCTTTTGCACATAGTATTTACCAATCAGGGATGTCTAAGATGGGACCTCTGGATCTCCAGTATCAAATACTACGCCGACTACGACTATATTTTCGGAATTCAAGTTTAGTTGTAGTTGTTGTTGATGATGATAAAGAAAAAGAAGATAAAATAGAATCTACCGCATTCAAGCTAATTTACGATAGTTTATGTAAAGCACTTAAGAATTTCACAACTTTTGATACCATGAAATACATTGCATATGTCAAGCATAAGAGAATTGTTGACGATATAGATTACAAATTGGTCAATTTCTTAATCAAGTATCGTCTTTTGGAAACTGATGATAAGAGCTGGAAATATCAAAAGGCCACCAATTCATGGTATAAGGTCTAGTCTTATCTTTCTAACCAGACACACACACACACACACACACACACACACACACACACATACATATATATATACTGCATATAATTTTATCTATGTTCCAAGAAACAAACAGTCACGATTAATCACGTGAGTATAGTAATTCTTTTTTTCTTCACTGCCCTCTTCTCTTCGTGTTTTCTGTATGGTAGCGTTCAATGAAAAAAAATTCAATTTTCAGTATCTGAAAACTTAGCAATTGGTGCTAATATCACTGGTTTTGATAGTTTTAGCGATATATCAATTTTCAACGTTCACTAAAGTCAACAAGTTATTCGTAGCTATATAAACAATGGTATGTTCAACTACGAAATTAAAGATTTAGATTCAATCAAAACGCCTATTTCGAGGTATTTACTTGTGAGAGAAGGGGGGGGGGGAGAGAATATATAATGAAATGTAGAACAGGGGGTAGGAAGAACATTAGTAAATTAGGATTAGGAGAAAGAAGATTGGTAAATTAGGATTAGGAGAAGGAACATTGGTAAATTAGGATTATAAGAACGTTTTTACAATCACCGCAGTTCACCGAAATGGCTGCTACATTGGAGAGGAGTATATGGAGTTTTTTCTCAACTAGAGCTTTTGGAATTATTAGAAAAAAGCACTTATGATAGGCAAAGATACCATACAGCTCAGTGCACCTTGAATATCAAGGTGTGATGTTCAACTTTCCAACCATATATTATATTGAATAGGGGAAAATTTCTATCCCGTTCCCAAGAGGCAAAGATTGATTTAATTTACTTTGATTTGATTTGACTTGAATGAAAACATTTTTGGTTTCCAAATTTTGAAATACTAACTCCTTTTTTCTTTAGAGCGACCCAGTTACAATTAGAACTAGAAAAGTTATCACTAATCCATTATTGTCAAGAAGACAATTTGTCATTGACGTTTTACACCCAAACAGAGCCAATGTATCAAAGGACGAAATACGTGAGAAATTATCGGAAATCTACAAGGCTGAAAAAGATGCTGTTTCTGTCTTTGGATTCAGAACTCAATACGGTGGTGGCAAATCAACAGGTTTTGGTTTAATTTACCAATCAGCAGCTGATGCCAAAAAATTCGAGCCAACTTATAGATTAGTCAGATACGGATTAGCTGAAAAGGTTGAAAAGGCTTCAAGACAACAAAGAAAACAAAAGAAGAATAGAGAAAAGAAAGTGTTTGGTACTCAAAGAAAAGCACAAAAGAAGGCTGCTAAGAGAAATGCTGATTAGAGTAGTTGAAGAGAGGTTTTTTTTGTCATTCATATATATACACACACTTGTGTTCATGTATAATAATTAAGTAATTCTTTCGAAGAAGAAAAGAAAGTACAAGGTAAGTTGGGTTATAGGAGATTTGTAATTATTGTTCTTTGATATAGATCCAATATGATCTTTCTATTCCTTTTTCTGATATCTGGTTGAAGGTTTGTGGGTCATATCACCATTGTGCGGCTCAAAAAAAAAACCATTTAAAAGAACAAACTGTAAAGAGAAGGCGGATAAGAGTGAGTTATAAGTGAATCACTTATTCTCACTACCAGCAGCAACAAGATCAGTGTCTCTATGTCGGAAAGGAAAGCTATAAACAAGTATTATCCCGCTGATTATGATCCTTCCAAAGCTCTTCGAAAGAAGAAAAATCCCAATGCGTCTAATCAAACGATCAAGATACGAATGATGGCACCATATTCAATGAGATGTCTCAAATGCAACGAGTACATAGCTGAACGAAGGTCATTCAATGCAAGGAAGGAAACTACCAGTGAGAGGTACTTGAACATCAAGATCATAAGGTTCTACATTACATGTCCTGGTTGTAACAATACTATCACATTTAAGACCAATCCAGCAGAAGCTGGGTATACCCCAGAAGAAGGTGCTGTGCGAAATTTCGAGTCAAAGAAAGGGAAAAGGAAACGAGAAGAGACCGATGATGAGCTATTCAAAAGGCTAGAGAGTGAACAAGCGAAAGATCAGGAGTACCAAATATTAAAGAATAAAAGGAAAAGTAATCCATTTTGGACAAGCAAAGATGATTCTACAAGAGATGTGATGGAGAAGTTTGAAAAAAGGTTGGTGGAACAGCAAAAGCAGCAATTGCTAACTCAAGAGTTGGAATCTATTCAAAGGCAGGTTGAAGCAGTGCGAGCCAAGGGAGGAGACGAGGCATTGGTGGATTTAGTGAAAACGAAAATTGACACAAAGAAAGAGAAACTAAAAGAAGAAGAAGAAGAAGAAGAAGAAGAAGAAGAAGAAGAAGAAGAAGAAGAAGAAATAAAAGAAGTGAAAGAAACACAAAGGCAGGTAGGCCATGATGACCTGAAAATAAATGGAAATTCATCATCACCTCTTCTTCCACCACCACTACCGGTCAAAGAAGTGAAAAACATGCTTATGAAAAGACAAATTCGTATCCCTTCGAAAATTCTTGCCAAAAAAAAAGAGTCACAGCTAACATCATCAAAATTCGACTACTCCAGTGACAGCGAGTAAAAAGAAAACTCAAAAGGTTTACAGCTTTTTTTTTTTTTTTTTAATTCTTCTCTATTCCTACTTTTCTGCAAATTCAAATCCATCCAATGTCAACACTGGCACTTGTGGTGGTTCCATTTTTTTATGGTAATCATCTTTGATTTCGATCAATATTGGCTCTAGGGTCTTCCATTGAGACTTGGACATATCTTTGCGGCAAAGTACAACTCCCTTTATATAATCAAGAGAACAATCATAAAATACCGGTAACACAAACTCTTTCCACTGTTCAGGAATATTTTCCATAGGATTCTCGCACGTTCCCAAATCTGCCAAAAGTTCAATTGCTGTTAAACTTGAAAGCAAATAATGACGATCCTTTTCCATAAACAAATCCAGTAATCCAGCAAATAGCAACTCGGCATCACTTTGAATTCGTGACTTGAATGCTTTATAGCCTTGAGTTTTAGGATCGATTCTTTTCCCTTCTCCTTGTAAAATATTTTCAAATCCAATACTCAAATATGTGCAGACAAATTTGTCCAAAAAAATCTCAAATAGGACTTGATAAACTGTGTAGATACAATACAGTCTTGCCTCAGCCATATACTCGGCAATTGTTTGTGCAACAAGCGTCATCATCATAACACTTTCCGTTTGCCTTTGTCCATCTTCAAGCCACTTTTTTGTGAACAAATGGCACAAAATGGGATACAAGTCATTTATAATTATATTGGAAACAGAAATACAAATCTCCGAAACCAACGCACTTGACTTATCTACAGTTGTGGAAAACGCTGTAGTTACCCGTACATGATAGCTAGTATGTACTTTTTCTTTGTAAGTTATCGCAAATTTGTTGTTCAAAATATCATTGCTGATCTCTAGTGAATTAGCCAAGGCGCCCAAATATTCAACCAACCCTTCACGAGACAAATTCGCTTGCTCTTCCGGTGTCAATGAGTCCACATCAAGAACGGTGGGTTTCTTTTTGAATAACCTTCTAGCTTTACTCGTTTTGACCAAGAATTGGAAATTGTTATAAAATGAAAAATACTTGTCCATTTCCTCGTCTACTAAATTGACAAAATTTAGCACTCTTTCCACATAACAAGCGCAGAAATTCTCAATCACCGCAAGTAAAATCTTTGAGTTACCTGATAATGATGCGGCATCCGCTTGTTCCTTCATCATTATCATAGGACTCTTGAAATCAGGCAAGACAAATGCTGAAACTTCGATATGACGAATAACAGGCTCATTTGCCGCATCAACATCTGGAATATCTTGTTCGTAGGGATAAATATCTGGAGCCTTTGATCTTTCGATAAACACCTTACTCTCCTGCTTGATCAAACTTTCGTTCCACTCCATCATCTTGGTGGTGATATTTCGCATGTAATCATCCAACACCGTATCTTTCAAATCGTCACCAATGATTGAGGAGGTTGTACCCAGTCGTCCACCAATACTCTTAATGAAATCGGTGTATTTTTTGTCATATGTCAATATTTTCAAAATGTCTTCGGCTGCAGGTTCATTATTTATCAAATCTAGAGTATATTGGTGCAACTTGTCGTAAAATATGTTTTGAACAAACGTATCAAAATTCCATTCTGGTGGGAATAATGGGGTCATGGCATCATGGACAAAGACAATTTCATCTTGCATCCAGTCTAAGTTATCGTATAGCGCGATTGGATCATTGGCATTGTACTCTATACAAGCATCAAATGTGCCTTGAAAGTAAAGTCTAAACTTTTCAAAAAAAAAATTTTTATAATGACGTTCCCTACTTCTAAACGTTTTGTAACTTCGATTTATGTCACTTGTATCCAACTTTAAGCTACGCGATACTTGTAACTTCAAGTCCTGTTGTTCTTCATAAATTACCATTGCTACAATCTTGTATAATATTTCAAGGTTATTTTCTCTTGTGCACTCTGTTAAACTTGTAATACACTCATTCAACAAGTTATCAAAGCTTCTGATGAGCTCTTTGGTAGGCGAAGTGATCCTAAACACTATCGACTTTAAATCGTCCGACGATGATTGTGAGTATGACTCCAAATAATCTTGAAAATTTCGAATTTGAGTATACTGGAAATGTATGTTGAGAAATTGAGGCATTGTGTACTCTAGACTCTGTTGCATTTTCTCTTGCTCAACCATAATTGCATGTTTAAGAGAGTCGACTATCAGTTTGAAATTGCTAATATCATTGTACAAATTAGCTGTTTGATTCATGAATTGATTCACAATTATCATCTTACGTATAATCTCATTATCCTTGGGTACAGAGACACTTTCTTTGTAGATTTGTTGAATCTTACCCAAGTTCCCCTTTATATCTGTCATCTTCTTCAACGTATCCTTCATCTGCGACAAATTGTCCATCATTGAATCAAAGTGCAACTGCGTCATTGTAGATAACTGAACGTCAATCGACAATTTCTCCTTTATAAACTGCTGTCGTATCGAGTCCACATTGGCAATATCATCTTGAGTTTTGATTAAACTTCCAATTCTAGACAATGCTACGTCGCTCATCGAAAACACATAGACACCCTCTACCTTATACCCACTTCTTGTAAATCTATTACCACCACCACCACCATTAACTGTTCTTTACAAAATATTTCAAATCTGTGGAATTAGACTTTTCAAAAGGGCGCTACCATATGACCAAGTAACCTCTCTCTCTCTCTCTCAATATGATCAGATCAGATCAGATCAGATCAGATTAGTGCAAGTACGAAACATGTCAGAGATACCCTAAAGTTCATCCTTTGCCAAAAGAAAAGTGACATCACGAGTTCATATTAAACTACAAAAAGATTATCCTATTTGTACCTCCTCGTCTGTTGACCATGTTGACCATGTGCGCCTCCACCTGCGCCACTGTTTAGATACGGGTTAATCATTCCAAATCCTTGAGGGGGCGGTATAAACCACATAGGAGCAGCGGTTACTTGTTGTGCAAAATACGGCTGCTGTTGATGCGGGAGGTGATGAAATTGCGGTGGAATTTGGAAATTATAAGGTATAGGTGCCGCAGCAATTGAGGCGCCCTGTAGTATTGGTTGTTGGGGCGTTGCTACCCCTCCAGTGCCCGGTGTTGCCGCTATCATTGAATTTGGAATGTAGGAAGATGCCATTTGCAGGGGAACTCTGCCACCGACACCACCAACTGCAACTCCGGCAACTCCGGCACCACCACCGGCACCACCACCACCACCGCCGCCGCCGCCGCCATACATGGATACTGATCTAGGGAACAGTATAGTGTATGATTCTTCGATTGTTGAGTCCCATGTTGGTGGAGTTTGGAAAGATTTCTCAAATACCAAATGTGTTGGTGTTCCAGCTTCTTCAGCTTTAACTTTGGCAGTGTTGAATAAATTAAAACCGTTCTTAAATGCAGCTATTTTACGAGCTTGGCCTTCTTTTGTGGGCACTTTACTGACACTTCCAAAAAACTCTTGTGGTGAAATTTGATGATGTCTCTTTGTTGAGCCTTGTGAGCTTATACTTCCATTAGAGGAGTATGTGCGGTTATTTGTAGCCCTGGGTGATTGGTATGGTAACGGTGCATTGAAATTAGCCTTTGGTGGTGATGTTATTGTGCTAGGCTTGAAGGTAGGTGTAAATACGGCTGCATTAGGATTGAGTTTAAACTTTGAATACTTCTTCTCTGTGGAGACTGGGCCTTTGGTAGTAGAGGATGGAGGAGCACCAGCAGGGGAAGTAGGCAAATGTTGTGGATGAGATACTGGGGTGGCAGCGCCAGCGCCAGCGCCATATGTAGCAGCGGATTGCAGTGCCTCCACAGCAGGTTGTGGTTGTGGTTGTGGTTGTGGTGCGTGCCGTGTAGCAGATGCTGTGGCAACTGGTTGAGCCAGCTTTGACTCTTGTTGTTTTGGAGCTTGCTGCAGCTGCTTTTTCAAAATTTCACTTTGCTTGAGTTTATCCTTTGCCAAAATAGGCAAAAGATCTTGCGGCATTTTGTGGGGAATTTTGAAAGTAGCACTAAACTCACGCAAGGAGTTGATTTCACTTTGTGCATTCAATCTAAACGCTTCATTGTGAATAACCGGCTTTGCTGGAATAGAATCTGGAGCTTTTCTCTTTGAGTTTATAGCTGAACTGGATATAATTGCTGGATCATTGTGATATTGAGCTGCTCTTTGTCTTGGAGTGACATATTTACCAGTATCTTCTATGTTTGGTTGTTGTTGTTGTTGTTGTTGATGATGATGATGATGATGATGACCTGTAATTGGAACAGGTGAGGGTTTAATTTTGTTACTGTTACTGTTGTTGTTGTTATTGTTATTGTTGTGGCTTTTGTTGTTTGTCTTCAAAGCAGCCATGAGTTCGTCGCCTCTTCTATCAACACCTGAATATTTATCTTCCTCATCCATACCACTATCATCTACCAACAATCCCCTTTCTTCCAAAATATGACGATCAGTGGTTGCACTTTTTTCAATTTCCTGGGCCAACTTTTCTGCCATCAAAACTTTTTGTTTGTAGTCCAGTGCCGTTTTATTGATTCTAGTAGTATACAAATGTTCGTCGTAAGTGCTTTCAACGCCAAATTTTTCTTGGTTCACTTTAAATTGATCCCATTGAGCACCGCCATTAGATGTATGTCTTTCTTCTTCTTCCTCTAAAGTCAATCCTTGCAAGTCACTCTCCTCTGGTTCCCATTTGACCAAGTCACGTTCCTCAAAAGGTTTGTTTTTTTGTTCACTTGAAATGTCAGAGTCGGTTTTGAATTCACTCTTGTCAGCAAGAGGAGGAGGAGAAGAAGAAGAAGAGCCTGCTGTAGAAGCTGTACCTGCCGGTTTGGTTGTAGGAACCACTGGACTCCCTCCTGGCAGAACAGAAGAAGCGACCTTTGCATGATACTTCTTGACCGGCTCATTGATATTAAGTTCAATTTCGAAATCAATCAAATCCTTAGCTTGAACAATAAGATTTTGGGGCAATGCATTGTCAATCAAGTTGTTCTTTTCATCAAGTAAACCCTTATTGACCAACTGCGGTTTTTTAATCACTACAGATAAAGGTGCCGGTTTGGTGGATAAATCTGTAGCAATTAGTAAACCTTTATAACGAGATCCATCTGTAGTTGTAATTATGCATGTTTTCCCAATAGATTTAGCAATTAAATAACTGAGTCTATTGTTGCCTAACTCTTCTGAATTAATGTAACCACCACCATTACCACCGGCGGCAGCGGCAGCGGCAGTCGTGCCATTATCGTGCAAAGCCTTTCTACTCACACCACCACCGTCGACCCCGTTTCCGTCGGTATTGTTCATATGACGAGAACTGTCACGAACGTGGCCCCTCTTATTAGTGCTCACACGTTGATGTGATTGAGTCTTCATTCACCCAAAATCTCTGAAAAATTCTCACAGCCCTTTATAAAAGAAAAAATAAAAAATAGCAGATAATGCTAGCTTGAACAGCTAAAGGAGTGTATAACCAAAGGGTATACAGGCCAAAGGGGGTTCACTGCCCAAGGGTATACAGGCCAAACACACAAGGGTATACAGGCCAAAGGGGTTCACTGCCAAAGCGTGTACAGCCCAAGTGTGTACAATCTAGGAAGCTATATCGCGGTGTTTTCCTTCAACACCGGAAACCAGGAGAAACAATCAACACCAAAAAAAAAAAAATTAAATGAACCTGATTATCTGAAACCTGGTTAATTTGTTATGTGTAGTCACCCAATAAAGAATCTTCACTACACAAGAATGGATAATTCAGAAAGTCTTACCAACTGTAACAAACACTTGTGTGTGTATGTGTGAGATGTGTAGGGGGGGGGGGTGTTATTCAACTTGTCGGGGTAGGCAAGTTGTGTGTGAAATGTCTGGTTGTGACTTGTCTCTCTTTGTCTGTTGACAAAAAATTTATATTTTTTTATTTTTTTTTATTTTCGACTTTTTTTTTTTTTTTTTTTCTCGTCGCATTTTACTACGGAGAGAGAGGTTGTAAGGGGTACTAGTACTGGGATAAGGAAAAATTAGAGGTACTATCTCGCTCGAGCAGAGCGAGAGAGTGGAGTACACTGACTAACACTATTAAGCAGAGCAAGATAGTGGAGAAACATTTACTAGCAACACTGAAAATATGCCTTTTGCCAGGGGGGGAGGGTGTATGAGTCCCGAGTGTAGTTAAGCCCCTCACCTTGAGGTTTCACAGTGTGCTAATTTAGATTACCTTGCGTGATATACTAACTCAGAATTCCCAATTCACTAAATGGATTTAAAATTCCTAATAGTTTCCGAAATCTGCCATATTCACTAAAGTCTTTTTTCTTCCTTATAGGTTCTTTTTCTTTTGCCTCAGGTTTTTTTTTTCTTTTCCTTTTCTTTCTTAGACGATATTGGAAATTGGAAGGTTGGAGAATGGGTTTAGTTGTAGTGTTTGTTGCAGAATGGGTTTAATTGTATTCTGTTGGAAAACGGACTTAAGTGTATTTTGTTGGAGATCGGATTTAAGTGTAGTTTGTAGAATGGATTTAAGTGTGGTCTCCTCTTGCAGAATGGATTTAATTGTCTGTATAGTCAGTGCTGCTCTACTCTCACTCTCGGCCAGGCTCGTTTCTCTCTTCTCCTCTCTCTACTCTCCTCTCACAGCCCACTCTTACTCTCGGCCAGACTCGTTTCACTCGTCTAGTCTAAGCTCATTTATTAATTTGTAGTTTATTCAATAATTATAGTGTACAAAACTATACGTTTTTCACCTCACTGGTTTGATTGCATCTTTACACACTGTGGCAGCTTGAACAACACTATTAAGCAGAGCAAGATAGTGTTGTAACAAGCTAGTCAGTGTTGGTGGCAGCTAGTCAGTGTTGGTGGCAGCTAGTCAGTGTTGGTGGCAGCTAGTCAGTGCTGCTCCACTATCTCGTTCTGCTCGATAGTGGAGCTTTCAGCAACATATACTACTCAAATTATATCCAACACTTACCCTCTCAACTTTATCACCATAATACAACAAAACAAACTCCTTGATAAATGATATATCCTGCGCGCTATATGGATCCAATTCGATTTCCAACATGTCCTGATACGATATGTGTAACGTTTCAATAATTTCTTGCCTCACGAGTGTTTGATCCTCTTCAGTTTCAAAATGGGCCTGTTCTTGTTGTATAGCATCTATGATTAATTCGTCTATATAGTTGAACCACTTGTATGTGAATTTGTGGAAATACCCTACTATTTTCAAAAGATCGATAACATCGACTTTTTGATGTAAAGACGCTGTGGTTTTGGTTGATGTAGCTTGAGCATTAGGTTCCTCTTCTGTAGTATCTAGCTGCTGACCAGCAGACGCAAACCATGAGAAGGCTGACCAAATCGACTCTGTCCACGATAAAGGCTCTACCGCCTCCAATTTCCACCATGCAGGTTCATTCTCAAGTTGTGACGATGGGGAAGATAAGTCGGTGACCGTTTTGCGCAAAGGCAGGGGTGTGAAGGAGCTCTTCAGACGTGTCTCTGTTTCCCTGTGCAATATACTTGCGGCATCATTTGAGGCTACCCTTATCAAATCATCTGTTGACACATTGGCGAGATGTGTCAAATTTAAATTCTTCAAAAATGAGTTTGAGTAAAGTCTTTGAAATTTGTGGTAGTCTCTGATTGTTGCTTTGAGTTGATGGAAGCTTTGCTGTTTCGAATGATCATGTTCATTGGTAAACACTTTAACGGTGTTGCCGATTTCAACTCCAACGTCATATATTGAGTGGGTTTTCAATATTTCATCGCTTGTAACGCCAATGTACCCATTGACCCGGTCTCCAAATACTTCTCCCAGGGACAATTCATTTAATCCCACGCTATATAGAGGTTGCTGTGATTGCAAAATCCGTTCACTTAGTTTGATATTATTAGGTACTACTGATAAAACAGTGAGAAGGTAACTGAAAGATGTAAGAAGCTCATAATTGTAACTGCTGTCCCTGGTATATTCTTCTTCTCCCTCATTGTTATTATTATTTTCAGTCCCATTCTCATTCTCATCTCCCTGATGGATGGCATTCATGTGTAATTCATTGAATATCATTATATTTTTCCTTAGCAAACTTTGTTTGAAAATGACAAACACAAGGGGACCTAGAATTTGAAACATCTTTGGCAATTGCAAGAGCAAATGATGCTGGTTGTTGTTTTTGTCCATTGTACTTGATTTTGGATTCGCTAGTTTGGCGGATACTTTTTCAAATACCAGAGAAGTGGTGAAATATGCATTTAAATCAACCTGCTCGGTTGGATTTGCTTTAATCTTAGTTTTCAAGTCTTCAAGTACCTCTCTCAAATCAGGAATGTACTCCCATCCAAGGTTTATAAACTCATTTGGTTTCCACTCACTAGGTTTAGGTTTACACAATACACCTAGTGAAAACATTTTCAAATTCTGCCTACTATCATTATTATTATCTTCAAGTGTGAACTGTATAAAGCAGCAAACACCATAATACATCTCTTTGCCCGATTTGTGACTTATGAATACAGTTGCGCTTGCCGAATCGTGAATTCCACTAGGAAGCGACTTGTACTCAACGCCGTCGATCGCAAACTCAGAAGAGTAAAATTTCACCCATTGAAGTTTATAGCCTGACTTCATGTCAAACTCTGATAAGAATATAGCAACAACATTTGACGGTTCGTATATCATTCTGTTATAATAGAAAAATAAAAAAGGTAGTAAAGTTGTACTAGGTGGGGTGGGGGGGATAAACCTTGTTCTATGCTGTGTCTGTCTGTTGTCTCTGTCTGTAGTGCTTGTATGTGATGTGTGTCTGTGTCCAAGACAAAATTTGTATTTTCCTTGATGCGGCTCTTTGTCAATACAACTCAAGTGGTTATATACACTGAAACAAACGTTGAACTACTCGTACTTTTTACGAGGACTCGCTATAAAGGATTCCAGTTGAATTCACTTGTATCAGAACTTTTGATTTTCGGCAATAAGCGGTGATAGGGTCAAAATAGAAAACTCTATTTTGAGAAAACTTCTTACACTCATTTTTTTCATCTAAACTAGTACAATATATATATGTATATATCAGCCTTTGATCGATTAACCTCTCCATGATATCTTTGATTGTCTTTGATTGTCTTTGATTGTCTGTAATTGTCTTGCTAGCAATTTTTTTTTTAGGTCCTTATTCTCAAAATAAAGTTAATAATCACAGCAGCTAGTAAAAAGACGCACAACATTGTAGGACCAAACCTGTCATCGTATGGACCAGAACCTCTCAATCTAATGGCCTTGGCTCTCCAATGGTAAGTAACCAAAGCATAAAGCATGGTAAGCATTGCAATGAATGTAAACAATCCAGCTGAGATTCTACCAACGTAATCACCAAAGTTCAATAAACCAACACCTAATGAACCCAAAATGACTGTAAAATTCAACCACGACAAGAAAGTTCTTTCATTTGCGAAAAACACTTTTGGCTCTACTCTTGCTGGTAAAGCTATTCTTTTATTTGTTGATGACATTGTGGAAAAAAAAAAGAAGAGAAGGAAGGGAAATAAGGGTAATAACTCTTAGATGACTATAGCACAACTCCAATTCTTTGAAGGGGAAGGAGGGGGGGAGGGCGGCAATACCTAGCAAAACGTTGACTCTGTCCTCAAAGTAGTTGATACACAATGTGCGTGTCGGAGTTGAAGTGGAATAACTATCAATCGATCATTCTATGAAATTTTATTGAAAGGTGAAAGCTTAATTTAGTATAAGCGCCGCACTCGTGGTGATAAAATTCTGATAACATAATAGCCCAATAGAAGGATTACTAAGGTATTATGTAAGGATATATATTAGACCAAAGTGCGAAAGACCACGTGGCGTGAATTAGCTCTCTGAAAAGGGAAGCTCTAACCAAAAAGAGGAGCAGGCTCGAAGCAGGCTCTGACCAAAAAGAGAAGCGGGCTCGAAGCAGGCTTTAACCAAAAAGAGAAGCAGGCTCTAATCAGGCCTATTTTTCAATTGATAGTTGGTTCTACTTGTATATCCTTCCCTCTCTTCTGAATTTTTTCTCATTCAGATGCATAATTTCTAAACGTCTCTAAGTTACAACGGTGATATCAAATAATTTCGTCTACATTATTATCGTTATCGAAAGGATACATGCTATACGTTATGGGATATCTGGAAACAACTTTGAATTGATATCAAAGTTTAGTCTCTTTAATTAAAAAAAAGGTTTTGTTTTTTAGCTTAGTCAAAGTAGCACTATTAAGGTAAACTTATCGCCTTGAAGTCAACCCCCTTTGTCTCCTAAAATTAGCAAAAGTGGAGAAGAATAGTAATCAAAACTTTTTCTTTGAGAAAAAGTAATAAAGAACATATTTGTAGAAGTATAGGAAATTTTAGATGTAAAAATCCAGATTGTCACAGATGTAGTATAGAGGTGTAGTATAGAGGTGTAGTATAGGGGTGTATTAGTATTAGGTAGTGAGGTGTATCGGTATAGATAGTGTCGCTCGATAGTGTCGGTGTAGTCAGTGTGCTCCACTATCTCGCTTCGCTCGATAGTGTCTCTCGATAGTGTTGAAGATATTCTATCAATAATTATAGAAGCTCAAGTTTTTAAATTGTGAAAAGCTATACCCTTGTTGAAAAAAAATTTATTTCATCACGTGCCTCACTTCCCCGCAATAATTTTACACACACACCTTAAAATTCTATTTTACCTTGTGTTCATTAATGCTACTTTTTACTCAAAGTATTCCTTATATCAATTTTTCTGTTTCTCTCCTTTGCTTTTTTTTTTTGCTTGTATTCTCAATTGCTCCTCTTTATCATCTTCCAATATATATATCTATCATTTGTCTAACAAATAATGATTGTACGATAGTGCTTGTGCTGTTTCTGAATCGAATATATCAAAAGCTCACATAATGATCCAGTCTCATTTTTTTGACATCGAAATGGTTGCGTGGTCTAGTTGGTTATGGCATATGCTTAACACGCATAACGTCCCCAGTTCGATCCTGGGCGGAATCATTTTTTTGCAAAATGTTTTTTTTTTAATTTATTTTTCTCCTGAAGTGACAGGAAATTGGCAAACTCCTCTATTTTACATCTTTTTACAATATAGCTAGTCAGTGTGCTCCACTATCGAGCAGAGCGAGATAGTGAATATGAGTGTCTACAATATGATCTATAAAATCTATTTTTTGTCTCCTTTTCCTACCCCTACCCCCACCCAGCTTCAAAAGAACTTCATTTATATCTCCCCTTTCTTCATTTATATCTCCCCTTTCTTCATTTATATCTCCCCTTTCTTCATTTATATCTCCCCTTTCTTCATTTATATCTCCCCCTTTCTTCCTTTATATCTCCCCTTTCTTCCTTGGTTCTAGTAACAAGTTTCCTAGTGGTATATCAGAATGGCCCTTACCAAATGCATAAACTGAATTACCTCTGACAATAGTTTCCAATACTCTCCCCTTAAACTCCATACCATCATAAGCAGTCAATTTATTCTTAAAAAAAGTTTTGTCATTCTCAATTTTGAATGTTGCTTCCGTGTCAAGTATACATAAATCGGCATCATACCCAATTTTAATGGCGCCTTTCCTATTCTCCAAACCTACTTGTTTTGCGGTATTTAATGAACACCATTTGTTAATTTCCACAAGACTAATAGGCGGATTGAGCTTTTGACCCTCGGTAAACAATATTGGTAATCCAAGTCCAACACTAGATATACCGCCCCAAGCTTCGAAAAAATCTCCCTTTTCTAATCCCTTGAGATCGGGCGTGCACGGGGAATGGTCGCTCACGATTGTGGTGATAATGTCGTTGCGTAACGCTTTCCATAACAATTTTCTATTGTCATCTGTACGTATTGGTGGACAGCACTTGAAATGAGTAGAGCAGTTGCCGATTTTCTCGGCACAAAGAGACAAGTAATGGAAACAAGTTTCTGCTGTAATTGGAAGTCCCTTTACTTTTGCTGCCCTGAGCAATGGAACAGCTTCGTGAGTTGCCAAGTGTACAATGTGAAGTGGTACGGTGGGGATTAGTGTAGAGCAATTGATAATCTCTGCAATTGCAGTTGTTTCGAAATTGTCTGGTCGCGAAGCAAGGAATGCAGCATATGATGTGGCATCGATGTTTGTTAAAAACGGCTCTGCTTTTGTTGCTAGAGTTAATGGGGTATCGATTTTTATGTCTTCATTGAAGAAAGAAGACCCAAATCGTTCTGGGTGAAGTCTATATTGTAAAGACTCCTCTGTTGATCCATTTCGACTGTGTTTATTCACTTTTATTGCGTTTTTTCCAAAAGTTGGTTCAGCACCTGCAAGTATGGGGTTATGGGCCAATGCCATTGCTTGTTCATCACTTAATACACTGTGATTTATGGAACCCGCGTGGTTATGAGGAAGACAACAGTTTTCGTGTTCATCATGGTGATTTCCTGGATCCTTTTTGAGTAGTTTGACTACTGGCATTGGTGCCCTATCAATGAAAGAAGAGGACATGCCTAGATCGAAATCCGTGCTTATCAAAAGCTCGTCTTCGTGGGCAGGTACCGGTGAAAACTCTACTGGACTGTTGCAAGTAGACCCATCATCTGATAAACTGAACTCGACCCTGTTTTCTGTTGTTGGTTGCATTTCAGCGTGAAACATCAATAATGTGTTTTCGTGCCGAACAATCTTCATCGCCTCATGGATAGTTTTTGGGGTGACTGCGGGGAACTCCTCTACACCGCTTTCAATCATAAATGCTTTAAATCCCCGTACACCCATTCTTATCAAGGGAATAAGATCTTGTAAATTATTAGGGATCAAACCACCCCAAAATCCAACATCTACCCAACATTGGTTCCTAGCAGCATTTATTTTCAAATTAAAATTGGCCACAGTTGTAGTTGGCGGGATAGCGTTCAATGGCATGTCAACTACTGTTGTTACACCTCCCGCGGCTGCTGCCTTTGTTCCCGTTGCAAACCCTTCCCATTCAGTACGACCCGGTTCGTTAAGGTGGACGTGAGAATCTACTAAACCTGGCATAATAACCGCCGGCGATACATTACGATAATCTATGGGTAAAACATTGTATAGACGGAGTAGCGGATCGTCAGATGCAAGTACTCGATTTGCAATGTGTAGAATTTTACCTGTTTCTATCGAAAATATAACTGTTGCGTGTATAATTTCGGTGCCAATTAGCACCCTACTAGAAGATAATGCTCTGGACATTTAATAAATAAATTTTTTTTTTTTTTTTTTGGTTGATGGTGATGGTCCAGAAAAGATGTAGACTACGTCAATGTGGGTTTTTCAATTTTATAGATCTTTATTTTCATGCAAGTTTCTGTGTGGTGTAATACTTGTGGTATGATAATGATTCAATATCTGTGTGCTTCTCTGATCCCCTTTGGAAAAAGAAAAGAAAGAGGAAAAAATGAGAAGGAGAACAAAAGAGAAAGAGAGAGAAATCCCTTATTTCAAAGAATCAAGTGGGGGGGGGTAGAGGTGGACAAGGATATTCCAAAAAGGGTTCTGCTTTTTGATGGTTAGACGGCGAGATAATAGTTCCAAACTTGGCTCATTGTGATAAGTATTCGATTCGGATATCGCCGAATGATAAGAGGAAAACAAAAGGTTACAAAACCAAAAAATTGTAGGAGCGGAAACGGGAACGGAAAAAAAAAAAGAAAATATTACGTCAGCCAAAATTTGATTTGTTGAGGGGGCGGAGGCCGAAGGGGGCTCATGTCCACTGGTCAGCTCCATAATTAGTGTGGGCTCATGTCCAGTGGTCAGCTCCAAAACTAGTGTGGGCCCATTTTATAGTCATAGAAATGGCAGTTTCTTCACTATTACAACTAAACTTATTTAATTATTCGAATTTTACTCATTTACCCCTATATTATAGGTGATTAATTGTTTGCCATTTTTGTCATTAATACCACGGAGATATAACGAATGTAATTCCTCTTTAGCATCTTCATTGAATTGGATCTTGTTAGTAGGGGCATCGCTCAATTTACCTGTTTCGTACCATTCAACTATCTGCGCCAATGTCTTTTTTTTCAACTCTGGATTGTTTTTCAACAACTCAGTGACCCAGAATCCAGCACATATTATATTTTTAAAGATAAACAAGGATGTTGGAATCGAGACTGGCTGCATCGACATACCGCCATAGGTCAACATTAATCCATTATGATTCAATTTCTTGGCAATCCCCTGAGACGACTTGCTTCCAACACAATTGAGGGCGAGTTTCACTTCACCTTGAGTTTCTTTGACACGAGACTTGATATCAGCGCTCACTTCTCTGGACAAGTTTTCCTTTTCAGAAATGACTATTGTCGCACCCAATTGTTTCAATTTTTCTCTAGTTTCATCGAGATCATCTCTGTCTCTAACCACCGAGATTGAATTGATTCCCAAAAGTTTACCGATTTGAGATGCGTATTTTCCAACTGCCGAAGTTCCTCCGTTTTGAACAAACCAATCTTTTCCTGATCTAAGTTTTACATAATGAGTCAACATGAGATACGCAGTGGGTGGATTTACAGAGATTGTAGCAGCTTGACTCACAGTTAGCCCCTTTTTGGCAGGATCATTTTGCTGCTGTGTTTGAGCAGGGTTGGGCAATTTGATAAAGTTGGAGACGGTCCCCAAGGCATGAGTTCTCCAAGTACCAAAATTAACGTTACTTGGGATCACCCAATCCCCAGGCTGGAAATCCTTGACATTTTCGCCAACTTTCAAAACTTCAAATAATCCCTCGTTACCACAAGGAGCAGCTGGTTCTTCAGTGCCAAAGTCTAAAGTTTTCGGTGGCTTTGAAGGGTATACTCCTTGGATTTGATTGATATCAGATGGGTTTACAGGAGATGCCAATGTTTTAACAACTACCGCATCTGGCTTCAAATTCTCATCATCAATTTTAAAACTATGAGTGAATAATACTTCCTGTGGCTCTCCATGTTGCTGATACAATACTGCTTGAGCGGTGATCATTGTTCTTTTGAATACAAAGGGAGTAATTCGTTGAATTAGTGACATTCTAGGTCTGTGGTGAGAGAAGGAAAGTGAAAGAAAAAGGTAGGTGGAGTTACTATGCAATTAAATCCAATTGATCCAATCGCATAGTCCGGGGATTAATTTTTTTTTTTTTTTTTTTTTGGGTTATTCACTTTTTGTGTTATTTTTCATTAATTAATAACTCATACAGGTTTCTATACCCATTTCTATATATCCTTTTTATCCAACTCCTTTAATTTTTGTTGCTTTTGCAATCTCTTTAACTTTGTGTTTTGGAAGGTGCCCAATACGAAATATATCAAGCTAAAGAAAACCACCCATAAGTCCGGGTGAACAAATTTTTGAGCAGCAATCAAGGCTAAAAATGAGGTGACCAATGAAGATCTCAATACTGGAGGCAATCCTTTTTTCAATCCCATTTTTATAGTATATACTATTCTTTTCAACTCGCCACAGATGTTGGTCCCCTTTGTAGGAGCATAATTGTTAATTAATGAGATCCAAGACACAAAACATACTGATAATGTAGGAGTAACCGTTAAAAGGGAAGTAAGAAGTTGTAACACTTTTTGTTTTGGAGTTAATGGAGCTTTAAAGTTTTTGTTTATCACTGAATACATATTGTGACTTATTGGCGTTGAAATCAAGCTTCCGTATATAATCATTTTCAACAATTTCAGACTGAATATGTGTTTCACTTTCATGCCAAAAATGGATGTTTCTTGGTATTCATTTGTGAGAACAGATGATACTATTTCGTTCAATCCATTGAGAATCCCTGAAGTTATCGACTTGGTTAAAAGTGGATACTTGAGGAGATAGTATAAGTACTGTGCGTTTAAAGCTTGAACCGACATGCCAGCTGGTGGTGGAAAAACTAGTTGAAAAAGTGTAAAGTGTGTCAGAAATCTATGCAAGCCTGTTGAAGTTCAACAAAGAGGGGTAAAATTGAAGCATTCTAGTCTTTTTTTATATCTTTACTTATCTTTGCAAAGATATATATTTTTTTTTTCATCATCCTTCTTAGCGCGTATTATTTTTTTTTTTTTTTGGAGATGTTTTTGTTTTCCCCATAAAATAATCTTTGTGATGATTATTCCTACTAAAGGAATAAGTTTCCGAGGATTTGTATGCCATGTCAAGGTTGAGATCGAGTAAGACAAACACGCGGATAAAGGTGTGTTTTACTTGGTCCGCTAGAATTAGGCTTTATAAGTGTAGGACCTGGGCAACGTGGTAACTAAAGTAACTGGACAGTCGAGCGAAGCGAAGCACTATTGAGACTATCGACACTATCGACACTATCACTATCCAGCAAAGCGAGATAGTGAAGCACTATCGACACTATCGAGTAACTGAGCAGCTAGGCAGCTCTATAGTAAACGCATCGAGAATTGACCAGTCGGGTGAAATATAGGCGTAGCACATGAAAAAAAAAGGGTAAGTTGAATCGAGGAAGCTTTGGATAGCTCTTATAGAGAAGTTACATTGAGAATATAATTGTAAAGTGGATTCGATTTGGTTTTTTACGATAACTCTAAAGTCAATTTACTTTTATGAACACTGTTTTCCACTATCTCGCATAACTCTAAAGTCAATTTACTTTTATGAACACTGTTTTCCACTATCTCGTTTTGCTCGATAGTGGAGCACACTAGTTGTCATATCTTTCTGTGGATTGCCAAAGATTTTTAGGCCTTGTATATTTTTTTTGAAAATCTCTGCGATATTGATTTGCTCAGTTTTCATGCCAAAAAGTAGATAAATTCGACACTATCTAGCCCAGCATGATAGTGGAGCAGCACTGACTAGTGACACTATTTCCTTTCATAAATCCATACTTGCCTTCCTATATACCTTTGTCACCATTCTTGTGCTATTCCTAAGTGAATCATTGGATCTCAAAAGTTTCATATATTTTTCTAGGTTCGGATGTAGTAGAAAATTGATCTCTGGTACAAGTGTAAAATTGCGCACCATTTCAATATAAACTACACTTTCAATAACGATATTTATCAGTCACATATAAAAACTTTATGAGTTTTTGGTTTTAATTATGAGAATTCACTAAAATTAATATTGTACCTTTTTCCGGTATATATGAGAAGAACTTGGGGTAATTTTTGTACCTGTGACACTATCAGCCATAGGGTTGTCTTACAATGTCTTTCTTCAATACTATCTTGCTACACTTTTTAGTTGAAAGACCAAGCTACAAAGAGTTGCTCCACCATCGAGCTGAGCGGCACTATCGGGCAGCACTATCGGGCAGCACTATCGAGCAGAGCGAGATAGTGTCTACAAAGAGTTGCTCGATAGTGTCGCTCTGCTCGATAGTGCTGCTCGATAGTGCTGCCCGATAGTGGCGCTCAAAATCTATCGATTCTCCCCCTTAACTAAATAGCAAGCCCTACTGCTTTCAACACCAATGTTTATCGTATTTGTAAAGACAATGTAACTTAGTTAAGTTGGTTTAATGAGATCTTATTTCATAGTTGTACCTTCACTTGTTCCTATTGTCCCACAAGCTTGGGGGAGGGCTTATATTCTATTTTATTTTTTCTTTTTTTTTCATTTCCTCGAGAGATTTTAGAGATTCAACTATTGCGTCATTGTACAACTATCTTATTGAAAGGAGATAGCCACTAACGTAAAACCCTTTTTTTTTTAACCAGTTAGATCAAAATAGGTGTTATTGTATCTTATAACGGAAAGATGGTCAAAGTGGGGTTGCTTCTGTACATTTTTTTTTTCAAAATAATCTAGATTAACTTAATTTAAAAAGCGGGGGGGGGGGGAAGAAAGTTAGAGGAAAAAAAAAAAAAAGTAAAATGTTTACAAATCTCATAACCCCATCACGGGTTTGGCATGTAGCGATCTTGACGTGGAGTGACAATAAATTCTAATAAACACACAGATGAAATTGCAATGCACCTCTATTTGTCAAAACTAAGTAAGGGAAATCAATAAATCTACCTCTGCAATGAGAATATTATGTATATTCTCTCACTTTTTCTCTGTGTGAGGAAGATTGAATGTGTCCAACATTAACTTAATAGTAACAAGATGGCAAGTCTATCGTCCTGGAAAGCGCAATGACGAAACAGAGGGGTGTGTGTCGGAACGTTCATGCAAAAAAAAAAAATAATAGTTTTACACACTGCACAACTTCAAACATCATACTGTTTCTTCTGTTATATGACTTCTGTTGTATGACTTCTGTTGTATGACTTCTGTTGTATGACTTCTATTCTATGACTTCCATTCTATGAATTCTATTCTATGACTTCTGTTTTTTGTTTTCTTTTCTCTGTTTTCTGTTGTTCCATCGAACCCGACTTTGCAAAGACTTATAATGGGAGATACATGACTTTTAACCAAACACTTTTTCTCCTTCTCTCTTTCCCTCTCCATACCCAGATGCATTAAAGGTTAACACTTTGAGAAATTAGCCAGAAAAATTTCTTTGCACTTTATATACACACGGCAAACGCAAAACACGCAAAATTATTAAAGACTTGCAAGTGAAATAGCAACATTAAAACTGCAGTAGTAAAAGTTAAAAGTAACATAGTCAAGGATGTGTCGAACAATCATAAACTATTTTTGATTAAAAATCATCTTTTTATTGGAATATCTGGTATGAACTGTTATAAGAGATGATTACTGGGGGGGTAATAGAAGGCCCCTATATAAAGTCGTGCCCTAAACAAATTCTTTCCCTTGTCATGCCCTATATAAATTCTTTCCCTTGTTGTGCCCCATATTATCATGTTGGCGCCTAACATTAATTTTTCAGCCTCTTTTGACCCCAGGAAAAATTATGGAAAATCGGAATTTCTATCTTGGTTTTTGTGTCCACGTCAAAATAACTTGTCTGCAGTATTTGGATGCAATAGTTACTTAAAAATAAAATAGACAGGCAAATTAAATTGGTATTGTATTCTTCCGACCACTATCCCCCATTTCTCATTCCCCCCCCCACGTCCTGACAGATGTATTCGTATAAGGGTTGTTGTTAGCTTATCTAGTTTTTTTTTTAAACACTAGTGACGTGACGCCAATATTTTTAATTTTTTGTTTTTATTAAGGCCTTTGATATTCGGTCGAATTCAATATATAAATATAAATAGTATATAACCCATTCTACTTATTACTAGAGAAGGGTACTTGCTTTATCCTAAAAAAATTGCTTTACCATATATATTAATTTATATATATATATATATATAAGAGACGGGAAAGAAATCTATATTGTTACAAAGCCAAGGATAAAGACAATTCACAAAGAAATTCACGAATTTACGAATTTACACTATGAGTACCGACTCGGATACGGAGAAGGTTATTATAGATCAACATGCTAACGATGGCCTTTTCGAAAATGCTAGCTCCTCCTCAAGTTCAAATAAAGGCTTGAAAAATAAAGATGCTTCGGAATTGGAGTCTATGGATGATGAAGCAGAACGTGTAGATGGAGAACGTGGGAATATTTTGGCACAGTATACAGAAAAACAAGTTATGCAAATGGGGCGGAACTATGCCATAAAACATGATTTGGACCCTGAGTTATTTTCTAGAGCTGCTGCGGTGGCTAGGGCACCGAATGCTTTTAACTCCATGCCGTTTTTGAGTGATAAAGAAAAAAGCGGGCTTTATATTGAAAACACAAAAAAATGGCACGTACCTATGAAGTTGGTGGCAGTTATTGCAGTAGGTTCAATGGCAGCAGCAGTACAAGGGATGGACGAGTCGGTTATCAATGGCGCCACATTGTTTTATCCAAAAGCATTTGGTGTCACTGAGATGAAGAATGCTGATTTGATTGAGGGATTAGTCAACTCTGCTCCTTACTTGTGTGCTTCGTGTGTAGCTTGTTGGATGTCTGACTCTTGGAATCATTATTTGGGAAGAAAGTGGACGATTTGGGTGACTTGTCTAATTTCAGCGGCAACATGCATCTGGAGTGGATTCGTTAATACGTGGTGGCATTTATTTATAGCAAGATTTTTTTTGGGTTTTGGTATTGGAATCAAGAGTGCTACAGTTCCAGCATATGCAGCTGAGTGCACTCCTAAACAGATTAGAGGTGCATTGGTTATGTTGTGGCAATTTTTTACAGCTGTTGGTATTATGTTTGGTTACGTGCTGAGTTTAGCATTTTATTATGTACCAAACCACAGCTTTGGCACTGGATTAAACTGGAGATTGATGTTGGGAAGTGCATTTATTCCGGCAGCTATTGTTTTGTTCCAAATCCCATTTGTTCCAGAGTCCCCACGTTGGCTAATGGGAAAGAACAGACACAAAGAAGCTTTTGAGAGTTTGGAACAACTAAGGATTGAGAGGATTGCTGCGGCGCGTGACACGTTTTATCAACATGTGCTTCTTTTGGAGGAAGGCTCTTATGATATACCTACTTGGAAAAGACTTATACAAATGTTTTCTATTAGAAGAAATAGAAATGGTGCTATTGCCTCGTGGATTGTGATGTTTATGCAACAGTTTTGCGGTATCAATGTCATTGCCTATTACTCATCATCGATTTTTATCTCGGCAAACTATAGCGTCATTTCGGCACTTTTAGCATCTTGGGGGTTTGGTATGATAAACTTTGTTTTTGCAATACCTAGTTTCTTTACAATTGACACTTTTGGCCGTCGGAACTTGCTATTGTTTGCGTTCCCATTTATGTGTGCATTTTTGCTTGTTGCTGGTTGCGGCTTTTTAATTACAAATACGCGAGGACAGGTTGCAATGGTAACAGTGGGTGTGTACCTATTCAGTTGCGTTTACAGTTCATCTGAAGGTCCTGTTCCATTTACCTATTCAGCAGAAGCGTTCCCATTATATATTAGAGATTTGGGTATGGCGTGGGCAACAGCCACATGTTGGTTCTTTAATTTTATTTTGGCATTTACTTGGCCTAGAATGCAGAAAGCAATGACTTCCACTGGTGCTTTTGGGTTTTATGCAGCTTGGAATGCAATTGGTTTCTTTTTAGTTTTGTGGTTTTTACCAGAGACAAAAGGCTTAACTTTGGAAGAGTTGGACTCTGTATTTGAAGTGCCCATGTATACGCATGCTGTATATAGGACAAAAACATTTTGGAATGGCATCCAAAGGTATGTTCTTAGGAGGAAGAATGTGGTTGACCCACCTCCACTCTATGAACATCAAAGAATGGCTGTTACTTCTGAAGAGTGGAATGACAAGCCAGAAGTTTCCATGATAGAATAGAGGATAAAAAAGAAAAAAAAATACACTATCGAGCATAGCGAGATAGTGGAGCACACTAGCTGCCACAGACACTATCGACACTATCGACACTATCGACACTATCGAGCATAGCGAGATAGTGGGGCACACCAGCTGCCACTGATACTATCGACACTAGTTGTCACCGACACTATTAGATTTCGTATTCAACTTGATATATCTTTATTAGTGTCGCTACTCTCTACTCTCTACATACTGCTCCACTAGCTCGCTTCGCCTCGCTAGTGTCGCAAGAATACTTTGCTTTACTGGTTAGAATGACAAAGTTATAGTGATTTAGATTTTTGTAATTTGAAATGCCCTTTTTTTTTTAAGTTGACTCACCAATTTTATGTTTCTTTTTTTATTTTATATTATCTATTTACTTGCTCTGCTTTGGTTCCTTGCCTTACCTCAAAAAATCTCTCAAATAAGACCCCAATTTATTTGCACCATCTTCTAAAGCATCTTTCAAAACCTCCATATCTTGATTTGCATTTCCTGAAAATCTGGAAGCAAACTCTCTAGCACTTGCTTCCAAATCACTCAAGCTGATACCATTTGTGTTTGAACGTGTAGGCTGCTGTTCCTCTTCTCCAAAGTACGATGAAGAAGAGATTGATTGGGCCCCGTTAAATGCCTGTAACTTAGTTTTGGCTTCGTTTTTGGCATTTTCATCAAATCTTGGTCCTCTCCCAAAAAATTCGTCTGATGAAATTCCCTTTTGAGAACCATATTTATTAGCAACTTCTCCTGAATAGTTCACCTCTTTATACTGCTTAACCGGCCCCGTGGTGACATTGTTCTCTCCTTGTATCATACCAAAGCCTAGCTTTTGAAATTGCTGAGTAGTTTCTTGGACGGGCTGCGCAGCGCGATTCTCTTTCTTTATCGATGCCAAAGTTGATGGTTGTTTCTTTTCTTGTGATACTGAAGCAACAGCTGCTGAAGCTTTCACAGGCTCTTCGGGACTGTACCCCAATTTTTTCTTCTCCTCCTCTTCTTCTTTTGCTTTTCTTTCAATCTCATCAAAATCAATAATTTCGTCTTTGTTGATCTTCTTGGCTGCTCTTCTAGGACCATTACCACCTTTAGAGGATAATATTGATTTTTTGGCCGCAGTGGTGCTACTCTTTAATCTTGTTGCGCTCGCTGTTGTTCTAACAACGGGTTTCTTTTTCAGTAAATCATCAGTTGATGCATTAGGAGTACCGCTTTTCGAGCCAAGGGGTGATGGCGTTGGAGCAACTGGCTTGGTCCAATTTGAAAAAAAATCGTCTGTACTTTCACTTGGAGACTCGCTACTGGAATCGGCATCATTCAAATCCTCCAAGGTAACAATATCAGGATACTTTTGGGCATCTTGTGCCGATTTCTGTTTTAATTTTTCCTTGTACTTGTTGGCGACTGGCGACGTATACTTGGCCAAAGCGTCTACTTGGTTCATGTTATTCACAAATTGAGAACCACCATTCTTTAGGAAAAAATCCTTAGCATGCCGGTTTCCTCCAAATTTGAAATTCCTCAACTGTATTCTTTGCCAGGAATCCAAGTTAGACGACTTGACAAAGGAAACGTGAACACCTAGATTCCTGTGCACCGATGAACATTGTAAACATAAGAAAATACCAAATGGTATTGATGTCCATGTTGGATTCTTGTTGGAGCAGTCAAAACAAACTTGATTAGCAGGGTCTTTCCTGAGCTTATCAAACACCTTGGACGCTTCTTCCTTAGAAGCTATAGCGTCAGACATATCAGAGCAATCAAATGGACAAGTTTTACTCACACTAGGTGTCAATAAAAATTTCTCTATCCCGCAAAGCTATATATATTTTTTTCTCTCTCTCTCCTTCCTTCCACCTTTCACACTTCGTCTCTTTTATTTTTTCTTCATTTTTTTAGGCCCTATTGTTTCTTTTGATGGAAAAATGCCCAACTACTACGTTTTCTTAATGCTGTTTAGCTAATAATGTTTAGCTAGTAATGTTTAGTTACTACGTTATCTCTAATTGTATTTTGTTTGCTACGTTTTGTTTTGTTTTTTTCAATTTATTTACAAATTAAATCTTTCTACTTAATGGAATGGCCTTGACCCACCTCTGGCAAACTCAACTATTTTCCATCCTTCGGTCGTCTTGTTATCAAACTCCTCTGGGATTCTTGTGAGCACCATAGCATATGTACTTAACTGAATATGATCCTCAGTACCTGCAGCAATCTCTCCCGTTTTCGCATTTCTATATAAATGAATCTCCTGAGCTCTACAGCTCACCACAATAACGGGAGTATCATTTGGTTGCAACATTTTACAAGTAACCACATCGACTCCTCTAATGTCCAAAATCCTGCTATCTGAAAATAACCCTTGTTGGATAAACTGTTTGTTGTGTGCTTCCCAAACATTGTATGGAGCTTCACTAAACCATTCTTTAAGAACCTTGGCATCATTTTTATTATAAGCATCAATAATCTCAGGAACAATATAGTTGGTTAATGTCTTTTGAAAATCCGTGAGACGAAAGGAAGGATCCATATATTTAAATTGTTTAATTGTCTTTGCTTGTTCTGTTTCTGCAAAAAAACCGGCAACTTTTTCAATTATCGTACGTACAACACTAATTAACCCGTTTTCCGATTCGTCCCACCTTTCTTTCAAATATGCGATTCCTTTACCAATCGGCGACTTTTGTTTAAAAGTATCCCATTTCTCGCCCACAGATGGCCCCGATGCTTTTTCTTCAGTGGCCACTAATTCGGATCCAGCCTTTTCATTCTCCTTCACGGGCCCGCTGTATCCTTCCTTCAACCTCCTCTCTAATTCCTTTTGCCTCAATAATTGTCGCTGCTCTTTAGTTAAAAACCCTCCATACGATGTAGATGACCCATCGTCAATCACCTCAGAAACATCTTTATATATTTGAGTTTTTCTCACTGGCTCAAAGGCCTTATCTGCTGCTTCTGCGCTAACGCGAACTGATGTTCTGACACCTTTCCCCACAGGCGAGTCCCAAGCTTTTTGTGCCACATCGCCAACGGCGTCTGCTGTCTTCTTCACCATCACCCCTGCTGCACTACTTCCCTTTTGGGCTTTAGCGTAGGCTTCCTTAGCTCTTTTGAATGCCTCAGACTCTGCTAGCCTTCCAGACTCATCTTGCAAAGCTTTTATATTCTCTTTTAATTCGCTAGATTTTTTAACCTCTTGTCGAAAAGTATCAAGAAAAACTTTTAATGGTGTGGTGGGAGGCTTTTCACTGAAAACAAAAGAGGTGGTGTGAAATTTAGAGATAGCAACCACTCGGCCAGCTCTGCTGACGGATCTGTCAAAAGTGGACCTAATCATGGTTCTATTTACAAGTTGATAATACTTACAATCTTCTTCCTCATCAACTAAATTTTTCAAATCCGTGTGGAAAAAAAAAAAGATGAAAAAAAAAAAGAAAAAGAAATGGCCAGTAGTATATTATGAAGTCATATTTCTCACATTGAACTTATCATAAAGATTCAAGCCTTGTACGATACCGTAAACCAAGACTGAGCTGAATATCCCGATTTGCAAATTTGTAATAATTCTTGATTGGGCCTTTTCTATTTCCACTGCTTTTGAGTATGGAATATCGTCTCTAAAAGAAATCATCGTATACAACGGTAACCATTTGTTTTTCAACCATCTACCCAACGAGTAGTCGATTTTCTTTTTTGCCAAATACCAAACATTTGTCACTTTTGAAGACATTTCGTAATAATTTTCCAAAGCTAGTGTACAGATTGCGTCCAAGTCTTTCTTTCTCAATGGCGAATACTCTACAAATGCTTGCTCAATACTCTTGTGTTTATCAATTAGTTCCATCATGATTCTCACATCTTCAAATCCACAGTTCATACCCTGTCCATAGAAAGGCACCATTGAGTGTGCAGCGTCACCAATAATAAGAGCTTTTCCTTGAGGACTGTTGTAAGGAAATGCGCTTACCTGCATGAGAGAACCTCTTGGATTCTTAACGTATGCCTCGGCAAGAGCTTCTTCTCCAATCAATTTGACAGCATCGGGAAAGTTTTCCTTGAAAAATTCAACAAACTCTTTGCTCGATTTTATGGATTCAATAACAGACCATGGGCTGAAAAATGTGGTTGTAAACGACCCATCCTCATTTGCTAATGCAATCAACATAAACTTGTGTCTTGGCCAAATATGTAAATGGTTTGGGTCGATTGAAAATTTGTTGACACCATCTGGAGGGATGTACAACTCGATATATTGCATATCAATGTATTTTTGGGAAAAATCCATTCTCATATGTTTCTGCATTTGATATCTGAACTGAGAGTGTGCTCCATCTGCGCCGATAATATAATCAAATTCATACTTTTCCAACTTTCCCTTGGTATCCACAACCTCGATTACTGGACGTTGTTCTTGTTGTCCATGGCCCTGGTCCTGGTCCTGGTCCTGGTCCCCGCCCCGGTCCCCGCCCCGGTCCATGTTGGATAACTTGACCAATTTATGTTCAAAATATAACTCAACATTTTTGCTTCTCAATTCATCCAAAAGAAGATTATTGAGAAATGCCCTGTCTATTGAGTTTATGCACTCGCCATTTAACCCGTATAACTGAGACTCTTGTTTGAGCCCAGTGATATCATGAATCATCCTTCCCTTCATTGGAGTGACTCGGGAAAGGACTTTCTCGGCCAATTCATCATCAACATACCGCAATGCTCTAATTCCTCTATTGCTAACAGCTAAATTAATCGATCGGAGATTTCTCTGGCTCGCATCAGCTAATTTCGGGTCAGGTCTCGACTCAAAGAGAGTTACTTTGTAACCTTTAGAAACAAATGCCAATGCAGCAAGGCATCCCACTAGTCCCGCCCCGACTACCCCAATTTTAGTTCCTTCTTTTTCCTTAATCTTATCCATATTACAGAGCTTGTATCTTTAGTTTGGATCGTATAAATCTACGAGAAAGAATAAACCGGGAAAAAAAAAATTCATAAAATCATAAAAATCATCCTATTCTTTTCTTCTTTTTCTTATATATATATTTCAATTACACACTAACCTTGGCAAGCTTTATCTTCTTTTGTTCAACTATCTTTTTCAAATTGTCCACTTGCAGCTTTAAATCTTCGTTTCTTTGTGAGAACTCTTTATTTGCTTGGATGGTATTGGCTAGATTTTCCTTCATTGTGAGATGTTCGTATTTACTCTGCAATTCAGCTCTTTCCTTGTTTAATTGTTCCTTCTCTTGTAGAGCCGTTTCCAAATCCGACGTATATTGATTGCTTTGCTCAGAAATCTCGGTATGTGTTAGTTGAAGGTCTTCAATATTGTGCTTTGTATTGTTGATTTTTACCACCAAGTCTTCGTGAACCTCCTTCAAGTTTGATAGCTCGTTTCTGTTGTTGCTTAGCGAGTTTGCTTTCATTAGGTAAAACTCATTTTCGTAAAGAATGACTGGTGGGCTTAATTTCAATATCTGGGAGATATCGCCGTTTTTTACTGGGGAAAAGAACTCGGGTGAGTTTATAAAACTGAACAAATCGTCTCCTTCTAAAGAAGCAAGATTTTCTTGGTTTTCCATAAAGCACCAAAGTAGGAGTCGAAGAATGAAATCAATACCTTCAAAAACAATCAAGTCAAATAATAGCAAATTGAGTTCTTTTGAAAACATTCCACAAAGTAAATTTGGTAAAATACTTCGGTAGTATATAGACCAGTTTATACCCTGACTTGATATATGAGAAAAACAGCCCAATGAGTCTTCTAATGCACGACTCACCTTATACATGAATTCATCCTCTTTAATAGTCATATACCACTGATATATCTTTAATAAAATAAAAAATCTTTCCTCGTCCAGCATAGGTATTTCATAAAGCAACTCGTATACACTTGATAAAAACACTTCAAGAGCTTTATTGACCTCCTGATTGCTAGCATCCAAGGAGCGAATCAGCTTCACCACATCCTCAGAGGGAATTAGCACATCCTCAGAGCTGGGTTTTGAGTCACCCCCCCTTTTCAAACAGGCCTCAAGTTCCCTTTTACTATTGAACTTGTACTTGATTTCAAGTGTCTTACTGTAAACCCTGCCCCTCAATTCAAGGGGAATCCCATTGATTATATTTGTTTCTAAAACTTCAGCATTCTCATTTCTCACAATCTGGTTACTATAGTCGCTAATCACCCTTAGCCAAAAAGAGTCTTCATTTGCTTCAGTTTCGGGTAATGGTTTCACACTCAATGAGGCATCATTGGAAATGACACTATAGCTATTATTCATCGCAGGTGAACTGTAAAGCTTCATCTGCCTAATAAGCGATATATGCGACAAGCTGTCATCAGGTGTAAACTTCAATCCCTCATTGGGTAATTCGGGAAGCGCCTTTTTAAGGTCAATTGTTGCACTAAAATCAGGCAGACCAACAACAACCCTCTCCTCTTTTCTAGGCGGCAAGGGCGGTGATGTGATATCTGTCGTCATATTCCTATACTCTTTTCCAAAATCTCTTCTTATCAATATTGGTAAATGGAACCTGATTTCTGCATGATATTTAAACTAAGAAACAAGAAAGAGAAGAAAACAAAGAAAAAAAGATTAAAAATGGTATGTGCCACGTGAATGGAAAATACAGTTAACTAAACTTTTGGAGATGCTTTTCTTTATTCAAAGAGAAGAAGATTCTCCCGCAAAAAACGGACCGGGTGTGTTTGTGTGTTTGTGTGTATGTATGCGCATAGGTGTTTCCTTCTATAAAAGTCTTCGTCTTTTCGAAAAGTTGGAATGCAGGCTTGTACGCTTTTCGTCCTTGTTTTTCTCACTAGAAACGTCTCTTGATAAGTCTATTATTTCTTCAACATTCAGATTTGTATCGCTCTCGATATCAAAACAATTCATTTTTATAATCTTGTTACCCCTTTTGCGTTTCAAGGGTGAAGTTTTTGTTTTATTTTCAAATGACTCATTAATGTCGAAAACTTTTCCATCTTTACTTGCACTTTCATCACCTCCAGCTCTTGATTCTTTACTTGCACTTTCATCACCTCCAGCTCTTGATTCTTTACTTGCACTTTCATCACCTCCAGCTCTTGATTCTTTACTTGCACTTTCATCACCTCCAGCTCTTGATTCTTTACTTGCACTTTCATCACCTCCAGCTCTTGATTCTTTACTTGCACTTTCATCACCTCTAGCTCTTGCTTCATTACTTGCACTTTCATCACCTCTAGCTCTTGCTTCATTACTTACACTTTCATCACCTCTAGCTCCTCCCACATTTTCGTCTTCTTCTTTAGCAGGTACTAAAAAACGTTCTATTTTCAGCTTTTTCACTATACTAGGGGCATTGCTTTGACTTGTATTTCCAAAGGGGTCAATTGTTGCCGCTTTCATTTCGAGCACATCGCTGAGTTTTGGCCACCGAGACATGTCATTTGCCTCTACACAGGCATTTACACTTGATTCTGTATTAATTTTCACCCCATTCTCTCTAGCAAGCTTCGATGCCAGTGCTACCAGTGCAACTGAAAATCTGTCATCGCTGCTATTGAGCTGATTGAAACTATCGTAAAAGTTTTGAGGTAGTGATGAATTTTTAACTTTTCCTTCTGAGTCCTTGATATAACCGTTTGACAGTTTATTAGTTTGCTTTCCGTCTTTACTTGATGTTGATTTTGTTAATGTCGATGAGGAGGAGGAAGATGAGGGTGGGGAGGGGGGAGAGGAAAAGCCATCACCATCAACTTTTATCCGCTCTTCAGTTACTTCTATTAACTCCGAATAGGAATTCTTTGTATTTAATTTTTTGCCCGTTAATAAATCTTTTCCAACTTTTTCCTCACAAACCTCATAAATGTCATTGTTACTGGTAGCCAGTCTGGTCGATTCTTTGTCAATTTTCTCCTTCTTCTTCTCCTTTTTCTCCTCTTCTTTTTCCTCCATCTGCTCTGTTTTGCTTAGTTTTTCTCTAAATTCGTCCACCTCAACTTTGAGAGAGTTAGGTATAACAATTTCATCTCCCGACTTGAAAGACTCAGTTTCCTTCTTCTTGACGCTTGTCAGCTCGGGAACATCCTCTTTAGCCACAGACAAGACATTATCATTTGTAATGCTTTCCAGTTTATCCTTCTGCAGAGTACTTTTCTTCATTGTCTCTCTCTGTCCTACATCACCATGTAACTTGTTTCGTCTAGAAGAAGAAGTTCTGTTATCCTCAAGAATCTCAATATCATCATCACTCTCTTCATCGGAAGAATGTTCTGCTCGATAATCTTGCTCCAGATGTAATTGGAGCAAAGTTTCCACCCAAAAAATACGTTCTCTATTCCTTTCTTCAGCTGGAAACAAGTGTTTAACTGTACCTGGTTGAAACTTTCTCCAGTGCGCCTCACACTCGGGTATTCTATTTAGCCACTTCCGAACATTGAATAAAACATGAACACCACAATCATTAAAATTTCTCTGTCTTGGCACTCGAGCTGAATGAACACGTATATGATCTTTGGCAATATCCAAATCATATTTTTCCTTGCAATATCCAATAATAAATTGTTTTAAAGGTACTTTGACATGGTCTCTTCTCATTCCCAACGAGTCGAAAACAAAAATATCTGCAGTACTTTTTACTTTGGGATCCACTTCTTCTACATCACTATCTGCCTCAACGCGAGCTTTATTTTCTTTCTCAGCTTTTAACAAAGCAGGTAGATTTCTCACAATGCAACAATACCAATGTAGATCCTCATTAATGGGAATCACCACATATGGATAACTCATCAAATCAATCTTTTGCAACCATCTCCGAATATTGCCATAATAATCCTGTGGCCCCTCTTTTTCCTTTGAAACCAACTTTGTGTAAAAGAATGAGTTGAAGGCATAAATTTCATTAGATTTCACTTTACCTTCCTCTATGCTTTTTTGAATCAGATATTTCAATCCAAAATCTATCAACAAATCATTGACCCAATTATTATGAAACAATGTTTCAAAATCTTTGCGGTTGATGAACATCTCAGTTCCGTCATTGAACTTGAAACGTAATTCCGGATGAAAAGATGGCACCACCTCAGGTCCCACATGGTTTACATTATTAAAAAATTTGGCATAATCATTACCGTTAGCTTCAATGAGCTGAACGTCATCGCCATCAAATTCAGCTTTTCGACTGGTTTTGGAATTCTTTTCAAGCTTGTTGGCAGGCTTTTCCAATTCAACAAACTGTTTTCTTTCAACAGACTCTTTCTTTTCAAAAGGTTCTCTTTTTTCAACAGAGTCTTTTCTTTCAACAGACTTTTCACTCCTGACAGACTTTTCAGTAGGTAATACTCTGCAACTTCTCCGAAGTGCACTTCTTACAACAACGTTTTTCAACGGATCAATCACCTTTGGCGCTTTCAGTATTGAAGGCACTGCAACGGGCTCTTTCAGTATTGAAGGCACTGCAATGGGCTCTTTCAGTATTGAAGGCACTGCAATGGGCTCTTTCAGTATTGAAGGCACTGCAACGGGCTCTTTCAGTATTGAAGGCACTGCAACGGGCTCTTTCAGTATTGAAGGCACTGCAACGAGCTTTTTCAGTATTGAAGGCACTGCAACGGGCTCTTTTGAACGGTTCTCTTCAGCAAAGATTCCAAACTGCACTTTGGGATTTGGATACTCTTTGAAATAATCACGAAATTTGACAACTGTCCCATCATGTATTGCCGTAATGTATTCAAACCTGTCATTCAATTTCATCGCAAACGAGTCGCTACGAAAAACAAACTGTTTCAAGTGTTTGTCAATATCAACGACGAAATCGTCCACAGGCTGTTGATCTTTGCATATGTATATAAACCGGCCATTTGAAGAAACTGCCAAAGCAATACCGGGGCCTCTGTACCTTTGTGCTAAAGGTTTCCCCAGGTATTCATATGATCTCAACGATTGGCAAACTCGAGGCGGTTCTCGCAAACGGTGCTCGTTCAAGTTCAAGTACCGACCTGAACAATCTCGTACTTCAGATATCTTTCCTCGCGTTTTCTTTGCAAGTAGAAGCAAGCTGTCTCTTGACTCAATAATCTCCTGGGAATCGAGATTTTTATCTCTATTTCGTTTTGGAAAATATGTATGTTTTGTGGAGTCTGCTAGTGAATGGTGTGGTTTATAATGTGTTAAGGAGTCTAGTCGTAGACGATTTTGCTTAGAATCTTGTAATACTTGGGAAACGTCTGTGGACGACTTTTCTACCCGGATCGGGTTAGACATTGGGGATGGCTTCGACAAGGGCAGCGAGAGCAAAGTATCTGTAGGGTGAAATCCACCATTTCGTGGACTTTTGGATAGTTTTTTCTTTGTGGTAATCTCCTTGTTTTCGAAAGCATGATTAATCATGACGATCTAGATGTTCTCTCTTGCAATCAGGTGAATTGGAAACCATTCAAAAATCGTGGGGGAGGGAAATGAAAGAAATTCGTTTTAATAATGAAGCAGAGAATTTAAATGCTCTATACTGCCAGTCCTTACTTTAAGAAGAAGAAGAGTAGGGAAAAAAGGTATGAAAACTGCACTAGCAAAGCCAAGGGTGATGTTAGTGGAAGAGTAGCAGTAATTGCAAATCAATTAGGAGGAGGGAAGGGGGAAGGGGGAAGTCGTGTAGGAAGTCGTGTAGGAAGTCGTGTAGGAGGTCGTGTAGGAGGTTACGTAAGAGGTTATCTAGGATGAGTTGAAACTAGTAGATGGGTGTAGATAGAGCACTAGCGTTGTCTTTGACTTTATTATCGAGCAGAGCGAGATAGTGGGGCATATTGACTATAGGGTTATGAGAGTAGAGATGAGATGAGCTAGAGAAAAAAGAATACTACACTATTGAGCGACACTATCAAGCGACACTATCGAGCGACACTATCGAGCAACACTATCGAGCAGAGCGAGATAGTGTTGTTACAAGCTACCGAGTTTAGCTCTACTGTCCAGCTATACTATCGAGCGACACTATCGAGCGACACTATCGAGCAGAGCGAAATTGTGTTGTTACAAGCTACTAACACTATCAAGCAACACTATCGAGCAGAGCGAGATAGTGTTGTTACAAGCTACTGAGTTTAGCTCTACTGTCCAGCAACACTATCGTGCGACACTATCGACGGAGCGAGACAGTAAGCTACTAAGTGTTGCTCCACCATCTCGCTCTGCTCGATAGTGCCGATAGTGTTGTAACAAGTCACTGAATGTTGCTCCACTATCTCGCTCTGCTTGATAGAGTTGATAGTGGAGCACACTGACTAATGACACTATCTCGCTCTGCTCGATAGTGTCATTTGTGGTAGCTCCACGCATTGAAAAATTGGTGGCAAGCTTTTATGGCTAACGAAAAAAACCTCACTAGAACTTTGATCATACAATAGTTAAAGGATTACACTCTCTTGTCTTTTCTTCTCTTGTCAATTTTTAGGAGCTTTTCGAGGAAATATGGGACAGGGATCCTCAGGTATGCCAGGTGGCAATAATGCCAATAAGAAGAAAGACGATAAGAAGAAAGAGAAACCCAAATATGAGCCTCCTGTAGAGTCTAAATTTGGTAAAAAGAGAAGAAAAGGTCCAGACACTGCAGTTAAATTACCAACGATATTACCCAACACAAGGTGTAAATTGAAGTTGTTGAAATTGGAAAGAGTTAAGGATCATCTTTTGTTAGAGGAAGAGTTGGTTTTCAACCAGGAAGCTTTCCAACCTACAGAAGCAAGACAAGCTGAGGAAAGAGAAAAAATCGACGAATTACGCGGGTATCCAATGGCGATTGGAACACTAGAAGAGATTATTGACGATGACCATGCGATTGTGTCTAGTACGGCAAGCTCAGAGTATTATGTGCCTATAATGTCCTTTGTAGATAAGGGTTTGTTAGAGCCTGGGTGTTCGGTGTTGCTACATCACAAAACAGTGGCTGTTGTCGGTGTTCTCCAAGATGATGCTGACCCAATGGTCTCGGTAATGAAGTTGGACAAGTCGCCAACAGAGTCCTATGCTGATATCGGAGGATTAGAATCGCAGATCCAGGAGATTAAGGAGTCTGTAGAATTGCCATTGACACATCCTGAATTGTACGAGGAGATGGGAATAAAACCACCAAAGGGAGTAATATTGTATGGTGCTCCCGGGACCGGAAAGACATTGCTAGCTAAGGCGGTAGCCAATCTGACATCTGCTACATTTTTGAGAATAGTAGGGTCGGAATTAATTCAGAAATATTTAGGTGACGGTCCAAGATTATGTCGTCAAATTTTCCAAATCGCAGGAGAACATGCACCATCTATTGTGTTCATTGATGAGATCGACGCTATTGGTACAAAGAGATACGAGTCGACATCCGGTGGTGAGAGGGAAATCCAAAGAACAATGTTGGAGTTGCTTAATCAATTAGATGGATTTGACGATAGGGGTGATATCAAGGTCATTATGGCCACTAACAGAATTGAAAGTCTTGATCCTGCTTTGATCAGACCGGGAAGAATTGATAGAAAGATACTATTTGAGAATCCCGATTCAAATACCAAAAAGAAGATTTTATCCATCCACACTTCGAAAATGAGTTTGGCCGATGATGTCAATTTGGATGAGATTGTTACTGGGAAGGACGATTTGTCCGGTGCCGATATCAAGGCAATCTGTACCGAAGCAGGTCTTATGGCCTTGCGGGAGAGGCGTATGCAAGTCAAGGCGGATGATTTCAAAGCAGCCAAGGAAACAGTGTTGAAGAATAAAGTGGAAGAGAACTTGGAAGGGTTGTATTTGTGAGCAAAGAAAACTCAAATAAATAAACAGATATATATATATATATATATATATATATATATATATACGCCATTGAAATATACATCTTCAGTTTATACGTTAAACAACTTTTGTATGGTAAAGAATCAATGCACCAATGTCGCAAATTTAAAAAAGATTTGCGACTTTAATAATCTGTAATTTTTCAAGATGCTACCATTATGTACAGTTTTATATTGCAATAACCTGTTTCTTAGTTGAACTAAAGGTTCATAGTTAAAGGCCTCTTGAGTTTTTCTTTCCTCTAATGATGCTTAAAGGAAAAGTACGACATAAGGACATTGGGTTATAGCAGTAAAAGAAAGATTAGAAAAAAAAGTGACATAGTAAGAAAAGCAATGATATTTTGCTTTAATGTTGTGCCATGTCCAAAAATCAATATTGTACTATATCGAAATTTAATTCGTTGTATACATTCTATTCAACGTTTGCAACAAGGTTCTAGTGGTGGAAAATCAAGATTGTCATATCCCTTGCAAGCCGTCAAGCAAGGAAATGCAAAAGAGGTCAAGTTTTTGCCAAAAAAGAAAGTCGTTGAGGAGATATCAATAAGTACATTTGTGAAATCTCTCAAAGATAATAGAGCCAGAGCTGAGAAGTTGGAAAAATTGCACGGAATTGAGCAAGCAGAGGATATTTCAATCAATTCTATAGCATCAAAGCGACGCAAGAACAGTCTCAAAGATAAAAATGGGGGTTCAAAGCATAGCAGGTCTGAAAATCAACCAGTTAGCATAAAAGGGCAAAGTAATAATCTAGTCCTGCAACAGCTGGAATTGGGTGAAAGTTCAGCTCCAAAAGAGCAAGCAATAACTAATAAGGGGTCTCCTATTCAAGACAATGACACCACCACAAGTACAGATTGGAGTACATTTCTCTTGGAGGAGTTTCGAGGTTTAAAAAAGAACAAAACTGTTGATTTAGGTCAAACTCGCACATTTGAGGCAATAATGAGGGAGTATTCTTGCGAAGCATTAGTAGCCAAAAAACAACTTGAATATAAACAAAAAACGCCGAATTACAAGAGTTTTAAATTCTTCAATTATGATCTACTTGATGCACTTGGCACAGGGAGGTATGAATTCGATTCGCTGAATATGGAAAAAATCAAGGTTTCGTTGAGGGGACAAGCATCTATTTTTCACAGGCTGGGGAGTTTAATCTCTCCCATAGAGTTGAAAATTGATGAAACTAGAAACTTCAAAAACCGCACGAGTGTAGCAGTTTTGAATCAGATTGGCCGGCTGTTGATATTTGAATACTTGATCAAATGGTGTATGTTTAGTAAGCACAAACCATTGCTGTTATACCAGTGTTTTGTGAAGAATGATTGCAAAAAAATCCGGTTTCAACAAATTGAAGAAAGCGAATTGGTGGTGTTTACAGGATTCACTCCAGTCAATGTATTTGCCGCAATGGTTTACCTTGAAGACAAAGACTATGACTACTTAATACTCAAATTTCTTACCCCTATCGCCGACAGAAATGAGCTTGAGAAAATATTCAACAATGAACTTTTCATCAACGAGTATATTGAAAAAGTATCACAGTTTTTGTCTTCAAACCAAATTGCATTGGATCTAACATTATTTGCACAAGTAACCAAGTCTCCATTTTTGATCACTTTACCAAATAAACTTCCACCTATTCCCAAATTCCATAATCAAATCTTGTATAAGTTTTTTGGAATATCATTGGTTGTGCCAGATTTTGAATTGTATGAGAAAAACAAAACACTCAAGAGACTAGTTGAAAATCTCGATGTTTTAGGTGACACAGTTTTAAAGCGGTATTCAGCCGAGTTTCTAATACACTATTCCAAAATGAATCCCAATTTCAAATGGAACATGGATGATTTGCATTTTCTCAACACAAACATTATATTCAATCGTCTTAGTTTAGCTTACAAATTGCACGAGGGAGTAACAAATGTCAAATATCGAGAATATATGAGGAAAATCATTACCGAAAAGAGTCTTGACATAGCAAATGAGATGTTGGGGGACATTTTTGAAAGATTGGTAGCTATTTTGTATCTTGATGAACCGGAAACATGCAGAAACTGGATGTTTGAAATTTACAATTGCATTTTGGAGAACTTGAAAACGACAAAACAGAAAGTGGAATTTATCGACAAGCAAAAGTACCTTACACTTTATCAGTATCACTTAAAAAATTCCACAATGTATTAACACATTTAAAAGCAGAGCAGCTTAACCTTTATCTTATTTTGGTTCTCTAAATACCGTGTCTGCCTTTTTCAACTTCAATATAATGGTTTCTTTAAACGAGACTACTTTTCTGCACAATGGACATAGGCCTTTCCCTCTTGGCATATTTGCTTGCCCCCTTGCTCGGGAACTACTAATGCTTTGTTCAATGCATTGTAAGCAAAAAATATGGCCACAAGTAGTTGTTGTTGCATTCTCTACTATATCAAAGCATATGGGGCACTGGATATCGGATAGCTTTTTGGTAACCTTGTGTCCTGAATTAGATTGTTTTTCTTGCTGCAGCTGCGGTTGTTGTTCATGATCCGTGGAGTTTATAAGATCCTGTGTTATTTTCCTAAATTCGAGTATTTCCACTTCATCATCATCTTCCGAGGATATCTCGATGATGTCGTAATCTGGCATTAACTGATGCTTTTGCGGGTGAACTTTGTATTCATTGATTTTTCAAACAATGAAAAATAAAAATGTCAAAAGGTGAAGCATATCACGTGACTGGGAAGGGGAATTGAAGGAGGAGTAGGGATTACAAGTTAAATTATACGGAGAGAAGAGCCTTACATAGTATGCAAATGAGGAGGGGAGGAAAAGAAGGTGATAGTTATTTGAAATGGAGAAAAAGAGTATTTGGTTTTCATGTTTTGAGGTATACAGAGGAGGAGAAGGAGATGGTTGACAATCTGATCAATGTAGTGATAGACAAGTTATTTAACTGATTAATGCACGAAAACCCAAAATATCAAACTGAATAAAGATCAGAACCAGTTGCGATTCGATACTCAATTGCTGATTTGATACGCATTTGCTGATCAGATATGCGTTTTGGTTCCCCTGCTTTGTAAAACCAAATTAAAAAGTAAAGGAGAAGAGAAGGGCTGGAGAAGAGAAGGGCTGGAGAAGAGAAGGGCTGGAGAAGAGAAGGGCTGGGGAAGAGAAGGGCTGGAGAAGAGAAGGACTGGAGAAGAAAAGGGCTGGAGAAGAGAAGGGCTGGAGAAGAAAAGGGCTGGAGAAGAAAAGGGCAGGGGCAAGGGTGAGGAGAATTTCAAGTGTCACTAGTCAACTGTGCTGCACTATCGAGCAGAGCGAACAGAGCGAGCAGAGCGATAGTGTCGAAAATATAGTAGGGCTGGACTGACCCGTGTGTGCTAAATAGTGGAGCAGGACTGACCCGTGTGTGCTCGATAGTGGAGCAGTACTGACAGACATAGGGGGACTGTGGAGGAGAAGGAACAAGGTTGTGTATTTGGAGGATATGGTACAGACGTACCACACTATCGAGCGCTCTACTCGATAGTGTCGTTATTAACTCTCTACATAGTTAGTAGCAAAGCCTCATTTAATGAGGCTTGCCACTATTAGTTAATAGTAATTAGTCTGTCAGCTAGTGTGCTTTATCGATAGTGTCAGTGTCAGCCAGTGTCAGCCAGTGTCAGCTAGTGTGCTCCACAATCTCGCTTCGCTCGATAGTACAGCAAAAACTGTAGAGTAACTATCACATGGACACAACACCGCTGCTCTTATTGTTCTCCAACCCACTCCTTTCCGTTCAACTATTATCCACATTGCAGTTGGTTTTAGATGCAAACAATTGTTAGCGTGGTTGAACAAGGGTCGTGTATAAATATACTACATTTTAAAAGCACAAAAATGATTGAAAATGACGTCATATTAAGAAATATAAAGTTTTGATAAAGTTTTGTTAGTCACGTGATATGGTTAAAAGTGTCAATATTTTTTGATAGCTAGTAATAGATAGCGCGCAGATTTGATGATAATAAACTATGACGTATGTATTGGAAAGGGGGGGGGGCACACATAACCTAAAAAAGTACAACTGCAACAATTGCCACAATTATCATCATAGAAATCACAAACAAAATGATCACAGGTGCTTATCAGAACTTCTTGGGAAAACCAGAGGCTATTAAAGATATGTCCATGTAGGTTTTTTTTTTTTTTTTTTGATTTCACCTTGGACAAGATTATGCCTTCTCTGGTGTCAAAATTTTCTTTTTTCTTTCTTTTCGTTTTTCGGATAACATCGCCACGAAATTTAAAACAGAACCAGATAAGGAAGAGAGAATAATAAAGACGAAATATTGTTTGAAATAGAGATAATGTAGGAAGATAAAGGACTATTCAGTAGAGATAGCTTGAAGAGAGGGGCTTTTGGTGAGAGATAGCTGAAGAGAGGGGCTTTTGGTGAGAGATAGCTGAAGAGAGGGGCTTTTGGTGAGAGATAGCTGAAGAGAGGGGCTTTTGGTGAGAGATAGCTGAAGAGAGGGGCTTTTGGTGAGAGATAGCTGAAGAGAGGGGCTTTTGGTGAGAGATGGCTTGAAAAGAGGGGCTTTTAGTGAGAGATGGCATTGCTAGTGAAAACAGTAAGTCTATATTATTGGTGAACAACCTAGCATTCAAGGCTTCCAAGTAAAGAATTAAGAAAGCCTCGGTCAAGATGGGCCCACCGGATGACAATAATTTTTGTAAACGGGGAATATACCCTCTAAATTGATCTTTTATCATCTTTCTTTTTTTCATCTTTTTTTCATCTTCCTTTTTTAGCATCCTTTTTCAGCATCCTTTTTCAGCATCCTTTCTTTTATCATTCTCTCTCTTTTTTTTTAATGTAAATGACTTAGGCTCACCCCCTTCACCCTCTCACCCCTTTTTGCCAAAAACACACGGGTTTGAGAGGTTTTTTTGTTATTGTTTCTCTAGTAAAAAAGTAGAGATATACCTTACTTCCTAGTAGGGCGATTCAATTAAAGTACAATAGTATTACTATAAACTTTTAATGCATAGAGCACACTGATAAGAGTAAACAATCAAGTTAAAATAGACCTTTGGTTAACGCCCCCCCATCTGTTTGTCAATATGTATAATAGAATAGAATACCTATTATTGTGTTGATTGTATTTATCCCGGGCTATAATGTATCATCAGTCAATGTGCTCCACTATCTCGCTTTCGCTCGATAGTCTCGCCATACTCTCTTTCCTTGTATACTCTATGGTTACAGTAGAAAAGAAAAAAAACTTTTAATAAAAAGCAACAACAATGCTACCATTCTTCTTTTGCAATTTCTTTTTTTCTTTTTTTTTTTTTTTCTTTTGGCGCCTTAACGCTAAGAGAATATAACCATTTAGAAAGTATCGCTACCAAACGTTATTTGCACCATGTGGTTTAAATTTTGGTAATTGTGCATTGTTTTACTCATCGGTATCTTCCGTTTGAGTTTATACCAACTTTCAGGGGAAAGAGTATATAAGCTAAGAGTTGCCCCCCCCTCCTCTCAACCTAATCTCTAAGTTGTTAATAGGATAGTATTGGTTTTTTTTTTTCCTACTTCATTCTTTCAAGTCAATTGACCTAATAATAACTTTCTTTCCTTTTTTTATTTGTCATGACAATTGCAAAGCAAATAGCTGTGTTTTATTGTAACGTCGCATTATTCGATTGCGATGGTACTTTGGTCAACTCAACAGGAGCAATATCTGAGTTTTGGAGAGAGTTTGGTAAAACGAGACCACACGTTAACCCCGAAGAGATTATCAGAACCTCTCACGGGTGTCGTACTTTTGATGTCATAAATAAATGGTCACCAGAAGATGCAGAGGTTGAGCAAGTTACTCAATGGGAAAGCGAAATTCCAGATTCTTTCGGTCAACATGCTAAAGCTATACCAGGTTCAGTTGAATTGGTTAAACAATTCGATAGCTATTCTTCGCAGACCAAAGATGGTAAGCAAAAATGGGCAGTGGTGACATCGGGTACATTACCATTAGCTACAAAGTGGCTAAAATTATTAACCATTGAAAAACCAGATGTTTTCATTACTGCTGAAAAAGTGACAAAAGGTAAGCCACATCCACAAGGATACTTGGCAGCAAGAGAAAATTTAGGTTTTGGTGATAAAAGGAGCAAAGTGGTTGTTTTTGAAGATGCTCCAGCAGGTATAGAAGCTGGGGAGAAAGCAGGTGCTATGGTTGTTGGTATTTGCTCAACGTATGATCCTGAAAAAGTGAGAAAAGCAGGTGCCAATATTGTGGTTAAAGATTTGACCAGTTTCCGCGTAACAGATTACAATAAGGAAACTGAAGAATTTAAAGTTGTCGTTGAAGATTACTTTTACGCTGATCCAGAATTTTTGGAATTAGTTTAAGAATTAAAGAAGAAAAAAAGAAATAAAAAGGAGAAAAAAAATGGAAAAAGATTAACTAGATTGTCTTCTATTGTAATAGTTGGGTAATTTATAGATTGTACATTAGTAATAGAAACCCATTGGACAGTATAGAAAGTTATGGACCGTAATGGCAAGCCATTGGACAGTTGTAGCAAGTCACTGGACCATAATGGCAAGCCATTGGACAGTTGTAGCAAGTCACTGGACCGTAATAAAAAGCCATTGAATATTTTGTGTTAAATTGAAAATAATTTTTCTCTTATCTTACCTCATCGCGATAGTGTTCTTTTACAAGTGCTCCACTATTGGGCAGAGCAAGATAGTAGCAGTCACTGTTGCTACAAAGTGTTTCTCCACTTTCAAGCAGAGCGAGAGAGTGTGCTCCACTATCGAGCGAACCGAGATAGTGTCGATAGTGTCGATAGTGTCGATAGTGTTGGTGGCAGCCAGTGTGGTGGCAGCCACTATTGCTCCACTTTCTCGCTCTGCTCAATAGTGTAAATTTTCTGTCTGTTTTTTTATTTGCTCGAGTGTGTCTGTGTAATCAGTGCTGCTCCACTATTGAGCAGAGCGAAATAGTGTAGATAGATGAAAGAGTGTAGATAGATGAAAGAGTGTAGATAGATGAAAGAGTGTAGATAGATGAAAGAGTGTTGCTCCACTTTTTCGCTCTGCTCAATAGTGTCGCTCACTCGATAGTGTCGTTCAATAGAGGCGATAGCAGCTAGTGTGCTCCACTATCTCGCTTCGCTCGATAGTGTTGGTGGATAGTGTCGATAGAGTTGGTGGCAGCTAGTGTGCTCCACTATCTCGCTAGTGTTGCTCGATAGTGTCGATAGAGGCGATAGCAGCTAGTGTGCTCCACTATCTCGCTTCGCTCGATAGTGTCGCTCGATAGTGTCGATAGTGTCAAGCAGCTAGTGTGCTCCACTATCTCGCTTCGCTCGATAGTGTCGCTCGATAGTGTCGCTCGATTTCTTTTTTTTTTTTTTATTTTTTTCAATGCGATGAGATGAGCATCTCAATATGGCAAGGAGAAAAATTACTAGCAAACTACTATTTATAGAGTAAAAAGGGAGTAGAGGAGTAGACGAAATAAAAGCTATTAGAGAGTTGAAGGCTGCTTTACAATGTCTGGTCCCAACTTGGTAAATCAATATCCCATCACATCCTTACCAAGGGTGAACGATGTGGAGTTATCGCGTAAATTGGTGGTGTCCCCAATCATCTCTCACGATACTTCAATTATAGACCTTGGAATTTCGAAATCCATGATATCGTCACATTTAATAAAACCTAGTCCGAAATTGTTATGGTCATATGCGCTCAAACCATCTGTTGTTGTAGAAGCAATGGATGTGGTCAAATCACTGAATAAGAAATACTATATATGCAGTTTATCAGAAAGGAGGAGTGCCCAGCTTTTACTAGTTGAAACTGAAAATGATACTACTATCACTACCACCACCACCACCACCACTGGTGGTGATGGCAATTTCAACATTTCAACGTCAAAAGAGTCGAAATTAAAATTACACCAAAAAGCGATTGGTGTGAAATTTTTGAGTGTTTCTAAAATTGCTGTTGTTTATGTTGATGGAGCAGTTGAAATTATTAATCTAGTTGAAAATGTTTTGAGCTTTGCCGGGAATAAAATTGCAAGTAGCAGTGAAAAAGAAGAAGAAGTGATATTTAATACCTTTATCAGTGACTTGGAACAGCCGCTACTTTTGATTGTTTCGAAAGTGTTGAGATCAAAAAAGTTGAATTATAAGCTCATCTCTTTGGACTTGCAAAAACCAATATTCGAAGCACAAATGGTACAGAGAGATTACCAAAAAGAGAAGGAGGAGGAAAAAGCAGCAGAGGAGAACTTTGTTTTTGCATACATAGAAGGAACCTTATTCCAATACCGTAATTTTCATTTAGAGTCTATTTCAATTGCCAATTTCCAAACACAAAACACTATTTTGGTATCTACCTTGATTGATAAGCAGTTCCCAGTTTCAATAAGGGCGCCGGCTCCCGATAGAATCTTGCTAGGTAATGCCGACATGATATATTTGATAAATGTGAAATTTGGTGCATTACTATCAAAGTTCAAGTCGGTTTCCAGCTCGTCGAATCCAGTGGCTGATATAGTATATGTAAACCAGGTTATTCCGGTAAAGGGGCAATCCCAAAATACATCGAATTCAGTGGGATTCTATTTGAACTTGAAAAATAAGGACAAAAATTTATATTTGAATGTTATTGACATCAATGTTGGCTTTAACAAGTTGAATGAATGTTTAGGCAAGGCATTGGAAAAACCTAAAGAGAAAAAGTTGCATAATTTGGTAGAGTTGTATGATGATGATGATGATGATGATGATGGTGATGGCACAGTGAATGGAGGCCATTCAATCGAAAAGACAAACAGTGAGCTTGATGAGGTATATGAGAGTTTAAAAGAAGCGCAACAAGCTGGAGATTTGCATAAATGGGAATCGATATTAATACCATATTTGAAGAATAACAAATCTTGGCAAGATATCAAGAAAAATGGAGACAAGCAGAGTAAAAAGAATAAAGTGTACCAGTATAAGGAATTTGAAGTAGAAAATGATCGAGTTGTTGATGTCAAGTTTATTGAGTCCTTGTTTGAACTTTTATTTGATACCAACCCTTTACTGTTTAAGAACTCTGCTTTTGTTCCTGAATATACCTTGATGTACCTTTTGACCAATCCAATTTACCCGAAATTATATGCCAAGGGATTAATACAATTGCTCGATGAAACGAAAAATAAGACTCTTTTAAGACAGGCTATCAATACATGCTTGAATATTCCGTTGGATGATTTTCTCCAGCAGTTGTTGAGAGAGAAGGATGCAACTGTGATTCACGACTTGATCAACCGTGTTGTTTTAGAGTTTTCCACTGATAAAATTACAACTGTTTTGAAGAAGGTTATCGATGGCCAAGACCACTCAGTGGATGTGATTGAGTTGATTAACAAATTACTTGCTTCAAAGACAGCTAATAATTGGATTTTAATTGAGATCTTGATTAGTATCAATGGGTTGTTCAATTGGTCAGAGGACGATTTGAAAAGATTGAATAGATTAGTTGATATTAGTTTGAAAGCACTTGAAGTGAATGCCTATAATTTGACACTAGTTAAACAAATACAATTAAAGAAAAACCAGTTGGCTCAGATTCACAATGGTAAGAAGAGTAAAAATGAAATAAATTCAAGTACAAGTGGATTGGGATTATTGTCCATCACCGATCAAACGAGTTTGGGCAATAAAAAAGTGGATAGTCTTGTTAATTCAAAGGTGCCATTGTATTCTATCGAGACCTTGGATGTGTAGAGAGAGAGAGAGAGAGAGAGGTAAATAAAGTATAGATTAGGACAAATTCGAACGAACAACGATGATAATGATAATGATGATAAAGACGATGTAAATTCCTTACCCATGACCCATGCTTTATTCTTTACAAGGGGCCACCATCGAGCAGAGTGAGATTCAGGGACAGAAAGAACCTTGCCCATGTTTTACTCTTTACAAGGGGCCCAGTGTCGCTACTAAATGCTGCTCCACCATCTCGCTTCGCTTGATGGTGTCGCTCGATGGTGTCGCCTGGTGCTCAGCACGAAACAAAATGAAAAAAAAATTAATCACCTTCTGTGTTTCTCTAATTGAGTATCAAGCGATTATTTGCTTTACCAATGTCAGCAAAAGCGGCTTACAAGAATGCGTTAAGGTCAATAAATGTAGTATTTAAAAATGATATAATTGTGAAACAAGAGGCGAAACTACGCATCAAGAATGGAATACTTGAAAAAGCAAATTTGACCAAGGAGAATGAGATTTCGCAAGCGGTTGATGAGTTGAACCAAGTTGGTAATTTTCTTTTGAAGAATGTTGTTCAAGGCCAGTTACAACCAAATGGGAAATATCTATTAAATTTTCATGATAAGACCGAGTTAGGGGATAATGAGAGTATTAAACAGGAAAAGAATGAGATTGGGAGTTTGAGTGGGTTGAAGAGTAAAAGCATAAGAATTTGTAGGTAGGGGCAACTAGAACCTGTAAGTAGGGGCAACTAGAACCTGTAAGTAGGGGCAACTAGAACCTGTAAGTAGGGGCAACTAGAACCTGTAAGTAGGGGCAACTAGAACCTGTAAGTAGGGGCAACTAGAACCTGTAAGTAGGGGCAACTAGAACCTGTAGGTAGGAGCAACTAGAACCTATAAGTAGGGCAACTAGAACCTGTATCTAGGGGCAACTAGAACCTGTAAGTAGGGGCAACTAGAATCTGTATCTAGGGGCAACTTTGTATAGATGCTACAAGTAAAACTTGTTTAGTGACAAATGTGAAAAAAAAATATACCAAAACTTTATAGAAAAACCTTTGTTGTTTCCTCAGGTAGTTGTATCTAGAGTTGTGATGACACCGGGATCAGATCAAGCTAGTAGAAGAGACATTCTTATTTCAAAAACATTGTCATATTTGCTTCGACACGGGGCGCTCAAAGAAAAATTGGATATCAATGCCCAAGGGTATATTTCAATTCCCCAGCTATTACAACATCAACGTTTGAAAAGCTTCAAGACGACAAGAGAAGATCTTGAACGAGTAGTAAAAGAAAACAATAAACAGAGGTTTCATATAAATTTGGAAAAAGATGCCATATGTGCAAATCAAGGTCATTCTATACCACAAGTTTCAGGTGAGCTCGAACCAATGAATAAAGAAGAATTATCGAGACTACAAATTTTTCATGGCACATATAAGAAAAAGCTACCGATGATTAAGCGGGCTGGTGGGTTAAGTAAGATGAATAGAAATCATATACACTTGACTTGCGAGAAATTTCAGTCGCTATCAGGAATCCGCAAGACAGCAAACTGCTTGATTTATATTAATACAGATAAATGTATTGATGAAAAGGGGTTGAAGTTTTGGAAAAGTGCAAACAATGTTATTTTGTGTTGTGGTAATAAGGACGGTTTGATTGAATTGGATTGTATTGACAAGATTGTGGATCTCACTAGCGGCACTAGCGGCACTATCGACACTATCGACACTATCAACACTATCGAGCGAAGCGAGATAGTGGAGAGAGACTAGACGAGTGGAGAGAGATTGTGGAGAGAGACTAGACGAGTGAAACCAGTCTGGTCGATAGTAGATAGACTATTGACACTAGCGACACTATTTCGCGAAGCGAGCTAGTGGAGCAGCATTGACTGCACCGACGTTAGCGACACTATTTCGCGAAGCGAGCTAGTGGAGCAGCATTGACTGCACCGACGTTAGCGGCACTATTTCGCGAAGCGAGCTAGTGGAGCAGCATTGACTGCACCGACGTTAGCGACACAATTTCGCGAACCGAGCTAGTGGAGTATTACTGAATAACTTATTCGAGTCAAATGTTCTTTCCACAGATATACAGATGCACGCTTTTTTATGAAAAGCTTTACAGCAAGTGCGATGAATATAAAGCCAAGAGAGAAAACCACACGGGTTTGATCGCTCTACTACCGAGCAGAGCGAAATAGCGGGCAGCTAGTCAGTGTATAAACTATATTGATTATATACTGTTGATATTCAATTGTGCTGCACTACCGAGCAGAGCCAAATAGCGGGCAGCTAGTCGGTGTATAAACTATATTGATTATATACTGTTGATATTCAATTGTGCTGCACTACGGAGCAGAGCCAAATAGCGGGCAGCTAGTCGGTGTATAAACTATATTGATTATATACTGTTGATATTCAATTGTGCTGCACTATCTCGCTGTGCTCGATAGTGTTGTAATAAGCTACAAAGTGTCGGTGGCAGCTAGTCAGTGTGTATTTAACTGTGCCCCACTATCTCGCTCTGCTCGATAGTGGGTATCAAATAAGGAAATTTTTTTTTAAACTTTAGATATAAGCGTATCTGTGTACTTCTTTCTCCTTCTGTGTGTGGAGATGAAAATGTAATTTCTTTTTACAATTTAAGATCAAACAAAGTTTAATCTAGAACCCACAATCGAACAGAGATAGTGGAGCACACTAACTAATGATCATCAAGCAACACTATCGAGCAGAGCGAGATAGTGTTGTGACAAGCTATAAAGTGTTGCTTCACCATCGGGCAGAGCGAGATAGCGTAACTTGAGTCTTTTATGTAAAGTCTTTTATCTAGAGTCTTTTATCTAGAGTCTTTTACGGGTGTCACTAAAGTCTTTTACTAGAGTCTTTTACTAGAGTCACTAGTCAATACTGCTCTACTATTTGGCTCTGCTCGATAGTGTCGATAGTATCGTCAGTGTTGCTAGGTGCTGCTCGATAGTGTCGATAGTATCGTCAGTGTCGGTCTAGATTACATTTTCATGATCTAGATCTAAAAAAATAGGCTAGTCTCTTTTTCGTATATCAAATTTGTTCATGTGACACAGAAACAACATATCAATGTATACATGATTAAAAGGCATAAAACAACCAGCCATAGTATACATTTCGATTTTGTTAAAGTATATCTACCAAAATGTCATTCATTGCTATTAGCTAGAGTCACACTATCGAGTAGAGTCACACTATCGAGCAGGGCAACATTATCGAGCAGAGCGAGATAGTGGAGCACACTGACTAATGACACTATCTCGCTCTGCTCGATAGTGTTTTTTTCAAAGAAACCCCTGTGCGTATTACTGGAGTCTTTTATCTAAAGTCTTTTACTAGTGTCAATATAGTGCTCCACTATTTCGCTCTGCTCGATAGTGTCACTAAAGTCTAATCTTTTACTTTCAATATTCAATGCTCCACTATCTCGCTCTGCTCGATAGTGTCGATAGTGTCGATAGTGTTACTAGAGATATTCTACGAGTTTCCAAGGGTTTACTCCGACACTATCGAGCAGCACTTGGCAACAGTGACTCTATTTCTTTGGTTGTGTACTATCTCGCTCTACTCGATAGTGCAGCAACACTTGCTAGCTTGTTGCTTTCAATATCTCCCCCTCATCTATTCCTCCTCATCTACTTCTCCTCATCTATTCCTCCTCATCTACTTCTCCCCTTTTGTTTTCCCTTGTTTTCCCTTGTTTTCCCTTGTTTTCCTCTTCATATGTGCTCTTCCCTAATTATATTTCTTTTTTTTTTTTTAGATGCTACAGACTTTGTGAGTCGTTGCCTAGTAACCGATTCTAGATCATTTCAACCCCGTGTCTGGACCAATAAATTTCTTATGGTTAATTCAAATCTAGAGTCTTTTCCATCAAGAGGTAAGCTTTTACAACAGAGCCATTGTCTCTTTGCCCAGATTTGAATGGCTATTTTATGGAAAGAGGAAGAAATTACCAATTGGGAAATTGTAAAATATAATCGTTGCATATTGAATATACAACATTGACCCAATTGACATACACAAATATATTTAATATGTTGCTATAGAGTGCTGCTCCCACTATCTCGCTCTGGTCAATGTTCCGATCTTCCAACACAAATATATCTTCTAATGAGTTTAGGTCACAAAGTAAAAAAGTTGGAAGCTTATATATTGACAAGGTCATTCCTCTTTATTTCTTTTTTGGTTTCTTCTTCTTCTTCTTCCTCCTCTTTCTTCTTCTTCCTCTTGCTTCATCTTCCTCTTTCTCTTTTTTTGTTGGCTTTCTAATGACATGAAATTTCAACATTGATTTGCTTGAGTGATGATTTCATGAATTGGTCCACATACGAGTACATTTAGCATCCCCTCACTTTCCTTGATAAACTGATACTATCGAACAGAACGAGATAGTAAAGCACCATTGAATATTGACACTAGTAAAAGAAAAGACTCTAGTGACTATTGACACTTTTATAGCTGCTAATTACCTCAAAGCTGTTAATCACATAAAGCTGTTAATCACATAAAGCTGCTAATTACCTCAAAGCTGTTAATCACATAAAGCTGTTAATCACATAAAGCTGCTAATTACCTCAAAGCTGCTAATTACCTCAAAGCTGCTGGAATTTGAAGCTGCTAATCTTTTAAAGCTGCTGGCATTTGAAGCTGCTAATCACCCCAAAGCTGCTGGCATTTGAAACTAATCTTATATTACCCCAGGTTTTTTTGAAAGATTGAGTTACAACAGAGTAACATCCCAAGTGCATGTTCTTTGAAGAACCTTTGAAAACGATAGACTCGACTACAACCACGTCTAGTAATGTTTCAGCTGTGTCAAGGCGTAAACGGAACAAGACATTTTCTTTTTACCCGATAATGGATGCAACAACAAAAACAAACTCAAATGCTCAAAGCCCAGGGAAAAGGGTAACTCCTTTAACCCAGAGTCCTGCAAGAGCAACTCCTTTGTCCCCAAAATCGTCCAAATTATCCCTATGCATTCCCAAAGAAAAGAATGCTCGATTCTCTTCCAAATTGCCACTACACACGGGTTTGACTTCGGATAACAAGATTTGTCAATGGTATTGCTGTTCATGCGGACAATCTTATGGCTCTGTATTGTATAAAGATGACGTTGACGAAACAAAAGCTGCCAACTCCAAGGATATTGAGAATACAGAGGCAGCCAACTCCAAGGATATTGAAAATACAGAGGCAGCCAACTCCAAGGATATTGAGAATGCAGAAACAGCCAACTCCAAGGATATTGAGAATGCAGAAACAGCCAACTCCAAGGATATTGAGAATGCAGAAACAGCCAACTCCAAGGATATTGAGAATGCAGAAACAGCCAACTCCAAGGATATTGAGAATGCAGAAACAGCCAACTCCAAGGATATTGAGAATACAGAGGCAGCCAATGCCAAAATTATCGAGAATGCAGATGCTACTTCTCTGCTGGCGCATTGGACATCTGCCACCAATCCAAGGTCTAATTACATATTTGACAGCTTAAAATATTATAGTCTGGTTGTATATCGAGACCACAAGGAAACGATATCACCTACAATTGCAAAAGCCAACAATTGTTTTGATTCTAAGCTGCTGCAGTTGCAGCAACAGCAAAAAGTGGATGGCAAACCAGCACATTTGTCAGAAAATAATCGCGCAAAGAGAAGACTAGAAACATCCGAGGAAGACCTGAAAAGTCCAGATAGTCCCTCAAATATCCCTTATATTCCTGTTTTGTCACCTCTACATTTTGATTTGAACAATTCCAACAACAATTTAATAGAGTATCAGGATCGAGTCATTTTGAATATACCTACACGGTTTACTTGCCATCGGTGCGACCATATGATGTGTCCGTATTGTTTAAAGTTGAGATTAAAGGATATTGACATTGATTAGTATTGTGTATACATTTCAAATACATGGATGTAAATTAACATATTACTTTCTATTGACAAATACATGGGTGGATTATCGTATTACTTTCTATTGACTGATTTTCTATTAAGCCACTTTGCTTTGTTCTTCAAAACTTTTGCTTCTCCTATGGGTACAACTTTCTTACTGCTTGCAAAATTTTGGGTCTGAACCCAAACTGGTCCTTTCCTTATACTACTTTGTTTACTCTTTTTCAATTGCCTTAATTTTTGCTCAAGTTTTGATTTTTTATTAACAAATGAATCTCTATCCTCTTCATCTTTCAAAATTATATGCGTGTTTTGTTGTTTTATTGGTGCTACATGCTGTTCTTTAATAAAACTCTCAATGTCGTCAGGTAATGAACTTGATTCTTTGGTTTCAGCTTGCCTATTCCTTTTGCTTTCCTGTTGTAATCTATTTCGTTCATCTTTTAATCTCCTTTGTTCTTTAAATCTCTTCTGTAAAGCAACTTGTCGTTCTTGTTCTTGTTTTTGCTCGCTTATAGCTTTTTGCTTGATTGCATTGATGTTTTCTTCTTCTGGTGCGTCATCTGAATCTGAGTCAGAATCTGAATTCAAGTCTGGATTACCTCCTGGTCCGCTTTCTGCCTCAACATTTAAAATTGGTGTATCTTTCGGCACCTCATCATCCTTATCATCCTCATCTATAAATACTTTTTTCCTTGGTTTTGCCTCAGAAATGGATGTATCTTGTCTTGATTTACTGTAGCCTAATATATTCTCAGAAGAAACCTCATCAGGATTTGTTAAAGTATTAGTCTCAGTAGTATTTGCGCTACAATGTAGCTTGCTTCTTGTAATTGCCATTAAAGCTCATCGCTATTCATATATCACGACTTTTTTTTAAATTTTTTTTTTTCACTTTTCCTCCGTCGATTCGCGCGACCAACCGAGACGAGGAGGAACCCGCTACACTATCGAGCAGAGCGAGATAGTGGAGCATCACATAGTAGCTTGTTATGACATTATCGAGCAGGGCGAGATAGTGGAGCAATACTCTGCACCTTAATTCTAATTTCTTGTTTTGCTTCAATCTTTATAGCAAAAAGCCAATATCGAGTAATCACCATTCATGACCTAGTATTCGCCTCTTTTCCTCTCCGCTCCTCAAAATCATGATTGTATCCAGCTATTTATCCCATACATTCTCCATCGCGCTCTTTGCGGATCGCTTATACAGTTCAACACCCATCTCTTTTTCTTCAAGTAAGTTAATGTGTCTTCTTTTATGGGCAATCCATGCACCACCAATGTTTCCAAGTATCCTTCCAACTTCTCTACAATACTTGCCAAAAACCGTATCAAGTCAATCCCTTCAAACTGATTGAAGCTTAAATCCAAATATTTCAATGGCACTTTTAAGTTGTCACCAAAATTTTTGGGCAACTGCAACATTGCAGCGCTATCGATATTCATTTCATTTAGATACAAGAAAGACAAATTTGGACAAAGATTGATTATATCCTTGATGTAAAGCTGTTTCGGTGAGTGCAATGCAAAAGTGAGATAGTATGAGTTGCCTATATTGAGTGAGACGAGCTTGTTTCCGCATACTTTGAGAATCTTGAATAAACCTGAATTCGTAAGACAGTTTCCGTATAAATCAAGCGTATTTAGATTTGTGAATTGTGTGAGATAAGATTCAGACACTTGCTGAAGTGGGATCGATGATGTAATGCAATTTTCTCGAAGAGTAAAGCTTTTCAATTTAAACTTTGGCTGATAATTTAAAAACACTTGTAGTATTGTGAGTAAATCTATCCCATCGTTATTTTCCAAATACAATGTAGTCAACTTGTCTAGGGAAGCTAGAAATGTACCAAATTGGGGCAAATGATTGCTGAAATTGAACGACACTAGAGTCAACTCAGTGAGGGATGGGAAGCGATGATCAAGCAAAACGGGGAAGGGGCTATAAGTTTGTGCGGAAATGGCCACCCCTTCCCTTTTTAATAGTTGATGGTGATTGACTAATTTCAATTTTTCTAAATTGCACTCTTTGCCCTTGTTCTCCTTAAGTTGTTTGAACTTTTTATCATGAATAGGCACCAAGCTCATTAAGCTATTTTCGGGTAAGATTATTGAGATTTCAAGCTCCTTTAACCTAGGGAACAAATTAAGTAGGATGTGAGGATACTTGATACTACAATTGATACCCAACTTTAGACTTTGCAACTTTTGGAAATTGTTCAATCTCCAATTGGCCTTAGCCATAACTGCAAAAAACAATTGCAAGTTGAAAAATGAGTCCAGAACATCAATGGATAAGATAGGTGCTTGGGGTTCTTTGACCAAGGAAAGAAGCACCTGAGTTATCTTTTGTTTTGCGACATTGTTAATCTTGATCCGTTTAATCTCTTTTGAAGTGGAATAAGATGCTACTTTTTTGAAAAAGGTCAAACCACAAGAGTATTCCTCATAGGTGATGCTTCTTTTACAATCAAAATTGTATAATTCGGGCAATGATAACAATATGCAATACCACGTTTGACTCACCAAAAGGCATTTGTAAATCTGACTCTCGGGAATTAGCCGGAAAATAGATGCAATAATTTCCGGTGACAAGTAAAGAAATGGATCTAATAACTTGCTTTTGACTCTCTTTACCTTTTGAGAAGAATCACTTTGAGAAGAATCACTTTGAGAAGAAGATTGTATTTTCATCAGTTGAAAAGCAGTTCTCTTTATAGGCTCTATTTTCATCGGTTGAGAAGCAGTTCTCTTGATACCATGCGTCCTCTGCTCCTTGAGCTCTGTATTTATCAACTTGTACTGTTGCTTTAGACTCAAAAATAACCCTTGATTGAAATTTTTCATCTGCTTCTTTTCCATTTTCAACTTGCCAATCACGTATATACCCTCTTGATATACCTTGTACGCTTCGAATTTCCTCTCGAGCAAGCATAAAAGTTTCCCTACACGTAGGTACCCTTTGCAATTACCAGGATCTCTCTCAATCAACGTCCTGCCATCCTTCAAAGCAAGATTGTACTGACCCAATTTCTCATACGTCGCAGCTCTCTGGTCAAGTAAAGTTCCCAATGGTAAATCTGTTATAAAAGAGCTCTGTTTCACCTTATAAATAAGCTTATTGAATAGCGAAAGCGCCCCCACATAATCCCCACCTTTGAACTTCACCACAGCTGCTCTATGCTCCTCATTATCCATCTCTTTGAACAACTCTTGACCATCAAGAGCTCCTTTTTTTCAAATCTAGAAACGCGTTTTTTAAAGAACTCCGATCCACAAATAAAAAAGCAAAGGGAAGGGAAGGGTCCTCCTTCCATTAGAGTTAAAAGAGGAAGGAAAGAGAGATGGGATTGGTTGTAGCTCAAGGTTTGGAGCTCTTGGTAGTTACAGCTGTTATAGCCATATGTACCATGGCAGCTAGTTTAGCGCCGATGAAATTTTTGAGCGCTAGCCATGCCAATTTGACATTATCAACGTACTTTAGTACTGGTATATTACTTGGAACTTCACTTTTGATTATACTCCCCGAGGGGATTGAGGTGCTAAATGAGTCTGGGCACAAGCTTACATCATCGGCTATTGGACTTCCTTTGACTTTTGGGTTCACCATGATGTATCTTGTTGACAAGTTTTTCACAATTGGCAATTTTCCATCGCCAATCGTCAATGTTTCTCCATTGCTGTCGATTCTTAACTCGTCGCTCTCCCTTGGTTTGATTGTTCATGGCTCCGTCGATGGTATCTCGTTGGGATCTTCGTTTCTAGACACAGATAAAACCTTTCATGCCTTGGTTTTATTGGCTATTATTCTTCATCGCATCCCCACTGCATTTAGTTTTGGAACAATTTTGAATAAGAAGGGTTTAGAGGATAAACTTGTGGTTTGGCATTTGGCTCTTTTTGCTCTACTGACGCCTATTTTTACATGGCTAACTATTGGATTCGTCTCGGTGTTTAATACAGATATCCTTTATGTTACAGGGTTGTTGCTATTGTTTTCAGCTGGTACCTTCTTTTACATCGTCAACCATGTCATGAATGAGTTTGATGTCTCATCTTCTTGGGATATGCCTAATTCCAGCGATACAGAAACAACAATGACACATCAAGGAAATAGAGTAAATCTACTATTGCCCTTACTTGGGCTAACACTCCCAGTCTTGATTAGTTTTTTTAAAGAATAAGGTATATATATATATATATATATATATATATATATAACAAGGATCGAGAAGGAGCATGTTTTTTTTTTTAAAATTGCTCACCATCATGTCCATAATAAGCATTAATATCGTCAACAACACTATCTACTCCTCTTTCCATCGAAACTGACTTTATAACCTCATGGTTTTCTTCTGAAACATTATTCGTTGTGTCTATATTATCTGCAAATGCTTCTTCTTCTGCTTCTTCCTCTGCTTCTTCCTCTGCTTCTTCTTCTTCTTCTTCTTCTTCTTCTTCTTCTTCTACTTCTGCGTCATTATCTTCATCGTAATAATCATCTTCTTCATCATCTTCATCACCATTACCATTATCATCTTCATCTTCCTCGTTTGATGAGTTCAGTCCAGCTAACCTCTCATAGTTGTCTTCCTCATCTCCATATTTAAGTAAAACATCGTCATCGCTGTTATCATAAAAATCCATTCTTGTTTCGCTCCCATTTTTCAAAATGCTCTTCCTTTCCAGTTCTAGTTTATTCATCAAATCCTGACTACTACTATTGCTCTGATCTTTTTCCTTAAGCCTATTCAATCCAATGTACGAGTTTTTCAAAGAACGCGATCTTGATGGAAGGTTCGCTTTCTCATTGTTTTCGTCCTTGTTGTTTTTTACTGCTTCTCTTTCCACATTATTGTTGTTATTGTAGAAATTACCCGAACTTCTTGTCTTGCGAATTCGTTGTCTTGCTTGGTTGTCGTTGGCAAAATGTATAGATGCTGAATCATTAGCAACTAATGTTGTGTCACCGGAGAAATAGTCATGTGTCAACTGAGCCAATGCAGTGGAAGAGCCTCCCTTTTTGGTGAGAGCACTTTCAAATGCAGTCGATCTCGCTTTTGATCTACGTTGCGGCAAGTTACTGGTGTTATGACGTACTGCTGCTGGCCGCTTTTGGAGCTTCATTGGTGTGTTTGGTGCCGTGTTGTACAGACCATCGGTAGCCAATACCGGGGACGAAGTCATATTGTTGTTTAGCAAATGGGATGATCTGTAGTACAGCTGACTTCTCTTGATCTCGTTCCCAGCGCTGCCCAATGTGTAATTAGCTGAGGTTATGATACGCCCGCGTAAAGTTGTTATAGCCTTGTCCAAACCAAACTCGATGCTGCAATGATTGTGGATGATGGAAATCTTTGGCCATGCTGCTTTCGCTCCACGACAAATAAAGTCGAGTAAAAAATCGCTGTCTGGATTTTCAAACAATTTGACAAAATCAGAAACCTTGTACTCTGGTAAAATAGTGATATCACCTGAATAATTTTGTGAAAGAATTGAAATCATTTTATTAGATAAATTTTTGTAAACGTCTAGTTCAGTCAATAGCTGGAGATAGTGTATAGCCTCGCAAGAGACAAAGTCGTAGGCATTATTGAGCAAGTGTTTGAGTTTATAACTCAAGTCGTTTTCTACTTCTCCACCAATGTTGCTAACTGACACTTTCAATACCGGCACAACATGGGGATTTACCTGGACTGCAATAATGTGATCAACATTGAACATCTCCAGTAGTCTTGTAATTGGCAAATCATTATCAACCGAGCCATCCATATATTTCATTGACTCATCGTTATTCCACTCGTGGATCTCATTGGTCTTGATATTCTTTTCGTAAACAGAACTAGATGGGAAGAATCCTGGAAGTGAGCAACTGGCACAAACAGCAGACCAGACAAAGCAATTTGGTGCAGTTAAATGGTTCAACAAACGCGTCTGTTCGTGTATTGACGTTGGAGAAACAGTGATGTTCAAAATTTTTCCGGTTCTGTTGTAAGCTTCTCGAAACGTTAATTCACCCAAAAACCCAATCATGGTTTCTTGCAACGCTTCAATATCAAACATGGTCCCGTATTTGATAAGATGTCCAAGAAACATCAAGAGTTTTCTAAACTTTCCCTGTATCTGAGACTGATCGCAATCAGAAACCTCAAAGATGTTGAATTTCCTGTATGCAATTGTTTGCAATAGCACCTGAGTTTCTTCATTGGTGTGACAGCACAAGATACTAGCCATTATGGAGCCAGCTGACGACCCGCTAATGATTCTTGGTAGCAAGTTTGCTTCGAATAAAGTTGCCAAAACACCCACGTGGAAGATTCCAAATGTACTGCCACCAGACAAGACCAAAGCGGTTCTACCAATATTTTTTCTTGTTTGGATCAACATGCCCAACAAGTATCTATCGTCCAAATGGGCACTTCCTTCTTCTACAAGATAATTCAAAGCAAGCCGACATTCTTGCAAATACTCTTCGACGAGCTTTTTTGTGCCGACATAAGAGTGACGGTACAAATCTGCGTCACCCATATTTCCCAAATTCCTCACCCAGTTTGTTCTAATGTAATATAATAGGAGCTTATAGTCATTTCTCAACCGCGCCTGTTTCATCATGTTCAACTGCTTGTAAATCAAGTTGTAGTCGTAAATGTCCGATTGTGGGTCAGACTTCCACGTATTATTGCCCAAGAGCTCATCCAACCTAAGCGAAATCTCATACCAATCCCTATAAGTAGTTGTTGATTTCTGATACTCCAAGAGCTCATTTATCAACCTTGTTTTTTCATCAATCTCGGGAAGAAACCGGCCAATTAACGGCATGGTCCGTAAATTAAACCACGACTTTACTTTCTGCTTCTCCTCTTCGCCTTTTAGCACATACTGGTTGTTTTCTGGGTGTATTTGTATATACTGACAGAATAAATCGTGCATCAAATTACTCGCTGAAAGCGAGTTGGGCAAGGTTATAGGCGCTAACGATACTTGACTCGTCATCTCACCAACCAACCAAACAAACAAATAAACAAACAAACACTGAAAACCAATATCCCGCTATCGATATACCTTCTCTAAAAGCAACCTTATCCAAGGGAAAGAAGGGAAAGTACCAACAAGAAGAAGAAGAAGAAGGGCTCACTTGCTGGTTCTTTAATTGACTTGTGATATTTATAAACGTTGAAACGGTGCTACCATGTGTCACTGATATGATACCGATGAGATGAGATGAGATGAGATGAGATGAGATGTAGTGAACTTCTTTCTCAACAACCAATTATTAGGGTTAGATGGTAGGATAGCTAGTCCTTGATTCATATATAGTAGCTATAATTTATTATACGGGTTTGTTACAAATTGCTGGTTTGCGTTTACGGCGGAATAGAGCCATTCTTGCATGTCTTAGGTGCATTATTAACCATTCATTGAGTGGAAAAGTAAAAGTGAAAGAAAAGACTTTACTGTCGGACCTGTTGAATAGTGTAGTCTTGTCGAAGAAGAAGAATAGTGCCTTATCGCTGGACCTGTTGAATAGTGCCTTATTGTCGAAGAAGAAGAATAGTGGTTTATCGCTGGACCTGCTGAATAGTGCCTTATTGCTGGACCTGTTGAATAGTGCCTTATTGTCGAAGAAGAAGAATAGTGGTTTATCGCTGGACCTGCTGAATAGTGCCTTATTGCTGGACCTGTTGAATAGTGCCTTATTGTCGAAGAAGAAGAATAGTGGTTTATCGCTGGACCTGCTGAATAGTGCCTTATTGCTGGACCTGTTGAATAGTGCCTTATTGTCGAAGAAGAAGAATAGTGGTTTATCGCTGGACCTGCTGAATAGTGCCTTGTCAAAGAATAGTGTCTTGCCAAAGAATAGGCGGGGTAAAGGAAAATCTGTGTATACGACTATGTTCAAATTCACAACAGTGAACCATATAACCGATGACACGTCACGGCCCTTGGTCAATTTCACCACTTTGAGTGGCTCGAGATATTTATTTGGTAAAATTCCCGAAGGGTCACAACGGATTATAACGGCAATTGGGGGCGAAGTGAGTTTCCCCAAAATGCAAGGAATTTTTTTAACCGGGACGGTGTTTTCTTGGGCAGATATTGGTGGACTCGCGGGATTGATTTTGACCATCAGTGATGCTACCCTGAAGGGTATCACTTTGGTGGGTAATAGCAGAGTACTATCCTATATCATAGCAACTTGGAGGCAGTTTGTGTTTAGAAAAGGTACCGATTTGAAAATTTTGAGCTGCGAAGAGGAGCAGGACGAGGAGGAGCGGCTGCTGCAGCAACCGATTGTTGCTAACGATGAGGTTGTAATAACCCCGATTCAGATTTCGCCACGAAATTACCAGAAACCAGAGTCACAAGAATCAAAAAGAGATGAAAAGGCAATCTCCCGCAAGCTCAAAAAATTAGCTTCACTCATGTTCCCACGAGATACAAGCGGGGTAAACAGCAGGGACCCGGAATCGTACAAATCCGACCCGACCCAATCACAACTCCACACCAATGTCAGTTTGGATGGTATTCCCGCAGTAGCTCATGCGCAGAAATCGATATCATATTCTATATCTATCGTTCCTATTCGGGGTAAGTTTGATGTGAAAAAAGCCCAGGAATTGGGCGTCAAGCCAGGTCCCTTGTTTAAAGAATTAACGATGGGGAATTCTGTTTTAAATGACAAGGGAGAAACCATCGATCCCAGTTTAGTTGTAGGCCCTGACAAGGTATATCCTAAAATACTTTTCATTGATATCCCGAGTACAGACTATTATGAGAATACTATAAACAGTACCAAATGGTTTGAAATTGACAATGTTGGATTAGTTTACCATTTTATCGGCGATGAAGTGAGTTTCAACATGAAGGAGTACAAGAGTAGATTCATTGATAAATTCCCACAAAAATGCCATCATTACATCAGCCACAAGCTGCTATCAAACAATGTAATAATGAATCAGAGCTTTGCCACTTTTCATCTAACCTCCAAGGGAATCATGAACGAAAATTTCAATTTAATAAACCTGGAAGATTTCAAAAAACTTTCAGGAGAACGTATTGATCGACTCCATTCCATGCAACAGGTTGTTGTGAATGAAAATGGAGCTCAACTTTCAAACAACACTTCTTCACTCAAAACCTCTAATGAACAGCTATTCAATGACGAGGTTAAAAAGCTTGATTTGCCTACCAGCTTTGAAGAGATGAAAAAGTGCAAATTTGATCTTTTTGATGAGAGTAATATAGGAAACCTCAAGGATTCGGTGCATATATGCACACCGGGCACTGGCTCAGCCTTACCTAGTGTTTTACGTAATGTTCTTTCAAACTTGTTGAGAATTCCCTTTGCAAAAGATGGAAAGGTTTTTTATAGAGCAGTTTTGTTTGATGTGGGTGAAAACACTATGGGAAGTATGTTGAGAAACTTTGGCCACAATAATGGTCAAGATTTGAAAATTATATTCAAAGAGCTTTGCTTAATTTATTTGTCTCATCTACATGCTGACCACCATTTGGGGATGGTTTCAATAGTGAGCAAGTGGTTTGAAACAAATAAAGATGAGAATTCGAATTTGTATTTAATTGTTCCATGGCAATTTATTACATTTATAAAAGATTGGTATAAACTTGAGGGTAAATACAATAACTTTATCGATTTATCGAGGTTGAAAATGTTTAGCTGCGAAGACTTTACATGCGGAACGAGATATGGTGACTACTCAACATTCAGTCTTGATGAGTTTGAGGCCAAACTCGATCTGAAGAACTTGGAGCCACATGATTTTTCGGCAAAGAAGGTCTTGCGAAAGTCAGTGGATAGAGAGTTTATTAACCAAATGTTTGAGGCTTGTGGATTGGTTTCAATCCAATGTGTACGTGCATTGCACTGTCCCTGGTCATACTCGTCCACTTTCAAGTTCAAACAAAGTGAGAATGAGACATTTACAGTGTCATTTTCGGGAGATACTAGACCGAATCCACTATTTGCAACCATTGGTAAAGGCTCAGATTTGTTAATACACGAGGCGTCCTTGGATACTCAATGGCTAGATGAGGCAATAGCCAAGAAACATTCAACAATGATTGAAGCTGTGGCAGTTTGTAAAATGATGGATTGTCCAAAATTGATACTAACCCACTTTAGTACAAGATATGGGTATTCCAACAACTGTGTAGAAAAGAAGTATTTACAAAGTACAGCCCAGATTACCGAAAGGATGTTGCGAGAGGCAAAAGTCCCCAACATCTTTAGCAATGGCGATTATAGTTTTGAAAATATAGACATTTGCTATGCTTATGATTTAATGAACATAAGATATCGCGATCTTCATAAACAAGAGCAAAAATGGCCTCTTATGGCATCATTGTTCCAATTGAAGAGTAAGAAAAGAAAGGCTGAAGAGAAATAGAATATAGAATGCAAAAAAGTCAAAAAATAAAAAATTGTGCTAGATTTCTCTTCTATTCAACGATATTTAATGCAACTTCTCCGTATCCAAACTTGTCCTTGTTGTCATTGTATACTCTCTTCAATTCGTCAACGTATTGTTTATGATAGTGGTCCAATAACTTTTGTGGCACTTTAGGTCTGGGTTTAGGAACCAATTTCTTCTTTAAAGTTAAAAAGTCCGTAAAAGATCCAGTCTTTTCCATCTTCGTTGAAGGTGATCCATCTTCTTCTTCTTTTTCTTTTGATAAATCCCCTTTAGCGTCAATAATCTCATCCTCGAATTCCTCGGGGTGGTTTAGTCTATAATCCTGCAAGATTCCTTCAGGGATGTGGATTGGTTTTCCAACAACAATGTTTATTGGATTGCGATATGGCAAAAAGCCAAAGTCATAAATGAAAACTCCTCTGGCACTAAAGAATGGAACTGTAAATGCAAATGTTTTTTTCATCCATTGTTGGAACTTATAGCCAAGCGAGCCTGGGGGTGGGACGGTTAATCTATAAACGTCAGCTTCACCAAATGCAAATGTTGGTACAAGAGAAACATTACCTAGTTCGATGGCCAATTTGACAAATCCCTTACGCTTGTTGAGAACCAACTTTACCTCGCGATGTGGAGACTCACTTGTTTTTGTTTGATGGCTGTTGCTGTTGTTGTTGCTGTTGCTGCTACTACTTTTTTCATCGCTTTCTTCAGTCTCATTGTCTTCCCTATAGCCATATCCTATCCTTGAGTTTTTCGCAATCATGTTATTCAATAATGACTCTTGAGCGCCACCAACAACAAGGCAGATGGAATTATCACCATTAGTGATTAAACTCTTTATATTTTTAGCAGAGGCACTGCTAATACCCAAGGCCATCAAATAGTCACGGTAGAATGGTATTGTGAATTGGGTAGTCAATGTCAAAGGGAATATCTTGCCTATGCCTGGAAATAAAGGAGTGTGTTTCGAAGGGTCATGAAAAAAGGGTTTCAACCATTTCAGCACTGGTTCATATGGCTCATTCCGCAAGGCATTTGTACCAAATAACCCAACAGCACCCATGGATATAACTCCATGGGGATGATAACCAAAGATATATCTAGGTCCAGATGAAACTTTTTTGTAAACTGAGGAATTAGACTTTATCAGTACAGCATCGTCTGCTGTATTTATTCTCTTTTTTAACCCCAAGAATTTGAACAAATGGTCCAATGAAGTTAGCAGCGACTCCAGTATCAAGTCTTGTTCATCATCTTCCGAGCTTCCTGTATCCCTCAACAATACTTTATCGAACGTAGGCTCCAAATCGACAGTTTTGTAACACCTGATTGGGAAATAATTAACAAACCATTCCCATATGATGAGGTTTTTCATTGAATTGCGAACGCGATAAGTACCTTTGCCATTTGTAGGCGTGTGCAAGTCAAAGCCATACCACCATATGAAATAGGGTAATATAATTGTAAGCCAAACTATCCAGCCCAAGGAGATCAAAAAGAGGAATAAGCATAGGAAAAAGGGGATGCTGATGCAATGCCAAATTACCCCAACAGTTTCCAACCTATGACTTAAAGGGGTATTTAGTGGAGCAACATTGATATAGGATCTATTTCTCTTGGGCTTGCGACGAGATGACAGAGTGCGGGTATCTTGTGAAGAAATTTTAGTGTCTGTAGTTGAGGTAGAAGCGGTGGAACTGGCTGTATCAACTCTGTGCCTCATTTGACTAAAAGTGGTGGTGTTTTCTGAGTCAACTGCAGTGGAGCCACTCCCACTTGACTTGTAATCAGTTTCCTTTACATCATCTGATGGACTCAAAGCGGTACTAACCATTGCTTTTTAAGGGGAAAATAGATAGCAGCACTGGGGAGAGAGCCCTCCTTAAATAGAATGAATATGTATATATATATTATCACCAGTGGTGGACAAAAACTGAACAACTTTAAAATTATCAATCCTTATTGGGTAATATTACTTCCCCACCTCAACAGGAGAAAAGAAAAAATATAGTGCTACAATTTAATCAGTATGGCAATCTAACTTGAAATTGTCTATATAGGTTTAATAGATTTATTAAATATCGGGTGCGAAACAGTATAGTGGTTAGCTTATGTATTTTGGATGAGCTTCATGCAAGTCGTATTAATATTTAGGGGGTGCGCAGGCGCCATTGCGGGGGAGGGGAAAAGGTGATGATGAAGGCAGACTGTGTGATGTCGAATAGCTATTAGCAGTGCCAC